CACACTGGAAGGGGTGGGAATCAATGGCCCACCGTATCAGACAGCTTGAGAAGCAGTACTGAAAACAATGTGAAATTCAATCAAAAAGACAACAGGGGCATTTGCTTAAAAAAAGTCTTTCCAAATGGAAAGAGACACAAAAAGTATGCGTGCTGAGGGCAAGGGAAAAGAAATTTCTGAGCTATGGACTCAGTGAGAGCCAGGAAATTCATCTGAGTTTGCTCCTGTGCCTGAATAATAAGCCAGATTTTATTACCTGGTAGAGAGAGCTAAAAGCTCAGGCTGCATGTTTGTTCTCGAGAGAGCCGCTTACCTGTCATTTACATGAATAGGGTACTTTGGCATTAACAACTGCAGCAGTTAGAGCAACCTGGCATAGGGTAGGAAGTTGTTGACTGATGAAAGCACAAGGCTATTATTTCCCCTCTCTAGAAATAGGGGGCAGGTAAGTGGCTGGATCCTGCTAGCTTTTGTGGAGAGGGCTTTGATTTGATCCTTGCTAGCCAAAGCCGTTAGCTGCAGCTCCCTAGAACTGTAAATTATAGCCTGTATAATGCATAGAAAGGAGGCAGGGAATCTCACCCCCGTCTTGAAACAGCAAGGGATCTCCCACATGGAAAGCATCCCTGAATCACAGGCATGATGCATTCTTTGCAAAAAAAAAAGGGAGAGCAAAGCATGCTGTTAATATTGTAATTTAATGTCTCCATTTCTTCATGGGTGCTCTGCGATCTCTGAGAAATTAACCATGCAGCCACAAATCAAGATTCTCCGAAGGCAGCTAAACCACACTAAGATGTTATTCACTCATGCAATGTACACTGTCCAGTGTACCAGCAAGATGCTCTGGCTAATTCCACATTTTTAAAAATAATATTAAAAGCAACGACAACACGAAAAGCTGCCAACTTGGAAGCAGAATGAAGTTGCACGTTATAGACAATGCACGTTATAATTTGGGTTGGTGTGTACCCTGTCGATCTACCCCCTTTGCAAAGAATAAACATCGTTATGGCAAAGAAAGAGAGAAAGAAACCTTTGTTCTCCCATCTAATCTGAAGGAGGAAGATCACATTGAAAACCCTACTTTCCTTAATGTGACTTCATTAGCATTGAAAGGGAGTTGGGGGGGGGGAGAGATGCAAGCGCTGGTTATGTAACCAGCAGGGAAAGTTTTATGCATGGAAGAAGCAGCATTCCACAAAGTATACAGGGCATTTGCTGCTGGGCAGGCTCAAGACGCGGCTATGGCCATTTTTAGCGCATTGGCCAGCTGATGAAGAGCTGCAGAGAGGGAGCAGGAGGACAGTGGTAATATACGTAAAGCATTCTTTATCCTGAAAACGCAGTCAGAAATTCAAAAATTATTAACAGCTATTATGGTTTAGTCGTTTAGTCGTGTCCGACTCTTTGTGACCCCATGGACCAGAGCACGCCAGGCACTCCTGTCTTCAACTGCCTCCCGCAGTTTGGTCAAACTCATGCTGGTAGCTTCGAGAACACTGTCCAACCATCTCGTCCTCTGTCGTCCCCTTCTCCTTGCGCCCTCCTTTTCCCAGCATCAGGGTCTTTTCCAGGGAGTCTTCTCATGAGGTGGCCAAAGTATTGGAGCCTCAGCTTCAGGATCTGTCCTTCCAGTGAGCACTCAGGGCTGATTTCCTTCAGAATGGATAGGTTTGATCTTCTTGCAGTCCATGGGACTCTCAAGAGTCTCCTCCAGCACCATAATTCAAAAGCATCAATTCTTCAGTGATCAGCCTTCTTTATGGTCTAGCTCTCACTTCCATACATCACTACTGGAAAAACCATAGCTTTAAACATTAAAAAAAACCAAACTGACCTTTCTCCTGAGAGCTCTAATCAGCTTACCCTTTTACCATCACAACAACCCAGTGAGGTAGGATGGGCAGCAATGAGTCAGAGTCCTCATAGTTGGCTTGAATGTACCACCTGGTAGAAGCTGACATTTCCAGGAATTTTGGTGCATCGGGGCATTTTGGGAATGTCAAAATGCGGCTTTTAGGGCCTATTTCATACACCCGCTGGGAGTCCTTGTGGGCCGAAAGGCAAGATTAAAAACAACAAGTAGAATTCCGCATTCGAAGAACTAAAGTACATCGCCAGTGTGCAAAATTTATTGCATGCCTCCCTGCTTCTTAACCGACATTGCCTTCCTTAAGACTTTTCCAAGTGACAGTGCTGCAGCAAGAAGAGAAACTGCACCCGGCAGGACTCCCTCTTTGTGCAACTTTCATTAGGCTTCCACCCGAGTCAAGCTGACGTGCTTCCCTTTCCTCAAAGAATTTGGATTGCAAACATTCTGACAGCTTGGTTGGGAGCATTCTGTGGAATCGCAACCAGCTCAGCCGATTGGTGCCAGAGGCTTCACTGCCACAGGTGCAATACAATACAGACAGAACAGAATGCAGAGGGGATGTAGCACCTTTCCTGCTTCATTCAGGTGCCGGTTTGTGTCTGCTTGGGAATTCTGAGAGCAGCCCCTCTCCCAGCAGCTACTCAGAGTGCCGTTTGATGCTGCTTTTTCTGGTGTGGTTACCAACACAGCTTTTGAGAGCCTGCAGGCTCTCTGTGGATCTCGACTACTAATATTTGTGGAAGAAAGGAGGGGAAAAAGGGGGGGGGAAGGGTCACTCCACAGTAAACAGCGGAAGAGAAAAGTGCTGGAGGGCAAAACAAACGAAGCAGCAGAGACAAAAGGCTGTAGGGAAGCACAACTCCAACCAAACATCGAAATTAAAACCAACATAATAAAAACACAGAAACGGTAAAAGAAGAAACTTGGTAATTTAGGAATGTTGGGGGCTGCTGGGTGGCATATCTGGTTCTTGGTTCATTTAGGTCAGTATTGGTTTCCTTGAGGAGCGGGGAATGCTTTTCAGTTTGAGGGCCGCATTCTCTTGTGGGTAACCATCCGAGGGCCACAGGCAAGCGGAAGGCGGGGCCAGAAGCAAAAGTGGGCGGAGCACTGGATATAAATATTACAGTCTGGCTAGTTTTGCACACACCCTTCTCTAGCCTCCATTCAGAAAAACAAGAGGGATTATTAGATCTCAAGCACATACAGTGATACCTCGGGTTAAGTACTTAATTCGTTCCGGAGGTCCGTTCTTAACCTGAAACTGTTCTGAACCTGAAGCACCACTTTTGCTAATGGGGCCTCCTGCTGCCGCCGCGCCACCGATTTCTGTTCTCATCCTGAACCAAAGTTCTTAACCCGAGGTAATATTTCTGGGTTAGCGGAGTCTGTAACCTGAAGCGTATGTAACCCGAGGTACCACTGTATTCCAGCCGGGCAAAAACACCCAGGATGTGAAGGAAGGCCTGGGATGAGTCTCAGGGACTAGGCGGAAAGGGCTACATTTGATGCACAAAAACCCCAGTCAACACTGCCAGCACCTTTTTAGGGTTTCACAGAAGGGACATTTTCAGCCCTACTTAGAGACGGCTGGACCTCGAACCTAAGACTTTCTGTATGCAAAGCCACTGAGTCACCTCCCTATGTATTTCCCTGGGCTTCCAGCCAAGGAGGGTGGAGGGAGGGGTGGAACCGACCCCCCTCCCTGTTCCATCTCCGGCGCTCCAGGAACCGCGGCGAGGGAATCCCCCAACTGAGCAAAGGATTCCTCCCGGCCTTGATGGTAGTGAGAGGGCCTCTTCTTCTCGGGCGCACCAGGCACCCCCGATACGCCACCCCACCCCGATTCCCTGTCCCGGGCGAGACAGGGCACGGAGCCAGAGGAAAGGCGCCGCAGTGCAAAAGTTATTAACCCGCCACCAAACCGCGGCGGGGCCACGTTTACTCGGGAGCAAATCCCGCCGGGTCCGGGGAGACTGACTCGCGAGTAAGCGTGCGCAGGAGAAAGCAGAGCAGTCCCCCTTTCCCCCTCCCCACGGCGGAATCAGGACCCTTGGCCGGCGAGAAGCAGGCGCGCCTGCGTCTGGGGAGGGGGTCTCCCTCTCTCCGCCGCTCGGAGGCGCAACTCCCGGGGCGCACGAGAGAGGAAGGAGGCCGGAGGAGAGCAGCGCCTGGCGGGCTTTCTGTTCCCGGCGCCGAACAAAAGGGGGAGGAGGGCATGTGCAAAGGCGAAGGGGGGGGGGGGTTGTTGTCTCTCCTCCCCTCCCTCCCTCCCTCCCTCCTTCCTTCCCCACGAGTCCCATCCTCGCCGCGAAGCGCATGAGCGAGGCGCGCCCTGCCGGGGAGCAGAGCAGAGTAGAGCGCAGCGCGCGCGCGCAGCCGGTAGACGCCGCCGAAGGAAGGGACCAGCCAGGGCGGCCGGCGAAGCGCGGATCGCCGCTCCTCTTGCGGGTAACGTTGCAGCGGGGATCCGGGCGGGCAGGTAGGTAGGCAGGCAGGCAGGCGGGCGGGCGAGCCAGGCGGCAGCGGCGTTGGGAGGAGCGGGGGAGAAAAGGCCGGGCTGGGCCGAGCCGAGCGAAGCCTGGAGAGCTGCGCGCGCGCACACCTGGCCCTCCCTCTGGACTCTCCTCCTCTCTCTCTTTCCCCCTCTCCCCCCATGGGTTCCCTTCCCCTATCCGGCCTCCTCCCCGTCCCTCCAAAGGATAGTCTGTGTCTGTCTCTTTCCCGTCCCCAGGCAATGTTTAATTTGGAAAGGTGGTTGGTTACCTGCGTTCCCCCCATAGCATCTCTGCAGTTGGAAATCATTCGCTGTTGACCTGGGGAAATCCCCTGCCCTCCCTCCTGATCTGGAGGGGTTCCTTGTGGCGGGAGAGCCGTGACGCCCTGCTCAGAGATGCTTTCTCATGATGCCCTGGCATGACGCGGTACTGCCGAGGGTGAGCCTCGCTGCCACTTTAACTGCACGTCCGAGGGGCTGGACGTTGGCTAACCTTCGTTCAGGGGAACGTCTCGTCTGGAGGCCTCACTCCGGGAGTTACTCCGGCGAGCAGAGAGCAATGATTTCCTACAAGCGTAGAATTGTAGAGGGTCATCTAGTCGCACCCGTTTCAATGCAATAATCTTTTGCCCAACGTGGGGCTCAAACCTGCAACCTTGAGATTAAGAGGTTCATGCTCTACCGCCTGAGCAGGCAGCTCGCAGGCCTGCCTGTGGGATGCGTTCTCTCTGTGTGGGGGATTGGTTGCGCTTACTCACCCATGAGGGAAAGGCCCTCTGCACGTGGTCAGGTGTTCCTGTGATTTCTCACATCCTACTGGAGAGGTTGGTGAACCAGAGAGCAAAATGAGATGCGGTTTTCCTTGCTATTCCCTGTCTCTGTGCTCCTTTCACACACATATGTGCTGATGGGCTGGTGCAGGTTTTGGGGACCTGTGGCCATCCAGATGTTGCTGAACTATAACTCCCATCTTCCCTGGCTATTGACCTTGCTTGCTGGGACTGTTGGGAGTTGTAGTTCAGCAACATTGGAGGCGGGCAGAGATTCCCCATACCATTAATACAGTGGTACCTCAGGTTACGAGGGACGCGGGTGGCGCTGTGGGTTAAACCACAGAGCCTAAGACTTGCCGATCAGAAGGTTGGCGGTTCAAATCCCTGCGATTGGGTGAGCTCCCGTTGCTTGGTCCCTGCTCCTGCCAACCTAGCAGTTCGAAAGTACGTCAAAGTGCAAGTAGATAAATAGGTACCTCTCTGGCGGGAAGGTAAACAGCGTTTCCGTGCGCTACTCTGGTTCGCCAGAAGCGGCTTAGTCATGCTGGCCACATGACCCGGAAGCTGTACGCTGGCTCCCTCAGCCAGAAAAGCGAGATGAGCACCGCAACCCCAGAGTCGGCCACGACTGGACCTAATGGTCAGGGGTCCCTTTACCTTTACCTCGGGTTACAGACGCTTCAGGTTACAGACTCTGCTAACCCAGAAATATTACCTCGGGTTAAGAACTTTGCTTCAGGATGAGAACAGAAATCATGTAGCGGCAGCGGGAGGCCCCATTAGCTAAAGTGGTACTTCAGGTTAAAAACAGTTTCAGGTTAAGAAAGGACCTCCAGAACGAATTAAGTTCTTAATCCGAGGTACCGCTGTATACTGCTTCAAACTGATGTACCCAAAGTGGTTTAACAAACAATGCCACTTCCAGGGAACTCTGGAAATTGTAGCTCTGTGAGGGTAATAGGAGTCTCCTAAGAACTCCCTGTACCTTCAACAAACTACAGCTCCCAGAATTCTTTGTGGGAAGCCATGGCTGTTTAAAGCCATGCCTTAAATCTATGGTGTAAATGCGGCCCTAGACTAACATCCTGTTCCTCACTGTGGCCAACCAGTTGCCTCTGGGATGCTGACAAGTGGGACCTGAACACCACCACAGCCCTCTTGCCAAGAGAGTGGCTGCTTCTGTGGATTGGCCGGGTGACCTGCCATTCTAATGGCCTGACCTATGAGATTTACCCAGGAGGCGGGAGAGGCTTTAGAACCTGCTGAGGGGCAGAGACTGGCCCAAAGCAAAACCCACGATTCTGAGTCCATCAAAGAGAAGCTGCCTGTGGAAAGCAACAGTGTTGGCTGAGGGCCAAGCCTTAAGCCATAGGACAAACGCTTAAGGCCAGCCAAATGCTTGTGATGGCAGAAGCTGGCTGTGCAGACTTCTAAGTAAACTTGGGAGCTGATAATGTTTGTTCAGTTTGATGGCATATTACCCCCACAAATGGATTTCTTGCTACATGCAGGGACTCTGGGTTGTCAGCACTGAGGACTGAAAACGGTGGTACAGTGGTGCCCCGCAAGACGAATGCCTCGCAAGACGGAAAACCCGCTAGACGAAAGGGTTTTCCGTTTTGGAGGTGCTTCGCAAAACGAATTTCCTATGTGCTTGCTTCGCAAGACGAAAATGTCTTTCGAGTTCCTGCGGGGGTTTTTCCCTTTCCCCCCCCTTTTTCCCAAGCCGCTAAACCGCTTATCAGCTGATCGGCTAAGCCGCTTAACAGCTGATCGCTAAGCCGCTTATCAGCTGATCGTTAAGCCGCTTATCAGCTGATCCTTAAGCCGCTTAACAGCTGATCGCTAAGCCGCTTATCAGCTGATCCGCTAAGCCCGCTAAGCCGCTAATACTGTACTGTAGTGCTAATCCGCTAAACCGCTAATGGGCTTGCTTCGCAAGACGAAAAAACCCGCAAGACGAAGAGACTCGCGGAACGGATTCTTTTCGTCTTGCGAGGCACCACTGTATATGTTTTGCTTTTTACAGTGGTACCTCGGGTTACATATGCTTCAGGTTACAGACTCCGCTAACCCAGAAATAGTACCTCGGGTTAAGAACTTTGCTTCAGGATGAGAACAGAAATCGTGCTCCGGCGGCGCGGCAGCAGCAAGAAACCCCATTAGCTAAAGTGGTGCTTCAGGTTAAGAACAGTTGCAGGTTAAGAACGGACCTCCGGACCGAATTAAGTACTTAACCTGAGGTACCACTGTAATTGGATCTTTTAAAAAATAAAATAAAATGACAGGTTTTTTTTATTAGGTTCCATAGTACTGTGTGTATTTAGCTGGCCTGTTTTAAATGTTTTGGAACTGCCCTGGGATATCTGTTGATGAAGGGCAATTTTTAAAGTGCAATACAATAAAATAACTGCATTAGAAACCACTTCCTGCTAGACTAAGGCTGCACAAACACTATACAGTGGTACCTTGGTTCTCGAACTTAATCCGTTCCGGAAGTCTGTTCGACTCCCAAACCATTCGACAACCAAGGCGTGGCTTCCGATTGGCTGCAGGAGCTTCCTGCACTCAAGCAGAAGCCGTGTCAGATGTTTGGCTTCCGAAAAACATTTGAAAACCGGAACACTTACTTCCAGGTTTTCGGCGTTGGGAGCTGATTTGTTCATCAGCTAAGCTGTTTGAGAACCAAGGTACCACTGTACCTTCAAAGTGTTGTTCAAGGGTGTGTGTGTGTGTGTGTGTGTGTGTGTGTGCAGTGCTTTTTTCTAAAAAATGTTTAGGGGTACTCTCATTTTGACTGAAGAAAATCACCATTTTATAGTTCAAATTGGGAAAAATAAATACAGTCAACGGACAAAAGTACAAAGATTCACAAAATGTTTAGGGGTATACGTACCCCTGTGTACCCCCAGAAAAAATGCACTGTATATATGAATGAAAGGAGAATTCCTGGGTGCCAAGATCCAGGTTTGGGACAAGTACTCTTAGGTGAGAGAACCCCAGTAGAGATTTAAAATCACAGAATATGCAGCAACATGTGGAAATATAGGCTGTTAGATTATTAATGTATGTCCTTGTGAGTTCCACAATTTCCCTCTTCCCCCAGCTTAGGAAAAGACCACATGTTTGGTAGGCTAAAAATAAAATAAAATACTTACAACCTCTTCAAAGGTCAGGTTCATGTGCTTTTCCATACATCAGTCAGAAAAGTTGCATAGGCAGTAAAACTTGGCTTAGTTGCAAAGTGGTGAAGTTCCTAAACTGTTGGTAAAGAAACTCAAGAATGGCTTGTGAGAACCATGTGGTCTGAGCTTGGAGCAACCAACTTAGACCTCTTCACGCATTGAGCTTGATTACCTAGTCCCTGCTTAGGTGGCAGGACTTAACCCTGCATGGTCTTAACCCTTTCATGCCTAGAATCATAGACTGCAATGCAGTCCCTCATCCAATTTGAAACCATACCACTCCCCCCCCAAAGAATTCTGGGTATTGCAGTTTGCTACGAGTTGTTGGGAATTGTGATTGTGAGGGACAAACTACAGTGCCCAGAATTCATTGAGGGAAAGAAAGGTTGTAATGTGTACCCAGCTTGTGTGCCAGTGGAGGTCCAAGGTGGAGAAGTGTCTGTCTCTTTTGCACCTTTTCAGAAAATAAAAGGTGCTGGCTTTTGATTGTGTCGAGCCTGGAAGCAAAGGAAGGTCCCCTAGGGTGGAAGGTGCCTGATGCAAGGATGGTCCCACAGTGGAGAATCCAAGCCCCAAATCTCAAAGGGCTGCCCTGTGTATTGTGCTTTGCTTGTCAACAGCTTTGCAAAGTTCAGCTAGAGACGTCTTGCACAGAGTGCCTGTATGTCGCTGCAGTGTGGATGGCAGAACATTTCGTACTTGTGTGTGGGAAGATATTAGGACCAGAGCAGATGGGCAAAAGGTCTAGGCAGTTTTTCCCAACTTGGTCCTGGAATCATAGAATTGTAGAGTTGGAAGAGAACCCAAGGGGCATCTAGTCCAACCCCGGTGCAATGCAGAAATCTCAGCTAAAGCATCCCTGCTGGTCGCCTCCAGGGTTTTTGGATTCCAACTCCCATCAGCCCTAGTCACCATGGCCAATGACGGGGGATTGTGAGGTTAGAAGTTACCAGGTTAGGGAGGTCTGGGCTAGTGGTTAGTGGGCTTGGGGTATAGCCGTGCTGGCCTTAATGCGATGGATCACATCACTTCCTACCTTCTGCTGCCTGAAGGTAGGAAGTCAAAAAAGTGCTGAGCTGCCTGAAAGGTGCGGCTCTATATGCAGTGGTACCTCGGGTTAAGTACTTAATTCGTTCCAGGGGTCCGTTCTTAACCTGAAACTGTTCTTAACCTGAAGCACCACTTTAGCTAATGGGGCCTCCTGCTGCCACCGCGCTACCGGAGCACGATTTCTGTTCTCATCCTGAAGCAAAGTTCTTAACCTGAAGCACTATTTTTGGGTTAGCGGAGTGTGTAACCTGAAGCGTATGTAACCTGAAGCGCATGGAACCTGAGGTACCACTGTACAATGTCTACTCAGAAGAAAGTCCCACTGAGTTGAATGGAGCTTCCTCTTAGGCAAGCAGGTTTAAGACTGAATGTGAAAACTCCCATTGAAAGATCATCTGCTGCATAATAAGCCCCGCTGAATCCAGCTGGACTTGGGTAAACACTATTTAGGATTGTGGGGACCTGTTTCTGAGCAAAGGTGCGTAGTACAGCTGTACCTTGGAAGCCAAACGCCTTGGCTCCCGAATTAATCGGCTCCTGAACCATCAAAACCTGGGTGTGTGTTTTCTGTTTTTCAAACGATTTTTGGGAGCTGAATGTCCGGCACGGCTTTCACGGCTTCCGATTGGCTGCAGGATGCTGCGCTTTGGTTATGGAACGGTTCCGGGAGTCGGATGAACTCCTGGAATGCACTCTGTTCGAAAACCAAGGTACCACTGAAGTAGTAGTAGTAATAATAATATTAATAATTTATTACTTATACCCCGCCCATCTGGCTGGGTTTCCCCAGCCACTCTGGGAGGCTCCAAACCGAATATTAAAAACACAATACAGCACCAAACATAATAATAATAATAATAATAATAATAATAACAATAACAATAATAATAATAATTTAATACCCTGCCCATCTGGCTGGGTTTCCCTAGCCACTCTGGGTGGCTTCCAACAGAATATTAAAAATACGATAAAACATCAAACATTAAAATCTTCCCTAAACAGGGCTGCCTTCCGATGTTTTCTAAAAGTCAGATAGTTGGATAGTCAGAGCGTAGAATTACTCTAATTAGGCTTCATCTGCTAAACAGGTCAGAAGAGGCCGATAGATATGTGGACTGTCTCTGGATCAAGTGTCTTTTTGTTTTTTAAGTTCTCAAAGCTCTTAACCTGGCTCAAGGCTGTCGCTGGATGTTCAGCTGAGAATCAGCCAGCCAGCCCATCATTTGAAAAATAAGACTTTAGAGTTTTCTTGCCCCCAAATGGTAACTAGACTTTCCTTTATGGCAACTACTAGCTTGGTATAGGGAGCCATTTGGTGCCTAGCTTACATACTGTACCTGAGTTTCTACCACTGCAGTCCCCTTCTGTAGTTTCCAGCAACTGGTAGTCAGAGACATACTGCCTAGTATCCATTGCTTATTTATCAATCTGTCCCAGTACAGTCATACCTTGGAAGTCGAACAGCTTAGTTCCCAAACGTTTTGGCTCCTGAACGCCTCAAACTTGGAATTCACTGTTCTGGTTTGCGAACTATTTTTGGAAGCCGAATGTCCGACGGGGCTTCCGTGGCTTCTGATTGGCTTCCTGTAGCCAATCAGAAGCCGCGCTTTGGTTTCCGAATGTTTTGGAAGTCGAATGGACTTCTGGAACGGATTCTGTTTGACCACCAAGTTTACGACCGTATTGTCTGATATGACCAGCAGTGGCTCTCAGAGGCTTCAGGAAGAGAAGCCTCTTTCGCTGTCACCCTGCTATCTGTTCTCTTAAGAGGCAAGGTGCCTGCGCTGGAAGTGGTGATGCTCTGCATGCGCATCACGTGCGCAGCCGTTGAGCCGAGGTCTCTCCCCGGCAGTCCTTGCTGCTTGTGAACATATGTAAGCGTCATCTAACATGGGCCTGATGCCGTGGGGCTGCCTGACATCTGTAACAAAGCGAGGAAATGGAAGTGGACAGGATTATGTAACAGCGGCAGGCTCAAGGCCTTTTAAAATTAGGACTTTCCATCATGGCAGGGGAGGATGAGGCCAGGAAATTCCTGGGTGACTGGCTACGTTTGCCACAAGATTCAGAGCTTAGGGAGCTGGCTTATGCTGGCAGCTCCCACCACTATCTCAGGTAAATGGTAGCGGTTCTCCCAAGGTTTCAGGTAGGGGAGTTTTGCGGTCTTATCTGGAGAATGAACCTGGGAGCTTCAGTTTGCTAAGCAGGTAAAGGTAAAGGGACCCCTGACCATTAGGTCCAGTCGCGGACGACTCTGGGGTTGCAGCGCTCATCTCGCTTTATTGGCTGAGGGAGCCGGCGTACAGCTTCTGGGTCATGTGGCCAGCATGACTAAGCCGCTTCTGGCGAACCAGAGCAGTGCATGGAAACACCGTTTACCTTCCCGCCGGAGCGGTACCAATTTATCTACTTGCGCTTTGTGCTTTCGAACTGCTAGGTTGGCAGGAGCAGGGACCGAGCAATGGGAGCTCACCCCGTTGCGGGGATTCGAACCGCCGACCTTCTGATCGGCAAGTCCTAAGCTCTATGGTTTAACCCACAGCGCCACCCGCGTCCCTTGCTAAGCAGGTGCTCTCCCTCAAAGCTGTGGTCTGTCATTACCTTGGTGCTTAACAATTTGCTCTTCCTGAGCACGGTGTGTTAGAAATCTTACATATTACAGCAGGCTTTGTTGATCTGTCATCTCTTGAGTTTTCCTTAGCGGTTGGTGAAGATCAGGATAGAGCTCAGGCTTCTGATGTGGGGTGGCAATGCTGTTAGGAAGACATCCCCAGGTAACGAACCATTTCCAGGTTTGGTTAAAACGAAGTTTCGGCTGGTTGTGGGGGTGAGGACAGCTGGAAATAATGTGTATACCAAACTAAGCCTCTTAGAGCAAAATATACACTAGGAAGCTTAGTTTGATCAGAATTGAGCATACACTTCCAGAGTTAATGCTAAATATGTTACTTCTGGTAAATGAGCCACTGTCACCGTGAATTTTTTTATCCCGGGCCCCTTAGACTCGTCTAGTCATGTACTATCTGAGGGGCGCATTGGTTGCCAGATGTGAATTTCCCCCTGGCTCTCCTACCCCTCTATGGCGTCCATCTGTCTTGAGAGACAATGAAAGAGTGCGCTTTTGGGGGTGAAGCCAAATTGTTGGAGAGTTACGGTGCCTGCTGTGGCTGTAGAGACCAATATGGGAGAGTCATGTTTTGTTGCAGCTGGGGCAGACGAAGGTATCTGGTTTTACTGCTGCAGATGTCCGAGGGCGTTTCTTCTCTCTGTGATCCTCCCAGTGGTCATTCCTCCTCTGGTCACTGCTGTGGATATGTGACCTGACTGTCTGTCTACAAGCGCAAGGGATTCCCACAATGTTAATGTTGCCAGTCTTCATATTATGAGTGCAGACATCTTTGTAGCACAGAATTGGTCTGCCAGTGGGCCTGGTGCCAGCTTCTATTCTGTGAACATGACCAAGCCAGTGTAGACGTTGCTGGGGCAGGAGTGCGAACATGCTGGGAACGACGGCTTGGGGAGAGTACATCTTTGCTTGAGACTCTGTCCTGCCACGTGATGCCCCAAAATTTCCTGACACATCGTGTGAGGAAGGCATTGAGGCATTGCTCCTAGCAGGTGTAAATTGCCCACGACTCACTTCCGTAAAGCAGTGTGCTCAACACGCGAGTCTGGTAGACCTAGTACAAAGTTTTACAGTGGTACCTCGGTTAAGAACTTAATTCGTTCAGGATGTCCATTCTTAACCTGAAACTGTTCTTAACCTGAGGTACCACTTTAGCTAATGGGGTCTTGCGCCGCCGCGGCGCAATTTCTGTTCTTATCCTGAAGCAAAGTTCTTAACCCGAGGTACTATTTCTGGGTTAGCGGAGTCTGTAACCTGAAGCGTCTGTAACCTGAAGCGTCTGTAACCTGAGGTACCACTGTACTGAAGAAAAAGAGACGTGGGTGGCACTGTGGTCTAAACCACTGAGCCTCTTGGGCTTGCCAATTGGAAGGTCGGGGGTTCAAATCCCTGTGGCGGACTGAGCTCCCATTGCTCTGTCCCAGCTCCTGCCAACCTAGCAGTTTGAAAGCACGCCAGTGCAAGTAGATAAATAGGTACCACTGTGGTGGGAAGGTAAACGGCGTTTCCATGCACTCTGATTTCCGTCACGGTGTTCCGTTGCGCCAGAAGCGGTTTAGTCCTGCTGGCCACATGACCCGGAAAGCTGTCTGTGGACAAACGCCGGCTCCCTCGGCCTTGAAAGCAAGATGAGCACCGCAACCCCATAGTCACCTTTGACTGGACTTAACAGTCCAGGGGTCCTTTAGCTTTTTTTTTACCTTTTACTGAAGTTTTTTTTTTGCTGAAAGCCACTGCTCTAGAAAATGGTTCCTGGATGAACCTTGCTGCAGGATGAATTTGTTGGGCTATACGTGGAATCTCCTGTCTGCAGCTATTTTACCTTTTTTTAAAAAGAAGAAGAGGAAGAAGAAGACGAAGAAGAGAAGAATTGTGTAACCCAATGCCAGAGAAAGGGAGTGCACAGCCTAGAAACGATTTTTTTGAAATGAGAGAGAAAGGCTCAGTAAGCAGGAAGGTGCAGGGTTGAGCTTGGCTGGGATTTATTAGGTTTTCCCTCCAGTAAAAATGAAAAGACTGCAGAAAAGTTTTTGCTGGTGTGCTGCAGACTAGAGAGCTAAGGCACAAAGTCGAGTGGGAAATGACGTTAAGGGTGCAGTCCTATGCATATTTACTTGGCATTCAGTAGGCACGCACAGGCTTGCATTATAAGGCTGCTGCCCCAAGCACCAGTTCCTTCTCCTTTGTGGCTGTACCCTCCTGGAGTCCACGTCTTTAGGTTTCTGGTTTCTCGAAATGTGTTGGTTGGGCTGTGAGGCTAGCCTTACTGTTCCTCGAGCAATTGTCTCTTTCCAAATACAGTCAGACCTCAGCTTCCAAACACCAAAAACCCGGAAGTAAGTGTTCTGGTTTTCGAACGTTTTTCGGAAGCCGAACGTCTGACGTGGCTTCCACTTGAGTGCAGGAAACTCCTGCAGCCAATCGGAATCCGTGCCTCGGTTGTCAAACATTTTGGAAGCTGAATGGGCTTCTGGAACGGATTAAGTTTGACAACTGAAGTTTGACTGTAGCATGGTAGGAATTCTGAGGAAACAAAGATGGCCAGCAATATCTGAATAAGGCAGGGGTGGGGGAAACCTGTGACCCTCTAGAGCAGCGGTTCTCAACCTGTGGGTCCCCAGATGTTGTTGGACTACAACTCCCATCACCCCTAGCTAGCAAGGCCAGAGCTCAGGGATGATGGGAGTTGTAGTCCAACAACTTCTGGGGACCCACAGGTTGAGAACCACTGGTCTAGAGGTTGATGAACTACAACTTCCATGGGCCATGCTGGCTGGTGCTGATTGGAGTCTAGCAACACTGGGATGGTCAAAGTCTACCCAGCCCAGGAATAAGGCACAACTCCACCTCTTGTTGAATAATAATTCTAATAATAATAACGACCTTTCCTGCCTTCCCTGGTCAAATATGCAAAAGCAATTCATATCTGTTTGTTTCTGTGACTCTAGACATTCTGGGCCCATAACCCCTGGAGGTGAGTCCGTCATTTGGGCTGAAAATTCATCATCCACTCTAGGTAGCTGAGTGAGGAATAAGCCATGCCTGTCCTGTCAGAAGATTCAGGTAAGGAACTTTCTGCTGTTTTAGTACATTCTCAAACTGTTTTAATAGGGTGCTATATTAGAACCATGTTTGATTGAAAACCTGGCTCAGAGCACTGTAAACGCTTAACAGATTAACAGTAACATACCCTTGATATGTAATATGTAAAGGGGTACCTTTACCTTTACCTTTTACCCGTAATATATTTATGGAGCTCAAGGTGGTGTACACAGTTCTTCCCCTGCATTTTACCCTCACAACAACCCTGTGAGGTAGGTTAGGCTGAGTAGCAGGGACTGGCCCAAGGTCACCCAGCTAGCTTTATGGTTGAGTGGGGATTTGAACCCTTAACCTCCCAGGTACTAACCATCACACAACACTGGTTCTCTTTTGCTGTGCTCTAGTAGAAATCCCTAGGGTGGTTTACAGGTAGTTATGGCTGAATCTGTCAATTTCTTTTATTTTCTATTTTTTATCATACAATACAATCTCTACAGAGAAAAGAACATAGCATTGAGTTTATGGCGTCATTTTATATGGTCTTAAAACATTGTTTTAACATATAGTTTCTCCACAGACGGGTTTGTGAGTCTGGTGGAAGAGCTGTCCATTTCAATTTCAGTCTGTCAATTTCAGTTTTTCACAGTTTCTCATTTTTTCCAATCGGTTCCCCACATTTTTACCTCAGGAGGGGGGTTCAGGTATTGCCATTATTATTATTGTTGTTGTTATTATTATTATTATTTTGACAATTCATATGCTGCTTAATTGCAGTCTTCTCAGAAACACAATAACGATGAAAATAAGACTGAGCTAAAACTATAAAGCCAGGATCCAGTGGCTGGTAGAATAGAAAACGACAACAACCAAAGGAGTTCTGTAAGGGCAACACTGAGATTCGCATCATAAATTTCTACCACATCCAGTGCACTTTTAAAGCATATGCCTTCCCCCAAAGAATCCTGGGAACTGTAGTAAGATAAGGGTGCTAGCAGCTGTAGCTCTATGAGGAGGGAACTACAGTTCCCAGGATTCTTTGGGAGTCTTGTGCTTTAGGTGTACGGCATCAATCTGCCCTTAGGAGTGCAGAGTGGCTGGGAAAACCCAGCCAAATGGGTGGGGTATAAATGAACAAATTATAATTATTATTATTATTGACAGATCCATCCTCTGGACCCATTGGCAAGTGAGGGCTGGCTGTGTTTGGTGGGGCAGAGCCCCATTTACCCTAACAGACCAGGGTCCCCTGCTCCCCACCCCAACCCTGGTTTCTCATTTTCTGCTTTACCTGTGGCAGAAGCTGCCACGAGGACTTGGCCTACAGCTCTGGCTGTGCTTTTCAAAAGCACTGGATAACCAGTACCCCCAGTGATTTTCTTCTGCGTTTCTCTGACAGGTTTGCACGAGACCCTTGCCCTCTTGACGTCCCAGCTGAGACCGGACTCCAACCACAAGGAGGAAATGGTGTTCCTCAGAGACATCTTCAGCGAAAGGAGTCTCAGCTATTTAATGAAGGTAAAAACTCTGAGCTGCCCGGTTCCCAATTGGCCTTTCATTCAGCCAAGGGAGCTTCTTTTCGAACCCCTGAACTCAAAAAGCTGGACGTTGCGATGTAACCAAGAGAGTGATTATTGGGTGCCCTCCCAGCAGTGCCAAGGAAATAAATAACTATCTGACTTTCAGAAGACATCTGAAGGCAGCCCTGTATAGGGAAGTTTTTAATGTTTGATACTGTGTTGTGTTTTCATTTGTTTGATGCCGCCCAGTCTGATGCACAGATGATGATGATGATGATGATGATGATGATGATGATTATTTTCTGAGCATTTCCAAGAGCTTTCCATGCTCAGGCATTGGTGGACTTCCCAACCTGGCCAGGCCTGCTAAGCTGCCAAGGCAAGACTATATCAGCCACTACCAGGCCATTCTTGTGGCTCCTCTGCCCTGACACAGCTCTGGCTTATACTTTCTCCACATATATGTCCCCACATAGGCCTGTCCCACATAGCAGGGAGACATTCCACTAAACATTCAGAGGAAAACTCCCTCAGAACTTCACAGCCAATCAGAGCACATGCTGCCTCACTAGAGATCATGCCGCTCTGCCTGGTTGCTAAGCAACCCCGCCTGCTGTCCCCACCCTCTTTGCCGGAAACTACAACTAATCCAGAATGCAGCAGCTAGACTGGTGACTGGGAGTGGCCGCCGAGACCATATAACACTGGTCTTGAAAGACCTACATTGGCTCCCAGTATGTTTCCAAGCACAATTCAAAGTGCTGGTGCTGACCTTTAAAGCCCTAAATGGCCTCGGTCCAGTATACCTGAAGGAGTGTCTCCAGCCCCATAGTTTAGCCCGGACACTGAGGTCCAAGGGCCTTCTGGCGGTTCCTTCACTGTGAGAAGCCAAGTTACAGGGAACCAGGCGGAGGGCCTTCTTGGTAATGGCACCCATCCTGTGGAACGCCCTCCCACTAGATGTCAAAGAGAACAACAACTACCAGACTTTTAGAAGACATCTGAAGGCAGCCCTGTTTAGGGAAGCTTTTAATGTTTGATGGACTACTGTATTTTAATATTTTGTTGGAAGCAGCCCAGAGTGGCTAGGGAAACCCAGCCAGATGGGTGGGGTATAAATAATAATTTTTTAAAAAATTATTATTATTGTTAGCCAGCCTACCTTAATGCTAACAGAATTAACCCTTAAGCTGAATACCGAATCATCCCTGCTATTGCTCTTCCAACACTCCTCCAGGTTTTTCCGCCATCTGAGATGTGGCAGGTGGCTACAGGGAAGAAGGCCTTTTCGCTTTGGATCTCCCAGTTCTCCCAGTTCCACCAGGTTTCTTCTATGGCCACTATATCTATATTTTCTCTAAGACCAAGTGCTTCCGCTTGCCTGTTTTGGCTCAGAGGCTTGTGGCTTTAGCATATCAACAGGTATCAATATGGTACCTCAGTCGGTAGAGCACGAGAATCAGGGTTGTGGGTTCGAGCCCCACATTGGGCAAAAGATTCCTGCATTGCAGGGGGGTCAGACTAGATGACCCTTATAGTCCCTTCCACCTCTACGATTCTGTGAGAAAAGTGCCTGTTTCCAAATGTCTTTGGCGCTTGTGTTTTGGCCTACAGGGCTTTGCACATCTGCCCCTGCCTCATTTAAATGACCACCGTTTGAACATTATATTTTGTATGTGTTTGTGTCTGCCTTCTGTTTCAGATTCACGAAAAGTTGTGCCATTATGAAAGGCAGAGCCCGGTCCCAGTTCTGCACAGCGCCTCGGCTCTAGCTGAAGACGTAAGTGTCTAGTTGAAAATGCAAGCGTTGCCTCCTTCTGAGCATGTGTGTTCAGGGTTGGCGTTGGAGTTTGGCGCCACTGCGCACCTGCCAAGGCCCCCACCCCACTTACCGAACCCTGAAGACTTTTGTGGTAGCCAGAAACTCTGTCAGGGCAGAGGAGCCACAAGAACGGCTGGGTAGTAGCTGATAAAGTCTCGCTTCAAACCCAGATGGCATAAGTTCTCCTCCCACTCCACGTGAAAAGTCTATAAGGGGTTTGCGAGGCCTCGCTGTTGTTTGCAAGAAGTGGCGGCGGCCTGCAAGTCCTCTTGGCGGTAGTGGGAGGTAGTGGCAAAAGCTGTGGCAACCTGCCTCAGTGAGGCCTTGCAGGCCACCTCTACATCTGCCACCGTCTCTTGGCACCACTGCAAGGCCTTGCAGGCCACCGCTACTGCTACTGCCACTGCCTCTGACTGCCGTGGTGAGGCTTCACAGGCTGCTGCTGCTTCTAATACCACCCCCTCCCCGCCACTATTGATACTGCCTCTGCAGATTGTCCTGAATACCACCATTTGCTAGCCAAGCCCCAAATCCAAAGTCCTGCTGGGATGCATTTTGCCTTGCCTGCTGCTGAAAGTAACCATGAGGTGATTGATAGTATCATTTATCCATTTTAGACAAGTAGCAGCAGTTGCCAGGACATTGTCCTGTTCGCCTCTGCGTAGTTCCTTCCTTATTTCAATTTTTTTGACATATCAAGATGTCGTGATATTTAGCTGGTGATATATCACAATACAGTGGTACCTTGAGTTAAATACTTAATTTGTTCAGGAGGTCTGTTCTTAACCTGAAATTGTTCTTAACCTGAAGCACCACTTTAGCTAATGGGGTCTCCTGCTGCTGCCGCGCCGCCGGAGCAGGATTTCTGTTCTCATCCTGAAGCAAAGTTCTTAACCCAAGGTACTATTTCTGGGTTAGTGGAGTCTGTAACCTGAAGCGTATGTTACCTGAGGTACCACTGTATTGAAAACCAGTTATCGCCCAGCCCTACTTGTGATGATAAAACACACCCACCTCCCTCCTGACTCGACTGGAATCTGTTGCTACGCACAAGCTGCAACTTTTATTTGGCATTGTGGTGTTAACTCAGCGGTAGGCAAACTATGGTCCGTGGGCCAGATACAGCCCGAGGGGGTCGTTATACCGGCCCCTGGCCCTTGCCACCCGTTGGGTCAGTCCCTGCACGGAGCTAAACCGGCGTGGTACGCCAGATTAGCTCCGCGCGGGGACTGACGTCCAGGACGCAGCAACGGCTTCCTAATGGCTGCAGGAAGCTCCTGCAGCCAATAGGAAATCGCAGATGCCGCCTGCTCAGCTGCAATGGCTCCAAAAGTCAGTGGGGAAAGAGTGGTGGTCGTGTTGGACTATATGGAACTGGCGGAAATGACTGGCAGAATCCGAGACCAGGGAGGAGAGTCGGTGGAAGAAGATTGGAAGAAATTTAAAGACTATCTACAGAAATACTGTAAAATTAATGAATGTTAGAATGATATCGGAATGAAGCTAAGGGGTTTTTAGTAGCAATGTTACAAGGAGTATGTAAAAATGGACTGCTAACAGATGAGAATATACAGTTATTACATTTTAAGACAAAGGACTAAGATAAAAACAAAGAGGGAAAGGATTTGCTGAATTAACTTACTGAACTGGAATACAAAAAGGGGAGGTGTGAGGAGGTCAGGGAATCAAGTGAATGAAAGACAAGATATGGAAAGATTGATTTGTTTTTAATTGTTTTTACTTTTTTGTATTTTGTATTCTCTTCTTTATTTTTTTATTCTTTTTTTCTCCCCCCTTTTTTCTTTTTCTTATTATTATTATTATTGTAACCTCTTTTCTTGATTTTTGAAACTTTAATAAATATCTTATATGTAAAAAAAAGAGTGGTGGTCGTGTGTGCATGCGCACAGGTGCATGCGCTCCTGTGAACGGGCGATGCAGCCCGCTGGCAGAAAAGCTTGCTGACCCCTTTGTTAACTGATCCCTGCCACCTTTTTTTCCTAGTGATTTGATGGTGCTGCAGAGAGTAACTTTGCAATGTTTCCATCTGAGATCTCTCTCTCTCTCTGCAGAATGTTGCGCAATTTATAATTTATTAGACTCTCTGGTGCCTTTGCCATAACCGAGCAACACCGCCTCCAGACAGGCCTACGCTTTTTTCTTTCTATAGTCTTATATCTAGGAGTAAGTGAATCTCATGTACTATAGTTGTTCTACCCAGCTTCTAATATGCCCTCTTATGCTGCATATGTTGGGATGGATTTGGAAGGTAGGATAGGATATATTACTTATTTGTTATCTTTCCGCTTAGCATCTAGTTTAGCAGAGTCAAAAATATACAGTCGTACCTTGGTTGACGAACGCCTTGCGACTTGAACGTTTTGGCTCCTGAATGCCACATTTTGGATTAAAAAATAATTGGTTTAGGCCACAGTTTTCCCAAACGTGGGTCTTCAACTGTTTTTGGATTACAATTCCCATCACCCCTGACCCATGGTCCTCCTAGCTATGGATGGTGGGAATTGTAGTCCAGAAACACCTGGAGACCCAAGTTTAGGAAACCCTGGTTTAGACCAAAGATGGAGCCTATACATCTGCATGGTGAGAAAGGAAGTGTTCCTCAGGTGGGAGGAAGTGATAAGGATTAGCTTCCTATTGTTACCCTTCCCACCTGGGCAAGCAGAGGATATAACCTCACAGAGTGCCTAACCCTTTGCTCACCTAGCAAAGATGGGATTTTATATTTTGACTGGAGTATCATTTCCCCAAAGCACACACACAGTCTCCACCCCCATCATTCAGCCCAGACACTTGAGGTCCAGCTCCAAGGGCCTTCTGGCGGTTCCCTCACTGCAAGAAGTGTGGTTACAGGGAACCAGGCAGAGGGCCTTCTCGATAGTGGCGCCCACCCTGTGGAACGCCCTCCCACGAGATGTCAAGGAAATAAACAACTATCTGATTTTTAGAAGACATCTGAAGGCAGCCCTGTTTAGGGAAGTTTTTAATGTCTGATGTTTTATCACTTTTTTTGATTATTGTCATTAATTCTGTTGGGAGCTGCCCAGAGTGGCTGGGGAAACCCAGTCAGATGGGCGGGGTATAAATAATAAATTATTGTTATTGTTATTATTATTATTATTACAGACCGTACATTTCCTTCTTCCCCCATGTAATCCTGGGAACAAACTACAGCTCCTAGTATTATTTGCTGTGTGTGTGTGGGTGTGTATGTGTCAGGGAACTGCCATCAGTGCCGGAGGGAGAGAGAGAGCTCCAGAGGGATCCCAGAGAGCGTCACGGGATTGGGAGAGGCAGCCCATCTTCTGGGGAAGGGAATCAGCTCAGCTCCAGTGGAGAAGGGGGGCAGATGGGGAATCTGAGAGGGAGTCACATGACTCCTTGCCTGGGACCAGTGGGGGGAGGAAGGGTCCTCCGCTGCCTACGCCTTCCTTGCGCAGAAGGCTTCCGCGCAGGGAAAGTAGGAGGCGACTGGGCGTGAAAGAACTTCTTTGCTGGAAGAAGTTTAAGAAACGCCCACTGACGGATTCTGCCAGCGATTGAGACAGCCACGGGTGAGTGGCTGTCCGGACAGAAAAGGTTCATTTAGGCAACCCAGCCAGGTGTGGGCACCGGCTTACGCACGAGCAACCCCTTGAACCATTACAGTATGTTTTGAATATATGGTGTGTACACAACCTTAGTCTCTGTTCTCATTTAGTAGCAGACACGGGCCGGGTAGACACATCACGCTAAACCAAACAATTGCTAAGTGGGACTATGCAAGCGTGCAAACTCCCAGAGGGGCCTTTGCAGCCACTTTGCTCCTCTTGGTCTGATTCGGCAGGCTGCATATGTTGTTATCTCCAGGCAGGGCTAAAAAAAAATACTCAAGCCATGGACAGTCAGGGGAGATGAGGGATGGCTAATCCTTTGCCCTCCAGAGGTTCCTGAACTATACCTCCCATAACCCCTGACCATTGGCTGTGCTGGGAAGGTGTGATGGGAGTTGGAGTCCCACAAAATCTGGAGAACCGCAGGTTCCCCATCCCTGGTGTATATGAGTTATTGAGGTCGATGGAACATCGGAGCTTTCTGTGCTCCTCGATTACTTCCCAGCCTTGTGTACCTTTGCAGGGAGTTTTATATATGCCGCAGAGGTGGACGGCGACATGTGCTTGCACTGAGATTAGCAAAAGATTGAGCTGAAAATGCAAGGGAAAACGAAGACGCTGCCTTGTGCATGGATGATCTCTCTCTTTCTTTCTCTTTAAGGTTATAGAGGAATTGCAGACTACGCCAATGAATAATGACGAAAAAGAGCTGCTGCAGTTGCTTTCCACTCCTCATCTCAGGGTAAAAAACGGTTCTGTAGCTTGAGAAAGGGGTGGTGTTGCAGGGGGAGCAACTGTGCTTTTGGCCATTTCCTTGTCAATTCTAGTCATTTGCCGCTGCTTAATTTACATGTAAAAGGCTAACATTATAAGGAGATCATTTCCTGTTGGTGTTTGCTGAGATATTGCTGTGGGCGGCTGCTCAGAGTGAATGTGTAAGGTCACATCCGTACCCTACATTGAAAGCATCCTTGTGCCCCCCCCCCCAATATTGGGAACTGTAGTCTGTTAAGGCTGCTGAGAGTCATTGGGACACAAAGCTACAGTGCACAGGACTTGTAACTCAATGGGAAGCCACAATTGTCAAAGAGAGTGTTTTGAACGTAGGGTGTGAGTGTGAACTCAGAAGTAGAAAGATGACCAAAGAAAGCCTCTCTGAGATCATTTTCATACCATCCATTTGCAGCACTATGATACCACTTCAAACAGTCACAGCTTCCCTCAAAGGATTCTGGGAACTGTAGTTCATTAAGGGTACTGAGAGTTGTTAGGTGACTCCTTTTCCCCTCTCAGCCCTGTTTAGGGAAGTTTTTAATGTTTGATATTTTACCGTGTTTTTAATATTCTGTTGGGAGCTGCCCAAAGTGAGTGGGGAAACCCAGCCAGATGGGCACGGTATTAATAACAATAACAATAACAACAACAACAACAATAATTTATATAAATAATAATAATAATCTCAGAACCACACTTCCCAGAGCTCCCTGGGAAGGATGACTGTCAAACCATTCTTGAGAATTGTAGTTCTGTGAGACTAGTGGTTTGTTTGTTTTTTTGCAACATTTCACGGTGCGTGAGTTCGCACATAATTCTGATTTATCAGTTGTTCTGCCGTGCTTCCCCAGTTTTACCACTTGGTTGTTATCCAGAGGAGCGATCTTGCACTCACATACACCCTGACTCCCTGGAGCAGTTTTGCTATGAAATGTTGCAGGATTTTAGCAGCGATGGACAGATTGGGAAGAAAGCCATCTCCCTGCTCGGAGGCTGTTGTAGGTGCAAACAATATGGACCCACACATAACCTCCCCATACCATCATGAACACAAATCATCACGAATGCACAACAAAAAGGATATCGGGAGGGAGTCCTCAGACTAGTACCCAAAAGCATTTGGGAAGATGGTCATTTTGCTGCCTGCTCTTCGCTTCCACTGCTGCATATACAGTCGATTTACGCATAGTTTTAATACCATTTTCTTTTCGGTTTGCTTTTAATGCTTGATTGTTTATTGCCAGTGCTACAATGTATGCAGCGACACGTTTTACTGTTCGTTTGGTCTGTTACCTACCCTGGGTGTTTTCTGTGATAGAAATGCGTTGAAAAATTTATCCTTAATTTTGTGCAGCGGAGAGAGAGGAGAGAGTGGCTGCAGCTGCTCGGAGAACATGGAAGGGTGCTCTGCACATGCTCAGATGATGTGCCCTGTGCATAATTACCAAGTGGCGTTTGTGGCACCAAGAAACTGCCACACCTCGGTTTAGTCCCGTGCTGCTGAGCCGTACTTTCTTATCCCACCCCGATGTTTAACCAAACCTGCCCACCCACTGCAACCTGCTGCTCCTTGCCCCACAGCACCGAATGCATAATATCAATGGCCGCTTCCTGCTTGTCAGCGCGAGATCTTTATTCTGCCCCTGCAGGAGGAAGGTCTTTTGCTCTCCTTGCCCTTTAGGTATTAAAAACAGCTCTATAACGAGCAGGGTTTTTAGAGCAGCGTTTTAATCACGTTCGCCGGGGTGCCATAAGGTATGAAGAAAAATCGTTTTCAAATGATTTCCAGTTGCAGCCGTCTGTAATGGATTTAGCAATGAGAGAGGCAGTGCAGAGAAATAAGATTGCTTTTATGCACTGGTTTTCCCCTCCACGTCACCCGCCTCCCCCCATAAAATCACCTCTAAAAGAAATAGAAATCTAGATAGATTATACCTAGTAAAATCAACAAGGTCTTCCCCAGTTGGTGAGGAGTGGGAGGGATGGTGTGTGGGTGTGTCTAAAGTGTGGGCATCCTCTGGGCCTTCTGATGATGTTGGAGTTCAACTCCCATCGGCCCTAGCACACAGGCCAGTGGTCAAGGATGATGGGAGTTGTAGCTCTGCCATATCCAGAGGGCCAAAGGATCTCTGCATCTGCAATATTCTACTGCATCAATTCTCCTTGTATCTTGCGTTTGGATGGTGAGAGCTGGGGCTTATGTCGCTAAGATGGCGCCAACGCCATACAAGAGGGTGGTCATGTAGCAGACTTGGGGGGAACCTTGACTTCTGGGAACTACAGTGGTACCTCAGGTTACAGACGCTTCAGGTTACAGACTTTGCTAACCCAGAAATAGTACCTCGGGTTAAGAACTTTGCTTCAGGATGAGAACAGAAATCATGCAGCGGCGGCGTAGCAGCAGTGGGAGGCCCCATTAGCTAAAGTGGTGCTTCAGGTTAAGAACAGTTTCAGGTTAAGAACGGACCTCCAGAACAAATTAAGTTCTTAACCCGAGGTACCACTGTACAGGTTGCTATGGCTGCTAGGATTTATGAGGAGCGGGTGGCGGTTTGAATCCCTGCAACGGGGTGAGCTCCTGTTGCTCTGTCCCAGCTCCTGCAAACCTAGCAATTCGAAAGCATGCCAGTGCAAGTAGATAAATAGGTACTGCTATGACAGGAAGGAAAACAGTGTTAGGTAAATGGCATTTCCGTGTGCTCTGGTTTCCGTTGCGCCAGAAGCTGTTTAGTCCTGCTGGCCACATGACCCAGAAAGCTGTCTGTGGACAAACGCCGGCTCCCTCGGCCTGAAAGCAAGATGAGTGACGCAACTCCATAGTCACCTTTAACTGGACTTAACCGTCCAGGGGTCCTTTACCTTTACCTTTTACCTTTATTAGGACATCTCTATTCCCCTCACACAGCTACAATTCCAAGAGTTCCCTCAGAAGGGCTGCTGGTTAAACCACCTTGAAAAACGGTAGCTCTGGGAGAGGAATAGGGGTCTCCTAACAACCCCCAGCACCCGTGACAAGCTATACTTCCCAGAATTCTTTGGGGGGAAGCCATGACTGCTTTAAAGCGGTGAGAGACTACTTGAAATTTATAGTGCAGATGGGGTTTCAGATTCAGTTTCTTAGGCCGTGGACGCACCATATATTTAATGAATATTGCTTGCCCTTGCAAAGAAACCTGGGAACTGTAGTTTAAGGGTGCTGGGAACTGTAACTCTATGGGGGTAAACTCCAGTTCTTTGGGGATGTGTGCTTTACGTGTACTTTAAATGTATGGTGTGTAAGCAGCCTTATTGCCTTCTAACACCACCATTCAGGGTTCCTAATAACTCTGTGTATTGCTGCCGCCTAGTTGGTTGTTCCCTCCTTCCCCATCATCGGTATGCATTTAGTTGTTCGGAAGCCAACTTATCCCTTGAAGTGTGGAAAAATACTTCTTCCATAAGTCTCTGCTGCAGCTTTATGGCTGGCTGCCAGTTCAGATCCATTCTATGAAATATTTAATGATACCAGGCAAGCGCAGAAATTATGTTCTCTTTAGATTTATTGCCGATCTAATAAAACATGCGGGAAAAGCTGGGGGAAGATAATTTAAAGGGGAAATGAAGAGAGAAAGCCAAGGAAGCAGGGTGTTCTTTTTCACACTCGCTCGCATGCATGGATCTTATGCGCCAGGAAGATTATCTCTCCAAAGATGCTGCTGTGCAAAAGCAATTGCTCATATACCACCAACAGTATCTGTTGCGGATGCTTGCAGGGGTGGGGGCGCGGTAGTGAGACTGAATTAAAGATGGCCTGGGGTTCAGCAATCCCAATTTGGAAACAGGTGTCCTTGTGGGGGTGTGCTGCGCTAACAGACCCTCCAAGTGTCCCTATTTTCAAGGGATAATCCCGGATTTACAGAAGCCGTCCCGGTTTCTGAGTTAAAGGTAAAGGGACCCCTGACCATTAGGTCCAGTCGTGGCCGACTCTGGGGTTGCGGCGCTCATCTCGCTTTATTGGCCGAGGGAGCCGGCATACAGCTTCCGGGTCATGTGGCCAGCATGACTAAGCCGCTTCTGGCGAACCAGAGCAGCGCACAGAAACACTGTTTACCTTCCCACCAGAGCGGTACCTATTTATCTACTTGCACTTTGACGTGCTTTCAAACTGCTAGGTTGGCAGGAGCAAGGACCGAGCAACGGGAGCTCACCCCATTGTGGGGATTCAAACCGCCTACCTTCTGATCGGCAAGTCCTAGGCTCTGTGGTTTAACCCACAGCACCACCCGCATCCCTTCTCTATTTTCATTGGAGAAATGTTGGAGGGTATGGAGTTGTGTGACCCCCTGAGCCAAGGAGGTAAAATAACCACGCAGTGGTACCTTGGAAGCCCAACAGAATCTGTTCTGGAAGTCCGTTTGACTTCCAAAATGTTCGACTTCCAAGGCGCGCCTTCTGATTGGCTGCAGGAGCTTCCTGCAGCCAGTCGGAAGACCTGCCAGACGTTCGGCTTACAAAAGAACGTTTGCAAACCGGAACACTCACTTGCCGGTTTGTGGCGTTCAGGAGCCAAAACGTTTGGCTGCTAAGGCGTTCGTCAACCAAGGTATGACTGTACAGCCTTTAGAAAACATCTGAAGACGGCCTGTATAGGGAAATTTTAAATGTTTTGCGTTTTATTATGTTTTTATATATGTTGGAAGCCACCCAGAGTGGCTGGGGCAACTGAGTCTGATAGACAGGGTACGCCTAATAAAATTACAGTGGTACCTCAGGTTACAGACGCTTCAGGTTACAGACCAGTGATCCCATCATCCCTGACCACTGGTCCTGTTAGCTAGGGATGAAGGGAGTTGTAGTCCCAAAGCATCTGGAGGGCTGAGTTTGCCTATGCCTGATTTACTGTATTTATTTCCTCCAATTTGAACTATTAAATGGTGATTTTCTTGAGTAAAAATGAGAGTAACCCTAAACATTTTTAATGGAAAAAAAGCACTGAGGACAGGCATGAACTGATGAACTTGCAAAGCTGAATGCTGAGTATACAGGGAAGGGGAGGAAAGCAGACTCCTATCTCTGAACTATGGCTTGGTGTGGATTCTTAACTCTTTTTTTTTTTTTAGCACAATCTATGGTTTTGCATTATGTCTGAACTGGGTCTGTGGGTAGCTTTCTGCTACTCCTGTTATTGATAAGTGCTCAGGATTGAGAGTGGCTTGCGCTTCAAACATTACATTTCTTAGGTGTGCATACCCAACAATACAACCTGTGGATATCATGCAGATATGCTCATTGGCAAGCTGATACTGGCTGCATTTGATGCCTGGGCCCAGTTCAAAGTGCTAATATTAAACTTCAAAGCCCCAGCAGTGTATTTCAGGATACCCCAGGGTGCAGATTCTCCTTATTAGCTCAGGTACCCCAGACTTCAAAGGCTGGTGAGAACAAGAAACAGGGACTTTCCAGTTGTGGCTCCCCCTCTATGACCTACACTACTGAGGATGGCCCACTAGGGCGGCGCTCTTGCTGATAGTTATTAGAAAGCTGGCAACAATATTTGTTTCCCTTTGGTTATATCTGACCTGCGAGGGAGCTTTTTCAAAGTCATGTACTAATGGTATCGAATTCCACATAGGTATTTTTGTATCTGTTACAAAAAGATACGCAGATTGATGTTTGCAGAAGATGATCTGCTGTAAAAGCTGTTTGTCGACATGTATTCTGAACGTGAACAGTAAAACAAAGGTATTAGACTAACATCTTGAACTTAAATGTGCGAAAACAGAATCGAAAACGGGTGATCGACAGTGTTAGTCATACTCTATAGTAGATCCATTAAAATCAATGGACTTAAGTAACTGTCTGTTGATTTAAGTGGGTCTACTCTGAGAAGGTCTTCATTTGCTGTCACTGTTACGCTCCTTGAATGAATGTATTGAAACAGTTTACTTAGAACTAATTGTTAATATCCTTACAGCAGAAAAAAATGTTCTGCAGCTGCAGTTTGGAGGTTATCTTCTGTAGCTCCAATTTCCAATTAGTTTTAAACTTCTGAAGATTTTTAAATGACAGTTTGTCAAAAATTGGACTCCCTTTCTGGAATGATAAGTTACACAATAAGGCCCGACCTCATGTGTTCTCTCCGCCCCCCCAATGTCTTTTAAAGATTGCTCTCTTTTTTTCCTTTCTTGCATAGAAACGATTTATCTTTTAGGCTTCGCAAATAAAGAAGATTAAAAAGGAATCCAGTCTGGGATGATTGGCTGACAAGCTCCTTTGAATTGTTTTGACTTTGGTGTTGCTGCTTGGGTGCTTGAGATAGTTTGGGAATGTGCTGCTGGTATTTTTGTGGCGGAGTGATGCGGCTGACCTGCTCTAAATTGTGTCACTGGTCCTGTTAGCTAGGGATGATGGGAGTTGTAGTCCCAAAACATCTGGAGGGCAGAGTTTGCCTATGCCTGCTGTTAGGGTACCAAGGGGTTGCTCGAGAGCAAGTAGGCAAATGCCTCCCTGCTCGGCTGTGAAGCCGTGCTTTTGATGCTAAAATAAACTTTCTCTGTGCAGAGTGCCACTATCCTGTGGCTGGCTCATTCACTGGCAGAATCTGAGAGTGGGCGCTCCTTAAACCTTCCCCAGCAGAGTAGTTTCTTGACGCCCAATCTGCGCCTCCCCTCTCGGCGCGGAAGCCTACTGAGGAGGGAGGGTGTGGGTAACAGAGGAGCTCTCTCCTCCCCGCTTTGCCCAGGCAAAGTGTCCTGGCACCGCCTCACCTCCTCCGAGCCCTGAAGCTCCTCTCCACTGGAGGCGTGGTTACTCTCCTCCGCTGAGGAGGTGCTGCTTCCCACGATCTTTGGGGGCTCTCTGTAATCCATCCGGCTTTTCCCCTCTCGCCCCAAGCCGATGGCAGTTCCCTGACACCTGCCTTAGTTGATTGATGTGTCCTTCTTGGAAATCTTCAAGAATCCGTTCCCATCTCCTTACGCCCTGTGCCTCTTTCCTCTCTCTTCCCATTCCCTTGTAACCCCAAGGCCATGCTTGCTGTCCACGACACGGTTGCCCAGAAGAATTTTGACCCTGTCCTCCCTCCTTTGCCGGACAACATTGATGAGGATTTCGACGAGGAGTCTGTGAAAATAGTTCGCCTGGTGAAGAATAAAGAGCCTTTGGTGCGTATGTATTCTCACGGCCTGTGCCACAGGCAGCGAAAGGGCTTGCAAGAACAGGAGAAAAAGCTTGCTGAATTGAACAGGCCAGCATCTAGCTTCCCACAGTGGCCAATCAGTTGTTTCCAGGAAGCCCCACTAGCAGGGCATGGGGGCATGGATAGTACTTAAAGGGAGGTTCCATTTCACTCTCATGGCTAAGATATGAGTTGAGCCTCTGCACAATCTCATTTTAAAGCCTTTGCCATTGGCTGGCATTGCCCCATTGAGCGCATTTAGCTAGGACAGGAAAATCCTTATAATTCTCTTGGGAATTATAGGGATAAGGTAAAGGTAAAGGGATCCCTGACCATTAGGTCCAGTCGTGACCGACTCTGGGGTTGCGGCGCTTCACTGGCCGAGGGAGCCAGCGTACAGCTTCCGGCTTATGTATGACTAAGCCTCTTCTGGCGAACTAGAGCAGCGCATGAAAATGCTGTTTACCTTCTCACTGGAGCGGTACCTATTTATCTACTTGCACTTGGATGTGCTTTCGAACTGCTAGGTGGGCAGGAGCAGGGACCGAGTAACGGGAGCTCACCCCACCGGGGGGATTCGAACCGCCGACCTTCTGATCGGCAAATCCTAGGCTCTGTGGTTTAACCCACAGTGCTACCCGCGTCCCACGTATTATAGGGATAGAGCTACCTAAATTGTACAGTCGTACCTTGGAAGTTGAACGGAATCCGTTCCGGAAGTCCATTCGACTTCCAAAACCTTCAGAAACCAAAGCTTCTTCTGATTGGCTGCAGGAAGCTCCTGCAGCCAATCGGAAGCCCCGTCGGACGTTCGGCTTCCCAAAATAGTTTGCAAACCAGAACAGTCACTTCCAGGTTTAGGTTGTTTGGTAGCCAAAACGTTTGAGAACTAAGCTGTTTGAGAACCATGGTATGACTGTACTGTATTGAAATTTATTCATGTATGCAACTACAGCGGCAAGAATGTTACTTGCCCAAAAATGGATAGAAGCAGAAGTCCCAGCAAATAAAGAATGGATACAAAAACTTATGGAATATGCAAAAATGGCGAAACTTACCAGAAGAATAAGAAATCAAGACAACAAACTTTTTATAAAAGAATGGAAATGGTTTATTGAATATATACAGATAAATTGTAAACAGATAAAAAAGATAAAAACACTGCCAGGATTATTGTAATAACCTGCAGCTACATAAGAGTATATGTTTAAAGAAGATAAATAAATTAGTAAGTTAAGTTAATTTAGATATGCAGAAGATATTAAAAGTGTAAGGAACCACAGAAAGAGGGGGAAGGAAGTCAAGTTTTTTTAACATGTCAAAATAACAAGTCAAGTTCTAGCATGTAAAATCAGTGAAATGTATATATTTGAAAAGTATAAATAATTTTTTTTTAAAAAGACAGGTAAATGGAAATTTCAGAGGCCAGTAGTGTACTGGTCCAGAGTCAAAGGCCTGTTCTGATTTTTGCAGCGGGGTCTCTGCAGGGCCGCCTGCGTCCAGTATCCTAGAACCAGCTAACCAGCATAAAATGGGGAGCTTTTTTTGCCACTGTTCGCTCCAAAGCCAAGCATTAAGGAACACTGAGAGTATCCAGCGGTGCTGCTCTCGTGGGCCAGCCAAGAGCTGTGCATCAACGGTTGACAGCCGGGATAGCTCAATTGGTTGAGCATGAGACTCTGAATCTCAGGGTTGTGGGTTCGAGTCCCACATCGGGCAAAATATTCCTGCATTGTGGCGGTTGGGCTAGATGATCCCTAGTTGTCCTTTCCAGCTCTGCTAATTCTGTGGTTCTATTAGTCTGTCTCTCTTTGCATTCTAGGGTGCGACGATCAGGCGGGATGAGCACACCGGAGCTGTGATCGTGGCGCGGATCATGAGGGGAGGGGCTGCTGATCGTAGCGGTAGGTCTCTTCAGCAGCTAGATTTCCGTTTCCCTGTGTTGAAGTTAGAGAGTGCAAGCTGTGCTCTGATTGGCTCAGGGTTCCACCCCACCCACAGCCATTCAACCAATCTGGAAGCTTCGAACAGCCTTTCTCAACCTTGGGGCACCAGATGTTCTTGAACTACAACTCCCATCATCCCTCACCACTTGCCATTCTGGCTAGGAATGATGAGAGTTGTAGTCCAACAGTATCTAGAGACCCAAGGTTAAGAAAAAGCAAGCCCCCAAATATGCTCTTCCCAGGAGCTTGCTAACGGTGTGAATTCAATTTGAATGAAACTTTATTTGCGTCAGCCATCGGCCATAGCAACAAAAGAACATTGTGATATACACAGAACAAAATAAAAAGTCAATTGTATAAAACAAAGTTTAGGGTCCTGAATCAGCAGTCAAAGAGTGGACCTTATTCTGATTGCCCCAGCTAAAAACCTTGCAACCTTTGCTGTCATCTGCACTTTTGGCTAACGGTGTGATGGGTTGCAGTGGATTATGGGAGATGTTATTCTCCAAAGGGCAGTCCCATTGCTTTGCACAGTCTTCTCCTTGCCTGGTGGAAATTGTTCTGAAAGGTCACAATATGATGTCGTAATGCTCACATCTGCATTTGAGGAGGCTTTTTTGCTTCGTCGCATTGGGACAGCGGTTTATTTACATTTCCCTCCCTGCAATCATCTGGGCTGGAAGACTGTATCAACCCTATACAGCAAGCCCTCCAGAGCTGTAGAGCCTTCGAAAGCTTGTTGGACTCCATCTCCCATCAGCCCCAGCCAGCGTGGCCAATGGGAGTGATGGAGGCTGAAGTCCAACATTGCGTCACAACCTGAAGGGCCTGGCAGGTATTAAATCAGAGGTTCTCCATTACGTCTGAGCTGGGGAAAGTTAACAAAGCAGAAAAAGAAGCCAGGAGATGGGGCAGGGCAGAGAGGAGTACTCTGCCCCACTGCTCATTCCTGGCTTCATAAACCATGGTTTATTGTCCAATCCTGTCTAGAGTTTGGTCTGAAGTCACCGATTGAGTTTCATAGCTGAGCAGAAAACACAAAGTTGTGCTTTTAATGGAATTTAATGGAACACGGAAGGTTTTGTTTTGTTTTTCTGTTCTGCTCATTCTGCCTGCGCACAGGCTGTTGGATATTTTTGCAAGGAATGAATGGGATTTTTCCTATCCGAGAAAGTAAGCTCTTTTTAATATTTCTCTTTCTCTGCCTTTTAGGTCTTGTTCACGTTGGAGACGAGCTGCGGGAAGTCAACGGGGTTGCTGTGCTTCACAAACGACCGGAAGAAATTAGTCAGATTTTGGTTTGTTTTCCATGCTTAATTTTCTATTTTATCAGGGTTCCAGTGTTTACATCTCAATTTTATGCATGCAAGTCCCACATAGTTCAATGCAGCTTACTCCTTGGTAAGTGTGTGCGTACACATACAGGATAGCAGCCTAAGGGAGGAAGGCTGCAATCCTCACCCCACATTTAGCTGGGAGTAAGCCCTGTTCAATTCAGTAGGGTGCTCTTCTGTGTAGATACGGTTTGGCCTGTACTGTAGGTCCTCAGTGGGACATGATTCTGAATAGACACAAATTGGACTGTGCAATTAATCACTGAATTGGTTTAACTGACTTTGAAAGGTACAGTCATACCTCGGGTTACAGACACTTCGGGTTGCGCGTTTTCGGGTTGCGCACCGCGCCGAACCTGGAAGTACTGGAACAGGTTACTTCTGGGTTTCGGCGCTCACGCATGCGCATAAGCACTAAATCATGCTTTGCGCATGCGCAGAAGTGCCAAATCACAACCCGCGCATGCGCAGACGCAACGCTGCGGGTTGCGAACGTGCCTCCCGCACGGATCACGTTTGCAACCTGAGCGTCCACTGTACTGATATTTGGGGCTGTGGAATTTTTACAAAGATAACAATAGTTGCTAATCAAACAGAATGATTTAATTTTAGGGCCACACACACACACACACACACACACATGTATGTATATATACAGTGGTACCTCGGGTTACAGACGCTTCAGGTTACAGACTCCGCTAACCCAGAAATAGTACCTCGGGTTAAGAACTTTGCTTCAGGATGAGAACAAAAATTGTTCAGCGGCAGCGGGAGGCCCCATTAGCTAAAGTGGTGCTTCAGGTTAAGAACAGATTCATGTTAAGAACGGACCTCCAGAACGAATTAAGTTCTTAACCCCAGGTACCGCTCTGTGTGTGTGTGTGTATATGTGTGTGTATATATAGATATATAGATATTTATATATAGATATATATAGATATGTATATGCATATATGTACATATGTATATGTATATATATACATATGTATATGTATATATATATATATGTATTTACATGATGAATCGATTATGATTTAATTATTAAAAATACATGATCATCTAATTATTAGCAATACAAGAACTTGTAAAAACTGCAAGGGGCAAGACCCATATTAAAAGACTTGTTTTCTCTCCCTTCCACCTCTCTCTCTCTCATAGACATGGGTGGGGAATCTCTGGGCCAAATGGCTTTCAAGACTTTTTGGGGAAAGCCACACCCCCTTTCCCTACATCTGACATTGTACGTGGCACCAGGTGTTGGGCAGGCACAGCTTCAAAGTGGCGATGGCAAACTTAAAGAGGGCTCTCAGTGTTTCATTTGCTGGAGCTCGGCGCTCTCCACTTTCCTCTCCAGGAGTCTGTTAATTGGGAACGTGACTCTCCTGTCATTCTGGCGGTGCACAGAGTCACTTAATTTGCCAGCGTTGGCACAGCATTAATTATGCCGTCACAAGGCACACTTCTTCTGTGCCAAGGAGGAGATGACGTGCCCGGCGACTCCTACGCAAGGGAACCGAAAAAGCAACCCGAATGCGATCCTTGATGCTGCTGCTGTAATTACCACCGAAATCACAAATGCCTCTTTCTGAAACCAAGCAAGAACTACAAAAGTTGGCCTTGGGAGATGGTGGAGTAGCCAAGGACACCTGAATCATCAGTCTTGTCTTTTTCTCCCTCTTCTTTAAATAAGAAAACTAGGGGGGGAAAGCAGGAAGTACTCTTTACAAAGGGGGGGGGGAAGTGAGATGTTCTCGAGAACATCATAAGGGTGTTTGATTTCTTCTGTAAGTCGTCCGCCCCCCTCTATTGGGGCCAGGGAAGTATTGTGCAATCTGCGAAAAATAAGGGAGGACCTTCAGATGGGTCATGGTTTGCAGGCAGAAGTGTTTGAGGTTCATCCTGTAGCATCTCTGGCTAAGAGGACTTGAAACCTCCCATAACAGGGCTGTAAAGGAGTGTTATGTGCAAGAGATCATAGAATCATAGAATCATAGAGTTGGAAGAGACCACAAGGGCCAGCGAGTCCAACCCCCTGCCAAGCAGGAAACACCATCAGAGCACTCCTGACATATGGTTGTCAAGCCTCTGCTTAAAGACCTCCAAAGAAGGAGACTCCACCACACTCCTTGGCAGCAAATTCCACTGTCGAACAGCCCTTACTGTCAGGAAGTTCTTCCTAATGTTTAGGTGGAATCTTCTTTCTTGTAGTTTGGATCCATTGCTCCGTGTCCGCTTCTCCGGAGCAGCAGAAAACAACCTTTCTCCCTCCTCTATGTGACATCCTTTTATATATTTGAACATGGCTATCATATCACCTCTTAACCTCCTCTTCTCCAGGCTAAACATGCCCAGCTCCCTTAGCCGTTCCTCATAAGGCATTGTTTCCAGGCCTTTGACCATTTTGGTTGCCCTCCTCTTCTGCAGATCTTCTGCTTCTATTCAGAGCAGACCAGGGAAGAGAAACCTTGGGCTCTCCCCATGTCAGATTCTAACTGCCGACAGTCCCAGTCACCACAGTAGACAGTCAGGGGTGATGGGAGCTGTAGTTCAGCAATATCAGAAGAGCCAAAGTTTCACCATCCTTGGAAAAGAATCGTAGAACTGTAGAGTTGGAAGGGACCCTGAGTATCATCTAATCCAACCCCCCACAATGCAGGAATACACAGCTGACCCATGCAGGGATGGAACCTGCAGCCTTGGTGTTATCAGCGCCACGTTCTAACCAGCTGAGCTATCTAGGATTTGATCAAAGTTATTCCACGACAGGCTTGGAAAACCCCACCTCAAAGCTTTTAGAGCAGGCATAGGCAAACTTTGGCCCTCCAGATGTTTTGGGACCGCAACTCCCATCATCCCTAGCTAACAGGGCCAGTGGTCTGGGGTGATGGGAATTGTAGTCTCAAAACCTCTGGAGGGCCAAGTTTGCCTATGCCTGCTTTAAAGGTAAAGGGACCCCTGACCATTAGGCCCAGTTGCGGACGACTCTGGGGTTACAGCGCTCATCTCGCTTTATTGGCCGAGGGAGCCGGCGTACAGCTTCCGGGTCATGTGGCCAGCATGACTAAGCCGCTTCTGGCGAACCAGAGCAGCGCACGGAAACGCCGTTTACCTTCCCGCTGGAGTGGTACCTGTTTATCTACTTGCACTTAGACGTTCTTTTGAACTGCTAGGTTGGCAGGAGCAGGGACCAAACAACGGGAGCTCACCCCATCCTGGGGATTCGAACCACTGACCTTCTGATCGGCAAGTCCTAGGCCCTGTGGTTTAGATCACAGCGCCACCTGCGTCCCTCATGCCTGTTTTAGAGCCAGCCAATTAATTCTTCTCCACCTCAGTTTAGAATTCTTCTCTGTCTCAGACAGGCTTGGAAAATAAGCAGAATTATTTCCGCATCCCTCCCTGCTCCTCCAGGAATTCTTTGATTCATTTCTAGATCAACTTGATGTAGTTGGGGGGGGGGATTGCCCATCTGTAGTTTGGAATGAGAGGCTCCCTGTGAGTTTAAGGAGGGGCCCCACCCATTCGCTGTATCACACAGAGCCACTGTCCTTCGTTCCTCTTAATCGTTCCTTCACCCAGGCGATCACCTCACCAGGAACTTAGCCTGGCTTATACAGTGGTACCTCAGGTTAAGAACTTAAATCGTTCTGGAGGTCCGTTCTTAAGCTGAAACTGTTTTTAACCTGAGGTACCACTTTAGCTAATGGGGCCTCCCGCTGCCGCCACACCGCCGCTGCGTGATTTCTGTTCTCATCCTGAGGTAAAGTTCTTAACCCGAGGTACTACTTCTGGGTTAGCGGAATTTGTAACCTGAAGCGTCTGTAACCCGAGGTACCACTGTATTGTAACACTTGCTGGATACAGGGGTTAGAAGGGTCTTGATGTACAACCTGTTCCTAACATCACTTTCTGATGGGAGCAAAGGACCTAAACCATTTGCTATGGTGCACGTAAAAATCATGTGTTCTACCTCTACTTTTATTACAATCTATTTATCTACCTCTTCTTGGCTCAGAGATGCCACCCCAGTACTGAAGAGCGTATTAAAACAACAAAACTATCCAGTAGAGTGTGAGAACATCAGGGGAAAAAACTTTCTGGCAGTAAGAGCTGTTAGACAGTGGAATGGTCTCCCTTGGGAGGTTGTGAACTCTCCTTCCTTGGAGGTTTTTAAACAGAGGTTGGATAGCCATCTGTCATGGATGCTTTAAATGAGATCCCTGCATGGCAGGGAGTTGGACTAGATGACCCTCGGGGTCCCTTCCAACTCTGCAATTCTACGATTCTATTATTTTGTAGAACAATCGACAAGTAAGATATATTTTAAGTCAATCGGCAGTGGTGAAATCACAGCAGGTAGAGCAGAAAAAGCCTTACTTCTCCTGAAGAAAGGGCTTGCCATCTCCAGGGTTTTGTAAAAATGCAGTGGTACCTTGGTTGAACATTTCGGTTTTCGAACACTGAAATCCCGGAAGTAAATGCTTCTGTTTTTGAATGTGCCTCGGAAGTTGGACGGCTTCTGAGGCGCAATGGTCAATTTTCTCAAATGAATTTACCGACCGTTCATTGTGCCTCGGTTGTCGAACGTTTCAGAAGTCGAACAGTCTTCCGGAACAGATTGTTTGACAACCGAGGTACCACTGTATTATAATTACATTGGTACCTCTGGTTGCGAACGGGATCCGTTCCGGAGGCCTGATCGCAACATGAAAAGAGCGCAACCTGCAGCGGCGCATTTGCACACTTGCGGGTTGCGATTCGGCGCTTCTGTGCATGCGCATGACGCCATTTTGCACTTCTGCGCATGCACGAGTGGCGAAACCCAGAAGTAACCCTTTCCGGTACTTCCGGGTCACCCCGGGACGTAACCTGAAAGAACGTAACATGAAGCAAATGTAACATGAGTATGACTGTATCATTGTTTTTAAAGAAAACTATGCTGCCAAATTAATTTTAATTTGTTAACTTTAATCATTCAGTTGATTTCTCCCCGCCCCCCCAAATTGATTAGTCTAAGCGATTGATGGCCCATCAAAGCTGCAATCCTGTGCTCCATAGAATTTACTTCTGCATTGACAATGATGCGGTTGGTTCCCCACCTCACATCTATTATCATTCTGCGATGCAGCATGGACTAAAAATGTGTGCTGTTAATAATCTAGGCGATGCTTTGCAGTGTGACATAAAGAGGTTGTCTGAACACTTGCTACTTGAAGGAGCTGGGAAATGAGCTAAGTGCCACAACGGGAAGCGGAACATCCTTTCATCTTTTACCACCTAGCATGGAAAAAAGACAGCAAAGTGGAATGATACCTTTGAATGGGTCAATTAATGTTCTCAGAGTCTTGCGAGGAAAGGGAGCCAAACTGTTCAGAACTCTCTTTCAGTCCAAGAGGGGAAAGTGCCTTTTTCTCTTCCTTCCCTAGGTTCCGCAACAAAGGGAACCTGTAACTTTCAGGAACCTCATTCAAGCACTTAAGAATCGTTTAAGCTCTGCTGAAGAGCTTCAGGTTACAAAGAGGCCTTCCTGCGGTTTTCTCTCTTTTCAAGGCCTCGCGGCAGTCGTCTGCTTTTAGCAGGCTCTGGGAATATGGTGCATGCAAGATGTGATTTTAATACCAAAACCCCACACATAAAAACAAAAAAAACCTGTCCGTCTCCTCCACCCCAACCCCGGGACAAAAAGAACCCAGGAAAAATGCCTGTTGCCATTCAGAATGTAACAGCCGAACCTGAAAACTCCCAACACCGTTTGACAAGGGGATGTGTTATCTGTTCTAAAACCGCCACGTTCTCTGTCGAGGTGAGCTGGTTTTTGTAACCTGTGGAAATGGTGCAATTGAACATACATTGGATTGTTCAGTGCATTGGTTTCCCCCGCTGCGTTTGCTAGTTGCGGAGGGTCGTAAGTACATAAGAAAAGCCTTCTGGATCAAGCCAAAGCCCTGTGCAGACTCCCCTCTTGTGATTCCTGGCAACTGACCATGTGCCTCTGACGGTGGAAGGAGAACATTGTTATTGTGGGTAGTCGATAGGGCCGGCCCACCTGTTAGGCAAGGTGAGGCGATTGCCTCAGGTGGCAGGATCAACAGGGGCAGCAAATCCCAGTGTCTTTATTTCTTGTTCCTGATGTAGTTTTTCCCTGGCAGAGAGATGGGCACCATTTTGAGGTCTGCTTCAGGTTCCTAAACGTTTTGGTCCGACTCTGGTAGTAGCCACTGATAGCTCTATCTTCCATAATGAGCTGACCATGATCATACAAAAAAATTCGTCTGGTCTCTGTCCCCCTCTTCTTGGTCTTCATTGCAATTTAGTCATCTTGAAAATAGCTTGAATTGCCAAACAAAAGCAAGAAAGAAAGAAAGAAAAAAAGAAAAAGAAAGAAAGAAAGAAAGAAAGAAAGAAAGAATTGAGATTGTCAAGGTGCTGTTTCCTGCGGCTGGTACTAAATTCTGAGCTTGTGCAGAATTAAGAAGCTGTTAATATCATCAGTCTATCTAGCTCAGTACTGTCCCCATTTAACTGGCAGTACAGTGGTACCTCAGGTTACAGACGCTTCAGGTTACAGACTCCGCTAACCCAGAAAGAGTACCTTGGGTTAAGAACTTTACTTCAGGATGAGAACAGAAATTGTGCTTCGGCAGCAGCGGGAGGCCCCATTAGCTAAAGTGGTACCTCAGGTTAAGAACAGTCCTCCAGAATGAATTAAGTTCTTAACCTTACGTACCACTGTACCTCTTCCAAGGTTTCAGGTGGGAGTCTTTCTAGCCTTACCTAGAGATGTTGAGGACTGAACCATGGAACGTTTTGCAAGCAAAAGCATATCCTGTGCCCAGTATACCTGAAGGAGCGTCTCCACCCCCATCATTCAGCACAGACACTGATATCCTGCTCCAAGGGCCTTCTGGCGGTTCCCTCACTGTGAAAAGCAAAGTTACAGGGAACCAGGCAGAGGGCCTTCTCGGTGGTGATGCCCACCCTGTGGAACACCCTCCCATCAGATGTCAAGGAAATAAACAACTGACTTTCCAAAGACATCTAAAGGCAGCCCTGTTTCAGGAAGTTGTTTAATGTTTGATGTTTTATCATGTTTTTAATATTCTGTTGGGAGCCACCAAAAGTGGTTGGGGAAACCCAGCCAGATGGGCGGGGTATGTATCAATCAATCAATCAATCAATCAATCAATAATTAGCTGCAGCCTTTTCCCCCAAAGGGAAAAAAGTTAGGATGCAAATCACAGAACCAAATTGCAGCTTATACGCAGGTAAGCATTTGAGTCTCACGATAGGCAGAGGGCAGCCAAAGCAGCCCCAACCAAATGTAATCATAAACACCATATTAACAAAGGTGGAGATCTGCTTTGAAAGCAGGCCAGGCAGAGAATCCATTGAAATAAAATCGGATGGTGGTCAAAGGCTTGCTGGCGTGGCTTTTAATCCAAAGTATCGTCACTCCAAGCTGTGAAATGATAGGGAAAACGCCATCTTAACCTGTCTATCACATTACTTTTCCTCCAAGAAATCCAGGATGTCATCCCATTTTGTTCTCCAACCCCTGAGAGGTAGGCTAGCTGGGTTAAGAGTCACTAGCCCAAGGCTTCCAGAGAAAACGTCCTGGCAAAGTAGGGAATTCGAACCCAAGACTCCCTGATACAGTTCACCACCTTACCCAGTATGCCACACTGATTTCTAATTTCCCTCTTTCTCCCTCCGTTAAAAATGATGGCCGTGGGTTGCATCCAGTGGTCGACTTACTCAGAGTAGACCCAATGCAGTAAATTGGCCTGGGTGACTTGGATCCACTAACTGCAATGGGTCTTCTCTGAATAGGACCTGCGCTGGGGACAACACTATACTTTGACACCTCAGCATTCAGCTCTTGCAGAAATCTTTTGCCTTTTGCTGATGAGTCATATATGCCCCTGACTCATCTACCGAGATCTAGAAATCTAGAAACGCAGGAACGCGTTGCTTTCAGGGAAAGGCTGTCATGCAACAGCAGAACGCACATTTTGCAGGTTGAAGGTCTCAGGTTCAGCCACTGACGTCTCCGGGAAGAACTGGGAATGGTTCGTGGCTGAAACCTTTGAGAGACAATACTGGTCCGTGTCGATAAGACTTCACAAGGTGGGCCAACAGCCACCTCTGTGTATGCCAATTTTCGATGTCCCCGAGTATTGAGCGTCAAAGTGACCCAAGCAGTGTTTGCAGACGTCGTCTGGTTTTCCACAGAAATGACAACGCAGACTTATTTTCTCTTAGGCTCAGTCCCAGGGGTCGATAACGCTGAAAATAATCCCGGCTGTCAAAGAAGAAGATCGCCTGAAAGAAAGCAAGGTGAGGGAGTTTGCCAACATACGAGGACACTCTGGGCCTGTTCAGACATTCTTCTGAACATAGGTGTTGGGGGACAGCGGTGTTGCTGTGGCTTGTGTGAGCCTGCCCCCTGGCAGTAGCAGATTCCATTTTTTCCTTTGACTGTTTTAAAAATATTGCTTCAACTTCTTCTTAACAGCTCCCTGTCCACCCAATGTCCACCCCCAGAATATTCCTAGAACGGCACTAGCATTAAATTGTCTTGTTTTTCTAGATTGCAAGGTGTTTTTTTTTTAAAAAAAAACAATGTAAGAAAAACTGCCGCCACCATAACAAACACATTTTTTCCTCAGAAAATGTCACACAGGAATATGGAGCCTTCCTGGCGCTGGTGGACTCCAGGTCCCATCAGCCCCCAGCCAGCATGGCCAAAGGTCAGGGGATGCTGGGAATTGTAGTTCAGCATGGTGAGGCCTATACACCTACCGTTTTTGATGGGGAACAGAGGTAGGGAATGTAAGTGAAGGAGTGTCTCCACCCGCATCATTCAGCCCAGACACTGAGGTCCAGCTCCAAGGGCCTTCTGGCAGTTCCCTCCCTGTGAGAAGTGAGGTTACAGGGAACCAGGCAGAGGGCCTTCTTGATACTGGCACCCACCCTGTGGAATGCCCTCCCATCAGATGTCAAGGAAATAAACAACTATCTGACTTTTAGAAGACATCTGAGAGCAGCCCTGTTTAGGGAAATTTTTAATGTTTGATGTTTTATCATGTTTTTAGTATTTTGTTGGGAGCCGCCCAGAGTGGCTGGGGAGGCCCAGCCAGATGGGCAGGATATAAATAAATGATAATAATAATAATGATAATGATGATGATGATTATTGTAATACAAGTCACCATCCCTCCCCCGTGGTAAGTGTTTCCTCTTGTCTAAAACCACTTTAACTGCTTTAGGCCCACCCCAAAGGCAACATTATTCATGTAAAATATCTTTAGTAACAGAAATGGCCCCACAAATTCGCATGTTGTGAATGGGTGTTGTGAATTTTTTTTGGGGGGGGGCAGCTAATATATGTTCTCTCTGTCTGGCCAGCCATTTTGAGAACCAATGATGTATATTTAGTTTTGTTAATAATTGGAGAGTGCCAAATCCTGTGGACGATACAAAAATTTGCAGCCTTTCTCATGTAGCGCTGGATGTAATGTTCCTTCCTTCCTAGGTGTTCATGAGAGCCCTCTTCTCCTATAACCCGAAAGAGGATAAAGCGATCCCATGCCAGGAGGCTGGGCTGCCATTTCAGAAAAGGCACATCTTGGAGGTGGTGAGCCAGGACGACCCGACGTGGTGGCAGGCTAAACGTGTGGGCGACACGAATCTCCGGGCAGGGCTGATCCCCTCAAAGCAGTTCCAAGAAAGGTTGGTCAGTTCTGTGTGGCTGTGGGCCTGGGCTAGTAACAGAAAGCATGTGCAAAACCATGGACTTTGTGCAGGTGTGATGACAAACCATAGTGACTTGTTATGAGAACAAAGCTGTGATGAACCTCAAGCTCTCATGTTTCTTCCTCCCCTTCCTTTGAGTGAGAGGGGAAGTGGTGATGAGGAGCTACTGCTTCTGGTCTGTGGCAAACTATAATTGGCCATTTCATAAAAATATGACAAACTATGGTTTGTACAAACCATTGTTTCTCTTCAAGGCAGTATTAAACTGTGGTTGAGGCTTGCTGGTTTGAGGACCAACCACGCTTTGCCACACTGGGGCAAAACCACAAACTGTCTGAAGGGGATCGGGTTGGCGAAGTTTGTTCCAAGATCTTTTAACCAGGGGGTTTTCTTTAGGCGTCCCCATCAACTTCAGTCCAGGGAAAAAAATGTTCTTAGTAGTGTCTCCCTAGGGAGACTTGCCTTTATGTTGCTTTGGTACCAAGTAAAGAGCTTTTTTGGAGGGACACGGGTGGTGCTGTGCTTTAAACCACAGAGCCTAGGACTTGCCGATCAGAAGATTGGCGATTCGAATCCCCGTGACGGGTGAGCTCCCGTTGCTCGGTCCCTGCTCCTGCCAACCTAGCAGTTCGAAAGCACACCAGTGCAAGTAGATAAATAGGTACCACTCCGGCGGGAAGGTAAACGGCGTTTCCGTGCGCTGCTCTGGTTCGCCAGAAGCGGCTTAGTCATGCTGGCCACATGACCCGGAAGCTGTATGCCGGCTCCCTCGGCCAATAAAGCGAGATGAGTGCCGCAACCCCAGAGTCGGCCACGACTGGACCTAATGGTCAGGGGTCCCTTTACCTTTACTAAAGAGCTTTTTAATTTCTTGGGCTTTGAAAGTCCGCTCTACTTCACTTTTGTGCTGCTTCATGCTTGTTTCAATTCCACTGATTGTTTTATGAATTACTCCTTTTGATATTGTGGTGGTTTAATATTCTTTTTAAATATTTGTTTACCATAATCTTAGCTGTTCGTAAGAGAGGTAACACACACAGTGCTATGTCCTATGCAACAGTGATCAGGGACCCGTGGCTCTGCGGATGTTGCTGAACTACAACTCCCATCATTCCTGACCATTGGCTATGTTGGCTGGGGCTGATGGGAGTTGGAGTCCAACGACATCAGGAGGGCCACATTTTCCCCACCCGTTCTTTGCAAGGCAGCAAATTCTGCATCTGAGTCTCAGAGGCCCTGTATGAGCAAATAGGTTTAGGAGCGACGTGTTCAGCCACTTCAGATGAGCTTGATCCTCTCAGCTACCTGTGCAAAGCTTAACGCTGTTATCGCCAGCACCAAATTTCTCTTCTCTCTTAAGCCTCTCAGCAGCTGCAGCAGCAGCTGCGAGGGGCTTAGAATGGAAAAAGGATCCATCTCCTCTGAAAGGCAAGATGCGACTTGCCACTATGAATTTTTCTCTTCTTAAAAATTGATTTTGAGTGCAAAGGAGGGAACAACAAATCGATGGTAATAGAAACAAACGTTCTGCGTGCGGCAGAGCAGCTGCCTTCTGCCTTAAATCACACCGTTTCCTTTTGCCTGCTAAGTCCTTGCACAGCTCTTCCTTCCCTCTGCCTGCAGCAACGTAAACAGTCAGAACTAACTGACAAGGATCAGGAGCAAAGAGAGTTGCAGTGGCTGCAGACAACGAAAACCAAGGAAGAGGACCAATGCAGCCTGTTCCCAGGGCTGTGCTGGCTAGGGGTGGGGTGCAACTGGGGCATGCTAGTCCTGGCCCCCACAAAAAAGCTCTCCACCCCACCATCACTGCTGTGCATTCTGCAGGTCCTTGCCATGGCCCTGCCACCCGGTTCACAGCGTACACTCACGTGGTTCCTTGCATTGTGGCAGGGCTCCAGCCTCACACCTGCCCCTGGCTCCACATACCCTCCGGGAGTCTCTAGACCTTCCCATCTGCTTTCCGAATCCAAATAAGAAGCCAGCTGCTTGTTGGCTTATCTTGGACTCTTGCCCTTTGAACAAACCTGCCGATGCACAGGCTGTGCATGTGACTTGAACCAAGCCAGTTTGGAGTCTTGGGTCTGAATTCCTGCACCTGCCTAGAGCTTAGGCACAAAAGCAGGACCACGGACAGCTCCAAGCTATGCACTGGAAGGACAGATCGTGAAGCTGAGGCTCCAATACTTTGGCCACCTCATGAGAAGAGAAGACTCCCTGGAAAAGACCCTGATGCTGGGAAAGAGTGAGGGCACAAGGAGAAGGGGACGACAGAGGACGAGATGGTTGGACAGTGTTCTCGAAGCTACCAGCATGAGTTTGACCAAACTGCGGGAGGCAGTGGAAGACAGGAGTGCCTGGCGTGCTCTGGTCCATGGGGTCACAAAGAGTCATAGAATCATAGAATCATAGAGTTGGAAGAGACCACAAGGGCCATCGAGTCCAACCCCCTGCCAAGCAGGACACGACTAAACGACTAAACAACTACAACAGCTACATGCAGCTGGCTAGGATGTTGTTTCAGCATGTCAGGAGAGCCCACAGGGCCCCCCCCCCCATTTTTTAAAATTAAGTTTTCCAAAATTTCACACATACATTTCAATACACAATAAAAACCTTTTTCTCTTTTTTCAACTTCCCACCCCCTTTTCCATGGTGTTTCTGTTTCTCTCCTTCTGCCTGCAATGCTGTCTTCTATCTCTTAAACCTTAACCAAACTTCTGTCATCTTTAAACCCTTCTGTTGCTCATATTTCAGATTTTGCTTGCGTGTTTGTCATGTAATAATCATTCTTTAAATAATCCGAAAGGGGCTTACATTCTTCCACAAAACCTGCATCATTTTTAGCTGTTAACTTTGCCAGTTCTGCATCAGTTTGCTTGTCCATTCTTCTTTGGTGGGTATTTCTGTTTCTTTCCTTTTTTGTGTGCAGAGAACCCTAGCTGCAGTTGTAACCCACAAGGGGGTTAAATTAACTCTTGGTCCTATGGTTCGTCTCTGGGCTGCAGTTCACATCAACTCTGAGCATTGGCCATGCTGGCGTGGGCTGATGGAAGTTGGAGTCGAACAACCTCTAAGGGTTCTCCATCCCTGGTTGACATGGCCTGCATGCAGCTTGGGGTTTCTAGCTGTGTCCCACTGTGCTAATAATAATAATAATAATAATAATAATAATAATAACTAATAATTAATAATAAATTTTGGCTGGGCCTCCCCAGCCACTTTGGGCAGCTCCCAACAGAATATTAAAAACACGATAAAACATCAAACATTAAAAACTTCCCTAAACAGGGCTGCCTTCAGATGTCTTCTAAAAGTCAGATAGTCGTTTATTTCCTTGACATCTGATGGGAGGGTGTTCCACAAGGTGGGCGCCACTACCAAGAAGACCCTCTGCCTGGTTCCCTACAGTGAGGGAACCTCCAGAAGGCCCTCAGAGTCGGACCTCAGTGTCCGGGCTGAACGATGGGGGTGGAGACGCTCTTTCAGGTATACTGGGCCGAGGCTTTAAAGGAGCTGCGCCTGGCTCTTAGGCACTGACTCTGGCAGAGCTAGGGGGTTTCCTGCTCCACAGAGAGTGAAGAAATACGAGTCCAAAAAGAAGGACAGAGTGACTTTCTCAGGTGCTGTAGATCAGGGGTAGGCAACCTAAGGCCCAGAGGCCGGATGCGGCCCAATCGCCTTCTCATTCCGGCCCGCGGACAGTCTGGGAATCAGCGTGTTTTTACATGAGTAGAATGTGTTAGGATATTTCCATTCCACGTTAAAAGGGAGCAGGCTTTGTGAGTCAGAGTCTGCGTATTTCCTGTTTTCACAGGATGTTTATGTTTTCTGTTGCTTTCGTTTCTCTCTCTGTGTCGTAGACACTAAAGCAGGCAGTCATGTTTTTCTGTGTTCTGATCAACGCTGAATAAACTTGTAAATAATGCTCTCCTGAGTGCGACTTTGGCTGTGCATTATCTGCTGATAGAGTGTGCATGAGCTCTGGAATGTGGCAAGCTATTTCTAGAAACTCATGTCACTAATTGCTGATACTGCGTGACTACGGGAGATCGATGGATCGTCCGGCAGCCGGCTTGGGGGCCATGATGGACTTTATCTCCCTGGCAGTATCCCAACAGAATGTGTCCTTTTATTTAAAATGCATCTCTGGGTTATTTGTGGGGCCTGTATGGTGTTTTTACATGAGTAGAATGTGTGCTTTTATTTAAAATGCATTTCTGGGTTACTTGTGTGGCATAGGAATTCGTTCACCCCCCCCCAATATAGTCCGGCCCCCCACATGGTCTGAGGGATGGTGGACTGGCCCACAGCTGAAAAAGGTTGCTGATCCTTGCTGTAGATGGTGTTCCCCTTTCACGGCAGAACAGCATCTTCTGGGGATAATTCCTGCACCCTGTGCTCTTCTTCTTCCTTATCCTCAGACCCTTCTGATTGGGGTTTCCCAGCCCCTACATCATAATAACTTACAGAACAGATCCGGGAATGGGATCTGCATCCAACTCCAGCTATTGGCAACCCATGTCCCTCTCAAGGAAAGCTCCCCATGCTTGTTCCAGAAGAGAGGCTGTTTTGATGTACTAGGGATGTGGGATGTGGAATCAAATGGGGTGTGTGTCAAGGAATGAGGGGTTTCGAGAAGCATCAAGGAGATGGTTGGAGGTGGGGCACAGTGGTGCAGAACCGGACTGTGTGCAGTCGTGGGAGTAGAGCTGTTGTAAGCTTGGACAGCGAATGGTGCATGAAACAATGAGTGACGCTTGCACCTGGAGCCCAAAACTCAAGAGACTCCATCCGGAATCAGCATCCTTCCTTGCTTTGCATCCCTGATGCACACCTCTTTTAGACAGCAAGGACCTTGGGGGCAGGGATGTGCCTTGTAAAAACCCATGCACACTACTGATGCTGGGGTTTTGGCCCAGAAACTGCTTTGGTCGCCCTGTATGATGACCTCTGTCGAGAGAGACACAAAGGAAAAATGTCCCTGCTAATTCTTCTCGACCTCTCAGCGGCTTTCGATACCATCGACCAGGGTAGCCTTCTGGAGTGACTGTCCGAACGAGGGGTGGGGTGGGGGGCAGGATTAAGACCTCATCTCATCTTATCAAGATAATTTTATTGGAACAAGATATAAAGCTATTGATTATGCAGCCAGCGTATTCCGTTTCCTACGTGACCCATCTCTTACGAAGGCACACCATGGAAAGGAACAACCAGAAGATTCAAGATTTCTGTACCTGCTTTTTCTTTTTCTTTTAAGAGGAAAGGGAGAGATGCGTTGAAGGGTACATTACAATTGAGAAAGGGAGTACCCTGGAGGAACGGTTCTGTGAACAGGCAGCAGAATTGTTTATTACACCACGGTGGGGAACCTTTTTTCAGCTCAAGGGCCACATTTCCCACCTGGGTAACCTTCCGAGGGCCACCTGCAAGTGTTGGACGGAGCCAGAGGCAAAAGCAGGTGGAGCAACAAATGTATAATTTTTTTTACCCTTGTGCCATAAGCTGGATCTGCACACATGCACACATGCACACATGCACACAAACACTACTCTGTCCAGGCAAGCAAGATACATTATCAGAGTTCAAGGTCACACGAGCCTGGAGAAAGTACTTGGGGTTGCATTCAGTGCAGCGCTAATGTGAATCTTCTCTCACTGCAAGGCTTTCTTCTTGCACAACAGAACATTCTCCTCCTCCTGCATGCCCCCTAAATCTGCTCTGCAGTTTCCCCCAACCTTCCAAAACAGATTTGGGAATGGTGTGGGTCACACACTAGGGCGAGGAGGGGAGGAAACCTCATTCCTCTCGTGCTAATCCTCCCACTCATGCAAAGATTTAGTTTAGTGTTTCCCAAACTTGGCTTCCCAGCTGTTTTTGGAGTACAACTCCCATTATCCCTAGCTAGCAGGACCAGTGGCCAGGGATGATGGGAACGGTAGTCCAAAAACAGCTGGGGACCCAAGTTTGGGAAACACAGATTTAGTTGAGTACTTGGGAGCCAGTGTGATGTAGTGGTTAAGAGCAGTGGACTCGTAATCTGGTGAACCGGGTTCGCGTCTCCGCTCTCCACATGCAGCTGCTGGGTGACCTTGGGCCAGTCACACTTCTCTGAAGTCTCTCAGCCCCACTCACCTCACAGAGTGTTTGTTGTGGGGGAGGAAGGGAAAGGAGAATGTAAGCCGCTTTGAGACTCCCTCGGGTAGGATAAAGCGGGATATCAAATCCAAACTCCTCCTCCTCCTCCTCTTCTTCTTCTTCTTCTTGGAATGTTGGAGCAAGGCTAGAGAGGGTTGTGGCCTGGGAAAGGGGGAGCCCGGAGGCAGTTCCAAGGGCCAGACAGAGGTGCTTGGAGATCTGCATTTGGTCCCCTGAGGTTCCTGTACATTGCATTGGAAGCCAGTGCAACGCTGTAGTTAGAGAGCCAGACTAGGACTGCTATATCTAAAAACTCTGATAGGCTGATGGCCACACCAGCAGCCAGATGCAGCTTTGAATCTCTACTTTTCCCCACTGCAGCAGAAGCCATGAAATAGATGAGGGAGAACCTGGCAGTTTCTGGTCACTCAGAACTGCTTCTCAGTAGAAAGCTCAGAGACCCCTTTTTGGGGAGCAGGGGAAATGCCCAATGCGTGTCTTAATTCGGGAAACCGGTATGGATCAGGAACCTGTTCTGGATCAGGACCCCCCCAGCTGCTTCCCTCTCCTTTGGGAGTTTCGAGTGGCGGTGTTGATTATGATTATTAAAGTCTGAACAAAGTAACGTGTGATTTGGCCCTTAATCTCGTTTGATTTCAGCAGGAACTGAGCGCAACGAGCGCATTCCGGCTCTCTGGTTTGAGGCTTTCTCCTTGAGCTCTTCTCCGCCCCCTTTCTGATAAACTCTTGTGTTTTTCTTTTTCTATGTAGGCGTCTGATGTACAGAAGGACCATTGGAGTGCTGCACAACACCAGAAGCGTCACAAAACCTCTCTGTGAGTCACCCCGAAACCTTTCCCTTGTTTGTTTAGTGTGGCTTGTGTTTCCGCTACATCTGGCTTTTCCTTTCTCTTTCCCAAACTGGGCTTCTTTTGTGAGGCTTCGCAATGCCGTCCCATGAAAGGTGCAGAGACACCGGGAGCCTGAAGCACGGCTGTGTCTTGCCATTCAGGTACAACAGCCGTAGTGTAGCGCTGTGGGGGAGGTAAGAGGGAATATGGGGAAGGTAGCTCTTTGCAAAAGAGAGCCTATTGTGCTGTGGCCTCCACACACTTCTGTGAGTTAATGGCAACTGTTTATTCTTTGCGCACGCAGTCAGGGCCCATGCAGGCCTGGTAAGATTAGCAGGGCAGCCCAATTATGTCATAAGACCAAGGCACTATCTGTCTTGAGAGCCAGTGTGGTGTAGTGGTTAAGAGCGGTAGACTCGTAATCTGGTGAACCGGGTCCGCTTCCCCGCTCCTCCACATGCAGCTGCTGGGTGACCTTGGGCTACTCACACTTCTTTGAAGTCTCTCAGCCCCACTTACCTCACAGAGTGTTGTGGGGGAGGAAGGAAAAGGAGAATGTTAGCCACTTTGAGACTCCTTCGGGCAGTGATAAAGCGGGATATCAAATCCAAACTCTTCTTCTTCTGGAGATCTGGTGGGCTGTGAGAAAGGCCCTGTTGTGCACTTGATGCCTTGCTCAGTGTCAAGACCAGGGGTCAGCAAACTTTTTCAGCAGGGGACCGGTCCACTGTCCCTCAGACCTTGTGTGGGGGGGTGGACTATATTTTTTGGGGGGGGAAAGGGGCCTGAAGATGCTTTGCTTTACCTGTCCCAGTTGTCGTCCCAATAGCCGCAGTTGGGCTTCTCCAGCCAGCCAGGCACTATGGCGGGGTAGGAGACTGCGTTGGCTGGCAAAGGCAGAAGCAGCAGCCCTGGCGAAGGAGCTGCGGATGGAGGTAGGGGAACCGGGGCGTCACCGGAGCTTTTACCCACCCCCTGCTGCTGCTTCCTGAGAGGCAGAGAAGAAGACAGAGCCGCCTGCCAACCCACAAGCGGTGGCCGCGGTCACCGCAACAACCCGCCTGATCACCATGGGAGAAATGAAGGAGGGAGGGAGGGAGGCAGGCAGTGACGAAGGAAAAGCATGAGGAAGCAGTGTGGAAAAGGGGCGTGGAGAAGGAAGGAAGGACGGACTGAGGGAGGAGGAGCAGGAGGAAAACGCAGCAGCCGTTAGCCGGCATCATATGCCCCCTTCACGGCACTGCCCTTCTGGGGCAGGCAGGCGGGCAAGTCGACTCATGGCGCCCGGTGTGGGACAAGATTGCTCCGTCCCTGAGGAGAAAAGCACCACCATGTGAGGGAGAGGGAAAGAATGTGTGCGCTGGTAATCCACGTGGTGATTCCCGGACAATCCGCGGGGCGGATCTAAAAGGCAATTGGGCCTGATTTGGCCCGCAGGCCTTAGTTGACGCTGCATGTGTCTAGGCAACCTTCTGCTTCCCTTCCAGGAGCGGCACCGATTGCCCACATTCCACGGCTGGTCCTTCCCTTTCAGCAGTTAGAATGTTTACACTGACATGCTGTGATATCACAGCAGCTCAGCCAATGACTAAGGAGATTCAGACACAGTTGCCCAGGGGCGCCAGCTCAAGGGGGTCAAGCTTTCAATGGCCCCCCAATATCTTTGGGGAGGGGGGCTAGGCCCTCCAAATGTTGAGGGGGTGGAGGAGGCTGAGCGTGGAGCCAAACATGGCGTGGCTTCAGTGACTGGCTCTTCCTTCTCCTGCCGTGGAAGGAGGCTGATCGTGAGAGAGGAAGGGGACCTGCTGGTATTGAAACTCTGCCTCACTTGGCCTCCTCCCGACGATGCAATGTTGTGTTTGTGACATCACACACACATGTGATGTCACACATGTGACGGTGGGCCCCCTCAATCTTTGGCGAAGTTGCCACCTCTGCACATGCCAGGTGTGTGTGTGTGTGTGTGTGGGCATGCAAGTTATATGTGTAAGACTCTGGACGATTAAAAAATATTTTGTAGGGGAAGCTGCCCCTACACCTAGGGTCCTCAGAGGTTTAGAGTATCTGCTGCTTTAATCCTGCCTGATCCTCTGGATTAAGCTAGCCACACTGTACTGTGTCTCAATAGTGATTTGGTGAGATGGCTCTGAATTAAGTAGGAGCAGTGTTTTTGGTCCTGTGTGGTGTGATGACTGCTTTCGTGAATGCTTTGAGACCCATGTGGGACTCACAAGCTTCTGGAGAACTTTTGGAGCATGGGCTGAGATGGGACAGTCCCGAGCCCAGAGTTTGCTTTATGCCCAGATGTAGCCCTGTGTTCTCAGCCCTGCAACCAGCATGCAACAGACACAGGCAGCGTCACTGCAAATGTATAGCTGGTCTTTCCTTGACCATCTCTACTCACCCCCTGCACATCTGGATTTCAGGCAGCCCCAGCACTTATTTGCGTTTAAAAACGAAGCATTGCATAACCCCTGGAAGTGGAATCTTTGTAGCAGAAAAATTTCCCACATTTTGAAATGCATTGTTTCATACAATTAATTTTTTACACGGTAAATATAACACAAGGCAGACTGCGCGACTTGAATGGATATAACACCAATTATAATTATAATTGACTTTCTTCATGCGGCTATAATAAGTACATATATTTATGCACACAAAAGCTCTTCAGCTATGCCAGTGTAAGTATGTTAACAGCTTTCAGTGCCTTTATGCCCTCCTCACTTTAAAATCCCCATAATGGGAGGGAAGCGTTTGCTGTTGAATGTGTTTCGACAATCCTATCTTTGTATAATAAGCCGAGGAAACCAAAGTTGGTTACCAACTTTGGAAGAAGCTGGGATCTTAAGTCGTGCTTTGAAGTTGGTTTAATATCCTAAATTGTTTTGAAGCAGGGTAACAATAGTTCCCCAGTTTTCTGGAAAACGGTGGTTAGTAAAGAGACTTCCTGGCTCGGTTGTGGCTCATAGGGTTGCATGCATGGAGAAAAGACTTAATTCATATATTGCCTACTTAAGCCATGATATGCTCATCTGAACAAAATCATCTAGAATTCACTTGACTTATTTGAAAGACAATTGCATTAATGTAACATCGCTTGTAGGTTTACGAGAAGTTTTGTAAGGGGGACTATATAAATTATTGCAAAATGATTTAGGAAGGAAATAATTAGGAAATGAAGTTTAAAAGCATTCATTACAATAATAAAATGCAAGATTAGGTAGCAAATTTGAAAATCATTAGACAGGATTGATGGAAGTCTCAGGCTATAATAGCCAAAATGAGGATGATGTGAAGTTTTGTTTGGAAAACATATGCAAAAATTAATAAAAATGATTTATTTAAAAAAGAATTCACTTGAATTGCGCTTAAACAGTGCAGTCCTAGGTGTGTCTACTCAGAGGTTATACAGTCATACCTTGGAATTCGAACAGAATCCTTTCCAGAAGTCTGTTTGACTTATTTTATTTTATTTTACTTGTATGCCGCCTTTCCACAGTTAAAACAATGCTCAAGGCGGCTTACAATATGAAAAGATTTACATAATTACAAATATAGCAAAACAGTCATAAAAATAAATAAAACACATTAAAAACTACATAACCAAACTGAACAATTTCCACATAAAAATAAAGATACAAAAAGTTAATTTTGGCAACAACAGTAACAACTCCCAGCAAAACTTTCTCCAAAATACCCCTGTCCTTGATGGGCTGCAGCCACAGCAGCAGTCCTTATGAGGCCTGTCATGCCCCGCCCTAGGTTAGGTGGTGAGTGTCAGGACTGGGGCCCTCAGGCGTTCAGCCCGGGAGTCCTCCTGGGCTTTCCGAAACATTCGACTTTCAAAGTGCAGCTTCCTGCAGCCAATCAGAAGCCGTGTAAAGTCCCATTGGACGTTCGGCTTCCAAAAGAACGTTCAAAAACTGGAACACTCAGTTCTGGTTTTCGATCATTCAGGAGCCGAAACATACGAGTTCCGGGGCATTTGAGAACCAAGGTACAACTGTATTCCTATCTACTAACACCTTTGTTTTTATAAGATTTGCAGCACTGGAGTTTGTTGTTGATGCACCCCAATCCATCAGATATTGCAGTTAAAATAATATTGGCTGTTGCAAAAGCCTCAGGGAGATGCATGCACCGTGTAAAAACCATTTCTAGTTTTGCTTCCCAACTGTAAGCACATTAATCTCTGATCTCAGTTGATTTAGGGCAACTGAAAATACTCGTTTCCAAAACCCACATTGCTGTGTGCAATTCATCCTGAACTGAAGCATTTGCAGGATGCGGGCGAGAATAGGGAACTCAGGGTGTTCTGGCTATGTGAACAGCATGTCCAAATAATGGTGCAAATTGGCCACAAAGTGTTAACTTTGGGCCTCTCAGCTGGCAGCATCTGTTGTCCAACAAAGGAAGGAGGGCTGTTAAGCGGGCCAAAGAACTTGCAATGAATGAAAAGGTTACCCCAAGAATCTCCAGCATTGGTGGTTCCATGTGGACACAGTCTCCTCTGTTACACTTACGGCAACAATCGAGAAGCTGCTGGTATCTCCCCGTGCAACTGTCCACGTGTTTGAGAGGTCTTCCTTGCACACTAGGAACATAGGAACCTGCCTTATAGCGAGTCAAATTATTGGTCCATCTAGCACAGCTTTGTCTACACTAACCTCGGAGATGCTGGCGATTCAGCCTGGGATCTTTTACACGCAGAGCAGTTTCTGTCTTACTGCAAAACCATGGCTCTTCCCCACTGAGAGCCAGAATTTGAACACGTGCCCCTAATGCTTTGGAATACTTCCCCCCCTTGGCCTCCTTTTAACTCTGCTGCCTCTTGTCTTTTCACGCTGACCTCAGACGATCAATCTTCTGAGAAAGGTAGGTTCACTGCCTGTTCCTGGAGCGAGCCAGCTGTGACTTTCCCTGCACGTAAAGAGCTTGTAGAATAAAACAGCCCTCTCTGACCAAAGCCAACCATGAAGCCGTTCCAGATTACAGGAAGCTCAGAATAGTTTGTGTGCCATATGTACATTTATCGGTACAGTTTTCTGTCATTGGTTTTGCTTCCAATTCCCCCCCCCCCCCAAAAAAATAAATCAACTGGACACATTGCAACAAAGGAGGTGATAGCATAGTTTTGAATGGGTGGGCATGGGAAGGTTTTCAGAATTTCCTGTGCAAGCATAGGGATTAGGAACACGATTTCTTTTTTAAAATGAAAAGAAAACTGGAGGAGGGTGCTTCACACATGACTTTGCTTCCTATGGTGCAGTATTGCCTCATCCCACACAAGCTCGGTCAGCGATTAGCTCTGGTCCGCTGGGCTTAGGATTGTGCCCTCCCATGTCAGAGAAAGAATGTGTGCATGCGAATAACCTTGAGATTCTGCAAAATATTTAAAGGCAAGAACATTAGCAGCCTGCTGGATCCGGCGAGTGGTCCAGCATCCTGTTCTCACAGTGGCCAACCAGATCATAGCTGTCAACGTTTCCCTTTTTTAAAGGGAAATTCCCTTATTCCGAATAGGATTCCTTGCAAGAAAAAGGAAAAGTTGACAGCTATGAACCAGATGACTGTAGGAAACCTGCGAGCGGGTCTCTCCCCTCCTGCGTTTTCCAGAAACCGGCATTCAGAAGCGACACTGCCTCCAGCCGTAGAGGCAGAGTGTGACCATCCTACTGACTATCCACTCATAGCTTTCTCTTTTACGAATTTGCCCCATCCTCTTTTAAAGTCTTCCAAGTTGGTGGGAGCGAGTTCCCTGGTGTAACTGTGCACAGTGTGAAGAAGGGCTAATTTTTCACCTTTATCGAAGTGCTGCCACATTACACAGTGGACAGGAACATGATGTGTATGTCAGGAGTTCAGCCTACACTCGAGTAGAACCCTGGCAGAGACACATGCCCGACTGGCATGTTCTCTCCCTCCTGGTCGATCGTTCGGTAGTTTCAAAAGCTTTCTTCATCCCGAACATCACAGCGACTGACGCCAACCGACACCGGCAGATTTAGGGAACCGCAGAATTTGCGCAGTTGCGTAACAGACCTCAGCAACTCAGCATTTTGGCTCATCTACTTTATTTACATATAAACACACACGGAGCACTGCAACATGGCTCCCTCTCTCTCTAGCATCAGACAGCAAAGAGAAAAAGAACAAAGGACAATAGTCCCACTTCACTGAACACAATAACAGAAACATCCTGTCTCCGTCACTTCCCACTCTGTGGAGTCAAAACACATACCGTCATGTGATAGACAAAAATCCCATGACTGCAATCATGGAGCAGGAATTCTAACAGTGTATACCTCTGAATGCTACTTTCTGTGAGTCTAAAGAGGGGAGAGAGGGCATGGGTCCGGCTCTTTCATAGCCCCAGTCCGAGTCCTGTTGCTGAGCTAGCAGGGGCTGGGAGGAACACTTGCCCGAGAGCAGAATCCACATACAGAGGCAGTCCAGAGATCAGGGAATCCAGATGTTCACAAAACCAAAGGTCCAGTTGGATAGCAGGAAGCAACAAGGAAGGACCCAGAACCACAGGCGTTGTTTCCAGCAACAACTGACTGCTGCTGAGAGCTCTGTTTAAGAAGCCCGGAGCCCGCTGGTTATCATCAGTGCCTTTTCTGTGTCCTGATCAGCTGCAGGTGGAGTCATTCCGCCTTCTCATTCATTGATTCATTCATCATTTTATTTACACACCGCCTTTCCGTAGTTAAAAGTGCTCAAGGCGGCTTACAGCATGACAAGATTTACACAATTACCAACATAACAAAAATCATAAACAATAAATAAAACACATAAAAGTACAAAGCCAAATGGAAAACAATTTTCACATAAATAATAAAATCTAAAACTAAGAATATAGCATTGATATTTAAAATATCAAATATTCAAATAATCAAATAATCAAATATTAAATTATTTAAAATAATTTAAAATGACATAGATAAAAAATAAAAGGAATTTAAAAAACCCAAAAAGCGGAGTCCTCTCTGCCCAGCAGTGTGGGAATGTTCAGGGATGCAGGAGAGGCTATATTGTCTGATAAAAAGGTTTACTCACACATCATTCTGTTCACAATAGGATCCCAGAAGGCAGACTTAGCTTAGAAAAGTAACATATACCTAGAAACTATCTCATAAGAAGACAGTCCCTTTGTCCTCTCTTGGGAAGCCAAGAGAGCATCTTTGGCTAAGCAGATGTTGCTTCTTCGATGCATGTAGTCAAAGAGAGGGAGATGGCTGCCCTGCCCTGTGCTTTTGTCGTTACCTGCACAGGTGAGGCCACACCCACCTCTAGTCACATGCAGAGGAAGTCTGTCCCAGCCCAGAAGGAAACAGGAAGTTTACCTGCTGGCTGGACAAACATTCCTCCCCATGTGTAAACATGTGCTGTCTAGGAATGTTGTACTTGACTGCTCTTGTGTTTCATATCCCACAAGCCGCAGCAGCAGCAGCACTCCTTTATAGAATCTGTCAGGCCCCTAAGCCAGGTGGAGAGAAGCAGGGCAGGGGCCTTCACACGCACCCCGTAGTTCAGTCAGTCTCCCCCTTCAGGCTGCTGTTCAGCAGGCGAAGCTGACTCCTGGCCCATGACACGTTTTCGGCCTTTATCTGGCTGGCCGCTGTGAGAACAGGATGCTGGACTAGATGGGCCATTGGCCTGATCCTGCCACACTCTTCTTATGTTCTTTGGGAGGCTGGCAAAGAGGGAATCTCTGCACAAGAGAGCAAACCTGTGAATGCTGGTCTTGCCCACAGCACTGTCTAAGGCGGGTGGTGGGCTTGATTCAGAAAGGCTCTGGGGCGTGATGCCATTGCAGTGCAAAAAGGGCCAGTTGATTTGCTCCTCAATCTAATTTCCCTCGCTTCCCACGCCAGCCCAGGTCCGTTTGTATCCCTGTCCAGCTTCTTAATTAGTGGATTTGAACAGGGTTTGCTGCACAAAGAGACCTTTAGCGTGACAAAGCAGAGAGGGGAGAAGCCGTGCGTTTCCTCTTAATATGCCCCCGGGGACTCTAATGTCAATCTTGTTTAATTTTCCTTAGCTATTATTTGCTGAGCGTGTTTTTTTTAACTGTGTAATTTTTGTGCTAATCACATGGATTAAGCCCCTGCCGTTTCTGAAAAGTGATTGTGTTTCTCCTCGGTGCTTTTGTTAACGCAGTAGGTAATTTCCTGCTGAAGGAGGGAGCGCTGCTTTCTCCCTTTCCCTCTCCCCCTTTCTGACTTTTTTGGACTTGCTCCCTCCAAGAAAAGAGCAACTCCTTAAGGTTTTAAGCCTGCCGGGCAGGGTGTTGGTTCTTTTCTGACTTAATGGCTGCGCAGCATCTAGTGTTCCAGGCGATTTATAAATAAATTTTGTTATTTTTAAAAAGGCTCGGGGGCTAGCTGTTCATTCCAGCGTTTCAGCTCCTGGTGCCGTTTGCTTTCAGTGTCTCTGTGGACCCTGGCATGGTTGTTCCTTAAGTGACAAAAGTCAGAAATTCAGTTGGGGAAGGAGGAGGAGGAAATAGTTTTGATTGGGGCTGCAAATGATATGATGCAGGATAGCTCAGGCAAAGGGACATGGGTGGCGCTGTGGGTTAAACCACAGAGCCTAGGGCTTGCTGATCAGAAGGTCAGCGGTTTGAATCCCCGCAACGGGGTGAGCTCCCATTGCTTGGTCCCAGCTCCTGCCAACCTAGCAGTTCGAAAGCACGTCTGACAGGAAGGTAAACGGTGTTTCCGTGCGCTGCTCTGGTTCGCCAGAAGTGGCTTAGTCATGCTGGCCACATGACCCGGAAGCTGTACGCCGGCTCCCTCGGCCAATAAAGCGAGATGAGCGCCGCAACCCCAGAGTCGGTCACGACTGGACCTAATGGTCAGGGGTCCCTTTACCTTTACCTTTTAGCTCAGGCAAAGCATGGGACCCACATGCAATACAGCAGTTCAGTACCCCTCCCCTCCCCCGTCCCCCGGGTTTCATGCAAAAACACCAAAGATGCAGCATACAAAACGAATCGTCTTTTGGTATATAGCATTGTCGTCTTCGTTCATCTGCCTCTCTTATCTTTTTCTTTTTAAGCAGAAGACTGTGATTGCGAAGGATACTTCAATGGGCAATATATAGGTGAGGAGCTGGTGGTCTGCAACCCACTCTGGCCTTGGTTGTGGGTATCATATGTACATTTGCTACTTACATAATAAAAATAATTTATTCCTTATACCCCGCCCATCTGACTGGGTTGCTCCAGTCATTTTTGGTAGCTTCCAGGATAATATACAAACACAGCAAAACAACAGGTGCTAAAAGCTTCCCGATAAAAGCTTCAGGTATACTGGGCCTTGGCCCAGTATACCTGAAGGAGCGTCTCCACCCACATCGTTCAGCCAGGACACTGAGGTCCAGCGCTGAGGGCGTTCAGGTGGTTCCCTCACTGCAGGGAACCAGGCAGAGGGCCTTCTCGGTAGTGGCACCTGCTCTGTGGAACGTCCTCCCATCGGATGTCAAGGAAATAAACAACTATCTGACTTTTTAGAAGACATCTGAAGGGAAGTTTTTAACATTTGATGTTTTATCATGTTTTTAATATTCTGTTGGGAGCTGCTCGGAGTAGCTGGGGAAACCCAGCCAGATGGGTGGGGTATAAATTTATTATTATTATTATTATTATTATTATTATTATTATTACTACTACTGCTGCTGCTGCTACAAATTGCTTTCGTTTTACATGCTTGCTTTTGTATTGCAATTTATTGTATTTGCGTTAATGCATTTTACAAATGAGGCAAGCCACAAAATGTTGCAGCGTTGAAGTGCTTCTGGACAGGATTCTGGCTTAGTCAGTCACGTTTTCTCCCAGGATATGCCATCCCATTTCCCTTTCACCCGCTCCCCCAGCAACATTCAGCCAGCATTCTGTGGCCACTGGGAGTAGCTATTTGGGCTGGTTTTGGGGCTTTTCCCTTCCTTAAGAATTGGGGTTATTTTTTTTGTAGTTCAGAACCTTGAGCCTGTTGGGGGTCCCCAACCCATCGGACCAAACTTGGTGACAATGATGTTCTTTTTGGCTTTGCAGCTGGCTTGAGACGGAGTTTCCGACTGAGTCGAAAGGAGAAGCAAAATGGCCAGAGTGAAGCCAAACAGGTTGAACAGCCTCACCCCTCGGAGCTCCTCACCTACGAGGAAGTGGTCAAATACCAGCAGCAGCCAGGAGAAAGAAAGAGGCTGGTGGTTTTGATTGGTGAGTTATTCTGTGAGGAAAAGGCTATCGTATCGCTGGTGTTATGTACTGAAGTTCTCACTCTGGGCCAGCAGGGGGATACTGTAGATAGTTTTCACTCAGGTCCACATATGCAAATAAGGGATTGAAAGTGACGTTCAGTGATTGGATAGTTACAGAAAATGGTTACTGTTGCGTTCTAGTGGAGCTCTATATAAGCAGGCAGGCTGAACCCTGCAGTTCAGTTCTGTTCTGGCCTGTGAATAAACAAGAGCTGTTTGAAGAATCGTTGTGTCGTCTGATATGTTCACCCACAGCTGCCTTGCCCAGCGGCTTTATTTCTGAAATAAAGAGATTCTGGAGCCGAAGACCAGCCTTTCCCAAACCTCTGAGAAGTGGAGAATAAATCTTGGGGGGGTTGTGGCTGAGGTGGTGTGTGTGTGTGTGTGTGTGTGTGTGTGTGTGTGTGTGTGTGTATATATATATATATATCTGTATACAGTGGAACCTCGGTTGTCGAACGTAATCCATTCCGGAAGACCGTTCGGCTTCCAAGACGTTCAACAACCGAGGTGCAATTGACAAAATAAATTGAGAAAAATGAGAAACGCGCCTCGGAAGCCGTTTGACTTCTGAGGCACATTCAAAAACGGAAGCATTTACTTCCAGGTTTTTGGCGTTTGACTTCTGAAACGTTTGGCAGCCGAGACGTTCAAAACTGAGGTTCCACTGTATATAGAGAGATTCACTCAAAATAAGCCTGGTTTCACTATCCAAAGAGGACTGGAATTTGGATCAGCCTTAATTGGAGCCCAGGTAGTCTCAAAGAAGCAGTGCTTTTACATCAGGCTTTGCTAACCGGGAGTTTTGGACTACAATTCCCATCAATCCCTTAGGCACCCCAGGCATGTTGGGCCTACAGTTGCCAAGCAGCCTCCAGGGTTGTCAAGGCTGGCAGATTAATTTTTTTGCAGATTTCTTCAGCGATGGGTCTTAAAAATATGGGTTTTGGGTGTGAGGAATTCAAATCTGCTAGCATTTTTGTGACTGGACAACATTTAGCTTGGTAAATCTATGTTTGATTAAAGAGCACATAAATTGTTCTTTTTAATGCATTTTAATGTTTTGATGTTGTATTTTAATCTTGTTTTTAAGTTGTATTTCAATCAATTTGTTTTTATATCGGTTTTTAGCCATCCTGAGCCTGGTCTTGGCTGGGGAGAGCGGGATATAAATAATTTTTTAAAAAATATTATTATTATTGTTATTAGGAGGGTCCTGAGTCCTGACCTGTTCCTTTCAACTCCGTCTTCTGTAAGGCACCCCTGTACTTTGTCTTCAGTTGCAGTGATACACCTTCTCTCTCTGACCTCTCAGGTTCTTTGGGGTCCCGTTTGAATGAGCTCAAGCAGAAGGTGGTGGCAGAGAACCCGCAGGAGTACGGCGTTGCTGTGCCACGTGAGTAAACCCCGCTTTTCTTTTCTTTTCCATGGCAAAATGCACCTCCTGCCTCACCCCAGCACCTCCACCGTTTATGCCAAGCCTTTCATTACAGTCTTGTCAGGTGAAATGTGCATTTGGCAGACCTGAGAGGGAAGGCTTCCATTGCAATCTATAGCTGTAGAAAAAGCTGGGAGCAGTGAGCAAGAAACTGGAATGGGTGGGGGTGGGGGTAGAGAGAGAAAGAGGGAGAGGGAAAGAGAGAGGGAGAGAGAGAAAGAGAGAGAGAAAAGAGGGAAGAGAAAAAAGAAAGAAAGAAAAAGGGAATGAGAGAAAGAAAGAGGGAGAGAGGGGGGGAGAGAGAATGAGAGAGAAAAAAGAGGGAGGGAAAAGAAAGAAAGAGCGAGAAAGAGAGGGAGGAGTGAGAGAAAAAGAAAGAAGGGGGAGAGAGAGAGAGGGAAAGAAAAAGAAAGAAAGAAAGAAAGAAAGAAAGAAAGAAAGGGAGAGAGAGAAAGAGAGAGCAAAAGAGGGAGGGAGATAGAAGGAAGGAAGGAAGGAAGGAAGGAAGGAAGGAAGGAATAGAGAATCAAAGGCAGATGAAACAGGGCCAGGAGGGATTCCGGACTGCAGGTATTCCTGATTTATAAATGTGTGTGTGTGTGTGTGTGTGTGTGTGTGTGTGTGTATGAATGAATAAATAAATAAATAAATAAATAAATAAATTAGAGCCATGGGGCACCACAATTAAAAATCCATGCGACTTCCAAAACATTTGGAAACCAAAGCGCGGCTTCTACATCCAATCGGAAGCTGCGGAAGCCCCGTCGGACATTCGGGTTCCAAAGAACGTTCACAAACTGGAACACTCACTTCCGGGTTTGTGGTGTTCGTGAGCCAAAATGTCCAAGTACCAAGGCGTTCGGGATGCAAGGTCTGACTGTGTATCATTTCCCAAAATTCTTTGCGACCTTACTTTTCCACCACATATGATAGAAGGTGCTTTCTTTTTTCTTACATTTCCAACATACATTTGACCCTGTTTTATACATTTTTGCTAATTTACTGGGAGTCTGGCTGTCTGAAATTCACCACCTGAACCTTCCACAGAGATGGCACGGACAGAAAGGTATGCATACCAGACACCAGCAGGTGAGCGGACTCTCAGGCTGTGCATTTAGCCAGGATCCCTTTAAAGGTCTGCTGTTGAAGTTTATATGGGACAAGTTGGAACCTGCAAGAATACGTTGCAGTGTGCGGCGCTCCCTTTCAAGATTCAAGCCCGCCAGCTGGCTAGTGGTGCCCTCTTCCAGGACACTCCATTCCAGAAGACACCTCTCACCCACCCAGTCATTAAGGAGAGATAGGGACGCGGGTGGCACTGTGGTCTAAACCACTGAGCCTCTTGGGCTTTCCGATTGGAAGGACGGAGGTTCGAATCCCTGCAACGGAATGAGCTCCCATTGCTCTGGCCCGTCTCCTGCCAACCTAGCAGTTCGAAAGCACGCCAGTGCAAGTAGATAAATAGATACTGCTGCGGCGGGAAGGTAAACGGCATTTCCGTGTACTCTGGTTTCCATCACGGTGTCCCGTTGCGCCAGAAGCGGTTTAGTCTTGCTGGCCACATGACCCGGAAAGCTGTCTGTGGACAAACACCGGCTCCCTTGGCCTGAAAAGCGAGATGAGTACCGCAACCCCATAGTCGCCTTTGACTGGACTTAACCGTCCAGGGGTCCTTTACCTTTTAAGGAGACATGTATTAAAATTGCTCCATTTAAAGGTCTGAAAAACAAACAAACAAGTGAATGATTCTCAAACGCAATGGCGGAGGAAGGGTGTGTGTGGTCCACCCCGGGTGTCATTACTGAGGGGTATGTGTGATAAAATGAGTTTAAAAAATTTTTAAAAATTGGGCTCACGAAACTTTTTAGGAGTGATGTGGTGGCTTCAGGCGCCTGCCTGAGACGGCAGTGTGGGTCTTGCGCCTGCCTACTGCCTCTCCCTCAGCCGCCCTACAGCTGAGGGGGAGGTGGCAGAGAGGCTCCAAGCGCAGGAGAGGCTCGCCCCGCCCACAAGGACATATTGCCCCGCCCCCGGCTGCAGGACACGCCCCCCGCACCAGGCATCCGAGCGGCTAGCTGCACCACTGCTCAAATGCAGACCTTAATATTTTGAAGCCTCTGTTTCCCCGTGAATTATGTTCACACGCAACTTGCCACACTGGGAGCAAGTGGCGGTGAGAGCGTGAAACTGCTCCAAAGGGCCGCTGAATTGGGATGATGGATGACTTGCTATTAAGCCATCCATCCGTGGCAGATGACAGAAATAATTATCCCAGAATGTCTTAAATAAGTGCTGTATATGCACGCATGCCTCATAACTCAGCAAACCCCCACCCCCGGCCACTGCGGATGATTTGAAAGCTGTGCACAGATGGGTTCTTCGTCTCTTGGGATCCCAAATGCAGAAACTGCCTTCTACCTTAGAAGGGCTGTAGGCACACCTGAGCAGAGACACCGTTCGTGCCAAGCGTGTGTATGTTTTGTGTGCACGCACGTGGGGCACTTCTTGCCCCCAGAGATTCTCCTTGGCTTGTTTGCTGCGATTTTCGCTGCGCTCATCAGAGTGTGCCTGGTCCCGAGGGTTTTTTTTAAACAGAGTTGGCGTGGAGGTGGCATTTCAGCTGCCAAGCATCTGTCTCGGTTGGCCTGGCTGCTCCCACGGGGATTGTAAGAGGGGAAGGGGAGCAGAGGGTCACCCCGCCTCTCCCCACAAGCACCTCACAGACCCATGTCCACGCCAGTGTTCTTCAACCTTGGGTCCCCAGATGTCACTGGACTTCTTCTTCGTCTTTGGCGATCACTTGTAGCCGAGTAAGATTGTCTTCCATAAACACTGTTTTAACAGCGGGTCTGTAAGTGACTGTGGAGGCCGATTCTGGATACACACATCCTTCCACAGTGGGGACATTGGTTTCCAGGCAGGAGTTGATCAAGGTGAGGGTTTGCCAAGCATGCCTTCCTCTTAGCACATTTCTCCCTTTCGTCCCGCATTCGAGCTTCTTCAAAGCCCATGACACCTTTGGTAAAGGCTGTTCTCCAGTTGGAGCACTCGCAGACCAGTGTTTCCCAATTGTTGGTGTTTATACTACATTTTTAAAGATTTGCCTTGAGAGAGTCTTTAAACCTCTTTTGTTGACCACCAGCATTACACTTTCCATTTTTATGTTCGGAATAGAGTAGTTGCTTTGGAAGATGATAATAAGACATCTGCGCAACATGACCAGTACAACGATGTTGATGTTGAAGAATCATTGCTTCGACATTGGTGATTTTTGCTTCTTCCAGTACATTGGCATTAGTTCGCCTGTCTTCCCAAGTGATGTGTAAAATTTTTCGGAGACACCGTTGTCAACGGTGCCCTTGGACTACAGCTCTCATCATCCCTCGTCTTTGGCAAAGCTGGTTGGGGAGGATAGGGGTTGTAATCCAATTTTGGGCACCTCAATTTAAGAAGGATGAGATGGAACGTGCGCAGAGGAGGGCGATCAGGATTGGCAAGGGTTTGGAAACAAAGCCTTATGCGGAACGGTTGAAGGAGCTGTGTACGTTTAGCCTGGAAAAGAGGAGACTGAGAGGAGATACATTAGCCATCTTCCAATATCTCAAAGGCTGTCACATGGAAGAGGAACAAGCTTGTTTTCTCCTCCTCTGGAGCGGAGGACTTGAACCAACGGCTCCCAGTAACAAGAAAGGAGATTCCGACTCAACTTCAGAAAGAACTTTCTGACACTAAGAGCTGTTTGACAGTGGAACGGACTCCCATGGAGGTGGTGGACTTTCCGTGGAGGTTTTTAAGCAGAGGTTGGGTGGCCATCTGCCATGGATGCTTTAGCATTGCAGGGGGGTTGGACCAGAGGTCCCTTCCAACTCTACTATTCTACGATTCTAGGAATTTTGGAGACAAAAGGTTGCAGAACTTGGACCTGCAGAGCCCACGTTGCTGTGGGGCAGGCACGATATAGAAGGCAGGTGCTTACAGGGCAGAATAAGTCTGAATGGCTTGATCTGATGGAATCCAACACCATTTGGAAGTTCCACATCGCTGGGTTAAACTATGCAAAGCCACCTCTTGCATTCTACCCAGGGCAAAACTCAAGCAGTGGGGTTTTGGGGTTTTTTTGCTGGGAGTGTAAACAAAACAAAACAAAACAAAACCCCATGCCCAACATGCTGCAATTCCCTGATCCTAATTCCATCACTCATGCCTATAATTTTAAATATATATATATATAAAACATTAAATGCACCCACTCACTTAACATCATATGCTTAGCCTATAAAAGGGTTTGGATATAAGTGCAGGGGCTTCTCTTTCCAACTTTTCTTTCCTTTTTTTGCCCCTTAAAATGAGCCGCACCCCTTCTTATCACCTGCTTTTGATTTTGAAGCCTTCCTCTGTTTTGCATCAGCATTTTGTGCTTTTCAAAACATTGATGGCAGAGGGCTGTTGTTGTTTTATTCAACACAAAATTCTATAGTGAGCGGGGAGGCAGATTGCTTGCTTTGGTCCTAAATGCATTAGGACGGGTTGGGGTTTCAGGGTGGTGCAATAATCTGGCTTTCAACCGCTGCCGAAGAACAAGGTGATGGTGGTGGTGGCGGCGGCAGGAACTTCCTGATACGATTCTGAAACTGCTGGAATTAAATCAGAGCAGCAACGTTGGGAGAAATTTGCCGCCGCTGATGGAGGTGTTGAATAATTGAAACATTTGTAAGGCACCTAACTTGGCTATAAAATGTGAAAACCGTTTTGGGAGCCAACAAGATTATATAAATGTCCTCAGTGTGAGGCCAGATGCAGAATATCATTTCTGGCATCAGTAAAGTCCATGGAGAAATAGCTCGTGGCTGCTGAGTGCAAGGCTGGAATATAACCAGGGGGGAGTGGGGAGGTGGTAACCTACAACCCCCCAGCCTGATTTATTCTTTTGGCCTAATTTCATGGGGGTGTCAAGGAGGAGGAAAGAGGGTGCCAGTCAGACCCTGATGGATTACTTTTGACACAACATGACTGCCAACTGAAAAAGCGCTTCCCGTTCCTGAGGTGTGGTGTGTTCTGTGCTATGAAAAAATAAAATTTACCCACCAAGAGGAGCTAGATCAGTGGTTCCCAACCTTTTTTTGGCCATGCCCCACCTAAGCATCTCTAAAATCCTGATCTCTCTCCCCCGCCGTGACATAGAATTCTTATTACAGTGGACGCTCGGGTTGCAAATGTGATCTGTGCGGGATGCACGTTCACAACCTGTGTCTGCGCACGCGCGGGTTGTGATTCGGTGCTTCTGCGCATGCACAAAGCATGATTTAGCGTTTCTGCGCATGTGCGACTACCGAAACCAGGAAGTGACCCGTTCCGGTATTTCCGGGTTTTGGCAGTCCGCAACCTGAAAAAATGCAACCTGAAGCAGACGCAACATGAGGTATGACTATTCAAAAGTGAACTGTTCACATGGAGGAAGCCTGAAAGGCCATTAACTCGGTCTAAACAAGCTTCCAAATTGCCCACCTTAAAAATCACATTCCCCCCTGTGGGGTGTGTGCCCCATGTTGGGGACCACAGAGCTAGATTCTGCCACATTCCACCCAGGCCAGGACTTTTTTTCAGCCGGAACTCACCGGAACTCAGTTTCAGCACCTCTCAGGTGTGCGCCATTGCTATCGTAAGAGAACAAGGTGAGTTCATGGTGAGTTCCAGCATCTCTTTTTCTAGAAAAATAGCACTGCATTGAACCATAGAATTGTAGAGGTGGCAGGGACCCTGAGCATCATATAATCCAAACCCCTGCAATGTGGGACTCTCAAGTAAGGCATCCATGACAGATGACCATCCAACCTCGGCTTGAACATCTCCCAGGAAGGAGAGTCCATCACCTCCTGAGGGAGACCGTTCCATTGTCAAACAGCTCTTATAATCAGAAAGTTCTTCCTCATGTTTAGTTGGAATCTTTCTTGTAACTTGAATCCAGTGGTGCGAGTGCTACCCTCCGGAGCAGGAGAAAACAAGCTTGCTCCATCTTCTATGTGACAGCCCTTGAGATAATTGAAGATGGCTATCATCTCTCTTCTCAGTCTCTTTGTTACCAGGCAAATCAAGGGAAACTGTACACAGACTTGACCTGTGCCTCCATGGGCAGCTGTGAGTCCAAAATCTTCCCTGAGGCAGTTGCCTCACATTACTTCATGTGTGGGCCGGCCCTGCCGGCCCACTTAATAATAAAAGCAGAAAGAAGACCAAGCAGACATAATGAAACCTTTCCATCAATTCAGAGTACAGTGGTACCTCGGGTTAAGTACTTAACTCGTTCCAGAGGTCCGTTCTTAACCTGAAACTGTTCTTAACCTGAAGCACCACTTTAGCTAATGGGGCCTCCCGCTGCCGCCAGTCTGCCGGAGCACGATTTCTGTTCTCATCCTGAAGCAAAGTTCTTAACCCGAGGTACTATTACTGGGTTAGCGGAGTCTGTAACCTGAAGCGTCTGTAATCTGACGCGTAAGTAACCCGAGGTACCACTGTACAGTCTTAAATGTATGGGGTGGAGGATGGCGTTGCAAAAAGAAAGAAAAAACGTGTTCAGATACTTTCTCTTGCCAAGTTCCAAAGCTGCATCGTAAGCTCAATTTTAGTTAGTGTTGTCTTCGTTAACTTGCAAATGAGGGGGGGGGGGAGTTGGGTTGGCCGTCAAGCGGTTTTGCTTCCATCCAGCAAGCTCAACCGAATTTCTGGGGCAGTTCAGTTAATTGACAAGAACACGGCTTAGGAAACCGCGACCAAGGTGAAAGCCGCAGAATGCAGCCCAAGTTAGGAAATCAGTTTCCGGAGGGGGAGGGAGGGAGCAACATGAGCCTGAAAAACTGCCTGTCTCCTGCCCACCCCTAAGAGAGCCTACGGGACTTCGGCTGGAGCCCTGCCCAGAGGACGCAGAGTTAGTGAAGGGCATGCATTTGCTTCCCCTCCTCGAGTGATTGAAACCCTTCAGACACTGCGTGTAGATAGAAGCAAGCCTTTTAAAACAACAACCCCAAACCCAGTGTACTTTGCAAACACATTCTCCAAACTTTTATGTAGCCAGAACAACACCGTTCTTGCAAAATGAGGTTGTGTTTGCAGATATACCACGGAGGGTGGGGGAATCACTTTAGATAAAAGCCTTAGGCCCTAAAGGTTAGGAACTCAAAAACAGACCAAAGATCACAGGGCTGTTCACAACATAGCACAAGAACGTAGCTGCAGTTGAAGATGGATAATACAGTGGTACCTCGGGTTAAGTACTTAATTCGTTCCGGAGGTCTGTTCTTAACCTGAAACTGTTTTTAACCTGAAGACCACTTTAGCTAATGGGGCCTCCCGCTGCCGCCGCACCACCGGAGCACGATTTCTGTTCTCATCCTGAAGTAAAGTTCTTAACCAAAGGTACTATTTCTGGGTTAGCGGAGTCTGTAACCTGAAGTGTATGTAACCTGAAGCGTATGTAACCCGAGGTACCACTGTATTGCACATGATATAAGAGTAAAAACAGCAGGAAAATCCGGGGTGAACACCCAAAGACTTCGCTGCAGCAGTAACAGGTTCTGGGATGAACATAACATTTGTTAAAGTATGAAATTTACTGGCACTGCCATTTTATTACCCCAAATTTGTCTTCATTTTTGGCATTTCCATGCTGCTTTAAAAAAATAATAATATTCATTTGGTTTTTCAAATTAAAGTTTTACAATCACATATCCAACATACAACATAAAAACAAGATTCCAAAGAATTTCCTGGACTTCCTTCCTCCCCTTTGTGGGTCCTGTTGTTAATCATTTCCTCCCGCATCATTTATAATAATCCAAATCTTTTACATCTCCATTATGTCCACAATTCACCATTAAACTACAAGTGATATTCCAATCCTACTAACGGTTTTAACTGTTTACAACGATTTTTAAGATAAATTATAAATTTTCCCCATTCCTTATTAAAAAATTGGTCTTCCTGATTTCTGATTCTTCCAGTCGTTTTTGCCATTTCGGCATAAACCATCAACTTAATCTGACATTTGTCTCTGGTCGGGACTTTATCTTCTTTCCATCTCTGGGCAAATAATATCCGTGCAGCCGTGGTCACATATATAAAAAGTATTTTCTGCTCCCTTGGGATTTCAGCACCTAGAATTCCTAAAAGGAAGGCTTCAGGTTTTTTTCTTTCTATGCTGCTTTTCGGCCCTAAACCCCCCTCCCCCTCCCAAAAACACCAATTAAACTAAAACAAAAATGCCACGAGGAAATGTACACACACACACACACACACACACACACACCCCTCTCCTCTCTTTCACTACCAGGGACCTCCTCTCTTTCACTACCAGGCACACTTGCTTTGCTATGCTGTTGTCGCATGCTGTATTTTCTAGTCTATAAGACACCCCAAGTATAAGACGCCCCCTATTTTTGGTGACTCAGATTTAAGAAAATGGAAGGAGATGGCCCAGAGTTTGAGCTTTTTTTTTTTTGGAGGGGATTGCCCACAGTTTCTGAGCTTTTTTTGTGGGGGAGGTTGTCGAAAATCACTCACCCGCCTTACCAATCACCGCCACCAACCACCATTCAACAGACCGCTTGCCGCCACCAACCGCCATTCAGTTGCCTGATTGCCTACAGCAGGCATAGGCAAACTCGGCCTTCCAGATGTTTTGACACTACAATTCCCATCATCTCTGACCACTGGTCCTGTTAGCTAGGGATGATAGGAGTTGTCCCAAAACATCTGGAGGGCCAAGTTTGCCTATGCCTAGCCTACAGCAACTGGCATTTGACTGGCCGCTCACCGCAGCGCCAGCCTATCAACAGCATTTTTAAAGGAAGAAACCCTAGTCTTATACACAGAAAAATACGGTATGTATTCATCTCTAGAGGATGAAGATTGGGAAGGAACAAATTCTACTAGTTTGGAGCAGAAGGAGCTATTCAAGGCACAAACACCCTCCCTTTTTCTCCTGAGCATTTTTTTTTTTTTTTGGTTAAAAACAAAATGACTGAGTTTTTAAAATAGCAATTATCAGCGGGCAGGCGGTGGGTGGGGGTGGTGAGTCTTGATGATTTCAAATGCACGATCGCACAAACGGTGCTGGCGCCTGAATTCAGAACACTGCTTGTCAACTCCGGGGATGATCCAGTGGTGCTTGTTTTTAGGGTGGCGCTGTGGGTTAAACCACTGAGCCTAGGGCTTGCCGATCAGAAGGTCAGCGGTTCGAATCCCCGTGGTGGGGTGAGCTCCCGTTGTTTGGTCCCTGCTCCTGCCAACCTAGCAGTTCGAAAGCACGTCAAAGTGCAAGTAGATAAATAGGTACCGCTCCGGCGGGAAGGTAAACGGCGTTTCTGTCCGCTGCTCTGGTTCGCCAGAAGCAGCTTAGTCATGCTGGCCACATGACCCGGAAGCTGTATGCCGGCTCCCTTGGCCAATACAGCGAGATGAGGGCTGCAACCCCAGAGTCGGTCAGAACTGGACCTAATGGTCAGGGGTCCCTTTACCTTTACCTTTAGGGTGGGTGGGAGCTGGGTTGAGGGCTTCAGTTTTGGGTGGAAGGATGTTGCCTGCTCTGGCCTCCATTGGCTGCGGTGGCCAGGTTTGATAGAAGCTGTAGACCAAAACCTGTAGCAGGCACCACAGTGGCTGCCACTGCCATAAATGGACAACACACCTACCCATTGAGGAGAAAAACAGACAAGTAGAACAAAGGTTTCTCAGAGGTCAGGTCTATGGAGGCCCCACCACTGCTCTGTCATGAGTCTTTGGGGGTCAAAGTTGTTTATTGTTGTTGTTGTTGTTGTTATATTTTTTTATTAATTTTCAATTACAATCCAATAATAGCCTCACTATAACAATACCAAATTATAATACAATTACTAATACCAATCATTCAAATACCGAATTATATCATTTAGATGGCTCCCCATGTGCTAGAATCAGTGCTTTGATGATTTTCTTTATTTCTGCGTTCCAAAATCTTATTAATTTCAATTACATTCCAGTCAAAATAATAATCCCTTATACAACAACTGCAATATTCATAACTTTGATTCATGTTGACACATTAAATCATGGGTAGGCAAACTAAGGCCCGGGGGCCGGATCCGGCCCAATCGCCTTCTAAATCCAGCCCGCGGACGGTCCGGGAATCAGTGTGTTTTTACATGAGTAGAATGTGTGCTTTTATTTAAAATGCATCTCTGGGTTATTTGTGGGGCATTGAAATTCGTTAATTTTTTCCCTTCAAAATATAGTCCGGCCCCCCAGAAGATCTGAGGGACAGTGGACCGGCCCCCTGCTGAAAAAGTTTGCTGACCCCTGCATTAAATGATCTATAGAACTAGAAGCGTGGCACTCGGGCTATATCCTTGTTCGGTGCCAAAGTTTTAACTTGTCTCTTTCAGTGGCACTTTAGCAAACTGAACGCTGGACAGCCAAGGACAGACGAAAGATAAAAAGTACAGCTTCATGCAGCGCGAAGTTAAACTGTGGAATTTGCTCAGGAGGCCGTGATGGCGACCATCTTGGATGGCTTTAAAAGAGGAATGGACAAATTCTTGGAGGAGAAAGCTACTGATGGCTACTAGCCATGAGGGCTCTGCTCTGCCGCCCCAGTCATGCTTCTGAATACCAGTTGCTGGAAACCCACAGAAGGCCACAGAGTTCTTGTCCTTGGGTCCTGCTCGCAGGCTTTCCACAAGCAACTGGTTGGCCACTCCAGTAACAGGAAGCTCTGGACTGGATAGGCCAGGCATAGGCAAACTCGGCCCTCCAGATGTTTTGGGACTACAACTCCCATCATCCCTGACCACTGGTCCTGTTAGCTAGGGATGATGGGAGTTGTAGTCCCAAAACATCTGGAGGGCCGAGTTTGCCGATGCCTGGGATAGGCCATTGGCTTGATCCAGGCAGGCTGTCCTTATGTTCTACATCATTCTAAGATGGTGTTGGGCTTTCGGAGGAAGAGAGGAGAACTAGCCCCAATGTACATCGGAGAGGGCTGTGTGGAGAGTCTCTTCCTTTAAATTCCCAGGAGTTTATCTCAGTGAAGACCTTACTTGGAAAATAAATACAACCCAGGTGGTTAAGAAAGCCCAACAAAGACTCCATCTCCTCAGAGTATTGCGGAAGAACAATGTCAATCAACATTTGACGATCTCCTTTCATACTGCATCATGGTGTGGTACGCTGGTTTGACATCATCTGATAGGAAGTGCCTACAGAGGGTGGTGAATACAGCACAAGATATTATGGGCTGTCCCGTGAATCCGCTGGATGAAACAGTGGAAGAACGTTGCCTCAGGAGAGCGAGGAAAATTCTCAGGGATGATTCACACCCTGGCTGGCACTTTCTTGATCTCTAGCCCTCAGGCAGAAGATATAGAAGCATGATTAGTCGCACCAACAGGGTAAAGAACAGCTTCTATCTGTGGGCTGTTAGGTTGCTGAATGAAAAGATAACAACAGGGCAATTGACTTTCGGGTTTGGTGGGTGTGCGTCAGTAAATGAGGGGAATTAAGACTAAGAGAGCTGAGTGGGGGGTGCTCGTGTAATCTCACTGTATACAAGTTGTACAAGTGACAATAAAGTATTTCAATAATTAAGCCTTGAGGATTGGTTTGCCACCCAGAAGCAGCAGTGGAGGAAGCCTCTTGGGCACCTGAAGCGGCATACCCATTGGCAGGGCAAACCACCCATAGGGTCTGGGCGGGGCACACAGCACCCATAGGGATGGGGCACACTATGGGGCCTCAGCTGGCCAACAGCTGGGGGGGAGGCAGCAGGTGGACAGGGTGGCGCCTGCAGGTGCCTGAGACGCGTGGCTCGGCCACGCTGCAGGCCCAGCGGTGAGTGCTGCCCGCCATTTTGTCAGTGGAGGCACCCAGGGCAGGCCACACCTGCTGCTCCCCCCTTGCTATGCCCCTGCCCAGAACAAATTCTCCTTTGCAAATGGCAATGCCACATTTATCATGTTGATATGGTCTGATTCTTTTTTTTTTTAAATGATATTTATTAAGGTTTCAAAAGAAGGATACATAAATAAGAAAGAGAAAAATAGAAAAAAGAAAAATACAAAATACAAAGAAAAATAAAAATTAAAAACAATTCCATCATTTCATCACTTCTCTTTCATTTACTTGTTTCCTGGACCTCCTCATACCTCCCTTTTTTGTATTCCAGTTCAATTTATTAGTCCAGCAATTCCTTTCCCTCCTTTTTAATCCTGATCTTTAATCTTAATATATTATAGCATTAGGTTTTTACGTATAGAAAATCCAATTTTTCCATATTCTTTTATACCATTACAGCTAGAAACCACAACTTCAATCCAACATCATTCTAACATTCATTAATTTTACAATATTTCTGTAAGTAGTCTTTAAATTTCTTCCAATCTTCTTCCACCGACTCTTCTCCCTGGTCTCGGATTCTACCAGTCATTTCCGCAAATTCCATATAGTCCATCATTTTCATCTGCCATTCCTCCAGTGTGGGTAGGTCTTGTGTCTTCCAATGCTTTGCAATAAGTATTCTTGCTGCTGTTGTGGCATACATAAAGAAAGTTCTGTCCTTCTTTAACACCGATTGGCCGACTATGCCCAGGAGGAAGGCCTCTGGTTTCTTCAAGAAGGTATATTTAAATACCTTTATTAATTCATTATAAATCATCTCCCAGAAAACCTTAATCCTTGGGCACGTCCACCAAAGGTGAAAGAATGTACCTTCAGTTTCTTTACATTTCCAACATTTATTATCGGGCAAATGGTAGATTTTTGCAAGCTTGACTGGGGTCATGTACCACCTGTATATCATTTTCATAATATTCTCTCTTAAGGCATTGCATGCCGTAAACTTCATACCTGTGGTCATATGGTCTGATTCTTGGCTTCCTCTCTTTCTCTCTCTCTCCCCCCCAGATACCACAAGGTCGAAGAAGAGCCACGAAAAGGAAGGCGTGGAGTACAATTTTGTTTCTAAGCAGTCGTTTGAGACAGATGTGCAGCATAACAAGTAGGCCTTGATGTCTTGTGCTTTTGTTGGGGGGAAAGGAAAGTATTTCTCTTCAGAGGAAGACTCCAGAATCCGATTTGTATGCAGAGAGGCTACCATCCTCTTTGCTAATAGAAGCTTCTGGGCTCTTAAAAAAAAACCGGCCAGGGAATTTTTGTTGTTGAGCTGCACACATTTTCTTAATATGGGATTGTAGTGAATGAGAAAACTACAACAGTGGGTTTTTATCATTATTATTATATGGTCACAGACCCAGCAAAAACAACAAAATCATACAATTTCTAACTTTACACAGAGTTAAAATATATGGTGCTTATATAAACTGTAGCCCAGAAGCAAGCCAAAAATACAGTTAAATTATGAAAGCCCCTTCATGGCTCTTTGAAAGGAAAAACCAAGCAACTCTTTCCACTATTATTTTGTTCAAGTCAAGCAGTAAGTAGGCCACATAGCATTCAAAAGTCATTCCTGACTATTTTAGTGGGATGAGAGTACGTAACCTATTTTGCTCATCTCTGCAAAAGTTGCATGCAAAAAGAGCAGGTCTTAATGCTTCTGTTGCTCCACCCCCACAGGGGCAGAGCCGTTTTATTATATGGAGTACCCTCAAAGCAGCCATCTAGTACGGCAGAAGGAAAACTATTAAATCTAACCCTACAAAAGATCACCAGCTGGTATTTGAGAACAGTCAGGTTACCCATGTAATTTTTCTGTAAAAGTACAGTATTTACATTCCACTCTCTTGCAGAGCATCAGGGCAGCATGCAAGCACATGAAAACATGTAAAAGCAATATGAAGCAATCATTAAAATCACCGACTGCTCAAGGCACATTTGAAACAACTGCATAGGCCCGTCAGCATGAACAAATCTGGGAAACGATATATAATGAAATGAAAAGGATGTTTGAAATAACTTTTGTAAAAAAACCCACACCAGAAGCTTTTCTTTTGGGAATTATAGGGACAGAACTACCTAAAACGTATAGAAATTTATTTATTTATGTATGCTACTACAGCGGCAAGAATGTTACTTGCCCCCCAAATGGAAATAATCAGAAGTCCCAGCAAAGGAACAATGGATACAAAAACTTATGGAATATGCAGAAATGGTGAAACTTCCCGGAAGACTAAGAAATCTCTGACTTTTGTCTTCTGGGTTTCTGGGGGTTTTCCTGTTGTTATTCTGTCTCTCTCAGCTACAATAAACTTACCATTAAAATTATGGACTGGTCATTTCTTCGTCAGAGGGCAAACGGGCAAATTTAGCAGGGGATCAAATACTTTCCCCCCCTCACTGTGTTTGCCTTGTACATTTATGAACATTTTATTTATATATTTTAGACCTTATAATTCCTATAACAACACAAAAGATTGATCCTTCCTTCCCATGTCAAATAAAATACTAAATATTAAATTTCCTCTCTGACATGGTAGGATTTCTTTTTTCATGCTGATAGCCACAACTCTGAAGACTTTCCCGCCCCAGAAATAAGTGTCTAGATAGGATTATCCCCGTTTTGTGAAGCTGGTTGGCTGCATTTCTCTCTGGAATGGATTCAGATTTCTAGCCTTTTATTCTCCTGGTGGTGACACCAGAATGATCAAAAGCAGTAATCCCTTTTAATCACGTTGTCTGCAGCCAACATTTCTTATTTTTTATTGAAGGAAACAGTGTTGTACTGTAATAAGCATATGACACAGTTCTGCTACTTTGAAATCTGAGCTGAATACTTTGAATTCTGCTCCACAGCTTAATTCCCTAAATGTTTTCAGGTTTGTAGAACATGGGGAGTATAAAGAGAATCTCTACGGGACAAGCCTGGAGGCAATTCAGTCGGTCATGTCCAGAAATAAAATTTGCCTTGTGGATGTCGTGCCTGAGGTAAACTGTCATGATTATTGTTATTTTGTGTTTTTTTAGAAAAATCTTATCTTCCAGAATTGTGTTTCAGTTCCACCTTACCTATAGGAACATGGGTTTTACACCAGCTTTTCGTTCATTGCTTGGGTTTCGATGGATCAGTTTCGGTTATAGTCACCCCATTATACGAAAAAGATTTTTTGAGACCAAATACCCACTTGGTGGACTGTTTCCCTTATTGGCTAGCAAAATAAAGGTAAAGGGACCGCTGACCATTAGGTCCATTCGTGACCGACTCTGGGGTTTCGGCGCTCATCTCGCTTTATAGGCCGAGGGAGCCGGCGTACAGCTTCCGGGTCATGTGGCCAGCATGACTAAGCCGCTTCTGGTGAACCAGAGCAGCGCACGGAAACGCCGTTTACCTTCCCGCCAGAACGGTACCTATTTATCTACTTGCAGTTTGACGTGCTTTTGAACTGCTAGGTTGGCAGGAGCAGGGACCGAGCAACGGGTCCCCCGTCGCAGGTATTTGAACTGCCGACCTTCTGAATGGCAAGCCCTAGGCTCTGTGGTTTAACCCACAGCGCCACCCGCGTCCCTGGCTAGCAAAATATGTTTGGCCAAATCAAGGCCTCTAGCTGTTGCCATAGAAGCTCCTTATTATTGGCTGGGGGTGTGATCCTTTCTCATTTAAGAGAGTCTGTAACCCAGGGTGAGCCATTATGGTGCTATTCAGATGTTTTGGACTACAGCTTCCATCATCCTTGTCCATTGGCCATGCTGGCTGGGGCTGATGGGAGTTGTAGTCCCTAACATTGGGAGGGTCCCTTGTCGGCTAACCCTGCTGGGGATGAGAGCCCTCCTTGGGATGAGAGCAGACAAATTGATTTACTGTAGACAAGACAGAGCTGTTGGTGGAGCAGGGAAACAGTGGATTTGTCTGCCCCAGATAGGATCATACTGTCTTTCCAGGGGCAGATAGGCAGGGTGATGCTTCACCTAAACCAGGGGTCAGCAACCCGCGGCTCCGGAGCTGCATGTGGCTCTTTTACACCTTTGCCGCGGCTCCGGGGCGGATACTAGCGAGGGGAGGAGGCGCATTGTGCTCCCCGACACTCCCCACTGTGGCGGGCGCTGTACTGGCTGTGACGTCACATGGGGGCGGTGCGTGCGTTAGTCACGCACCGTCCCGACGTCACCTTCCTGCCCGCTGTCAGATCGGAGGGCAGCAGCGCGCATGTTTGCGGCTCCCAGGTTTTTTTTCTTCGGAAACGGGTCCAAGTGGCTCTTTTTGTCTTAAAGGTTGCAGACCCCTGACCTAAACCCCTAAAACTGCTGACGGAGCCAGTGGCTTCAAAAGAGTGTTTAACTGCACAGTGAAAAGGATAGGGTTTCCAGGGCCATTACAAGCCCCCTCCTTAAGCATAAGGACGCAGGTGGCACTGTGGTCCATACCACTGAGCCTCTTGGGCTTGCCGATCAGAAGGTCAGCGGTTTGAATCCCCGCGATGGGGTGAGCTCCCGTTGCTCTGTCCCAGCTCCTGCCAACCTAGCAGTTCGAAGCACACCAGCGCAAGTAGATAAATAGGTACTGCTTCAGCAGGAAGGTAAATGGCATTTCGGTGCGCTCTGGTTTGCATCACGGTGTCTCGTTGCACCAGAAGCGGTTTAGTCATGCTGGCCACGTGACCCGGAAAGCTGTCTGTGGACAAACACCGGCTCCCTCGGCCTGAAAACAAAATGAGTGCCACAACCCCATAGTCGTCTTTGACTGGACTTAACTGTCCAGGGGTCCTTTACCTCCTTAAGCATACAAAGTGATTCATGCTGCCCCTATTTGGGGGTTAGCTTGAGGTGGCCATCCCAAATTAGGTGAATTGCCAAATGTGTGTGTGTTTGGGAGGGAAATACCAGGTCTAGTTTTGATTTCTCGCTTTAAGTTACTGTGCAGCATTTACAGATTGGTGAACGGGATTCTCCCTTTGTATTCCTGCCTGCCTAGGCTGTGACGCACTTGAGGACGGCAGAGTTCAAGCCGTATGTGGTATTTGTGAAGCCTCTCATCTCAGAAAAGAAAAAGAACGCCCCAGCATCTCTCCTGACGGATGAAATCTTCGTCCCGCTCGTAAGTATTTTGCGTGAAAAGCTAGTTTGCAGAAATGAGCCGCAACATCAAGGCGACTCCAGATTCTGCCCCGCTGAAAATGATCGCAAAGCAAACTCTACTCCCACCCACCCCAAGTGTGGTACTTTGCGATCTGTTACCAGCAGGGATCCCTTTTGCAAGACCATGTAAGACTACACCATGGGTAGGCAAACTATGGCCCGGGGGCCGGATCCGGCCCAATCACCTTCTAAATCCGGCCCACGAATGTGTTTTTACATGAGTACACATTTACACAGAGAATGTGTCCTTTTATTTAAAATGTATCTCTGGGTTATTTGTGGGGCCTGCCTGGTGTTTTCAAACAAACAAACAAACAAACAAACAAACAAACAGAATTTTAATTTATACTCCACCCTCCCTGGCCAGAATCGGGCTCAGGGTGGCTAACACCAATAAAATTACAATAAAACATAATAGAAAATGAAAAAAAAAGGCTAATTAAAATACGGGTTTAAAATACAATTTAAAATGCAGCCTCATGTTAAAATAGCTGATAAATCAAAACCATAAGGGGAGGCAAGACATAAGGGTCAGACTGAGTCCAAACCAAAGGCCAGGCGGAACAGCTCCATCTTGCAGGCCCTGCGGTAAGATGTCAGATCCCGCAGAGCCCTGGTCTCTTGTGACAGAGCGTTCCACCAAGTCGGTGCCAGTACTGAAAAGGCCCTGGCCCTAGTTGAGACCAATCTAACCTCCTTGCGGCTCAGGACCTCCAAAGTGTTGTTATTTGTGGACCTTGAGGTCCTCTGCGGGGCATACCAGGAGAGGCGGTCCCTTAGGTAAATGTGTAGAATGTGTGCTTTTATTTAAAATGCATCTCTGGGTTATTTGTGGGTCATAGGAATTCGTTTATTTATTTTTTTCAAAATATAGTCCGGCCCCCCACAAGGTCTGAGGGACAGTGGACCGGCCCCCTGCTGAAAAAGTTTGCTGACCCCTGAACTACACACTTCATTTCCATTTCAGTTGGGGGTTCAGGCCCTGCTCGGGCACTTGAGATAAATTTGCTTGCTCCGTGTGACGGCCTATATCAGGAGAGGGGGCAGGGGAAGTGTGTCGCTGCTGATTTCCCTTTACATCTCAGCGCTTTCAGCACCCTCCACGGGGGCATCCTTCCGGGGAGGCTGTCTCAGTCAGGAGTAGTGGGGACTCTCTTGCAGCGATTATGCTGCTACTTGGATGGCAATTTGACGATGTTGTTTGGGCCCGTGGATCTGCCAGCGTGCATTACAGCAGGGTTTGAATTTAGCGCCCATGCGGTTTAACATCTCTGAAACTGCGTGAGTGTGGCCATCCTGAGTTTTGGAGCACAGTATCATCAACATGTGACGCGGTGGACGTGGGTGGCACTGTGGTCTAAACCACTGAGCCTAGGGCTTGCCGATTGGAAGGTGAGCAGTTCAAATCCTCGCGACGGGATGAGCTCCCGTTGCTCTGTCCCAGCTCCTGTCCACCTAGCAGTTCGAAAGCACAAAGTGCAAGTAGATAAATAGGTACCGCTCCGGCGGGAAAGTAAACTGTGTTTCCGTGCACTGCTCTGGTTTGCCAGAAGCGGCTTAGTCATGCTGGCCACATGGCCTGGAAGCGGTCTGCGGACAAATGCCGGCTCCCTCGGCCTATAGAGCAAGATGAGCATGCAACCCCAAAGTCGTCCGCGACTGGACCTAACGGTCAGGGGGTACCTGTACCTTTACCTTTACCTATCATCAATATGCTGATGACACACAGCACTGCCTTCTCCTTTGCAGCTCAAGCAGGTATGGCAGTGTTTGTGTGCTAGATTGGGGCCTGTCCTTGGGAATGGACGGGATGAGAGCCAACAAACTGAAGCTCAATCCAGATAAGACTGAGACACCTTAGCTAAGATGTATAAGACTGAATCAGATAAGTGCTGGAGATGCAGTGAGGTTGAGGGAACGTTCTTTCACATGTGGTGGACTTGTAAAAGGGTATTGGGAAATAATCCATAATGAATTGAAAAAAAAAAGTTTAAAGTACTTTTCAAAAAAAAAACAGAGTCCTTTTTGTTGGGGATAATTCAGACGGAAATTCCCAGGTGTTTAAAAAAGGTTCTTTATGTACAGTATGCCACCACTGCGGCCCGTGTTTTGTTAGCCCCCAAATGGAAAATGATCGAGGTCCCAACCAAAGAAGAACGGCAAATTAAACTGATGGAATATGCGCAGCTTGCAGACTTAACATACAGAATAAGAGAACAAGAAGAACATACGTTTAGAGACGATTGGAAAACGTTTATTGAATACATGGGGGGGGGGAATTGTGTGCACCTGAAAACGTTGGCAGCATTCAGATAAATTCAACAGCGTAAATAAGTTTTGATGGATGTTATAATGGAATACTGAATGGTATAGTTTGTGTAAAATATGCAGGGATTTATGATATGCAGAATGAACCATGGGAAGAGAAGAAGGGAAGTCATTGATATTTTAAGGTTGTTTAAATGAATATTATAAAATGTAAGACAGAAAATTTAATAAAAATTATATATATATAAAAAACGGATAAGACTGAGACACTGTTAGTGATTGGTTCCTCTGTCCAGATTAGTGGAACATATCCTCTTCTGGATGGGTTTACCCTCCACTTGAAGAAGCAGGCGCACAATTTGCACCCAATGCTGCCATTGGAGGCACCGTGGCAAAAAGTACCTTCTACCAGCTTCAGCTGGTAGCCTAGCTGAATAGGGGATAGCCTCGCTTCAGTTGCCTATGTGCTGGTAATCTCCAGGATAGACTACTGCAATGTGTTGTACGTTGGGCTCCCCTTGAAGACTGTTTAGAAGCTGCAGCTCATGTAGGATGTGGTGGCTGGATTGTTAAATGGAACCAGAAGACGTGAGCATGTAGCACAGGTTCTGGCTTAACTGCCTTGGCTACCAATTTGTTTCTGGGCCCAATTCAGAGTGCTGGCCTTGACCTGTAAAGGCACATACAGCTTTACGCAGAGGATGGAATGAGGCAGGTGGAAACAGGGAAAGGAGAATGTTAGCCGCTTTGAGACTTCTTAAAGGGAGTGAAAGGCGGGATATCAAATCCAAACTACTCCTCCTCCTCCTCTTCTTCTTCTTCTTCTTCTTCCTCCTCCTCCTCCTCCTCCTCCTGGTGGCAAGCACAAGGCCGCAGTCATGGCTTCCCCCAAAGAATCCTGGGAGCTGTGGTCTATTATTGGTGCTGATAGTTGCTAGGAGACCCTTCATTCCTCTCACAGAACTACAGCTCCCAGAATTCCCTTTGAAAAGATGGATAGTTGACTTTTAAACCATTCTGGGCATTGTAGTTCTGTGAGGGGAATAGGGGGGTCTCCTCACTACTCTCAGCACCCATAAAAAACTACAGTTCCCATGATTCTTTGGGGGGGTGAAACCATGACTAAGTAATAGAGCAGTGCTTTGAATTGTTTGGTGCAAAAAGGGCCATAGTCTCTTTCCCCCTCACAGGCTTATCTGCAAGTAACAAAACCTGCTTTCTGCGGCAACATGTCTCAACCTGAGGGTTTTCTTTCTTGGCTAATGCCCAAATGGTACTGCACCCCCAGTAGTGTAGCTAGCCGGGGGGTGAGGGAAAGGGGCATTTCGCATAGGGGGGCATAGTGTGCCACAGGGGTCTTTAGGGTGCTACAGGAGTCTGTAGTGCAGCATGGTGGCTGCTTTGAGTTGGGGGTTGGGATTCTGGGCGGCAGGGGAGCTTGTGGCTTCTGGTCGTTTTGGGCACTGGGGGGGATGGCGGAGCTGGTGGGGGTTGCTACGTCGTCTCATGTTGTCCTTTTTGTTTTTGATTTGCAGGATGAGGAGCAGCAAGAAATGCTCAGCTCGGCTGCCTTCATCGAAGAGCAGTACGGCCACCTGATTGACACTGTCCTGGTGAAGGAAGATTTGCAGAGTGCCTGCAGCCAGCTGAAAACCATCCTGGAGAAACTGAGCACAGACTCTTTCTGGGTGCCAGTCTCTTGGGTCAGGTTGTAGTCTGCTATGCTGTGCCAAAGAAAGAAAAAAACGAACAAACGAAAGAGAACGAGATATACCTGTTTGATAACGCGCTGTAAATAATGTGGATGATCAAAAGGAGTAGGGGGAAATGGAACTCTGCTGGAGCAGCCAGTTTGCTTGGGATGAAAACAAAGAGAAACCTTCCTCTGTGTGGGAGCAGATTCTAATGCAATCGGAAAACACACACGTTGCAATGGAATGGAAAAGCGCCGCAGGATACAATCCAGAGATTTTTCTTTTGTATGCCACTGGACAATAGTCATGTCAGATTCCAGGTGTCTGGACAGAAGCCTTTAGCTTTTGGGAAACTTGCAATTGTGTTTGTTTGTTTGTTTGTTTGTTTGTTTGCAGTATTTCTAGGTTGTGCTGTAACGAAGATCTTAGGGCTGCTCACGACAAAAATAACGATAACAGGATGAACAAAGAAGCATAAATGCAGTGTAAAAAAAAAAGGCTCCGTATGTGGTGGTTCCAGGCAAAGACTGCAAAAACATTAGGAATAACACACAAGTTCGGTTTTTCTGTTGATCACTGCAATCTTGGAAAGATAAATTCAGTGAAAGAGTTAAGTTCATGTAACGAAATAAGGTACTTTTATTCGTTCGTTTATTTACTTCTTAACCAGGCTAGAACTGGGAGAGCTCTTATTCAGATGGTAAAAGTTGGTGCTTTTTTGTGAAAGGCGAACTCTCCCAGGGCAAATCAGCAAGGCTATTAACTTCCTGCCTGAAAAATGAACCATGTTATGTAACCTAAATATAGCCCCAACTATAGCTAACTATATTCTGAGCAGCCAAAGACCATCGGGGATTGTTTTTGTTCCTCCTATTGTATTTGCAAGTTGCCCTAAATAATGGACTAAGAAGTGTGTTTGAAGCACGGGGAACTTTCCATCTTTCTAACCGGAAAAACCAACTATTTAGAAATAAAATCCCAAATAAACAAATGGCTAGGGAGGTATATATGCAGGGATGTCCCCAGAATATGGGTTTTCGTGGCAGCTTTGTGGATTGTATGTGTTGGCTGGCATTGTTTGTTGGAAGAGGGAGTTATGGGAGTCGTTTATAAGTGTGAGGAGTCAGGAGACTGCCCAGTATGTTTCTTGCTTGTTTTAGTTTCTTCCCTGAGCCCCCCCCCCCCGCACTCCAAAAATCCATGCAGATTTTATATTCCAGTGTAATAATATTTCCATGTGTATTTATTTGTAATAATAATTCCCATAGAGGGTGCCACAGGGTTCTGTCTTGGGCCCGGTCTTATTCAACATCTTTATCAACGACTTGGATGATGGACTCAAGGGCATCCTGATCAAATTTGCAGATGACACCAAACTGGGAGGGGTGGCTAACACCCCAGAGGACAGGATCACACTTCAAAATGACCTTGACAGATTAGAGAACTGGGCCAAAACAAACAAGATGAATTTTAACAGGGAGAAATGTAAAGTATTGCACTTGGGCAAAAAAATGAGAGGCACAAATACAAGATGGGTGACACCTGGCTTGAGAGCAGTACATGTGAAAAGGATCTAGGAGTCTTGGTTGACCACAAACTTGACATGAGCCAACAGTGTGATGCGGCAGCTAAAAAAGCCAATGCAATTCTGGGCCTCATCAATAGGAGTATAGCATCTAGATCAAGGGAAGTAATAGTGCCACTGTATTCTGCTCTGGTCAGACCTCACCTGGAGTACTGTGTCCAGTTCTGGGCACCACAGTTCAAGAAGGACACTGACAAACTGGAACGTGTCCAGAGGAGGGCAACCAAAATGGTCAAAGGCCTGGAAACGATGCCTTATGAGGAACGGCTAAGGGAGCTGGGCATGTTTAGCCTGGAGAAGAGGAGGTTAAGGGGTGATATGATAGCCATGTTCAAATATATAAAAGGATGTCACATAGAGGAGGGAGAAAGGTTGTTTTCTGCTGCTCCAGAGAAGCGGACACAGAGCAATGGATCCAAACTACAAGAAAGAAGATTCCACCTAAACATTAGGAAGAACTTCCTGACAGTAAGAGCTGTTCAACAGTGGAATTTGCTGCCAAGGAGTGTGGTGGACTCTCCTTCTTTGGAGGTCTTTAAGCAGAGGCTTGACAACCATATTTCAGGAGTGCTCTGATGGTGTTTCCTGCTTGGCAGGGGGTTGGACTCGATGGCCCTTGTGGTCTCTTCCAACTCTATGATTCTATGATTCTATGACTTTCCAGTAGATCTTCCTGGGGCTGTTAATGTGTGTCAACCAAAACATTTATCGTGAACTTTCCATTTAAAACTCAAGTTCTCAGTATACTTATGATTTAGACCAGTGGTCTTCAACGTTTTCAGACCCAAGGCCCACCAGATGCATGGGCGGGGGGGTATTTCTTTATTATTATTTTTAACCATTTATTTTTATGGTGGTAGTGCTGCTGTCACGACCCACATTAGATCAATCTGTGACCTAGTACAGTCATACCTTGGATCCCGAATGCCTTGCAAGTCGAACGTTTTGGCTCCTGAATGCCGCAAACCTGGAAGTGCGTGTTCCGGTTTGAGAACGTTCTTTGGAACCCGAATGTCCGATGCAGCTTCTGTGGCTTCCAATTGGCTGCAGGAGCTTCCTGCAGTGAATCAGAAGCCGTGCTTTGGTTTCCGAACATTTTAGAAGTCGAACGGACTTCTGGAACGGATTCCGTTCGACTTCCAAGGTACCACTGTAGCGGCTTCTGACCCACAAGTTGAAGGCCAATGATTTAGCCTATCCGTTTCAAAATTGCATTTGGAGGTTTTTTTTGGAAACTTACCAGTGGTTCTTTCTTCAGTGAACCAGTTAACTGTAGCAGACATGCATCCTTGAAAGAGACTTTATCCACCATTGCCAGCCTTCAGTAGGGGATATCGTGGTGTGCTCTATGATACCCATCTCAGTTGATGTGAGCAGATGGTTTAAAGACACTGACTTGCGTAAATGGAGTGTCAACCTTGGAACATAGCCCAAGGAAGGAAGCATGCGGGGGTTCCATGGCAGATGCTCAGGTGACCCTCAGCGGACAAAATGATGCTGAAAAGGGTTCCTTGAAGGTAGAGAGCTGGAAAAATCACACCGGTTTGATTCCTCCTGTATAAATAATTCACTTTGTGGTGTTAAAAGTGGAACAATCCATCATCTCAGCTTGAGTTGGCACACTTGGTAGATGTCATTATTTTTCTATGACTCACTGTCTGGATGAAAGCTGTGGAGTTTTGTTTACTTGTGCTGTACTCTCGGATGTACTCCCCAATTGTTTGCTCCGAATTTCAATCCGTTTCTAGTTTGAAGAATGTTTGAAGTACCGTATTTTTTGCACCATAACACTCACTTTTTTCCTCCTAAAAAGTAAGGGGAAATGTCTGTGCGTGTTATGGAGGGAATGCCTACGGGTGGCATGCCTACGGATTTTCCTCCTCTAAAAACTACATGCGTGTTATGGTATATTCTTTTCCCCACCCCTTCTTCTTCCTTTGATTGGCGTTTGATGTAAATGCTCCTATTCCACCACTACGTAGATACTGCTACATAGCGGAAGTTGCCTTATCAACTTCCTCGTGCATCTTGGCTGCATTCCGCGAAAGCTATCATTTATTTTGTCCCCACGGCGGCTTATTCTGTGAGACCAGGCTGTGCATGTCTTGCGCAAGGAAGCAACCGCCAGAGAACAAAAACTGCATGTCAGGAACCTCTTGATGAGAAAGGGCTGCTCCTGTGTGTGGCATGAGGCATTTTCAGCCTTGCGTGCTTAAATACAAATGATTACTACAGCTACCTGGTGACAGATGATCAAGTAATATCGGCAAACGCTCCGTGCTTTCAGTTCTTATCCATGGTGCAATGGGGTGGAAAGGAGAAAGATTTGGTACATTTTCTCTCAGAGCTATCGGTAGAACGGGGAATAACACATTGCCTCAGTTCATTCTGACCTAAGGCAGCCTGTAGACACTTAGGAACAAACTTTACTTACCCATTTGCGAACAGCTTTAATATGTGCCATTCAGCCATATGCATATATTTTTTCTATTCGGAAGTAAGTCTGTTAAGTTTGGCTTACTCCCAGGTAAGTGTGCTTAGGATTGCGGCCGTGGGCAGTTTTGCTGGCTGCTGGCAAGGTTTGGATGTTTTCTTTTCATGTGTGCTACTTCTCTGAAATAAGCACAATCAGCCATGTTGGCAATGAGCCACCCCTGCTTGCCTCACCTTAATGTCTTCGCCCGCCCCCAATCTGTACAGTGGGACGCAATCCCATCTCTACTCTTGTTTCATTATTTCAATAAGTTTTGTGATACTCAGTATTTGAATTAATCTTCGGCAAAGAAATACTTTCAAATGAGCACTGGTGCCCTGATGTTCTTAATTTAATAAATATATTTATCATGGGAGTGCATTATTCTGTATACTACAGGGGCTGGATTGCTCATCTCCACATGATCGGATGCAGTGAAGGGAAGAATTGTCAGCTCTGGCTGGTGTGGGGGGGAAAGGTCCTAAGGGAGAGCCGAGTACACAGTGCTTATCTGCTACTAAGGGACCCCTGACCATTAGGTCCAGTCGTAAACGACTCTGGGGTTGCGGAGCTCATCTCGCTTTATTGGCCGAGAGAGCCGGCGTACAGCTTCCGGGTCATGTGGCCAGCAGGACTAAGCCACTTCTGGAGAACCAGAGCAGCGCACGGAAACGCCGTTTACCTTCCCGCAGGAGCGGTACCTATTTATCTACTTGCACTTGATGTGCTTTCGAACTGCTAGGTTGGCAGGAGCAGGGACCGAGCAATGGGAGCTCACCCCGGCGTGGGGATTTGAACCGCCGACCTTCTGATCGGCAAGTCCTAGGCTCTGTGGTTTAACCCACAGCGCCAGCCGCGTCCCCATCTGCTACTAAACTTCAATCCAAAAGCAAAGAAGGAAGTATGGTATCTCCAAACCACGACATATGGGCAATATCTTCAGCAGCAAGTATTTTGCTGACTGACTGGCTGCTAGGATTTGCCTTCACAGCAAATACTGACGTGGCTCCAGTATTCTTTTTCATGAATTTTGAACAGAATCCTGAGAAGGTGTGTGCCTTGGCGCTGGCAAACTTGGCATAAGAGAAGCAAGGAAGAGACGTTCTTTCCGCGTATCATGTTTAATTCTGAAACCCTAACAAAGAAATCAGCCTGCTGTTGGCGGTGCCATCAGCTAGCTGTTGAACTTCGAACAGGCCCAAACGGTTTGCTATTCCTCACAGCGCCTAGCTTCCTGCAACAAATCAGAAGGCGGAAATATTAGACAGGGAAGCGTAGCTGTTTCATCAGAGAAAGGTGGGCCCTTTAATGCTTTGTTTGGCTTACACGGGGCCACAAGTCACCCTGCCAGGGCTCAGTTCCAGAGCCTATTTCTTGTGCCAGGGTTTAACCCTGGCTCCAACAACGAAGGAATAGAGAGAATAGAATCTAATCAAAACAAAGCGAACACAGCTCTGTATATGATGAAAGTATAAGATGCACTGAATGTCCCAATGCAATTGGTTTTATGACTCAAAATAATATCCACACAAGGTATTTATGTACAGTCACAAAAAACTTGAATATATATATATATTTGCAAATTGCTATTCAGTATAACTGAGAACAAGAGTTCAATAGTTCAACTATGGAGTAAATCTTCCAGATAAAGACTGTGTACACGAAGGACTCCTGTCAACGAGACGCCCGGGTATGGTCTCCATTTCGTATGTCTTCTTCAGGGCAGTTGAGATATATTGCTAAATGACACATGTCATGCTGTCATTGCATTGTACGTACAAAAAACCATGAAAGATAATTCAAAAACATCGTAAATATGACAGTGTTACATATTTGTTGGGCCAGCTTTTGATCTGCATGGGCGCTGAGCTCCTAGTACAATGCTGACTCAGAGGCTAGTCTAGTAATACATGAAATAGCCTCCAGAGGGTGGAGATTTAAAGGGACCATAGCCTTCAATCATACTCTGAGCTGTTGTCCAGTGTTTAACCCTGGAGCAAGTTAAGTAAGGGCCCCTCCAGGCTGGTGTCTGGTGCATTCTGCAACATGTTAACACAGTAGTGCATTTGTGGTAGATTTATTCTGCTGTAGCTGTGTGTGTGTGTGTGTGTGTGTGTGTGTGTGTGTACACCCACCCACTCCACCAATAACATGGTCCGGACTGTGCTTCATACTTACTCGTGATTTGAGATTAGAAAGCGAGTGCTGGTCCTCAGATACTTCCTTGAATTCTGCAAGGGTGAAGACAACCAAGGTCACAAACTTGTCACTGATGCTATTTTGTTTGTTTGAAATTATGTTTATTTGATTTTACAAATATAAATTCATAACAATACCAAATACATAATCCATATAAAGAGATTTCTCTGAATCTCGAGACTTCTCCGCCCCCCAATCCCCTCCCTGGGTCCTATTGTCAACATTTTCAACTGCGTATTATTTCATTGTGATGCTATTGGATCTTCCTGACCTTGAGGCTAAATTGCTAGGCTGCTTTCCTAGTGTAGGTGCAGAAGAACCAGAACTACATTATATAAACACGTCCCTTTCCTTCTCCGTGACCCACTGCATTTGACTGAGCAAAACTGCCCCCTAAGGTAGAGTCAGATTCTTTGTGGCTTACCTGAATGAATGAATGAATGAATCTTTATTTGCATTGGCCACCAGCCATAGCAATAAAACAAACAAAATGCGGTATACAGAAGATAAAGGTTAAAAGCCAATTATATAAAATACATTTTGGGGGTTTGGATCAATAGTTAAATAATGGATCTTCTTCTAATTGCCCAGGCTAAAAACCTTGCAACCTTTGCTGTCACTGTTCATCTTGATCTGCCAAGGGAACGGACACTGTGACAGTGGTTGGGCGTCCCGGAATGGACAGTAAGAGTAATAGAGGGGTGATAACCTCACTCCTCAAATCTTTATAAAGATTGCAAGGCAGAAGGACATGAGCCACCGATTCAGTACTGACATCTCCACAGGGACATACCGTATTTTTCCATGTATTAGATGAGGTTTTTTGACTCAAAAATCATGTAAAAAAACTGGGCGCGTCCTATACATGGATAGTAGCGTGGGGGGGGGGAGCTGTGCGCCGCCAGCCAGCTGGTTGGCGGGTGTGCAACCCCCCCATGCCACTGCGGGAGGTGCACGTTGGGGTGATGGTGCGCGTGCAATTCCCCCTTGAAAAAGCTCAACAGCTTTGGGCCATCTCTCCTCATTTTCTTTAAATTTAGTCCTCCAAAATAGGGGGCGTCTTATACACGGAAAAATACAGTAACCGTTTTTTCAAGTGGCTTACCTGTAACAGTAGACGTCTTTTCTCAAATGAAGCAAAGTCTTATTGAGCTCAGTGAGCTATCCTTTTGGATGGGCCGGATATTGTTTCTCTAGCATAAATTTATAGATTGCCATTTCTTTATGTTGTAGTATAGTCAATTCACTGGTTTTCATTGCCGTTGTATTATTATAACCTGAAGTTGCGGGATGTGCGCAGATTGGAAACGAATGCGTATGCCTGCCCTGGAACATTTGCAGGCACAAACAGTATCGAAAGCAGCACTGGCCACCTGTAACATGCACACCACGAGTGCACAATGGGGGGGGGGGAGTTGGGGTATGTGCAATGAAGGAAAGTGTTTAGGGTACAGGCGAATGAGAGCAAAACTCCCTTCTCTCGATCTGTGACGGCAAAGCACCATCGCCTAGTCCCCAGTTTCAGAAGAGGAACAAAGGGGCAGAAACTTTTGTGCTAAGACAAAAGGTTGCAGCTGTGCCATCTGCCTTCTCCACTGCCTGTGGGAGGCTTGTTGACATCGAGGAGACGCCGCTCGACTTTTCGGGAGAGATTTTAATTCCACCGACAAAAGATATCGGGGAAGGCGGCTTTGCAGAATAATGAGACCAGGGAGGAGGGGGAGGACGCGAAAACGTGACGGCGAGCGACACAAACCCTGCACCCTCTCCCTTCTTGCTAATAACAAGGTTGGAACAGTCGTTTCCCACGCATGAGCTTCGGGAAATGCGCCTCGCTGCTCCCACCCTGTTCCCCCAGCTCCAAGATGATCATAATCGGTTATCATATTCTACAACTGCTGGCGGGGAGAGTCGCAAAATTGATTGAGCTGCTACATTTTCTTGAAAATGTGGATATTAAACAGCCACTGATATAAGCAGGGAACGCATCAAAATTCTAGGCTCACCCTCGAGGCCAGAGTGTCTCAACCTTGGGCCTCCAGCTGTTTTTGGGACTACAACTTCCATCATCCATAGCTAGCAGGGCCAGTGATCAGGGATGATGGGAGTTGTAGTCCCAAAAACAGCTGGAGGCCCAAGGTTGAGAAACGCTGGCCTAGGCAGAGGGTTCTTTGGAGAGCCAGTGTGGTGTAGCGGTTAAGAGCGGTAGTCTCGTAATCTGGGGAACCGGGTTTGCGTCTCAGCTCCTCCACATGCAGCTGCTGGGTGACCTTGGGCCAGTCACACTTCTCTGAAGTCTCTCAGCCCCACTCACCTCACAGAGTGTTTGTTGTGGGGGAGGAAGGTGTCAGGGAACTGCCATCAGAGCCAGGGGGAGAGGGAGGGCTCCAGAGGGATTCTGGAGAGCATCCCGGGAGGGAGAGAAGCAGCACATCTTCTGGGGAAGGAAATCAGCGTAGCACCAGTGGAGAAGGGGGGCAGATGGGGGAATCGGCGAGGTGGCTCCATGACTCTTCACTGGGGACCAGCGGGGAGAGCACGGGTCCTCCGCTGCCCACACCCTCCCTGCGCAGAAGGCTTCCACGCAGGGAGACTAGGCGGAGACTAGGCGTCAAAGAACTGTGCTGGAAGAAGTTCAAGAAACACCCACTGACGGATTCTGCCAGCGATTGAGACAGCCACGGGCGAGTGGCTGTCCGGACAGAAAAGGTTCACTCAGGCAACCCAGCCAGGTGTGGCACTGATTTACGCACGAGCAACCCCTAGAACCACTACAGCAATCTGTCAGTCACTGACTTTGCTTGTGCGCAGCCCCTGAAAGGCAGCACGATGAGCCAAACAGGAACAGCCAGAGAGACGGAGCAGCCAGCTGCGGTGCGGAGTCTGGTAGAGAGGAACTGAGACTTGGAGACGCATGTAGCTATCCTGACGGCGTGGCTGGAGGAAAGACGGGCTCAGGATGCACAGGTCAGAACCACCCCCATCGCAAGGAAAGTACCGGGGCTGGTACACAAGTTTGGTGGAAAGCCCCAAGACTACAATGCTTTCCGAACAGAAGTGCAGTACGCTTTGGAGCTGCAGAAAAATGACTTTGCTGATGATGGGGAAAGGGTGGCTTACATTGTGGGGCATCTGCAGGATGGGGCGCGCGAATGGATCAGGCCCTTAATGGCGACGCAAAATGATGCCCTGAAGGACCTTAAGAAATTCTTTCAGGGAATGGACGCGATGTTCTCCAGCGAGGTGGAGAAAAGCGTGACAAGGCGGGAACTGATGGGGTGCAAGCAGGGGAGCCAGTCCGTCAGAAGCTACTGGTCGCGTTTTGCGATGTTAGTCCACCGGCTCGGGTGGGATCTGGACTCTGAACCGATACAAATGTTGTTTGAGGCGGGTCTGTCCCCTGAAGTGAAAGACAAGTTGTCCCGAGCAGCCCGGCCATGGTCGATGGACGAGCTCACAAAGGCTGTGCTCGCGATAGGCGTACGCCAAGAAGCGCGGGCGCAGGAGAAGCGGGAAATGAGAGAGGAGCGTTTCCATGACTACCGCATTCCAGAGATACTGAGGGAGCCTTCCCAGGCGGCGGAGCCAATGGAAATTGATGGCGCGCGCGAGGTTTCAAACTCCGGTGAAGGTCGAAAAAGGGAGGAAAAGGGGTGGAAAACTACTAAGAAGTGTTTCCTCTGTCAACGACCAGGACATTTTGCTAAGGTCTGCCCTCAACGAAAGGCCTGGCAAGGGATGGTGGGGGCTGCAGGCCTCGACGAGAAGGGGGAGGAAGGGCAGGCGCAGGGAAACGACAACGCCTGGCTGCCAACCAGCAGGGGCAGCAGCCAGGCCAGCAACCAATCGAAGTGCCCCAGCCTGACCCCCCCAAGGCAGCTATAGCCATAGAAGTGGTGCTAGAACTTCTGAATGGGCACCCTGTCAAAATTAAGGGACTGCTGGATTCGGGCAGCTCGTGTAATTTCTTCAGCAGAGACTTCGCTCTAGAGCACCAACTCCACCTGTTGCCTCTAGATTTTCCCTTGCAGGTGACAACCATCGATGGCAGGGAACTTCTGGGAGGGGAAGTGACACACCAGACCCCGCCAATGCAAATGAGGGTTTCCAGGCACACGGAGACCATTGCCTTTCACGTGGCCACACTGCCAGGACCCCCAATAATACTGGGAATGAGCTGGTTGGCGCTGCATGATCCCGTAGTGTCATGGCATCAGCGGTCAGTCAACTTTGGGTCAGCTTACTGCTTAGGACACTGTCTGGGAGGGGAGAACCCAAGAATGACGGTGGCCAGGGTGGCTGGGCTGGCCGTGGAACAAAAGGGGGAGGTGCCATCACAATATGCTGACCTGAAGGAGGTCTTCAGCGAGAAGGAGGCAGATAGACTACCCCCCCACAGGCCCTTTGACTGCCAAATCAACCTACTCCCAGGGGCTCAGTTGCCGGTGGGTAAGCTGTATGCCATGTCCGACCGGGAGATGCAGGAGTTGCGGCAGTTTATTGACAAGAACCTGAAGAGGGGGTTCATAAGGGAATCCAAGGCGGTGGGGGGCAGTCCGGTGTTCTTTGTGGACAAAAAAGACACTAATCAGCCTAGATTGGTCGTGGATTATAGGAGGTTGAACCTGGTGTCAGAACCCGTGACCTTCCCAATGCCAAGGATTGACGACATTTTAACACGGGTGAGGCAGGGGAAGATTTTTACCAAGCTGGACCTCTGGGGGGCATACAATTTAGTCAGGATAAGGGTGGGAGACCGGGTGTGGTTGTCAACCCAAGGGTTACCCCTAAAGGGAGGGTGCAAGAAGTTGCAGCCGAGGCGGCTGGGGCCTTTTGAGGTAACACAGCGGGTGAACCCAGTGGCATTCAAACTCAAGTTGCCGGACAGCATGAAGATACACCCGGTGTTCCATAGGTCCCTACTTTCACCGTACAGGGAGGGGAGGGAATTTCCGGGGCGGTAGGGAGGAGTAACCACCCACCCGCAGGTAGAGGAGAGGGAACACCGCAACCAAGCCACGGAAATACTCGATTCAATGTGGCCAGGTCGCCAGGTGGAGTACTTGGTAGCTTGGGAAGGAGAACCCAGGTCAGAAAACACGTGGGTCCCCGCTGAGTCAATCAATGATGGGCATCTGGTGGAAGAATTCCATAGTTTGTTCCCGGATAAGCCAAAACCACTAGCGAGATTCTGGGAGGAAGAATTTGGAACCACAGACGACGAAGGGGACTTTGTGGGTTTTCCGGTCTCCGAAGAGGAGGGAGGAGAGGTGTCAGAGGGAGAAGAATCAAACTGGGAGGTCCACCCTGAGGGGAGAGATCTGAGCGGGTGGGAGGCTGGTTTTGAATCCTCAGAGGATGGTGACAGCTCCTTCAGGGGATTCCCCGCATCGTTGGCCAAGGAAAGAGACGAGGTTATATCGGAAAATCGCGCCGGGGTGGGGTGGGGGTCCTGGGGAGGAGGTGGATGTCAGGGAACTGCCATCGGAGCCAGGGGGAGAGGGAGGGCTCCAGAGGGATTCTGGAGAGCGTTCCGGGAGGGAGAGAAGCAGCACATCTTCTGGGGAAGGAAATCAGCGTAGCACCAGTGGAGAAGGGGGGCAGATGGGGGAATTGGCGAGGTGCCTCCATGACTCTTCACCGGGGACCAGCGGGGAGAGCACGGGTCCTCCGCTGCCCACACCCTCCCTGCGCAGAAGGCTTCCGAGCTGGGAGACTAGGCGGAGACTAGGCGTCAAAGAACTTCTGTGCTGGAAGAAGTTCAAGAAACGCCCACTGACGGATTCTGCCAGCGACTGAGACAGCCACGGACGAGTGGCTGTCCGGACAGAAAAGGTTCACTCAGGCAACCCAGCCAGGTGTGGCGCCGATTTACGCACAAGCAGCCCCTAGAACCACTATAGAAGGGAAAGGAGAATGTTAGCCACTTTGAGACTCCTTAAAGGGAGTGAAAGGCGGGATATCAAATCCAAACTCCTCCCCTTCTTCTTCTTCTTCTTCTTCTTCTTCTTCTTCTTCTTCTTTCTATGCTTCAAAGGAGAGATCTCTCTCACACACAGAGAGGATCTGGATATAAGTCACAGTGCTGAGGCAAAGGGGATTAACCCCTTCCGCCTGCACCAATTCTCTGACTTCTAAGCTTCCTTCTCTCTGAAGTCTGTTTCTTCCTCGGCAGCAGCTGCTTTCCGGATAAGAGCACCATGTTTATGATGCATGGTTCTCTACAAGATTGGTGTGCTTCTTGCAGCCTGATGTTATGTGGACATTCTTATTTGGAATGTGGCGGTGGCCCAAAGGGCCACAATATATGTGATAATGTGTACCCCTGTAAGTTCTTGAGTGTGCGTCTAATAGAGATGTGGGACATAACATAATGTTTGAAGACTGGGAAAGGTTGTGGAGGAAAGGGGTCAAGTTCACTGCATGTATGGTGTTAAAGGAAAATATTATGAAAATGATGTATAGATGGTACTTAACTCCTGTAAAATTAGCAGAGATATATCATAATAGTGATCATCTGTGCTGGAAATGTAAAGAAAAAGAAGGTACCTTTTATCATATGTGGTGGACCTGCCCCAAGGTGAAAGTCTTCTGGGAGAAGATTTATAATGAATTGAAAAAAATGTTGAACTATACATTTACTAGGAAACCAGAGGCCTTTCTTCTTGGAATAATAGGTCTGGAATTACCCAAGAAAGATGTTAGATTGTTTTTGTATGCCACAACTGCAGCTAGAATTTTGTTAGCTAAGAATTGGAAAACACAAGACGTCCCAACAGAGGAAGAATGGCAGATGAAGGTGATGGATTTTTCGGAGCTAGCTGACCTGACTGGAAGAGTCCGCGACCAGAAGGAGGGAGGAGTACCAGAAGGAATGGATGAAATTCAAAGAATATTTAGTTAAATATGCTAACTTAATTGGAAAAACCTGCAAATATCAGATAGGCTTAGGATTTAAATATGTGATGTTAGCGTATAATATGTTTAAAGTTAAAATGAAAAGATAGAATGATGTTAAGTGATTAAGTTAATTTTATGAGAAATTTGGTTTTGGAAAACTGTTACAATGATATACACTGAAACTCAGCCAGGGGGATTTGAGGAAGTCACTTAACAATATTACTAAGATTGGATTAAGTATAGTTAAGATTTATGTTTGTTTGTTTGTTCAAAAATTTTGGAAAACCAATAAAAAAAAATTTGGGGGGAAAAAAAGAGTGTGCGTTTAATAGAGAAGTTATGGTAGCCTGCTACTTTATGAAACTGATGATTTTGCAAGTTGCCGCCCCCCAAATGGGGCAGAAATACAGCTCATATGTGAATCACAAAGATGCAGCTAAAAGCTAGAACATAAGTTGCTACATGGTGCAAATGGCTACACGTAACACAGGTTCCCAACTTGCACACTAACACAATGTAATAGAACATGGCGGGAACCAGAAATTAATCAGCAGAAATTGCTAGTGCTTAAGAACCACTTAATGAGAGTGAAAGAGGAGAGCACAAAATATGGTCTGAAGCTCAACATAAAAAAAATGAAGATCATGGCCACTTGTCCCATCACCTCGGGGCAAATAGAAGGAGAAGAAATGGAGGCAATGAGAGATTTTACTTTCTTGGGCTCCATGACCAATGCAGATGGTGACAGCAGTCACGAAATTAAAAGATGCCTGCTTCTTGGGAAAAAAGCGATGACAAACCTAGACAGCATCTTAAAAAGCAGAGACATCGCCTTGCCGACAAAGGTCCGTATAGTTAAAGCTATGGTTTTCCCCGTAGTGATGTATGGAAGTGAGAGCTGGACCATAAAGAAGTCTGATTGCTGAAGAATTTATGCTTTTGAATTATGGTGCTGGAGGAGACTCTTGAGAGTCCCATGGACTGCAAGAAGATCAAACCTATCCATTCTGAAGGAAATCAGCCCTGAGTGCTCACTGGAAGGACAGATCCTGAAGCTGAGGCCACCTCATAAGAAGAGAAGACTCCCTGGAAAAGACCCTGATGTTGGGAAAGATGGAGGGCACAAGGAGAAGGGGACGACAGAGGACGAGATGGTTGGACAGTGTTCTCGAAGCTATGAACATGAGTTTGACCAAACTGCGGGAGGCAGTGGAAGACAGGAGTGCCTGGCGTGCTCTGGTCCATGGGGTCACAAAGAGTCGGACACGACTAAACAACTAAACAACAATAATTGTCCATGTGTAAAACATGAAATGAGGTAATGATGTATATGATTGGTGGAAACTGAAATGCTTTGTTTGAAATTTTATAAATACCACTGCCTGGACCAAAGGGCAGGGTTGCAGTTTTGTGGAACGATCCGACTGTAACCTACTGCTTTGCAATAAACAACGTTGGACTCCTAACTCCTCGCGTTTCTGAGTTTTATTGATGTAAACTCAGGAGATATGCTAACTTTGGCTTATGAAAGGAAGAGTCCCACTAATATGCTACAGGTCTCACCCACAGGTCCAATCCTTTAAAACAGGTCCCCGCCTCCATTCCAAAAAACACTTGTGGTACACATCAGTGCAATTGGTCACCCACTGTCTGAACCAGTGGGCAGAGAGGAAACGGGGTTATTTTGATACAGCTTAACATCTTCAAATTGGATTGAAGTCGGTTTGGGGAGAAAGGCATCAAAATGCAGTATTTCTCAACAAACTGCAGGATAGATGGGGATTTTGGCGAATGCTGTGTGTCCGCAGCTTTGCAAAACAACTGTGGGAGACAGGAATGTGCACACAGCCTCCTGATTTCACTAGGACTTACTTTCAAGTCAGTGTGCATAGGACTGCTGCCTTAACATGGTATATTTCATTACAACCCACACACATTTTTCTATTCTCAGTGTCCTGGTGCTGGACACAAGCTCACATTTGACTTTTTCACATGGAGCTGCACTTGTCCTGTTCACAACTATTATACCTTGCCCACCTCTTCAAAGTACGGCCAGGTTGGCTTCATACCAGCTGAACCTTAAAGGCTTGAACGTTTACAACTAAGGAAATGGAGGTTGGTTGCATTTTTGATAAATATGGGGAAGGGTGCACTTGCCTCCCAGTCAATCTCTGACTGCTTCCGGTCATAGGTTGGCTTTCTCTCTCGGATCCTCTTGAGGATACCCTGATTCTCCACGGTAATCCTCACAAGTTCTATGTTCTGCTTCTGCCGCTGTGAACTGCAAAACCCAAACAGGTTAAGGCTAGGGTGTGGAGAAACACTACGCATTCCCAGGGGATGCCCCAGAAAAGTGGGGAAAGGGAGTTGGTTTCGGCACCAAAATGTTAGTTCTGGCCTTTAAAGCCCTAAACGGCCTTGGCCCAGTATATCTGAAGGAGCGTCTCCACCTCCATCGTTCAGCCTGGACACTGAGGTCCAACTCTGAGGGCCTTCTGGTGGTTCCCTCCCTGCGAGAAGTGAGGTTACAGGGAACCAGGCAGAGGGCCTTCTCGGTGGTGGCACCTGCCCTGTGGAACACCCTCCCATCAGATGTCTAGGAAGTAAACAACTATCTGAAGGCAGCCCTGTTTAGGGAAGTTCTTAATGTTTGATGTTTTATCGTGTTTTTAATACTCTGTTGGGAGCTGCCCAGAGTGGCTGGGGAAGCCCAGCCAGATGGACGGGTATAAATATATTATTATTATTATTAGTAGTAGTAGTAGTAGAAAAAGAGAGTAGGCGACATACTGTTGGCTGAGGATTATTGTTGGTGGCACCATATGTTCCTATTCTGCTAGCGCAAGACTTCTGCACATAGAATAAAATATTCCCCTCCAATCCCCTACAGCGTCCTCACTCTGCACCCTCAAAATCAGTTTTGAAGGGTTTGAGAGACCTTCCAGAGCAGATTTGGGAGTGAATGGAGAAGGAGAAGGAGAGGAAGGGTCTCACTGTGTGAGTAGAGTTCTGCTGGTGGAACATTGGAAAGAGCCCATCATGTTTAAGGTCCCTTCCAACTCTACAATTCTATGATTCTAAGACAAGTAGCTCATGGAGATGCTGGTTTCTGGCTTGAGAGTTCCTGCCTCAAAATCTACTCTGCAGCATCTTTGACTCCCTGCAAATACTATTTTATTGGGTAAAGGACCCTAGGACGGTGAAGTCCAGCCAAAGGCGACTATGGGATTGTGGCGCTCATCTTACTTTCAGGCCAAGGGAGCCGACGTTTGTCCACAGACAGCTTTTTGGGTCTTGTGGCCAACATGACTAAACTGCTTCTGGCACAACGGAACACCGTTACGGATACCAGAGCGCATATAAACACCATTTACCTTACTGCCGCAGTGGTACCTATTTATCTACTTGCACTGGCGTGCTTTTGAACTGCCAGGTTGGCAGGAGCTGGGACAGAGCAACGGGAGCTCACTCTGTCGCAGGGATTCAAACCGCCGACCTTCCAATCGGCAAGCCCAAGAGGCTCAGTGGTTTAGACCACAGCACCACCTATGTCCCTTTTATTGGGTATTGCCCCTCCAGCTAGAACCAGAAAGGATCCAGGAGGTGTATCTCTAGATCCCTTGTGACCACGTGGGGAATCCTGGGACAGCTGTCCCACTATGGACAGCATCTTTCTTCAGCCATCTCATATTAAAATCCACCTCATTAGGATGCGACTGTCCCCACCCAAAAATGTGTGTCTTATATTAAATGGAAAAGAGAGCAGGAAGATGCGAGGCGGATGGGCATCTGTTGAGAACATCACTCCTCTTGTCTGGTCATGAGCCAGTCAAAGAGCTCTTGTCACGTTATTGCTATAAAAATGCAATAGAAGTAGAAAGTTTATTCTTAGACGTTTTCCTTTGCCCTCCCCACCCTGGGAATAAATTAGGAGGAGGGATCCAAAATCCATAGCAGGGCAATTAAAATGTCACAGAATTGTGAGCAAGCTTCCGAGGTAAGAAGATTTAAGTTTTAAGCAAAAGGGAATATGTACCTGGCTAGGTGTTAAAGCCCTAAATACTTCCCCCCATTTATTTGTTTGTTTTGTAACACAAGAACATCTTTTAATACAAAAACCCTCTAATTTTTAAAAAGGGAATCTTTCTTTGCATCAGCTAGCAGCTGACTATTGTTTGTTCTGTTATTTTTATAACGATTATTTCTTTTCCCCTGATAAAAATTACAATGCAAACTTTATCCCCTTTTTTATTTCATCAGTCTCAAAATGAAGCCAGTGGGGAGAGATAGGTGACTCACTAGAGATTAAGCTTTCTTATTCTATACCGTATGAATGAACAGCTTACTGTCATGAAAAGCAGCTGGTTCTGAGACACCCCTTTTACGACTCATGTATTAAATAGATAACAATGAGGAGGCAGCCTATGATGCAGGGAGGACTCCAACCAGGGTCTCCAGCAGGTGGCCTTCAGTGATTCACCTCCTATGGAGGGTCCTGGTCCTTCAACACATCAGGAAAGTCAGGCTCTGTGTGCTCTATAGGCCAAAGTTCTTGCTGGAATTCAGTCAGCTGCCACCCTCTGCCCTCCTGGCCAGTATGACAGACCCTTCAACATTTCTATGGGGAAAATAGGGACATCCTATTCCATGAAGATAGGGATGCGGGTGGCGCTGTGGGTTAAACCACAGAGCCAAGACTTGCTGATCAGAAGGTTGGCTGTTCGAATCCCTGTGACGGGGTGAGCGCCCATTGCTCGGTCCCTGCTCCTGCCAACCTAGCAGTTTGAAAGCCAGTCAAAAGTGCAAGTAGATAGGGGGGCACTAGGGGGCGCATTGGAAGATGGCCGACAATACCATCTCTCCAACCCACACGGGGTAATTAAGAGGCTGTTATGGGAGTAGGCAGCCTCCCTTGTTGCCCCAAGGAAATGGGGAACACTGCCCTTGCCTGCTGTGCCCATAAATCACCCCCTAATTCGAAAGAAGGGGGTGAGGGCCCTAGGCAGAATGCCCCCATGTGGACATCGGCTCTCCTGGACGCTGTCTCTGATCGCGCACTAGTTGCAGCAATTTGGAATAATTAATTCACTAAGAAGCAAATGCACAGATTTCTAGTGAAGAAGGGGAGTGAAGTCTGCTAATTTAAGTGACCTCTGCGAAAGAAGACAACGGGCTGGAGAAACAGGAATATTTTACGAAGAAGATACACCAAAGGCGGGGTATGTTGACAACGGGGCTGAGGGAACCTTTTTTACTTTCCTTCTATGTGATTTACAAGAACCCCTCCTCATTAGAACTGTGGGTTGAACTGACCCAAGCAGGATGATTAAGGTCTGTGTGGAGATAAACTTTAACCAAAAGTATGCTTTATGGAAACCGAGAAGCAATAAGAGCTTTTGGGAATGGCGCAGCAATTAATTCGGAGTCGCCATCTTGCCAAAGGATTTACAGCCGGGAGGAAGAACGGATTTGTTTTCAGACTGCATTCCTAGTGAATCTCCTCAGAGGTTTTGAGAAAGGAGGCAGATTGGTGAAGACTAATGACGCTAAGACTGTTTTGATGTATGGAAGTGATGTTATATGGAAAACGTCTGGATATGGCTACTGGATAAAAAAATTAATATCCACGCAGGATTACAAACTGTTCTAACCAGCTTGCGGAGACTATCAGAGGTCACAAAGAGAAAGGAAAATATATGAAAATAACAACAAGAGATGTGGAAAAATAATAAGAAAGGACTGGATAGTACTGTGAACATCATAAGGTTAGATTTGTGGACATTAAAACAGCAGTAAGAAGCAAGAAGTTGATTGGATCCCTTCGGAACTTGAAATATGGGTACCCCCAACAAAAATTTAAAATTCGGCTGTGTAATTTGGAATTTATGTAATTTGGTTTGATTTGATGTGATTGGTCGGTTAATTAAAAAATATTCTTAAAAAAAACCAAAAGTGCAAGTAGATAAATAGGTACCGCTCCAGCGGGAAGGTAAACGGCGTTTCCGTGCGCTGCTCTGGTTTGCCAGAAGCGGCTTAGTCATGCTGGCCCCATGACCCAGAAGCTGTACGCCAGCTCCCTTGGCCAGTAAAGCGAGATGAGCGCCACAACCCCAGAGTTGGCCACGACTGGACCTAATGGTCAGGGGTCCCTTTACCTTTACCTTTATTCCATGAAGGGGCCGGGCACCCACAAATTTCAGCCCCAGGGCCATGCACGCTGCATGGCACCCACAGCCCCGAGCAACCACGGCTGTGGGGCCAAGCTGGCACTCCCGGAAGAATAGCGTAGAGGCATTAAAGACTCACAACTGCCCACCTCTTTTTTTGGTACGGGTTCCAGCAGTCTACCAAGCCTGTGCCGCGATATATATGAGCTAGGCGTGTCGACAGGGTCTTGTTTTCCCGTTCAATCAGCCCAATTTTCTTTTGGGCGTCCTATAGAAAGAGAGAGCGAGAGACAGAAACTGTGAATTTCTTGTTTTTTTTTAAAAAAGTTTTGTTTATCCTATAATAAACAGGAGCTCTCAACCTCCTCCCCAATCCCCCCTCCCACATTTTTTTAAATAACATTTTTACACATACTTATGTCCCCCGTCCCCAAGGATGTAAATTGTTTTTTATTTTACATTTGGCAAAAAAAGGCAAAAAACCCCCCCACAACCCACCTCCCCGGCCCCTTTTCCCATTCCTATGTGCGTGACAAAAAAGTAAAGCAGAGTGTGACTGTTTTATAAAATGGTGAATTGCGGAATTTTTGCCAGTTATTTTCTCTCCTGTTGGGACTGTGGTGCGCACTGCAGGAAGAAAATATATACGGGGTCTCAGGGTGCCTGCATATTCCTACTGTGGGGGAAATGGCAGTTTCATGGAGGGGAAGAAGGCAATTTTAATTGGAAAAAAAGAAAACGATCTGTAGTGTAATGTTGTTGTTGTTGTTGTTTTAATATAATGTCACTTCTACAAATTTCCACATTTACATTCATCAAAAAGAACAGACAATATATTTATTCATCAACTTCCCTCCCCTTCTTCCATGGTTCATTCTAATTATCCTCTGCTGCTGCATATTCTAATTACTCCATATTAGTTTTTTCTCCCAGCTAAATTATACAGTGCTGAATTCACTCTAATCCTGCTAGTGTTTTAATTTGCTTGCAATGAATCTTCAGATATTTTCCAAATATTCCCCACTCTTCTTCCTGATCTCTTATTCTACTGGTTAAACTTGACATTTCTGCATATTCCATCCATTTTGTCTGCCATTCCTCCTTCATGGCGTCATGGTTTTGATCCCATTTCCCCAGCAACTTTTAACCTTAAAATATGTATGTACCAAACTAAATATTGATGCGGTGACATTGACATTGCTTCTTTTTCTTAAAAAGAGAATACTAGCTGTGCCCATAAGTTTTTGTTGCTGTTGAATTTGGTAAATGATATATTCGGGTGGGTGGTGATGCTGCAATGATAATTTATAAATGAGAAACATTCCCTTATTTGGGAGACTTGACAACCTTTTATTAAAAGTTAGGGGGTTGTATCTAACTAACTAACTAACTAACTAACTAACTCAGAGTGGACCTACTGAAATGAATGGACAAGACGAACTTAGGCCCTCAGGTGGTACGGATGCCTGATTATCGTCTTCTAAAGCAACTACTCTATTCTGAACTTAAAAATTGAAATCATAATGCTGGTGGTCAACAAAAGAGGTTTAAAGATTCTCTCAAGGCAAATCTTTAAAAATGTAGTATAAACACCGACAACTGGGAAACACTGGCCTGTGAGCGCTCCAGTTGGAGAACAGCCTTTACCAAAGGTGTCATGGGCTTTGAAGACACTCGAACTCAGGACACAAGGGAGAAACGTGCTAAGAGGAAGGCACACTTGGCAAATCCACACCGTGATCAACTCCCACCCGGAAACCTATGTTCCCACTGTGGAAGGACGTGTGGATCCAGAACTGGCCTCCACAGCCACTTACGAACCCACTGTTAAAATCCTGCAGCCAACTGGAAGCTGCGGAAGCCTCGTTGGACGTTCGTGTTCCAAAAACAGTTCGCAAACTGGAACACTCACTTCCAGGTTTGCGGCGTTCGGGAGCCAAAACGTTCGAGAACTAAGCTGTTCTAAAACCAAGGTACAACTGTAGATATATTAAAAATATTTGGGGGTCTACTGACAAATCCAAATCTTACGTTGTACAATGACATCTGGTACTTTGGCCAGCACTGCCAGAAATATCTTGTCACAACTAAGAAAACAAAAACTGGCTGATAAGAAGTGTTAGGAATGTTTCCTTTTCTAGACTGGGGAGAATGATGACGTTTGGTTGCCCCTAAGAATGAGAAATTTCCTCTCCCTGGTAACTTTGGTTACTGGTTGAATTAACGTTAGGGGAAACGCTTTGTAAAACTGAAAAGGGAAAACATCTAAAGGTGGGGGGTTTATTCCTTTCTAATTTCACATTTTTAATTACAATTTCTGCTGCAATGTTCTCTGTTTAATGAGGAGCAGGTTAGAGGGCTTGAAGAAGAAGTAAAGGTAAAGGGTCCCCTGACCATGAGGTCCAGCCGTGGCCGACTCTGGGGTTGCGGCGCTCATCTCGCTTTATTGGCCGAGGGAGCCGGCGTACAGCTTCCGGGTCATGTGGCCAGCATGACTAAGCCGCTTCTGGCGAACCAGAGCAGCGCACGGAAACGCCGTTTACCTTCCTGCCAGAGCGGTACCTACTTATCTACTTAGACTCTGACGTGCTTTCGAACTGCTAGGTTGACAGGAGCAGGGACCTAGCAACGGGAGCTCACCCCGTCATTGCGGGGATTCGAACCGCCCTTCCGATCGACAAGTCCTAGGCTCTGTGGTTTAACCTACAGCGCCACCCGCATCCCTTTGAAGAAGAAGTAGTGGTAGTTTAATTAAAGAACTACGTAAAAAGGTCTTCTCTCCTTTAGCCATTCTTTCCCTTGGCTTCTCACCCTGCCTCCAACCTAACCTCCTAAACTAGATATGGGAGGTACCCCATTTATCCTTACATCTCCCTTTTTTAAAACAATGTGTCTGTGTTTGTTTGTTTTTTAAATAAGTCTTTCTGGGGCCTTCTGGTTTTGAGTGTACCTTCCCAGACTCATTTCTGAAGATGCTTCATTTTCCCACCCTCCCTCCAGTGTTTTCCTCCTGCTTCCTTCCCCTGCTGTGTTACTCCTCCTTTCTTCTCTCCTTCCTCTCTTTCTGGTATCTGGAGGAGATGCCATTGGTTACGTCGCAATATTTCTCCAACGGAAGTCTGCATGTTGCATGATCTGGGGGCTACTTCTTCGTTTGACAACAACCCTCTGGGTTCATGGGGTACCATCCCGCACTTGAACTTCATTTTTGGGTTGTAGAGGGATCTCGGTGCTCAGGAATTTGTGCCATAATATTGCTTTTTTTACTGAATGCTTCAGGCTGAGTCAGAGTTATGGTGTTCCAGCCATAGCAGTTTGGTCCTGAGTGTTCTAATAAACAAGAGCTCAGCAGGGAATTTTCCCATTTCCACCCCTGTAATCCAGCTATGCCAAGTATGAATCTGTTTTTGTATCCGAGGCCTTTTTCAGCAAACGCTTCACAATTTCCACTTTGCTTTCGATGGGAGGCAGATTTAAAATCAAATGGCTATCCGTGGAAGCAATAATAAGTGTACTGAAAATTCATGAGCCCCTCTAGTCTAATGGTATTCGCCAGAATCCTGGAGAGGCATCTAAATTTGAAAAATATTTTGCCCTTGTCATGACCCTAAAACTGAACTTCTTTCAATGGATCCAGGCACAATCTGAGCGACGTCCTGTATGTTTCTTCTTTATGAGTATTGAAAAATGGACCTGTTCCATGGGCTCATCGACATTTTCAATGATCTCCAGAAGTTTGAGTTCTCCTAGACTTTTTGTGAGGGCCGAAGGAACTTCTGCAAGGTGCATTTATCACTAGTTTCTTTGGCTCTGTTAATTGGATTTTATACAGTGGTACCTTGGTTTTTGAACGTCTCTGTACATGAATGTTTCTGAACTTGAATGCTGTAAACCCAGAAGTAAATGCTTCAGTTTTTGAACACTTTTCAGAAGTCAAACATGTCACGCGGCTTCCATATTGAGTTTTCGTTATTGAATTTTCGGTTTTCGAACATTTCGGAACTCGAACGGTCTTCTGGAACGGATTATGTTTGAAAACCGAGATACCACTGTATACACTTTCCACCTTGCCTGTTCCTTCAAAGACATCGGGATACAATGTGAATATCTTTGGTTTGCCTTATGATGTGCAGTCTTTTAACCAGAATATGACAAGTTTTTTGTCCTAGGAAAGGTTCTGTGTTCCCACACACTATTGAACTAGAAGATCTCCATTCAAATTTGGAACCTGTTCTGCAATTCACAGACCCCTCTGTGCATCATTTCTTCCCCAGAATAAGCCAACGCAAAGACTTAAAAAGGTTTTCCTTTAATACTTGCATTCTAGCCTTGCAGCCTGGACTGCCCTTTCATGAGTCAGATCACAGTCTTGCAGGAGTTTTTAAATAAAAAGTTCACAGTCTCCAACCCTCAACACTATCTGATCTCTAATTAATGATGCCGTTAGGGTCCCACAGTTGCATTTCTGAATCATCTATTAAAGTCCGTATCGATTCCCCTTCCTCTGACGGAAATCTTAAATCTTTCATAAATCTCATTGCTCTCTTGGGCATGCGATACTCATCCAATTTCTGCACACCTCTTCCTCCTGCCTTGATTGCACGGCCAGGAAAATGTCTACTGCCTCATGCCCTGCTATAGGCAAAAACATGGTTACCTTTTGAGGATCTTCTTTTCATCCATTCCTGTACCTTGCATGTCAATGGTGAAGTCACGTTTAAACCTTTTCCAGGAGTTCGCTGCATGGCCACTAAGTTTCAACTCCCTCAGGAGCCTCGAACCATTCCATTTTTTCTCTCATTCCAGTGTGAGAGCCAGTGTGGTGTAGTGGTTAAGAGTGGTAGACTCGTAATCTGGTGAACCGGGTTCGAGTCTCCGCTCCTCCACATGCAGCTGCTGGGTGACCTTGAGCTAGTCACACTTCTCTGAAGTCTCTCAGCCCCACTCACCTCACAGAGTGTTTGTTGTGGGGGAGGAGGGGAAAGGAGAATGTTAGCCGCTTTGAGAATCCTTCAGGTAGTGATAAAGTGGGATATCAAATCCGAACTCTTCTTCTCTTCTTCATTCCATCCTTGAATTTTCAGTTTTTCTGCCCCTTACGTTTCTCGCTGACCTTACTCCTGGTACCACGAAATGTTCTCTCGTTCAATGATGAGCAGCTCCGAGGAGCTGAACAACAAATAGTTTTATGCAAGAGCTGAGCATAGCACATGATTTTCTCCTGCAGCTACTGTCTTGCTTTTAGCCCTACCTCCTGCTTGGGCCTGAACTAAGGGGGTGCCCTTCAAGATATGGTGACATTTACCCTCACTTCTACTGCCACAGGTGCATTTTGCGTCTCCGTATTATCTGGCTCCACAATCTTGGGGAGTGTTAGCTTCTGAAGAAAAGAGAGTATGGAGACTTGATTAGATTTGCTAGTAGAAGAAAGGTCTAACTAATACGTTCTACAGCTTCTTTGTTAACTCTTTTGAAGCCACGGTACAATACAGTGGTACCTTGGCTCTCAAACTTAACCCATTCCGGAAGTCCAAAGCGTTCCAAAACCAAGGTGCGCTTTCCCATAGAAAGCAAAATGGATTAATCCATTCCAGATTTCAAAAACAACCCCTAAAACAGCAATTTAACATGGATTTTACTATCTAACGAGAGCCATAACATGAAAGCAATAAACAATGTGCCGCAGTCACACAGTCAGTCAATCAGTAGCTGAACCGGGTTCCACACAGTAACACACAAAAAAGAGCCGCGATAACAAAAACACAAAATAAATAGCAAAAACAGACAGAGCTCAGCATAATACTCAAAACAGAAGCGTGGCACTCAAAACAGAGCATGTTTGGCTTCCAAAAACAGTTTGCAAACTGGAACACTTTGCAATGTTTGGGTTCCAAGCTGTTTGAGTACCAAGGCGTTTGAGAACCAAGGCACCACTGTACTTTTAAAAAGCAAAAACAAACCGCAAAACCATTCAGATGGTATGCTAAAACACCTCACCTACTTGTCTCCTTTTTTTCAAAGGAATGCAATGCATTTCAGATATTCCCTTTAGAACTCACGTTTCTCCTGGTGTTGAGGGAAACCAGATCATTTGTGTTTCTATTCCACCCTTTGGATTTCTTGTTTATTACCCCAGTTCTTTTTCTGCTGTGCTTAGTCACATGCATTATGTTATGTGTTATTGATTTATATACCGCTTCCTTGCCAAAATGAGCTTCTAAGCGTTTTACAAATGTAAAACCAATTACTGTATTTTTCCGTGTATAACACCCCCCCATTTGTATAAAATGACCCCTATTTTTGGGACCCCAAATTAAGGAAATGGGGGGAGATTGCCCAGAGTTGTTAACCTTTTTTTGGGGTGGGGGGAATTGCCCACAATTGTTGAACTTTTCTGGGGGGGGGATTGCCACCAATCGCTCACACGCCTAACCGCCACTGCCAATCGCATGCCTCGCCGAAGCCACCAATCGTCGCCAGAAGCTGCCAATCGCCTGTCCAATTGCCGCAGCAGCAGCCAATCGCCAGCAGGCCTTGACACAACCACCAACCACCCGCCCAATTGCCGCAGCAGCAGCCAATCGTCAGAAGGCCTTGTCGCAGCCACCAATCACCTGCCCAATCACCACAGACAATCTCCTGCTCATGCTCCCACCAATCGGCCACCCCCCCATTGCACTATCCGTGTATAACACAACCACCATTTTTTAACATTTTTAATAATAAAAAATCGTCTTATACGCAGAAAAATACAGTACATATAAAAACCAATTACACATGATTTAAATACGCAATGAAACAATTCTGCCCATACTTTTAAAAACACCCATAAACTTGGTGTAGTTTTATTACATATGCAACCGCAAAACAGCCTAACTCCATAGATTGTTCCCAGATAAAAAGCTGGAGTCTGGAGGGGCCCTGAATATTTTTTAAAAATAAAAGCACATCCCATTCTCCCTAAATGTTCCACCTCATTTTTCAGTTAAAAAAGGGCTTTGGGGGGGGGGGAAGCATGGAGAACAGAAGTTAACCTTTCCCAACCTGCTGATTCCCCACTTCAGATTCCACCTGTTTTCCTTCCTGCAGGGTTTTAGACATGTGCTTTGGGAGGCCAAAGAGATAATAATAATAATAATAATAATAATAATAATAATAATAATTTATTACAGTCAAAGACCAGTTCAAGGCCAAAGGGATGTTTGGAACCAGATGGCATGAAAAGCTGCGTAGGGTTTGATCAGAAGCAGAAAAGTGATGAGCAAAGCACAGGCTTTGTGCCCTGCCTTTTGAAAGGATCGGGTTTTTTAGTTGCATTTGCTTACACCTAAACGGTAAGAGGGACATGGGTGGCACTGTGGGTTAAACCACAGAGCCTAGGACTTGCTGATCAGAAGGTCGGCGGTTCGAATCCCCGCGACGGGGTGAGCTCCCGTTGCTCGGTCCCTGCTCCTGCCAACCTAGCAGTTCGAAGGCACAAAGTGCAAGTAGATAAATAGGTACCGCTCTGGCGGGAAGGTTAATGGCATTTCCGTGCACTGTTCTGGTTCACCAGAAGCGGCTTAGTCATGCTGGCCACATGACCCGGAAGCTGTACGCCGGCTCCCTCGGCCAGTAAAGCCGAGGCCACAACCCCAGAGTCGGCCACGACTGGACCTAATGGTCAGGGGTCCCTTTACCTTTACCTTTAAATGGTCTAACTTTATGCCCAACATCAGCACCAATTGCAAAGGGAACGCTCATGTACCTGTATCTTGGAAACCTTGAAGTAGAGGTGAGTCTTGGCCTCCGGAGGTCTACTATCCACGTGACTTCTAGCTGCCGGGAGAGGAGAAAACGAGTGTTTTCAAAAGGGTAGAAATAGATCTCTGCTCCCATACATATTACCTTCAAATATCCTGATCTAGTCTACAAGGCTTTTCCGGGTACCGAGATTCCAAAAGACCAGAAAAGAAACTGTTTATGTACGCGACAACAGCTGCACGGATGTTTTTAGCCCAGAGGTGGAAAGAAGAGATAACCCAGAGAGGGATGGCAAACCAAGTTGATGGACTATGCCCAAATGTCAAAATTAACTGGGAAGCTCAGGAACAAAGAAGACAAGATCTTTAGAAAAGAATGGGAAAAGTTTATAATGCGTATACAGTGGTACCTCGGGTTACATACGCTTCAGGTTACATACACTTCAGGTTATAGACTCAGAAATAGTACCTTCAGGATGAGAGCAGAAATTGCGCGGCGGCAGTGCAGCGGCAGCAGGAGGCCCCATTAGCTAAAGTAGTGCTTCAGGTTAAGAACAGTTTCAGGTTAAGAACAGACCTCCGGAACGTATTAAGTACGTAACCAGAGGTACCACTGTACGAGATTATTGTAAGCAGGTTAAAACACTGGCAGGATTTTAAATACCATTGTAATGTAACAGTATGTATGGATAACTTAGAAAGATCAAAAAAATTGGAGAAGTAATGATATGCAGTTGAAAATAGGATTAATAGGGCCTATGGAAAGGATGGGGGAGAAAGCCAGGAGATTCAGTTTATAATCTTGAAAATCAAATAAAAAATTATTTCAAAAAACCAAACAAAAAACCAGCCTATGCTGCTTTTTTCTAGTCTATACACTCTCTCGCTGACTTTCGCCCTGCACATAAACGCCCACTGGCTGTTAGCAAAACCAAGTAGGAAAACAGAATATTGCTAATGACAGCTGTAAATCTTGAATAGTCAACAGTTGTTGGAGCTAAGAGCCTCATGGAGCTCAATATAAATGTATGAAGCATTTCATCCTTCTTGCAACTCCTCCTGGATGTTTTGTTCTCTTCTGCAGCATCGAGGACAACTACTGGTGTTGTCTGAGGTGCCCCACGTAAGTTTGTCTTTTGAGGGGGGTTGCAGGAAAGCCTTTCGTACGTGTACAGGAGCTGATCGATCACTGTGTTTGGAGTCAGGAAGTAATTGCCACTGAAATTCTACTCGATCCAGAACAGATTCTGGATTCCGCCTCTCCTGGTATGTCCCACAGAGGAGCTTACGGTCTTCAAACAAAAACATCTTGGAGGTCCCGGGCCACAGGGAGGTTAGGCTGGCCTCAACCAGAGCCAGGGCTTTTTCGGCTGTGGCTCTGATCTGGTGGAACGCTCTGTCACAAGAGACTAGGGCCCTGCGGGACTTGACATCTTTCCGCAGGGCCTGCAAGACAGAGCTGTTCCACCGGGCCTTTGGCCAAGACACAGCCTGACCCCCTCCTTTGGTAATCCTCACAGAACTCTAGCCCAATGGTTGCCATTAATTTGATTTGAACTGATTTTATAATGAACTGATTTTAGAATGCTGTATTATTTTACTGTTGTTAGCTGCTCTGAGTCCGGCTTTGGCTGGGGAGGGCGGGAAATAAATAAAATTTTATTATTCATTTTATTATTCCAACGTATAGTTAGCAGAGTGAAAAAACTTAAACACGTTGCATGATTCCCCCCAAAATAGACCAGAGGCAATTATCCAAGAGGCTGGGTTCTATAGCCTCTCTCTGTAAAGATTGAAATAGAAAAGGACGTCAAGAAACGTTTTCTTGTCTTTATACTTTCCTGGGCAACCACCCTTGTTGCTCCTCAACCTTCACTTCTGCCTTGACGGTTAGAGTCTGATAGAGCTTTTGATAAGGCAGTTCAACAGCCTTTGGATTTTGCTCTCCTTCCTTGGAACTGCAGCAGCCTTTGCCTCCAGTCTACCTCTTGTTCAAACGGAAGCAAACCTAGGCACCCTAACTAACTTATCTGTAAAAACCCATAAATATGGGGCAAAGCAGACAAAATGACAACCCATTCGCCATCAGTAAGTATAATGAAAAGTAAAGAACAGAACAGAAAATTGAATTACACCAGCTCTAAAACTCCAGCCCCAATATTTTAATTGGGCTTCCTTTTGTTCCAGGGCTAAATAAATATTGAACATTGTTTCTGAAGCTGACAAACTGCATTGAGGTTCTCCTTCCACAGGCTTCCTATGTGTTGTTAATTTGCTCATAAGCATGGCATGCCAAGCTTTAGGCTACCATTTCTCAAGAATATGGATTTCGTTTCCGGTATTTGGCAATTTAAATCTGTTCAACAGATTTGCCATTAAGTATATGTATTTCTTAAGGACGCATCCTTTGGTACAACCCAGGAGTAATAACTGTTAGAGGTGTAAAAGGCATCTTTTGAATCTAACTAATTCTTCACTTCTACAATATCCTTCTGAAACGTGTGGGCATTCTCATCGCTTGGGGAATTTGGGAGTGTGTAACAATAGATCCAACCTTCTAAATAACACATGGTGCTGTTGCAGTAATTCAGTTCATGTCAGAAAGAATAAAATATTGCAAGGGGCAATAGGATATTATGGGTGATCTGCATTTCAGTAACTTGTGAGAGGTCAAAAATGAGAACTAAACACCCAGATTGTTGGATAACCAGCCTCATAAAGCCAACATGCTTAATTCTAATTAATGCATGAAGGGGTTAATACCACAGAGGGAGCTGTCCTGCCAGGCTTAGCTATGTCACCTACTGGTGTCATTTGTTTCTATTACTCTATTCTGCTTTAAGTGTTTATGACTGAGCTTTTTGAGTTTGTGTTTGACGGGGTGTTTGCACTTGCTGTGAGCTGCCCCAGAATCTTTAGGAAAGCAAGGGGAAGCATACAAATGGTTTTGAATTAATAAATACATCTACAAGTGGCCTGGCTCGCTTACTCTCCAACCCCATCGTTCTACTCAGACGCTGAGGTCCAACGCCGAGGGCCTTCTGGCGGTTCCCTCATTGCGAGAAGCAAAGCTACAGAGAACAAGGCAGAGGGCCTTCTCGGTAGTGGCGCCGACCCTGTGGAACACCCTTCCATCAGATGTCAAAGAGATAAACAACTGCCTAACATTTAGAAGACTTCTGAAGACAGCCCTGTTCAGGGAAGTTTTTAATGTGTGACATTTTAATGTATTTTTCATCTTTGTTGGAAGCCGCCCAGAGTGGCTGGGGAAACCCAGCCAGTTGGGCGGTGTACAAATAATAAATTATTATTATTATTATTACTCGAGTCATCTGGAGCTCTTTTGTTATCAATCGCAGTGTAAGATACAACTCTCTCCCTCTTTCTCTCTGGGGCAGCTATTCAATCAGACTGCCTCAGTTGGAGATATAGGAAGCAGGGTTCATTTGATCCGCTTTGTTGGAGGCCCGGCTCCATCAAGCACCTACTGCCCCTGAACTGTGCCGTCTGGTCATTATAGGAACAAATGTTCAGAAAACTGGTGTGCCTTTTTATTTTTAGTTTTCCCTTTTACCTTGTGTGTCTTTTTCTTTGTTTAGATTGTAAGCCTGCAGGGAGCGACTGTCTTGTTCCAATTGGATGAAGAGCAGGGTGCAAATGCTCTAAATTATATATAGCATGAGTCCGTTAATCTCAGGTTGGTGGGTTCGAGCCCAACACTGGGCAAAAAATTCCTGCCTTGCAGGGGGTTGGACTAGATGACTCTCGTGGCCCCTTCCAACTCTACGATTCATATAACACAGAATGAAACAAAGCAATCTGGAAAACCAAACCACCACAATAAATCAAACTTCTATCACAGCTCTGTGAGATGTAAATCTTCAGCAGGCTCCAGCCAGCAGGCTCTTTTCTGGCAAGCACATGCTTGCAACACTAAGTGAAATCGGTAATGATACATTGGGCAAAAGACTTTGGATATAATATACAGCTTGATGAATGGGAAAGGTGAATGAATGAAAGGATAAAATTTACAGCCTGTAATGCTTTGAAAGAGAATATGATGAAAATGATGTATAGATGGTATATTACACCAGTGAAATTAGCTAAAATGTATAAGACAAATAAGAAATGTTGGAAATGTGAAGAAAAAGAAGGAACATTTTATCATATGTGGTGGGAATGTAAAAAAGTAAAGAACTTCTGGGAAATGATATATAATGAGATGAAAAAGATGTTGAAATATACATTTTTTAAAAAACCAGAAGCATTTTTACTTAGTACAGTGGTGCCTCGCAAGACGAAATTAATTCGTTCTGCGAGTTTTTTCGTCTTGCGATTTTTTCGTCTTGCGAAGCACGGTTTTAACGGTATTAACGGTTTTAAGAAAAGGAAACAAACTCGCAAGACGTTTTCGTCTTGCGAAGCAAGCCCATAGGGAAATTCGTCTTGCGAAGCAACTCAAAAAACGAAAAACTCTTTCGTCTTGCGAGTTTTTCGTCTTGCGAGGCATTCGTCTTGTGAGGTACCACTGTATTATAAGTCAGGACATTAATAGGCAAGATGTTAAATTGTTTTTATATGCAACAACTGCGGCAAGTGTATTGTTAGCCCAGAAATGGAAACAAGAAGAAATTCCAACGAAAGAAGAATGGCAGACAAAATTAATGGACTATGCAAAATTGGACAAAATGACATGAAGGATTCGAAACCTGCGGGACCAGAGATTTACAGAAGATTGGAAGAAGTATATGAATTATTTGAAGAGCAACTGTAATCAACGAATTACGCTAGTAGGACTACAAGAAGTTTTGTAAGGAGAAATACACGAAGTGTTACAAAGTAGAAAAAGATAAGAGATATTGGTTATGAGTTTGAAATGTAATAGGGAAGATAAGAAATGCATACTGAGAGATTAGATTGGAAAAATTTCAGACAGGATTGATGGAAGTCAAAAATGCGAATAAGATGTAAAAGTATGTTTGATTACTGTTGAAAATGATATGTTAAAAAAAATAATAAAAAATTATATATAGAGAGAGAGAGAGCACATGCTTGCAACACTATGGTGTCTGGATAGTGCCCGCAAAGCTGTCAAGTCTTTATATTGATGCTTCTGGCTTTCAGCAGGTGGGTGGATCTTTTGAATCTTGCATCTCTTCCAACTTTTAAATCTACATTCCTATGCACACTGGAGAACCCCCGACTGAGCAGAATGGGGCTTACAACTTCTAAGCAAGCATTCATAGGATCACCCAGCAAAGTTATTGTACTCAGCAGGTTTAGGATTGCAAGAAGTTAAGCCTACCCAGTTCTTTTTTGCCACGAAACACATATTCACCAGTACGGGACTGATTCCTTGTACAGGCGATTCTTTGCCTAGAATTGGCAACCACCACAGGGAATGTCAAGACATCGAAGCTGCTCATCTTGGCACAAGCCCACCACTGCCAGGTCCCAAGTCAAAAAGGCAAAGCTGGGGGGCTTAGCTTCTGAAGACCACCTCCCACTTGTTGTCATAGATGCCACAGCTGTGACATCATCGGCTGTGAAATGCCATAAGCGGGAAGGATGGCAACACAAACTCCCAAGAGCCTTTGGATGCTGCCGGGTGAGATTGCGCCGCCCAGGTGAGATACCCAGGGAAGGCTGGTGCGTGAGAATTGCAATGCTGGGTCAAAGAAATGGGTTGTCAGGGACCGTGCTGAGGAGGGCTGCACTGAGGAGGAATGGTGGGAGCATCCCCCTCCCCCTGATCCGGATCCTGAATCTTCCCAAGAGCAGGAGGACAACATAGATTTGGAACAGCGGTTTGCAGAGGGGCATAATTCAGAAGGCAGAAGCTGGGAAATGCTGGTTGGGGAACAGCTAGCGGAAGAAACACTGGGAGAGATGGGGTTAACAGATTCACTGTCTCTGGAAAGCATTCCTCCGCTCTCCCCAAGGTCAAGAAGAGCTCAGAAAGGGGCAGAACAGGAAGCACAGAGGGTACAAGCTCAGATTGCAAGACGTAGGAGTGATGTTGATTAATAGGGATGGAAGAGGGTGGAATCCTTAATTGGGAGCACCGCCATTTCTAGAAGAAGGGTTCTTTGTTCTCTCGCTGTGATTATTAAAGTTTCTAACTGGTAAGAAGACTCCTTTTCCTTTGTTCTGCTTATCTACTGCCATGGTGGGGTGGGGTAGGGGGAGGAAGCTGATTTCCTGAAGCCTGACATGGGTCCACCTTGCTCAGCATTCTGCCCATGGAAGGAAAAGGCTTTAAAGGACAGAGAACAGACAAAGGGGGATAACTTGTCTGCCATGAACGGAATTGGAAAAGAACAATAGCCTGGATTTAAAGCAGTGCTCCAAACACCAGAGGATAAATTACAAAATAAATAAATAAAAACCAAGCACCCGTTTGCCCCCTTGTGTTGTTTTAGATTTGGTAACAAATAAAGAGCTTTATTGTTGTGCTAGCCAAAGGCCGTGACAAATCGAAAAGCAGAACACAAAACGGAGCTATATGCCTAGCATTTATTAGGAAAACTAACAGACTGGCTACATGCAAACAAAATTTCTGCGTGGAGAACAAGGGATTCAGCACTATCGACCAAATCGTATTAGCAAGAAGTATACTGGCAACAAGAGGAACAAGTTGTTTCTGCTGCATTTACTGATTTATTTGCCGCTTTTGACTCCATAAATCATAGCAGATTGTGGGAGAAACATCTGAACACCAATATTGAACCCAGACTCCTCCTGCTGATTCGAGTTTTATCTGGAGAGCATCTAGCTAGCATCCAGTAGCATTTACTAACTACCATAGACTTGGAGGTCTTTTGCCTACATTTTATGTATATATATTAGAAATGGGTAGTTTTGGCAGAAAAACTAAATAATCAACATACACTGTGGGGGGGGATGTGTTTAGATTAGAAATACAATTATCTCTGAACACGTTCTGGAGCTGTTTATAATACTGCCTGTCACAGTATTGCACGGTCTTGGGTTCCCCACGTTAATTTCTGTGCTAAGAAAATAATTTATTTTGCCTTCAGACAGCTTTAGGGACAACTGAATTATGTTTTTTTCTCCTCACTTGGTTCGTTTGTTTTATTTTTTTCAAGTTATAGCCCATTTTCCTGCATAAAACACTTGAAGCGATCAACAACAATAATAATGAAGATGCATTGTCGCAAAGTTGGAGAAAGCAACTTTGGAGGAAGAGAACTTTTGACTGTGCAACACCCCCCCCCGCCCCCCGCTTTTTTAAAAATGTGAAATAAATAAATAACAGCAAGAGAAAAAGAGCAGATAAAAATCAATCAAGTGTCAGAACAGTCAACAGGCAGTGTTCACTAAAAACATGTTGAAATGAGCAATAACAAAAGAAAGTCAACTATTTGCTCCAAGCATGATTTTATTCATGATTTTCCGTAGCTGCTTTTCATATAAAATATGGCACTGGGGCTCAGTTACACATATTTGCATGTAAGGTAAAGGTAAAATGTAAAAGACCCCTAGACGGTTAAGTCCAGTCAAAGGTGACTATGGGATTGCGGCGCTCATCTCGCTTCTGGTGCAATGGAACACTGTTTATCTTCCTGCCACAGCGGTACCTGTTTATCTACTTGTACTGGTGTGCTTTAGAACTGCTAGATTGGCAGGAGCTGGGACAGAGCAATGGGAGCTCACCCCGTCGTGGGGATTCAAACCACTGATCTTCTGATCGGCAAGGCTAAGAGGCTCAGTGGTTTAGACCACAGCCTTCCTCTTAGCATGTTTCTCCCTTTCGTCCTGAGTTTCAGCGTCTTCAAAGCCCATGACACCTTTGGTAAAGGCTGTTCTCCAATTGGAGCACTTGCAGGCCTGTGTTTCCCAGTTGTGTTTATACTACATATTTTAAGATTTGCCTTGTCTTTAAACCTCTATTGTTGACGACCCGCATTACGCTTTCCATTTTTAAGTCTGGAATAGAGTACAGTGGTACCTCGGGTTAAGTACTTAATTCGTTCCAGAGGTCCGTTCTTAACCTGAAACTGTTCTTAACCTGAAGCACCACTTTAGCTAATGGGGCCTCCTGCTGCCGCCGCACCGCCGGAGCACGATTTCTGTTCTCGTCCTGAAGCAAAGTTCTTAACCTGAGGCACTATTTCTGGGTTTGCGGAGTCTGTAAAATGAAGCGTATGTAACCTGAAGCGTGTGTAATCTGAGGTACCACTGTAGTTGCTTTGGAAGACGATAATCAGGCATCTGCACAACACGACCAGTCCAACGAAGTTGATGTTGAAGAATCATTGCTTCGGGACTGGTGGCTGGAGTAGGCCCAGCTGGGAGCTGTCCAACAGAGCTACCGGATGGTGACAATCTTTGCCAGGAGGCCTGGACCAGAGGAGGAACTGTCCCAACAAAATCCAGAGCTAGTTTAGCAAAGCTTGGCGAGGCGCTGACTCAGAGCTCTTGCACCAGCAACTAACAGAGATAAAAGGTGAATGTGCGTGTTTTTAGCAGAACCAGCTGCCGTGCCTCTTCCTGGAGTTCAGTGGCGTACAAAAGACATGCTTCATCTGAGCTCAGTTCCCATTCAACCATCTGAGGCACAGTGGCTCCACAGCCCTGGAGCAAACTCCGCAGAGGAAATATGTAAAAGACTGTTTCCCCTCTACTCCCAGCTCTGAGTCCCAGCAGTTGAAGGGTTCGTGCCCCCATGTTATCTTCTGCCAAGGATATGGCCTTTCCTACAGGAGAATAGGAGTATTGAGATATAACCAGTAACAGGATATTATAAGCTATAATGCCTGTTGTCTTTGTCCATGGAATTTTCTTGACAGGGATACTGGAGTGGCTTGCCGGTTCCTGCTCCAGGTGGATCACATTTGGTCAAAACTCTCCACTATGACCTGTCCATCTTGGGTGGCCCTGCACGGCATAGCTCATAGCTTCTCTGAGTTATTCATCGCCTTGCCAACAAAGGTAAGGTAAAGGTAAAGGTAAAGGTAAAGGTACCCCTGCCCGTACGGGCCAGTTTTGCCAGACCCTAGGGTTGTGCGCTCATCTCATTCTATAGGCCGGGAGCCAGCGCTGTCCGCGGACACTTCCAGGTCACGTGGCCAGCGTGACAAGCTGCATCTGGCGAGCCAGCGCAGCACCTGGAACGCCGTTTACCTTCCCGCTGGTAAGCGGTCCCTGTTTATCTACTTGCACCCGGAGGTGCTTTCGAACTGCTAGGTTGGCAGGCGCTGGGACCGAACGACGGGAGCGCATCCCGCCGCGGGGATTCAAACCGCCGACCATGCGATCAGCAAGTCCTAGGCGCTGAGGTTTTACCCACAGCGCCATCCGCGTCCCATTGCCAACAAAGGTCCGTATAGTTAAAGCTACGGTTTTCCCAGTAGTGATGTATGGAAGTGAGAGCTGGACCATAAAGAGGGCTGATCGCCGAAGAATTGATGCTTTTGAATTATGGTGCTGGAGGAGACTCTTGAGAGTCCCATGGACTGCAAAAAGATCAAACCTATCCATTCTTAAGGAAATCAGCCCTGAGTGCTCACTGGAAGGACAGATCGTGAAGCTGAGGCTCCAATACTTTGGCCACCTCATAAGAAGAGAAGACTCCCTGGAAAAGACCCTGATGTTGGGAAAGATGGAGGGCACAAGGAGAAGGGGACGACAGAGGATGAGATGGTTGGACAGTGTTCTCGAAGCTACCAGCATGAGTTTCACCAAACTGCGGGAGGCAGTGGAAGACAGGAGTGCCTGGAGTGCTCTGGTCCATGGGGTCACGAAGAGTCGGACACGACTAAATGACTAAACAACAACTACAACATAAGCTATAATCAGGGCTCCCCCCCACAAGCTGGAACTCGTCAGAACTCAGTTCCAGCACCTCTCAGGTGGGTACCATTTCCATTATATGAGAACAAGAGAGGCACTCGTGGCGAGTTCTGGCACCTTAAGGTCCATAAATAACAACACCTTAGAGGTCCCGGGCCCTAAGGAAGTCAGATTAGCTTCAACAAGGGCCAGGGCCTTTTCAACACTGGCTCCAGCCTGGTGGAAAGCTCTGCCTCATGAGACCAGGGCCCTGCAGGATCTGATTTCTTTCCGCAGGGCCTGTAAGACAGAGTTGTTCCGCCTGGCCTTTGGCTTGGAATCAATTTGATACCCTCCCCCTCTTTCTTTTTTCCTTTCTCCTTCTGTGTTGGAACTCCTATCTGGGGACTTCCCTGGCTTTTTTCTGACCCATGTAGGACCAGTCTGGATAGTTAGCCTTGTTGAAGACTTGATGTTTTTATTACCCCCCCCCCAAGTTTTTGATTGAGTTTCCACTGAAATGAGGCTGCATTTTAATGTTTTAATGTTGTATTTTAATCTTGTTTTTTAAGCCATATTTCAATCAATTGTTTTTATATTTGGTGTTAGCCGCCCTGAGCCCGGCCTTGGCTGCGAAGGGCAGGGTATAAATAAAATTTATTATTATTATTATTATTATTGAAAAATAGCACTGGATATAGCACGTTGGACAAAAAGGTTCTTGCTTTGCAGGTGGTTGGTTTAGACGACTCTCGTGACCCCTTCCAACCTTACAATTCTATGATTCTATTCTTCTCCTTGATTGGAGTTTCATACTGCTTTGAGTTTCATTCTTTTGCAAGCCAGCCTGGAAATGCCAATTGACTCTGAAGCGTGGCATATGAATCTTAGCAATAAATGACTTTTGTTTGCTTTTTTAAAATTAATACCTTATACCCCCATTTCCTGTTCAAAACAGAACATCCAAGGGGGCTAACAACGGAAGGGGGAAGGGAAAGAGGGATTAAAAGATACATAAAACAATCAGATACAATAAAATCAACCCAAAATCGTGGAAAAAAACAGGAAAAACCCAGTAATAAACAGAACAACTAGCCCTCTAACCCACCAACCTTTGGGGCAAAAAGGCTTTTACAGAAGCTTCTGAATGGGTGGTAAACATCCCAGGCTTTGAGCCCAGAGTTCTCTATCTGTATGCATCCATATTGCAAACCTGGAACAATGATGGCATTGTTACTTCCGAGTGAGTGTTCTTTTTCTTAGCAAGATTTCGGCAAGCCATATGTCATCGTTGGAGCACATGCATTGCACGCAGAATGTTCCGGGTTCTATCCTTGTTATCGGAAACCCTGGATAGTCTACAGCCTCTCAATGCAGACACCACTGAACGAGGTAGAGCAGGGGTCAGCAAACCTTTTCAGCACGGGGCCGGTCCACTGTCCCTCAGACCTTGTGGGGGGCCAGACTATGTTTTGAGGGGGGGGGGCGAATTCCTATGCCCCACAAATAACCCAGAGATGCATTTTAAATAAAAGGACACATTCTACTCATGTAAAAACACGCTGATTCCCGAAACCAGATTGAGAAGGCGATTGGGCTGGATCTGGCCCCCGGGCCTTAGTTTGCCTACCCATGAGGTAGACCAAGAATCTCACTCCGTGTAATCAGGGGCAGACTCTGGTATTATGGCACCTTCAGTGAGGACAACATTTGGCACCCTAACCCCCCCCCCCCCATTATTTCTTATTTCCCCAACAATTCCTTTCCTATTTTTTATTATTCTGCACCCCCTCAGCTTGGCGCCCTCTGCAGGGGAACCACCTGCATTGCCCTAAATCCAGCAATGGTATAAGGCATTTCCCTTTGTCCCCAGACTGTCTGCTAAAAGCCCAGAATTGCTGTTGATTAACAACAACAACAACAACAATTTATTATTTATACCCCGCCCATCTGGCTGGGTTTCTCCAGGTACTCTGGGCGGCTCCCGACAGAATATTAAAAACTTTTACGATAAAACATCAAACATTAAAAACTTCCCCATACAGGGCTGCTCTCAGATGTCTTCTAAAAGTCAGATACTTGTTTATTTCCTTGACATCTGATGGGAGGGCGTTCCACAGGGCTGGTGCCGCCACCAAGAAAGCCCTCCGCCTGGTTCCCTGTAACCTCACTTCTCGCAGGGAGGGAACTGCCAGAAGGCCCTTGGAGCTGGACCTCAAGTGTCCGGGCTGCACGATGAGGGTGGAGACGCTCCTTCAGGTATACCATAATGAGCTAATGAGGTTAGGAGATGGTCACTGGGCAGGTGGGGGGTTTCTCTGTTAGCTTTGAATCTGTCATTTCGAATGAGGTTTCCATCACTGCTGGGAAAAGGCAGAGCCCGTTTTAGAGCTGGCAGGAAGCAGCAGCAGAGGCGTGCGGTGCTTGCGAGAGACACAAACAGGCGAAAGTGCCTTTGCATGTGGGGTCCCCTTTGCATTAGCTGCTGCGCTGCTTGCTTGAGGTACCTGTTCCCCAAATCCTTTATGTGTATTATTTGAAAATCCCCAGATATTGCATATCCACCTTAAGCCTCTGACACACTCTCATCAAAAGAAAACCCAACCTGGCAGTGGTGGCCCCAGAATTTCTCCTTATATCATTATCTCCTTATGGCCCATTTTCTGGTGATAGCAGGTAGGAGTCCATTTCTTAAGTATGTTTGACCTGAGCTATTTTATTTGAAGGCGTCGGGTTTTAAGCAACAGAACAATGCCCACTGCAGGCGTCGGCTGTATTAGGGGCTCTGCTCTCAGGCGCCAGCACAACGCCTTCGTTTCTGATGTTCCAAAGTTCTGGTGTTTGCAGGATCTTTATCACGACTTCCTCAAAGGCAGTTTCCACGCCATCCTTCATTTTAGCACTGGTCTCTAGGCAAAAACAAACAGCAATGCACTGCTTGAAATGTGAGGACCTAGGCTTTGCAGAGTTCCAGTTTGCATTCAGAGTGGTGTTAGTACTAGGCACCAAAAATACGAAATACGAGCTGCTAAACTGCAGAAGTCTCCAGTGCAAGGGGAAAATCCCCTCTCAACTCATTGCTCCCACTTCTGTATTTAAACTTAACTGGGGATGGATGCAGTAGGCAGAAATCAGACAGCAAATCGGCGCAGAAGTTATGAAGAACAGTGATCTGGGGCTCCTATGACTCCCACCTGGGACAGCTTCCCAGGAGCCATAGGAATGCAGGGCCCATCGATTGCCTTAAAGGTAAAGGGACCCCTGACCATTAGGTCCAGTCGTGGCCGACTCTGGGATTGTGGCACTCATCTCGCTTTATTGGCCGAGGGAGCCGGTGTACAGCTTCCGGGTCATGTGGCCAGCATGACTAAGCTGCTTCTGGCAAACCAGAGCAGTGCATGGAAATGCCATTTACCTTCCCGCCACAGCGGTACCTATTTATCTACTTGCACTTCGTGCTTTCGAACTGCTAGGTTGGCAGGAGCAGGGATCAAGTAACAGGAGCTCACCCCGTCACAGGGATTCGAACCGCCGACCTTCTGATCAGCAAGCCCTAGGCTCTGTGGTTTAACCCACAGTGCCACCCGCGTCCCAATCGATTGCCTTACTGTAAATTAAATCAGGCTTTGTATTCATTTGATCTTTTCTAAATGAATTTATTCTGAAACAGCGTAGATAAATAGCAGAGAAGAAAAGTCTGGGCAGTTGAAGCAGGGGTAAAGACTTTTTTAACATCCATTTTCTAAAGGGGTTTCTAAAAAAGTAAAAAGGTAAAGGACTCCTGGATGGTTAAGTCCAGTGAAAGGTGACTATGGGCTTGCGGCGCTCATTTCACTTTCAGGCCTAGGGAGCCGGCGTTTGTCCACAGACAGCTTTCCAGGTCATGTGGCCAGCAGGACTAAACCGCTTCTGGCGCAACGGGACACTGTGACGGATACCAGAGTGCACGGAAATGCTGTTTACCTTCCCGCCACAGTGGTACCTATTTATCTACTTGCACTGGCGTGCTTTTGAACTGCTAGGTTGACAGGAGCTGGGATAGAGCAACGGGAACTCACCCTGTTGTGGGGATTTGAATCGCTGACCTTCTGATCGGCAAGCCCAAGAGACTCAGTGGTTTAGACTACGTCCCTAAAGGGGTTTCTGTTAGTAGCTGTTGTGTAGTTAGTTAGTTATGCCTAATGCCCTCATGTGGCAAAAGCAAGGAGCAATCGTGGATTTTTAAAAGATCTGTAGTGGTTCTTCTTTGTTAAATGCATGTGCCCACGTTTGTACAAAGAAATATTAAGTACTAAAGAGCAGAGAAATTTCCCTGAAAGAGCAGGCCTCTCTTTGTACAAGGTAAATCGATGCTTTGGTTTATTTCTGCGCAGTTGAAATGCTGTGAAAGGGAATTGTATCCACAGTGTGGTTCACCAGGGGGGTTTATGGGAGGAGCTGATGGAAACTTGTTTGTGGGTTCTGCTAATTTTGAGAAATCTGTTGCCACAGCCAATAGGATCGCCTAAACAGACACAAAGAAGAAGAGCTGTGCAGCTGCTTTGCATCCAGATGTTCCCAACTAGGATACCCTGCATCTACAAGAAGTTCCTGGCCTGAATCCCCAGACAGCAAATGCCACTCACTGTAGACAATACTGAGCTAGATGGAGCAATGAGTCTGACTCACTCTAGCAGCCTTTCTCAACCTGTGGGTCCCCAGATGTTGTTGAACTACAACTCCCATCACCCCTAGCTAGCAAGGCCAGAGCTCAGGGATGATGGGAGTTGTAGTCCAACATCTGGGGGATCTTCCTTCCTTTTACTGCTGCCATCTCTGTGTCTTGAACAGCAGTCTTGCAAGCAGACACGGAGCACGTGAACCCTTTTCTTGCTTGGAGGGGAACATGGATTTACCTGCTCATTTTCTGCATGCAATATTGCTCTTTAAGACACATGGATGGGCCCAACAGAAAGGTGACTGCTCCAATATGTTCTGAAGGCAGCCCATATTGGAAGGTTTTTTATGCTTGACATTTTATTACGTTTGTATATTTTGCTGGAAGCTGCCCAGAGTGGCTGGGGTATAAATAAAATTATTATTATTATTATTATTATTATTATTATTATTATTATTCCCCTGTTTCAACCTTGGTATACCAGCCAGCCCCTTCTGTGGGTTCTCTTCACATACCTATGAAGAGCATGGAGTGTTTCTGAGCAAATTGCAAGCCTTCCTTTCTGTCTACCTCACGATCCGTCTATAGATAGGGAGAGAATGTTATCAGACACTGGACCCAAGTGGTGGGTTGTATAAACACACAAACACACACACACCAAATCAGCATATTGCATTCCTACTGAATCAGTAAATGTCCAGCTAGATTATCTTAACAGCTCAGCTGCCATCCCTCAGTTTTGACAGCATTTGAAGGTTTTAGCTGCTAAATTCCAAACTGTCAAATGCTGGAACAAGAGGGACAGGGCAACAGAATTGTCAACAGTAATTATGTTGCACCCCGGCCCCTGCCCAACCCCAAGGCATCTTTCCTAAGAGTTCTCCAAATGATACCAACATTGCATTTAATAAGCTTTATCTTGATTAGGATAACTGATGCTCATGAATGCATTTTTGCCTCTGTTTTGTCGGTGATTGAAAGGGAGAAGAGAACAAGGGTTCTCGAATTGCCTTTCCCCCATCCTTGGATAAAACAATAGCAGGGCTGTTATTTCTGAGGCTGATGCCGATTTAAAAACACAACGATCTGCGACCTAGCCAAACGCCAGCCTGGGATTCCCTTTTTTGCATGCACAAAGCGACCCAGAGATGGCTCTGGGTCTTAATTGCATCAATTAAAGACTCAAATCCAGAGAGACAGAAGACAGCTTGTACTCCCTTCCCTGCTTACTGCCCTCTGAAGCCAATTCTGGACACCTCACAAGTATCTCTCGCTTTCTGCACTGATGACCTCCGGAATTGACATGTGTTTAATGAATGTTCGGGGTGAAATTTGTTTTGCACGGAATGTCTAGCCAACTGCATTGTGTGGGGTCAAGAAGGAATTTTAGGCAGGGTAATTTGTTAAAGGCCCCTCTCCGCCCCCTTTACACTTGTGGAACTGCTTGGGGAATGGCCAGCTGGCTTTGTGATTAACACGAGGGCCAGCAAATCAGCGTTGCCAGACGAGGAGAAGTGCTTCTTGACTGGCTGGTCCTTGTGCCAATCAGTGCCGTGCAAATTCAGCTTCTGCTGCCAAGCAGAAGAGCTGCTTCCCCTTTGCATTTGATCCTGCTGCAAATTACGTATGCCTCCTGCGCAGCTATAGCAAAGATCTGATGGATGGCGAACAACCCCAGGGGCTTTTGCTTGTGTGTTTGCTTCTCTCTGCCTTTATAACAACTTTGAGAGGCGAGGCGCCGCGCACCACGAATCAATCACGGTTGTTGTTGTTTTTTTAGTGCCCACATTTTGTTCATGGAACAATTCGCTTCAGAGATGTACAATGAAGCAAGAGGGAAGAAAGAGCCAGAAAAAGACAGCCGGTATCAGCAAGAGCCGTGACGTGGCTGTCTCTTTGCTCTGTGAGCTGTTTTTTCTTGTTGTGGGGGTGGGAGTCCCGAAGCCACAGAAAAATCCAGCAATTTACACACACACATATGAAAAACAGCAACGAAAAACAAGGGGCTCTCAAAAGACTAAACAGATTGCCCATTAAGGCAGAGCAAGAGGGAGAGGTCTTTCCCAGGAAGATGAGGTATGGAGTCAGCTGGTGCCTCTGGCAAAGCGTAGGAGGCATAGGCAGGCAACAACAACAGGAGCAAAGAGGCAGACCCCTGCAGGCTGGGACAAGGCTCTGGAAGGATGCAGAGAGGCGGAGAGTGGAAGCCATTGCTGTCAGCCTCATGAATCCTTTTGCTCTAGCCATTAACGGGGCCTGCACGTCAGCTATACCAGGGCCTGCAGGCAGCCCGCATTAACCATCAGCAGACGTGAAATGCACATGGCCTCTTTTAAATTAGGTAAAGGGTAAAGGGACCCCTGACCATTAGGCCCAGTCGTGACCGACTCTGGGGTTGCGGCGCTCATCTCGCTTTATTGGCCGAGGGAGCTGGTGTACAGCTTCCGGGTCTTGTGGCCAGCATGACTAAGCCACTTTTGGCGAACCAGAGCAGCACACAGAAACGCTGTTTACCTTCCTGCCGGAGTGGTACCTATTTATCTACTAGCACTAGACGTGCTTTCAAACTGCTAGGTTGGCAGAAGCAGAGACCGAGCAATGGGAACTCACCCCGTCGCGGGGATTCGAACCGCCAACCTTCTGATCGGCAAGTCCTAGGCTCTGTGGTTTAACCCACAGTGCCACCTGCGTCCCTTTCTTTTAAATTAGAACCTATCCATTCTCCAACAGCCTCCTTGTGTTCCCTCTGCAGCCCAGAGCAAATGCTCCCCCTCAAAACCATCCCTCTTTTTTCCACTGGACACCATCCTCTCTGCACAACCACAGTCCTCTGTGCGCCTCCGACTCTCAGGCACTTCCTCCGGTTTCTTCCTTCCTGCATCCCCATTTCTCAAATAACCCCGTATTTTTCCCTCCTTGCACCACCACAGGTCTCTCTGCACCTGCTCTCCTCCTTCTCTCCAATGAAACATTTGCATCTCTTGGTATTTTCTCCCCTGACCCTCTTGTAGACCCGGAAGCAGAAAAGCCCCATCAGGCTGCAGTCCTAGGACAGGCGTTCTTGGTCAGCAACGACAAGATGAGCAAACGAGAAGCAGCGGGGTGCCAAAGGTCCCCAGGAGGTTCTTGTATTCCAGCTCTTCCAGTACTTGTTAGCTGCTGCGCACAGAGCCCTGCTTTCATACACTCTGGGCACCACAATTTAAGGAGGATATTGACACGCTGGGACGTGCAGAGAGGAGGGCGACCAAGACGATCAAGGGTCTGGAAACCAAGCCTTATGAAGAACGGTCGAAGGAGCTGGGCATGTTTAGCCTGGAGAAGAGACTGAGAGGAGATATGATAGCCATCTTCATGGAGGATGCGGAAAACTTGTTTTCTCCTGTTCCAGAGAGCAGGACCCAAACCAAGGGCTTCAAGTCACAAGAGAGGAGATTGTGACTAAATATCAGGAAGAAATTTCTGATGGCAAGAGCTGTTCGACAGTGGAATGGTCTCCCTCGGGAGGTGGTGGGCTCTCTTTCCTTGGGAGATTTTAAAGCAGAGGTTGTGTGGCCACCTGTCATGTATGATCTGGTTGAGATTCCTGCATTGCAAGGGGGTGGACTAGATGGCCCTTGGAGTCCCACCCAACTTGACAATTCAGTGATGGGCAATTGTAATCTAGAGCCACAGGTGAAGCAACACTCGCTCTTTAGGCCCACCATCTTCTTTAGCATTTGTTATGTACTAAGTTGAATAGGATCCAAAAGGCAGCAGTCTGATTGGTCCTAGAACAATAGGATTCAGAATGCAGCAGTCTGATTGGTCCTAGAACAATAGGACCCAGAATGCAGCAGTCTGATTGGTCCACAGGAGCCACCCAATCCAGCTCCAGGTGGAAGCGAATCTGCAACCTGATTGGCCTACAAGAGAACCCCGGAATTAGCCAATCACGTGGGGCCCATTGTGTAAATAATGTATATAAAGCAGACATTCTGGGGGAACTTCCCTTTTCCTCCTCACCACTACGAGCTGAATAAAGAACGTGAAATCCACTCTCGACTCCAAGTATATTTCAGCATTCATGTCACTAATAAAACAGGAACTGCAAGATCAAGTGTGACTCTCGGGGGCCATTTGATGGGGAACCTGCAGCCCTGAAGATGTTGGTGGACTCAGCCCCAGTCAGCAGAGCAAACAGCCAGGGGGTGATGGATTGTTGCAGTCCACCAACATCTGCAAGGCTACATGTTCCTCATCCCTGGCTTAGGATGTTGTGGCCGGACCGTGTGGGAATAATAAAAAATAAAGGTGAATGTGATCTTTTTTGCAATGCTTCACCACAGGGGGCCGGCCAGAACAACACCACCATTCTAAGAAACAAATGCCATACACAAATTCCCCATGACTTTGCACTTACCCCCATGGCGGATAGTTTTAATGTCCTAATGATATCTTGCTTGTCTTTCAGGCTGTACACTGCTTAGGGATTATTATTTTTTTAAAAAAAGATAAATGCTTTCAAATAAATAAAACGAGCAGGCTCCCAGCTCCCAACTGACCTCGTCGATTTTGTTGCCCACCAACATCTTCACGACGCTTTTCTTCGTGAAAACATCCAGCTCTTGCAGCCAGCATTCCAGTCCCGCGAAAGTTTCCCTCTTAGTGACGTCATAAACTGGTCAGGAGGGACAAAAACAAACAGGTCTTTCCTCACTCAGATGCATTTTGTGTTCACATGAAAAGAGCAAAACGGGGAGGAGAAGCAGCTGCTGTTTCCCCAGTCTTGGCCTGTCAGGGGGTTCTGTGAGGCTGTCCACCTCACAAATTACGATCGCCTGTCAGTCAGCTGACATCATTCCAACAGCTGGTGACATCAGCTTGAAGGATTCTGCTCTGCAAAGCTGCAGTTCTCAAAGTTTCCTGTGAAAAGGGATTGGCTGTTAAACCACTCTAGGGATAACAGCTCTATGAGGGGAACAGGGGGCCTTCCTAACCAAAGTACAGCTCCCAGAATTCTTTGGGGGAAGCCATGACTGTTCAGAGTGGTACTATAGTGAATGGTGTGAATGTGTGCTTTCTGAGTAGGTAAAGGTAAAGGGACCCTTGACCATTAGGTCCAGTCGTGACCGACTCTGGGGTTGTGGTGCTCATCTCGTTTTATTGGCTGAGGGAGCCAGCGTACAGCTTCTGGGTCATGTGGCCAGCATGACTAAGTCACTTTTGGTGAACCAGAGCAGCGCACGGAAATGCCGTTTACCTTCCCGCTGGAGCGGTACCTATTTATCTACTTGCACTTTGACGTACTTTCGAACTGCTAGGTGGGCAGGAGCAGGGACCGAGCAACGGGCGCTCACCCCGTTGGGGGGATTCGAACCGCCAACCTTCTGATCGGCAAGTCCTAGGCTCTGTGGTTTAACCCACAGCTTTCTGAGTATTGGGTCACCAATCTTAATAACCTTTGCCCGCTTGAAAACCTTTGCTTCTCCTGTTCCCATTCACCTCTTTGTGACATCTTTGACTTCTCTGAGTTAGCTTACGGTCCTCTTCCACCCTCCACATCCCTTTTTCCTTTTGTGCCATGCCCTTTAGATTGTAAGCCCGAGGGCATGGATTGCCTTGGTTGTTTTTTTAAATTATTGATCTGCAAGCCACTCTGGGGAGTATTTTTGGCTGAAAGGAAGATAAAAAATGCTTTAAATAAACAAAACTGTAAGGAGTGCGGTTTTGTGAAAGTCACGGGCACACCTATTGCTGCAGTTTAACCTTGCATGACTGAATCGCTTTTGGAACTTTTAAACTCCCCCCCGACATACACTTTAAAAGGAACCTGTGAGAATATTTCAGCAAGGTGAAAATGCAACTGGGTGGAGGGGGTCTCTGTTTTCTTTGGGAAAAGGCCGGAAAGGCTATTTACTCTATGGCCTAAAACCAATGTCAAATGGAAATGTCTCAGAAGCCAAGCTGAAACGCCTTCAGCCTTTATGTCTGAAAATTTTTCAAGAAGTAGAGGCTCTCTGCCAAGGGAACAACCATTGCCAACCCTTGGCTTAGTGGCATGGATGCGAGGCAGCATTAATTGCTGTTCGACATCTGCCAGTGCCAGCTCAAACCATAGAGAAAAGTGTGTACTTCCACCTACCTCTGTCTTAATGCATTTCACTTCAGAATTCTGCTAATTACAAACCCGCTATGCCTGCCACGTACCTAAAATTATACCTTGAGCACCTCGGTAATAGCTAGGAGTTAAAGTCCGGAATCGCTCCTGCCCTGCCGTGTCCTACGGAAAGGGAAACAAAGGTGTTTAGAACAAAGAGACCATTTAAAGCTCTGTAGCCCCAACGTAAGGGACGCGGGTGGCGCTGTGGGTTAAACCACAGAGCCTAGGACTTGCTGATCAGAAGGTCGGCGGTTCGAATCCCCACGACGGGGTGAGCTCCCGTTGCTCGGTCCCTGCTCCTGCCAACCTAGCAGTTCGAAAGCACATCAAGTGCAAGTAGATAAATAGGTACCGCTCCAGCAGGAAGGTAAACGGCATTTCCATGCGCTGCTCTGGTTCGCCAGAAGCGGCTTAGTCCTGCTGGCCACATGACCCGGAAGCTGTACGCCGGCTCCCTCGGCCAATAAAACGAGATGAGCGCCGCAACCCCAGAGTCGGCCACGACTGGACCTAACGGTCACGGGTCCCTTTACTTTTACCTAGCACCAACATAAACTAATAGCTCCACACACACACCCGCCACTGCCAGCCCCAGGACCCAATTGCCTTCCATAGGGACATCCCAGGAAAACAGGGCCTGGGGAGATGTCATGAGACTGGTTGGAAGCAGAGGAATGGTGGGAGGAACTAGTTGGGGAACCCCCAAGAGGGCTTAGAGCCCGAGGAGTGGTGGTGGGATGACAAGGAGGGAGAAGGCTGGGAAGAGGAGAGGTCGGAAGCTGAAGAGGTAACAGGGTTTAGTGAGCAGGGCAAGTCTCTGGCAGAGAATCTGAATCTATAGGAGAGGAGGGAGGCCAAGAAGCAGAGATGAGTCAGGCTAGTGAAGTGTCACAAGTGTCTCCCCTCATAGATCTGAAACACAAACACTCTGCTGGAGAGCAGACCCAGCAGTCTTATATTGGGCTATTTGTACAGGCACGAATAGTTTTAGCACCCGAGTCAGGATATGGCTGCTGCTCTGCTTTCTTAGAAGGTAGAACTACACTCACAAAACAACACCTCACTTTTTCTCAAAGCCATTTTTAAATCAAACAATCAATCAATCAATCAATCAATCAATCAAACAAACAAACCCACCCAAGCCTTTCTTTATTTTTCACTAGGAAAAAAAAAACATGCCCCATGTGTGCAGAAAATAAAATGGCTGCCATGTCCTGTATTGTTAAAGCTTGTCCTATATTTCAGGTCCCCCCCCCTCTCTCTCTGTGTGTGTGTGTATCTGTCTGTCTCTCTCTCTGCCATGTTAGGGATCCTCTCCCAAGCACGTGTTTGAAAGGGTGTGCAAAAGGCCATGTATTTGAGCTCTGGGTAGCCAAGCACAGACAGATTTACAAATTCGTGTGTATGTCTGCGCGTGTGACAAATTCCAGAGGGGCCATCGCACGAGGCTGCACTAGATTGTAATGGACTGCTTTGAAGTCACTTCAGCACCAGATGGGAAGAGAAAAAAAGTACCAGCAGCCTGGTTTGCAACGGAGAGAAAAGGCACTATTTACCCATATTGCGAGTTGCACGGGAAAGTCACCAAGCACCATCTTCTTCACTTTGAAATCAACACCTGGGGAGAGACAGAGGAGAGAAAGAGAGGCGTCAGAGCAGACCCACCTGTTTTTGGAGAGGGCTTATCGGATGCCGCGTGGCAGGCATAGCAATTCCAACAGGAGGAAATCGAAATAAAATGTTCAAACAGATAAATGTGAGGGGGCCTCTTGCTTGTTTGGATGGAGAAGTGGTGCCTCTTGCTTGTTTGGATGGAGAAGTGGTCTCTTCAGACCTGCTTTTCCAACCCCCCTGCCCCTGCTCCACTGATATGTGGCCCCTGGAAGATGGCCTATGAAGGAAAGAGGCCCAGAGGAGGAGATTCCCTGTCCTTGCATGATCCACACAGAGAGGCTGGTTAATGCTGGTAGGCATAGCTCTATTTGAGTCTCCCTGCCTGGACTTGCAAGTCAGGTGGTGGCCTGGGGCAGGAGAGCATTTAGAGCGCCAGCAAGGCAGCGTACAATCCCAGAGTGCCCTTTGCCATCGCTGAGGAGCAAAATGAGTGGCAAAATGGATCGAGCTGATCCAGGGCCAGGACTGGAACGAAGTACAGTGGTACCTCAGGTTAAGTATTTAATTCGTTCCGGAGGTCTGTTCTTAACCTGCAACTGTTCTTAACCTGAAGCAGCACTTTAGCTAAAGGGGCCTCCCGTTGCCGCCGTAGCACAATTTCTGTTCTTATCCTGAAGCAAAGTTCTTAACCTGAAGCACTATTTCTGGGTTAGCGGAGTCTGTAACCTGAAGCAAGGTACCACTGTATGCAGCAGCCGATCGGAAAAGTGCCTCTGAACACGCACAAATTGTCCCCAGCGCCGCACGACCGCATTCAAACTCTGTGCACGCCAGATTAGTAAACGAGGCTTCGCTTTCAGAAAGAGATGCCTCAACGGTATTTATGTAATATGCGGTTCTCTATGCGCAGAAATGGAAGGAGGAGAGAACACCCTCCAAGGAAGAACAGTTGGAATATGGTGACTGCAGAGATGGCAGAATAGACAGCACTGATAAGACACAAATTCAGAATCTTTTAAAGGAGGCTGGAAACCATTTCTAGTCTGTATAAAAAGTTATTTGTTGAGTAGCAAATGTAACTTTTTATTTGGAGAAAAATAATAAAATATTATTATAAAAAATAAAAGAAAGAGGAGCTTCCAAAACAGCGGTTGTTCCAATATCTCTGTTTCTAAACAGTTTGGTACCTCGGGTTACATATCCTTCAGGTTACATACGCGTCAGATTACAGACTCCGCTAACCCAGAAATAGTACCTCAGGTTAAGAACTTTACCTCAGGATGAGAACAGAAATCGCATGGCGGCAGCGGGAGGCCCCATTAGCTAAAGTGGTACCTCAAGTTAAGAACAGTTTCAGGTTAAGAACGGACCTCCGGAACGAATTAAGTACTTAACCCAAGGTACCACTGTACATTTAGTGTTGCAGAGTGCATAGGCTAGAAGCTCGCACTTGATTTTCACCTGGCCTTCCTACATTTGCCAGCATGTTGCAGCAACTCAAGTTGCGGGATGTGGTTTGGGGAACCCAGGGTTCAAATCCCCTCCCAGCCCCTGGAAGCTGTTGCCGGGTGCCTCTGGGCCACTTGCTCTCCACCTCGCAAGGTTGTTGTGAGGATGAAAGGAGGTGTGCTTTGTGTGTGGGGAGCTCCACGTAGGCCGCTTGAACTCCTTGGAGGAAGGGCAGAACAGAAACATAATAAATATACACTTAAACATAGAAGTAGGAGTAGTAGGAGTTTGGATTTGATATCCCGCTTTATCACTACCCTAAAGAGTCTCAAAGCGGCTAACATTCTCCTTTCCCTTCCCTCCCCACAACAAACACTCTGTGAGGTGAGCGAGACTAAGAGACTTCAGAGAAGTGTGACTGGCCCAAGGTCACCCAGCAGCTGCATGTGGAGGAGCAGGGAATCGAACCTAGTCCACCAGATTACGAGTCCACCGCTCTTAACCACTACACCACACTGGCTCTAGGAAGCTGCCTTATATCGAGTCACAGACTTGGTCAGTCTAGCTCAGTAATGTCTACACAGACTGACAGCAGCTCTCCAGGATTTCAGGCAGGAGTTTTTTTCTGCCCTACCAAGAGGTGCCAAAAATTGAATCCGGGGACCTTTCTGCACACAGATGCTCTGGCAACTGAGCCACAACCCTTCGAAAAATTATAAATATTATGAATAAATAAACATTATGCATGAATGAATGAATAACCCGCAACATCTCTGTTAAAGCAGGACACTATTTTTACACCTGCACCCAGGGACAGCTAGGGGCAGAATTCCTGCACTGCGGGGGTTGGACTAGATGACCCTGGGTGCCCCTTCCAACTCTATGATTCTGTACAGAAGATAGAAGGCTGGAGCTGAGCTCACAGCAGCTTGGCTAAGGCCACTCATTAATAAATAATAATAATATTTTTTTATTTATATCCTGCCCTCCCCAGCCGAAGCTGGGCTCAGGGCGGCTAACAACAATAAAATAATACAACATTCTAAAATTATTTCATTATAAAATTAATTCAAATCAACTTGATGGCAACCATTGGGCTAGAGTTCTGTGAAGATTGCCAAAGGAGGGAGTCAGGCTGCGCCCTGGCCAAAGGCCTGGTGGAACAGCTCTGTCTTGCAGGCCCTGCGGAAAGATGTCAAGTCCCGCAGGGCCCTAGTCTCTTGTGGCAGAGCGTTCCACCAGATCGGAGCCACAGCCGAAAAAGCCCTGGCTCTAGTTGAGGCCAGCCTAACCTCTCTGTGGCCTGGAACCTCCAAGATGTTTTTGTTTGAAGACTGTAAGTTCCTCTGTGGGACATACCAGGAGAGGCGGTCCCATAGGTACGAGGGTCCTAGGCCGTACAGGGCTTTAAAGGTTAAAACCAGAAGCTTAAACCTGATCCTGTACCCCACCGGGAGCCAGTGTATTGAGACTGTCAAGCACAGCCGCACCCTACGTCTGTCTTCCTCTGGAAAAAAATAATATCCTGGGAATGCTAGTTTGTGAAGGGTGCTGAGAATTGCAACTATAGTTCCCAGGGTTCTTTGGGGGCAGGGAAGCCAGGAGCTGCGGACAGGACCTGTGTTAAGAGATGGTGACATTTGAATCCCGGGCTTCCAAGGAGGAATGGAGGGGAACCCAAATGCCCACAACAGAGGGCAAGTTCCACCCCCCTCTCTTTCCAGAGAACAGGGGCAGCCAGGTGATGCTCACCAATGGTTGGGTTCAAGTAGGGCTCAAACTGATCCTCAGTGAATCTCAGCAGAAGGCTGTGGGTGGAGACAAGGAGAAAGAGGTGAGTTGCAGAGACAATCTGGGACTTGCTTCTCTCTCTCTCTCTCTCTCTCTCTCTCTCTCTCTTTCTCTCTCTCCAACTGGAGCAGTTTCTCCCCAGCCCCCTCAGTGTGCCTCCCCTCCCCCACTTCCCATGCACCTGGATTTTCCTACTCCGCTGTCTCCGACCAAGAGTAGCTTCAGGATGGGCAGTGACCCAGCGTCTTCTCGCGCCATGGCGAGCTCTGTTGCCAGACGGAGCAAGGAATTTGGCAGGAGGCAAAACAAGGGCGGCCCGCCCAACATCTGAGCCAGAAACACTGGAAGGAGAGAGGAGGAGGAGTCAGAACAAATATAGGTCGCCACCACCACCCCTTCCTTAGGCAAGGTGCACATTATGCACTAGAGAGCTGCATGAGGTTAGTTTGTGGCAGCGACTAGTTTCTAAAAATAGGTGTCTCAAGTCTTGCCTCCATATCTGAAAACTGGGCTCTGCTTGATCAGTGGTAAGGGGGAAAAAGGCACAACCCTCAGGCTTCCCAGACAGGGTAGCTCAGTTGGTTAGAGCATGGGTAGGCAAACTAAGGCCCGGGGGCCGGATCTGGCCCAATCGCCTTCTGAATCTGGCCCACGGACGGTTCGGGAATCAGCATGTTTTTACATGAGTAGAATGTGGGCTTTTATTTAAAATGCATCTCTGGGTTATTTGTGGGGCATAGGAATTCATTCGTTTCCCCCCAAAAATATAGTCTGGCCCCCCACAAGGTCTGAGGGACAGTGGACCGACCCCCTGCTGAAAAAGTTTGCTGACCACTGGGTTAGAGCGTGGTGCTGATAATGCCAAAGTTGCAGGTTTGATCCCCATAAAGGACATCAGCATATTCCTGCATTACAGGGGGTCGCACTAGAAGATTCACAGGGTCCCTTCCAACTCTACAATTCTACGAGCCTCAGCAAACCTGCACTTGCAAAAGGTGGAACAACAATTTGGCAATGTTCTCCTTCTTCTGCTTGAAGGCAGATACTTGACTCAGTCCCCAACCTCACTTTCAGCATCACGGTTTAACCTGCAAATATATCTGTGAAGTCTGCCCTGCTACGTAGAGCGCAGTGTGCCCAGACCTGTGGACCTCTAGATATTGCTGGACTGCAACTCCCATCATCCCCTGACAATTGGCCACGTTGCTGGCGGAGGCTGATGGGAGTTGGAGTCCAACAGCATCGGTAAGGCCACAGGTTCCCCAACCCCGCTATAGGGGGTTTAAGAAGTGTTGTGCCTGATTTTTTTTTTAGGCACCAGAAGGCGTTTTCGCGGAAATAGCACTGATTCCTACAGGATTTGCACCCACGTATGAGTGCACAGGATCCCATCTTCAAGCTGAGACCCTAAACGTATTTTAAACCAGGAAGCAGCAACTCTCACTGAGATCAATTGGCTGGCTTCCACGGTGGGTAAAAAACCAGGCTGAATTTCGTATTGATTGCTCCTATAGAAATCGAGAAGGCAAGGTACACTTTGAAAGGGTTCTCTTGGGACTAACAGCCACGCGTTGGCACAGAGAAGGGGCTCAAAAGCGGGATTTCCCCCACCTTACCCGCACAAAAGAGATCCGGAGCAGGGGAAGGTCGTCATATAGCTAAGCTTTGATTCGGAGCCGGGCCAGCAGGAGGCCCAAGTCGCCTCCGGAGCATGAGAAGCTGTCTCAAGGCGGAACAGTTGGGGTTTTTTCGCTCCCGCCGAGAGAGATAGAACCCATCCCTGTCCCGCACACCTCGAATTCAGGAGGGCACCTGTAGCTTTAAACCATAAACACCAAGATTTAACGGATCCGGAGTAAAAAACAAAAACGGGAGGAAAGCTATTTTGGCCCGTGTGTGTGATTGCGGTGCAAATCGGTGACTCCCGAATGGAGCAACTGTGCGCGCTCTCGATGGCCTAAGGGAGGGAGGTGGCGGGTGGAAACGGGTCCTCGGGGCGGCCGCGCTTTCCTGGCGCTGCGCCCAGGGCGCACGAACTCGTCCGCTTCCTCCCGGCCTGGTGCTGGGAGTTGCCCGGCGCGCACCAGCTGATCGCGGCCCCTCCTATCAGGCCGGGCCCGGGGAAAGGAGCGGGGAGGCAGCCCTGCCCATAGCGGCGGGGCGAGCGAGCCATGTCAGAGTTCCAGATTTCGGTGGAAGAGCTCAACGACCTGCTGGCCAACGGCAGCGGCTGCTACAGCCTCCCCAGCGCGCACAGCAACGAGGTGGCGCCCCGGATCCACGTGGGCAACGCGTGAGTTTCTCCCCCAAACCTCAACCCCCCACCCCCACCCCGCCAGCGCCCTCCCCTCCTCGGTTGTGGGGGGGGGGGAGCAAGAACACCCTACCCCAATCCATGAGGCTGTCTGTAGGCCTGGGAAAGAGCGAAAGATGAAAACTGGGGCGAGGGGGACAGGTTGAGGACGGCGGGGTGGGCTGGAAAACGGGGAGGACGTTGCTGGTGGGGGTGGGATGCAAGGGGTTTGGGGGCAGAGAATGAGTCCTTCTACCGCTACGAGGAGGGGAAGGTCCCTAATTCCCGTAACAGGGCTAGGGGCCTCCACCCCCTCCCCCGTGTGGTATTTATTACAGTTGACAGGTTTTGTTGCCGTCATCGTGCGTATAGTTGAACCTCTTCTTAGGGCTGTGGGGCAGCTAAGTGTTCATTGCCCTCCGGGTTGGAGCTGCTGCTGCTCCCATATTAAAGTTTGGCGGACTGAAGGCAAGTGATTGCCGCTCGTCCAAATGCCTGCAGGTGATTGGAACCCAGGCCCCTGCCAAACCGATGGAGGGCAAAGGAAAGGCGAGAGACTCTGGGACGCTAAATTTGCTGCGAACAAATATATGAAGCTGAATTGATATGCTCTTGGTCTTATCTGCACCCATATTGTCTACTCTGACTGGCAGCAGCTCTCCAGGGTTTCAGGTTCAGCCTTTTCCAACTCCCGCAATCCTTAGGATACTAGAAATGCCAGGAATCGAAGATGGGACCTTCTGTTAAACGCAAGGGGGCAGCTCCCCCCACATCAAGTAAATAAATAAAAATACTGAACTAACTGACCCATCACTTCACAGATAGCTTGGCTCTGGCCCGTCTGCCCCCCCCAAACATAAATCCTGAACCCCTGACATAAATCCTGGTTGCGCCAATGTGTTCAATCCTGAGATTTGGTCATGTCATATTGAGAGAAATGCATTCTGTGGCTGTGTACACACTGTAGCTCCTCCCTCACAGAGCCGTAATTCCCAGTATCCTTAAGAAACAATAATTCCCAGTATTCTTTGGGGGAAGCCCAGTACTTTAACTGGTGGGTAAAATCAAGTCCACAATCTGCCAAATAAAAACAGGTATACTTCCGTTTCGTGAGAGAAGAGGGAGGGAGAGATCTTTGGAACAGGTTGAGTGCAAGTAACCAAACTTCAGTGATAGTTTTGGCGGCTGGTAAACCATTTTGACATCTTGTTCCAGGAAGTTAAACTCTGTTGCACTAGCGGCTGCCTCCGCATCTCCTTAGGACTAAGCACTGGGATGTTTCTACAAGTGATGTTTCAAAAGCCCTGACTTTTGCCTTCCTCGTATCTGTAAATTGTATGAGAAAGCTTTGTTGGCTGGCGCGTACCTTGGCTTCCGTCAGGGCTTTGCAACCTGCTCTTTGCTCTTAACTTTTGGAAGATGGTAAAGATTTGCAGGTCCCATTAAACACTTTTAATAGGGTAGGAATTGGCCCCAGTCTTTCTGTGCAGGTATCTGGAGAGGAAACTTTAGGGCATCTGTCTGTTTCGAGAGACAATGATGTGTGCCTTTCGGGGGGGTGGGACCAAACTGCCGGAGAATCACAGCGCCTGCTGTGGCTGCGGAGACTTGTAAGACATAACTATCACTGAATCGTAGAGTTGGGAGGGACCCTGAGGATCATCTAGTTCAACCCCCTGCAATGTAGGAAAACACAGCTGTCCCATACAGGAATCGAACCTGCAACCTTGGTGTTATCAGCACCATGTTGTAACCAACTGAGCTATGCTGCCTCCCAACCTTTCAAGTCAAGTCAATAACTCAGCTGTAATTGGGACGCAGGTGGCGCTGTGGGTAAAACCTCAGTGCCTAGGACTTGCTGATCGTAAGGTCGGCGGTTCGAATCCCCGCGGCGGGGTGAGCTCCCGTCGTTCGGTCCCAGCTCCTGCCCACCTAGCAGTTCGAAAGCACCCTTAAGTGCAAGTAGATAAATAGGTACCGCTTTATAGCGGGAAGGTAAACGGCGTTTCCGTGTGCGGCGCTGGTGCTGGCTCGCCAGAGCAGCTTCATCACGCTGGCCATGTGACCCGGAAGTGTCTTCGGACTGCGCCGGCTCACGGCCTCTTGAGCGAGATGAGCGTGCAACCCTAGAGTCGGTCACGACTGGCCCGTACGGGCAGGGGTACCTTTACCTTTACTAATTGGACTTCAATTTACATCATCCCTAACCATTGGCAATGATGGCTGGGGCTGATGGGAGTTGGTTTCTCGTTTCTGCCCTAAAATAAGCCCCCTTTTCACCCTCTTCCAGCACCATCTTCCTTCCTTGCGGCCTGGTTTTTCTGGAAAGCAAGTAGGTTTGGGTGTATCACCTTCTTACGTATTTGGAAACATATGAGCGTATATACAAGGCACAGCCATAAACTTAGGCTGCCCAGCTCAGTATTTTCTCTCTCTCTCACTGACCGGGGCCACTTCCAAATGACCTCTGATTTATTTGTGGGAAGGTTAGCTGGCGTTGCGTCAAGCAAGTACGTTTCCCCTCTCATTATTTGCAAAAGGTCCAGTCCTTTGGGAAAGTGGGTTTGCTGTGCAAGGGCCTCCCGATCCGCCATAATTGCACAGCCCAAATTTGCTGGCATCTGATTGAATCCCGCTCAAAAACAGTGATGCTCTGAAAGTGCTCCGGCAGTGGCTACAGGAAGAGAAGCCTCTCGCTGTTCATTCTTGGGATTTTAAAAATTTGGGATGGTCTTTGGAACCTGCTGCATTTGTGCGCTCTTAAGTGCTGAGCTTTGGCCTTTTCCCATAAAGTCACCTGTAAATACCAAAACAGCACCGTGGCATTTTCTAGGCCAGCTGGCTTACTGTAGTAAGAAGGCAGGTTTTATATATTTGCAATCCGGAGTCTGAAAACGACTCATGGTTTCCCTCATTGTAAGTTTAGTAGACCTTCCAGGCGTCTCTATTTTCCAGGGACATTCCCAGATTTACAAAAGCCACCCCAGTTTCTGATTTTATCCCGGAATTTTCCTTAGGATGTTCCTATTTCAATCAGATAAATGTCAGAGGGTACAGAGTTATGCGACACCCCGAGCTAGGGAGATACAACCTTTAGAAGGCAGCCTTTGTATAAGGAAGTTTTTTTTTAATGTTTCATTTTTTAAATTTCATTTTTATATAGGTTGGAAGCCACCCAGAGTGGCTGGGGCAACCCAGTCAGAAGGGTGGGCTATAAATCATCATCATTATTAATATTATTATTATTGAATAGGACGTCCCTATTTCCATTGGAGAAATGTTGGAGGGTATGAGTTGAGGCCTGGATCCATCCATACAGCGGGATGAAAAATCCTGAAGTGACAAGATGGAATGTACTTCTTCAGATCGCAAAGGGCTATGAATGCTCGCCTACATTTTTATTTTATTTTAAACCAAACAAAAACTTGTTACAAGAAGAAAATCAGCAGAGCAGATAAGAGGCTGACTAGAACTTTGCTTTGCTCGTCCATCCTTCTGCTGTCAGGGAGCTTTTTACATTGCAGGGGGTTGCATTTCAAAATGGCTGCCCCCCTTCTCATTCCATCACCTCAAAGCTTTCCCACCTCGTTCCAATGCAGGCATAGGCCTCAGTTTAGCCCTCCATTTATAGTACTTGCTGGGGTGCCCTGTGAATGGCGCCTGGATCACCTTTGTGAAAAGGCCATGTGTAGCCCTATTCCAGTTCAACCAGAGGCAAACGTCGTAGAATCGTAGATTTGTGGCGTTGGAAGGGACTCTGAGGGTCACCCAACTCCCTGCAATGCAGGAATCTCAACTAAAGAACCGCCAAACATTAAGCGGACCTTTTGGACTGAGCTGCTGAAGCTCGTAGGCCGCAGATCTAGGTTTAGCCACAGATCAACTCTAACCTAGCCCTAGTTCTGCCATCCAGAAATGTCAGGCAATATTTATATGAACACAGGATTTGTACGTATGGATTTATACATTTTGGGCTGGGAGATATATCAATATATTGTCCAAAACCGGTTTGAAGTCCATATTGCACTACCGGTTTCATAATTTTTGACCTGGCAATATATCGCGAATCATGATGTGTGTGTGTGCGCTATGTAAAAATCACAATGCAGGAAAAACTGTGAAGCCAGCCAATGCCTCTACACAGCTCCAACCTTATTTCAGACATCGGACTCAGCTACATCGGCAAAGAAAAAGCACTTTATATGCGTCGTATATATGCATTATAACACTGTGACACCAGGTGACGCTGTGGAGTTCCGTTTTTGCAAGCTTATATATGAGTTTCTAACATTCCAGCCATTGCCACTTATGCCAGCTGTAGGAAGCATAACTGTAATTGACCAGAAGGGAGACCTGTCCCTATTGTGGGACAGCAAACCTCTCCTTTGCAGAACCGGCATTTCTAAGCCCATTGATGTCAATGGGCTTTCAGCCACTTAACTCTGGCAGCGCGAGCCCATGCAGTGTCCAAGGGGGAATGATTAACGTCACTAGGTGCCCGATTTGGGAAATTGCCCTTGGCACCAGCTTGCCCCCTTCAGGCTTCTACTTGCCAAGCTTCTACTTGAATAGGGATTGATTATCCCTTAAGATCCTGTAATTACCTTGAGGCGTTGGCGGTTGTGGCTGGAAAAGAAGGAACGTCTTCCTCTGCTGGCACTGTGTACCTTTATGCCAATCAGGATATTAATCCCTGCCTGTGAGCACATAGGGTGCAAGGCCCTCCAGATTGGGGTCCAGCTGGAGTCAGTATTTTGGGGTCACAGGCTCCCCACCACTGGCAAAGACCCAGAGGTCATAATGGCTGCTCAAGGTCTGGTCTTATGTGTGCAGTCTTGGAAGCCGTGGGTAGGCAGATACTTTTAAGTTTGCACGCTCTTAAATCCTGGTACCCTCAGGATATACAGGTGAAACTTGGAAAATTAGAATATTGTGGAAAAGTTCATTTATTTCAGTAATTCAACTTAAAAGGTGAAACTGATATATGAGATAGACTCATGATATGCAAAGCAAGATATGTCAAGCCTTTATTTGTTATAATTGTGATGATTATGGCGTACAGCTGATGAAAACCCCAAATTAACAATCTCAGAAAATTAGAATATTAAATGAAATCAGCAAAACAAGGATTGCAAATAGAGCAATATTGGACCTCTGAGAAGTAGAAGTATGTATATGTACTTACTTGGTTTGGGGCCCTTTTGCATCAGTGCGGCGTGGCATGGATGCTATCAGCCTGTAATTGCCGCTTATGAGTTTACATAGTGCTTTTAATTTCCAAAGCTTCGAAATGTTTTGTGTCTTTCCAACAATAACCCAACACCATGCTCAACCGTGGTTTGCATACCACTCACTGTAGTTAATAACCCAAACCCTAGTTTGAGCATGGAAATGTACAGGCAAACCATTTTTAGGCTACTTGCCTGTTTTCCATGATCATCTTGATCAGTATTCCAGTTTCTTGTTGCATCAGCCTCGAGGCAGATCAACAGCCCTTTGGTTTGTTGAGTCTGACAACATGCAAAACACGATTGGCATCTTTGTTCCTCATCTTCCAGGCCTTTGGCTAATTAAGCAATCTATGGCATTTTAAACTGGAGGGAGGTTTTTGTTTGTCATGGTGGTATGCATTTTTGTGTTTTTATATTGTAAACTGCTATGCGATCCTTGGATGAAGGTAGTACAGTCATACCTCGGAACTCGTACGCCTTGGTACATGTACATTTCGGCTCCCGAACGATCGAAAACCGGAAGTGATTGTTCTGGTTTTCAAACGTTCTTTGGAACCCGAACATCCTACGCGGCTTCTGATTGGCTGCAGGAGCTTTCTGCAGCCAGTCGGAAGCTGTGCCTTGGTTTCCGAACGTTTTGGAAGTTGAACAGACATCCGGAACGGATTCCATTCGACTTCCAAGGTACCACTGTATAGAAATTTTATTAATAAAAATAATGATGATAACAACAACAACGACAACACACATGCTGTGGTTTGCAAACTCACTCCAGACCATGGTTTCTGATTATGGTTTGTTGGTAGAGTTGAAAACCATGGTTTGTCAAGTCAAACATTGCTCCAAACCGTGGTTAACTATTCTTTGGCATGATGTCTGTGAGTTAGATTTATATTTGAGGTGACCTTGTTGATTTTCCTAAGCTCACACAGTGAGTACCTGGCAGAGGAGGGAACTTGAACCCTTTCAGCACAGTGGTGGACCACTGTCTCTCAGTTAAGAAAAGAGAGAATTTGATGAAATACATTGGCGATTCTCAGTAGTGCAGATCCAGTTTCCTCTATCTTTATGTATTTAAAATCAGGAAGAAATGTTTGTTGTTGTTTTTTAAGTCATTGAAGAAGATGTTTGAAGAAGACATTGATTGGTACAAATGCTGACAAGGTCATTGATACAGGAGTGCTAAGTAAGCAGGGCACCAATGAACTCTGTGCATTTTAATACAAGTCGAAGTAAAAGGTCAGGCTGCTCTGAACTAGAAATTCAGGATGCAGAATTGCAGCATCTGCAAAAAGGAAAAGGAAAGAAAAAATAGGTAAACGGTCCAGGGAAGACGGGAGCAAGGAGTGTTAATTAAAATCTGAAGGTTAGATGAAGGTGTAATTGAGGATGCCTCAACACTTTTGCTCCTACGTATGGTCCTAAGGAACAATCCAAAGGGTCTTCTCAGGCCCTTTTGTTTTTGTGCAATAGATGTACTGCTGCCACACACTTGTTCGTGCATTGTTACTTGATTATTGACATAAACCTCCCAAATTTATTTTGTATAGTTAAGTTTTTACCTCTATCTTCAGTACATTTTCTTTTCCTTTACAGTGGTACCTCAGGTTACATACGCTTCAGGTTACAGACTCCTCTAACCCAGAAATAGTGCTTCAGGTTAAGAACTTTGCTTCAGGTTGAGAACAGAAATCGTGCTCCGGTGGCGCGGCGGCAGCAGGAGGCCCCACTAGCTAAAGTGGTGCTTCAGGTTAAGAACAGTTTCAGGTTAAGAATGGACCTCTGGAACGAATTAAGTACTTAACCCGAGGTACCACTGTATTGCTATGGCTAGTGGCTGGTGCAAATAAGAATTCTTCTGATTCTTATCCTTGTTCCTGCAGAACCCAAGTTCTTTTCTTTTGCAGGGATATTGCAATTTCCCAGCTGCTGATAGCACACCCATTGCTACGTGGGGTGTGGTGAGGATGTCGTGGACCTGAGATGTCGTTATCCTTGAGCAACACAATCCCTCCTCTTCATCTCCCCCCCTTGCATGCCATGTTGTGAACTATTGAAAAGTATGAACCCGAACTCGTTCATGGGACCATTTGCAAATCCTGTTTGTCAAGAGGGCCACATCCTCCGGCAGTTTTCCCCTCTGTAGATTGGGGTGGGGAGAATTTCCCGAAAACTTCAGGATCCCCACCTCTGTTGTGGAACTCCCCCTTAAAATTGTTGGCATCCGTCTGTCTCGAGAGACCATAGAGTGTGCCTCTGGGGCGCAAGCCTAGTCAGTGTGTAGGGTCCTGGGCTGCCCGGATGACAAGACCTTATTGGCCTCGCTGATGTGGTCCAAAGGAAAGCAGAGAAATATGTTTGGCTGCAGGAGTTGCTGGAATGAGGTGTACAAGGCGCCATCCAACCATCTTAAAGACTCTACTCCAGATTTGTGTAGGGTTTACACCTTTCTGTTCCCGAAAAGATCCCACAAGGCAGCAGAGGTTTAGGATCAGAGTTTTCCTCCTCCTAGGTGGGCTGCCTTCCCAGTTGATGAGCCTCATCTGTCCCTTTGCTAAAATAATAATGATGTACAAACTGTGGTTGAATCTACACAAAGGAAACAAAAATGCTATAAATAAGTAAGAAATTACAACTGTTACAGTGGTACCTTGGGTTACATACACTTCAGGTTACATACACTTCAGGTTACAGACTCCGCTAACCCAGAAATAGTACCTCAGGTGAAGAACTTTGCTTCAGGATGAGAACAGAAATCGTGTGGCGCGGCGGCAGCAGCTGGAGGCCCCATTAGCTAAAGTGGTGCTTCAGGTTAAGAACAGTTTCAGGTTAAGAACGGACCTCCGGAACGAATTAAGTTCTTAACCCGAGGTACCACTATAACAAAAGGGGAGGAAAACCCTATGGAAAATCGCAGAGGAAATTTTCTGCTCTCTGGTGCCATCTGGTGTTGCATGTTTATGGCGCATTCAAACCATTGTTTTTTTTAACGTAGCTGAGTCTTGTGTCTGCTCCCTTGTTTTTTCTGGTTGTTGTAAGTAACAAACTGGCAAAGTTCTATAGCAACGCTGTTTTATTTGATTTTGTCCATAAGCCCAGCTTTCTTTTGAATTTCTTGCATATTCCCTGAGCTGAGCTAGTATATTTTTTTAAAAAAGGGAATGGAATACAACTATGGGGGTAGTGTATCCCTGGTGTGTAGGTGTGCATGAAAGTGGTGAGGGTGTGTGTGTGTGTGTGTGTGTGTGAAAAAGCAAAAGTTAACAAAAAAGGCAGGAGTCCCTGCTGCAACTTGGGTCCGTCTTCATGTACAATGTGGATTTCTTTAGTTTTTTGAGTGTTTAAAAGAACAAGAATGTTTCCTGGAAGCCAGTGAAGTGTGAGACTTGCAAATTCAATGGGGTTCTTGGCTCGACCTGAGAGGAAGTCTGAGAAGGCAGTCTAAGTAGATTGACCTTTGCTTCAACCTGAGAACTCTGGGGGGATTTTCCGGTGGCTTGCCAATCAGAAGGTCAGCGGTTCGAATCCCCGCAACGGGGTGAGCTCCTGTTGCTCGGTCCCAGCTCCTGCCAACCTAGCAGTTTGAAATCACGTCAAAGTGCAAGTAGATAAATAGGTACCACTCCGGCGGGAAGGTAAACGGCGTTTCCGTGCGCTGCTCTGGTTCGCCAGAAGCGGCTTAGTAATGCTGTCCACATGACTCGGAAGTTGTATGCCGGCTCCCTCGGCCAATAAAGCGAGATGAGCACCGCAACCCCAGAGTCGTCCGCGACTGGACCTAATGGTCAGGGGTCCCTTTGCCTTTACCTTTAAGCCGCATCCCTGACCTGCAATATTAAGAACGGGACTCTTTCGTCACAAACCCTCCAACTTGCAGCAGTTAACTGCATTGCAGGATCGTTGTAAAGTGCAGTGGTACCTCGGGTTACAGACGCTTCAGGTTACATATGCTTCAGGTTACAGACTCCGCTAACTCAGAAATATTACCTTGGGTTAAGAACTTTGCTTCAGTATGAGAACAGAAATCGTTCTCCGGCGGTGTGGCAGCAGCAGGAGGCCCCATTAGCTAAAGTGGTGCTTCAGGTTAAGAACAGTTTCAGGTCAAGAACGGACCTCTGGAACGAATTACCGTATTTTTTGCTCTATAAGACTCACTTTTTCCCTCCTAAAAAGTAAGGGGAAATGTGTGTGTGTCTTATGGAGCGAATGCAGGCTGCGCAGCTATCACAGAAGCCAGAACAGCAAGAGGGATTGCTGTTTTCACTGCACAGAGATCCCTCTTGCTGTTCTGGCTTCTGAGACTCAGAATATTTTTTTTCTTGTTTTCCTCCTCCAAAAACTAGGTGCGTCTTATAGTCTGGTGCGTCTTATAGGGCGAAAAATACGGTAAGTTCTTAACCCGAGGTACCACTGTAGACTCAGCCCAACCTACAATGTTGAGAGATAAGCTCAAGGGACAACATTGCAGCGTTACTGCATTCTTCAGCTTCGGCTGAGCCTGTGGCTGGATCTAGACACATAAAAAACCCACAACATTTCAGGGAAACGCGTTGTAAAGCTCATAGCCGGAATTCATGTTGCCGAAGGATCAAACTCTTGAGCCCCGTCTGATGTCACAGTGTTATAATGCATTAAAAAATACTAATGCAGCTGAGTCCTGCAGTAGAGGTTTAATACCACACTACATCTCAGGGCTGCTGTAAACCACACAGTGGTGTTTTAAACCTGGAAGATAGCACAGTCAGTAGAGCATGAGGCTCTTAATCTCAGGGTTGTGGGTTTGAACCCCACGTTAGGCAAAAGATCCCTGCATTTCAGTGGGATGGACTACCTGACCCTTATGGTGCCTTCCAACTCTGCAAAGTCTATGATTCTATGTGAAAGGAAGCTTTCGGGGGGCGGGGGTTGACCAGTGCTTCTTTTTGAAGACTACAAGGTCTATATCATGGGTAGGCAAACTTAAGGCCCGGGGGCCGAATCCGGCCCATTCACCTTCTAAATCTGGCCAGCAGACGGTCCGGTAATCAGCGTGTTTTTACATGAGTAGAATGTGCCGTTTTATTTAAAATGCATCTCTGGGTTATTTGTGGGGCATAGGAATTCGTTCATTCCCCCCCTCCCAAATATAGTCCCCCCCACAAGGTCTGAGGGACAGGGGACCGGCTCCCTGCTGGAAAAGTTTGCTGACCCCTGGTCTACATCTTTTGCTTTGGAATTTTGCCATTGCAATCGTGGCCTAGCCTAAATATGATTATACCTTCCTTCTGGGTTCCTGCCCTTGCTGGTGTTTGGCATTCTTTATCTGCCACTAAAGAAGATGGATTAGTCGAAACTCATCTGGCTGCAGATAATTGGCTTTGGGGAAATATTTGTTTCATGCAACTGCACACGTTATTTTATTTTAATTGATTTTTATATCCAGTTTGTTCAGGGCCTTTGCATATGAAGATGAATCTATTGGCCACTGGGCTCTGATCATTTTTTTTTTAAAAAAAAACCTTTTCAAAGTTTTGTTTGTGTAATAGATTTCTATAATTCATGGGCTACCTTAGCTTTCTGTATGTGTTCACAATGTATTGGTTGAGGAACCTATTCTCCTCAGCCACAGATCTGAATTTTCTACACTCTGGCAAATCTTCTGTCCCTTAAGCCAGTCTTTTTATACCAAGAGGTTTCTGACATTTGTCTCACGGGTGACAAGCAGTCTCTCTCTTTCCTAGTGTAATATTCTGCAGAGGGTAATGTTGATCCGGCGGCTGGAGTAATGTTACAAGACTTGCTAGGACGAGCTCCAGATTTAGAGCAGACAGGAGTTTATGGCCCTCTCTGGGGGCTGCAAGAAAGGTCTCTTCTCCCCCCCCCCCGACCGCCCTTCTCCAGAACTGTTGCTTTCAGCACAAAAAGTGTGCGTTGTCCTCTATGGGGTTTGTGGATCAAGACCTTTTAGACAGGCCAATGGCTCAGTTCAAATGGTAGGTAAAGGTAAAGGGACCCCTGACCATTAGGTCCAATCATGGCCGACTCTGGGGTTGTGGTGCTCATCTCGCTTTACTGGCCGAGGGAGCCGGCGTACAGCTTCCGGGTCATGTGGCCAGCAGGACTAAGCCACTTCTGGCGAACCAGAGCAACGCATGGAAACACCATTTACCTTCCCGCCGGAGTGGTACCTATTTATCTACTTGCACTTTGACGTGCTTTCGAACTGCTAGGTTGGCAGGAGCAGGGACTGAGCAATGGGAGCTCACCCTGTCGCAGGGATTCGGACTGCTGACCTTCTGATTGGCAAGCCCTAGGCTCTGTGGTTTAACCCACAGCGCCACCCGTATCCCTTTACATGTCGTAAATCCCTGCATACTTTACAAAAATACGTTTTAACCCCCCCCCCAAAAAAAACCCCAGAGTCCTTTTTGTTGGGGATAACTCAGATAGAAATTCCCAGGAGTCGGAAAAGGTTATTTATGTGTGCCACTACTGCGGCTCATGTTTTGTTAGCCCAAAAATGAAAAACGAGTGAAGTCCCGACTAAAGAATATTGGCAACTTAAACTGATGGAACATGTGCAGCTTGCGGACCTAACATATAGAGTGGTATCTCGGGTTAAGTACTTAATTCGTCCTGGAGGTCTGTACTTAACCTGAAACTGTTCCTAACCTGAAGGACCACTTTAGCTAATGGGGCCTCCTGCTGCCGCCGCACCGCCAGAACACAATTTCTGTTCTCATCCTGAAGCAAAGTTCTTAACCCGAGGTACTATTTCTGGGTTAGTCTGTAACCTGAAGCGTATGTAACCTGAAGCGTATGTAACCCGAGGTACCACTGTATAGATAAGAGAACAAGAAGAGCGTATGTTTAAAGAAGATTGGGAAATGTTTATTTGAATATATGGAGGACAATTGGGTTTGTTTGAAAATGCTGGCAGCATTAAGATAAATTCAACAGTGTAAATAAGTTTTGATGGGTGTAATAATGGAATACTGAATGGTTAGCTTGTATAAAATATGCAGGTATTTATGTTGTGCAAAGTGAACCATGGAAAGAGAGGAAGGGAAGTCATTGATATTTTAAGGTTCTTTAAGTGAATATTCTAAAATGTAAAACAGAAAATGTAATAAAAATCTCTCTCTCTCACACACACACACACACACATATATATAACAGAAAATGTAATAAAAATTACTCACACACACACACACACACACACACACACACGAATGAACGAATGACATGACTCAATCTTCCCGTTACAGGTTCATAGCCAAGAATGTTATGCGCCTGCAACGCCTGGGCATCACCCACATCCTGAACGCGGCAGAAGGCAAGTCTTTCATGCACGTGAACACCAATGCTGAGTTCTACGAAGGCACAGGCATCACTTATCACGGCATCAAGGCCAACGACACCCAGGAGTTCAACCTCAGCCGCTACTTTGAGGAAGCTGCCGATTTCATCGAGAAGGCGTTGGCACAGAAAGATGGTGAGAGTGTCACCTGTCACAGCTGCAAGAACCTGTTCCTCCGCTATGGGAATGGACTCCTTGTCCTGCTGAACTGTATTCTCCTGCGTTCTGCGGCCCAAGCTACACCATGGCCCTCCCTTGCTATTTCCCTGTCCTCTGCTTACAGATGCACTTGGTTGCTCTTTGCATTGCATGGTAGCCTTGAGGGCAGGCTGGAGAGTCTGAACCAGCCTTTCCAGTCCGGTGTCCCGCTTGCTGCATCAGGGAGTTGTAAGTCTAAAAGCAGCAGGAGGACACCAGTTTGGGAATTGCAGTCTGGATCAGTGGCCTCTTTTTGTTGTTTAGTCGTGTCTGACTCTTTGTGACCCCATGGACCAGAGCACAAAGTGGCCTCTTAGTGCCTTGTCAATCTGGATTTTTGTGATCATTCTCATCTCCAGGACGTGTGTGTATGTTTGTGTGTGTGTGGAATTTAAGGGACATGAATTGAAGGGAATCAGCGATAGCGTGGGAGGATTAGCAGGAGAAACATGTAAAGTATACCCCATTATTCTCGCCGAGAGTACAGCTTTTGTCTGCTGGCTGAGGATCGCTTTCAGATTGATGGTGGATTCTGTGCTTTTATATATTTGAGCTGGGTTGTGCAGGCGGAAGCAGCAGTGCTTCTTCTGAATGACAATCATAGAATCATAGAATCATAGAATCATAGAGTTGGAAGAGACCACAAGGGCCATCGAGTCCAACCCCCTGCCAAGCAGGAAAAACCATCAGAGCACTCCTGGCATATGGTTGTCAAGCCTCTGCTTAAAGACCTCCAAAGAAGGAGACTCCACCACACTCCTTGGCAGCAAATTCCACTGTCGAACAGCTCTTACTGTCAGGAAGTTCTTCCTAATGTTTAGGTGGAATCTTCTTTCTTGTAGTTTGGATCCATTGCTCCGTGTCCGCTTCTCTGGAGCAGCAGAAAACAACCTTTCTCCCTCCTCTATGTGACATCCTTTTATATATTTGAACATGGCTATCATATCACCCCTTAACCTCCTCTTCTCCAGGCTAAACATGCCCAGCTCCCTTAGCCGTTCCTCATAAGGCATCGTTTCCAGGCCTTTGACCATTTTGGTTGCCCTCCTCTGGACACGTTCCAGTTTGTCAGTGTCCTTCTTGAACTGTGGTGCCCAGAACTGGACACAGTACTCCAGGTGAGGTCTGACCAGAGCAGAATACAGTGGCACTATTACTTCCCTTGATCTAGATGCTATACTCCTATTGATGCAGCCCAGAATTGCATTGGCTTTTTTAGCTGCCGCGTCACACTGTTGGCTCATGACAAGTTTGTGGTCAACCAAGACTCCTAGATCCTTTTCACATGTACTGCTCTCAAGCCAGGTGTCACCCGCTGGAAACCACAGGAGGGGAGACAACCCTTCTGCTCAAATCCTGCTTCCAAGGTTTCCCATATAAGTATCTGGCTTATACCAGTACGCTGGACTCAATGGGCCATTGGCTGCTTGATCATCATCATCAATTAATAATTTATTATTTATATCCTGCCCATCTGGCTGGGTTTCCCCAGCCACTCTGGCCAGCTCCCAACAGAATATTTAAAACATCAAACATTAAAATCTTCCCTAAATGGAGTTGCCTTCAGATGTCTTCTAAAAGTCAGGTAGTTGTTTATTTCTTTGACATCTGATGGGAGGGTGTTCCACAGCGTGGGCGCCACCACCGAGAAGGCCCTCTTAGGTTCTTACGAAGTGAAGAGTCGGGCCTTGGCTTTCAGCTGCTTGTGGTTTGACAGCCTGTTTAAATCTGCTGTTGCTGATTCATTCATATTTTGAATCCGCGGCACAGCTGTTTTCAAGTCCCCAGGCAGCTTAGTGGGCACCTCCTCTACATACAGAGTTCTTCCAAACTGGCACCGGCATCTGCTAACCTTCGGCATTCCTTTCTCCCTGTTAGGTTTGGGTTAGAACAGGGGTAGGCAAACTAAGGAATGGGGGCCGAATCCGGCCCAATCACCTTCTAAATCCGGCCCAAGGACGGTCCAGGAATCAGCGTGTTTTTATATAAGTAGAATGTCCCCTTTTATTTAAAATGCATCTCTGGGTTGTTCGTGGGGCCTGCCTGGTGTTTTTACATGAGTAGAATGTGTGCTTTTATTTAAAATGCATCTCTGGGTTATTTGTGGGGCATAGGAATTTGTTCATTTCCCCCCAAAATATAGTCCCGCCCCCCACAAGGTCTGAGGGACAGTGGACCGGCCCCCTGCTGAAAAAGTTTGCTGGCCCCTGGGTTAGAAATTTGATTGTGTTCACATTTTAAAGCGAATCTAACAACCTTTTTGCCTAACAACAACAACAACGATAATAATAATAATAATTTATTATTTGTACCCCGCCTATCTGGCTGGGCTTCCCCAGCCACTCTGGGCGGCTTCCAACAAAACACTAAAATACAATAACTTATTAAACATTAAAAGCTTCCCTAAACAGGGCTGCCTTTAGATGTCTTCTGAATGTGAGAATCTGGAGGGAACCAGAAATGGGGGTGGGGGTAGGGGCTGGCTTGTGGCATAAGCTTTTGTGAGCTAGTTTCCAGGAAAGATTTATGCCATCATAGTCTTCAAGGGGACACAAGACTCACAGAATCTCATAATTGTAGAGTTGGAAGGGAACCTGACGGTCATCTAGACCAACCCACCTTTTTGTGGCTTAAGGTGTTCCTATGCGGCATGTGGCTTTGCTCTCGTTCCCCCCGGAGGCGAAGCTTCTCAGGCCCTCCTCTTCGGGCAATTTCGTAACTGGATCCCACCCGAAAATAGCGACAGCCTGGACAGTTTGTCCTTTTCCCGCACCTTGAAGGAGATTTTGTTTCCCTAACAAAGAAAACCAGTTGGGCCCTGTGGGCGAGTGAGAGTTCCCTGGAGTGTTGGAATTCTTGTCATTTGTTCTTGCTATTTAAGTGTTGCTATTCTGCTCATCCGCAGCGAGAACCCAGAGCAGCTTGCAAAAAAAAAAAAAAGTATAAATAGAAAAGTTAATATGTAAATTCACGAACCCGGCCAAGCGCTGCTGCTTTTTTCTTTCTTTCCCCAAAGCCAAACAGTCCTAACACCTTTTTGTAATGAGGAAAACCTATCCCAATCTCAGTTCATCATCAGGTTTTATAGGGATGTATTCCTGTCCTGAAAGGGACACGGGTGGCGCTGTGGGTTAAACCACAGAGCCCAGGATTTGCCGATCGGAAGGTTGGCGGTTCGAATCCCCCTGACGGAGTGAGCTCCCGTTGTTCGGTCCCAGCTCCTGCCAACCTAGCAGGTCAAAAGCACGTCAAAGTGCAAGTAGATAAATAGGTACCGCTCCGATGGGGAGGTAAACGGTGTTTCCGTGCGCTGCTCTGGCTCACCAGAAGTGACTTAGTCATGCAGGCCACATGACCTGGAATCTGTATGCCGGCTCCCTTGGCCAATAAAGCGAGATGAGCGCCGCAACCCCAGAGTCAGCCACGACTGGACCTAATGGTCAGGGGTCCCTTCACCTTTATTCCTGTCCTGGAGGTTACACATCATTTATGAATGTCCCTGTTTAAGACGGCCTAAATCCTGTCTGAATTAATGAAAAGTGAGGGGTTGAGACACCCATGACTCCACACCAGCCTGACTCATCTCTGCCTCTTGGCCTCTCTCATCCCACTCTGCTTCTGCTTCTGGACTTCTCTCTGCCACAGACTCTCCCTTCTCACTAAGCCCTGTTTCCTCTCCAGCTTCTGACACCTCCTCCTCCCAGCCTGCTCCCTCTGACTACTCATGGTCATCCCACCACCACTCCCTGGGCTCTGAGCCTTCTTCCCTTGGGGGTTCCTCAGTTGGTTGCGCCCACCATTCCTCTGTGTCCAACCTGCTCACAACAGCCAATGTAGATAGACAGTTCTGCACTCGACGGACCAATGGTAGGGCTCGGTGTGAGACAGCTTCCCCTGATACCCTATCAAAATGGTGGGTGGCAGATTGTCACCTCCCTTCAGAATCTCTCTTCTGTCTCTCCTCACCCCATTTTCTTTTGCAGCTTGCTAATTTCAGGCTTGTGGGTTCGAGCCCCACATTGGGCCAAAGATTCCTGTATCGCAGCAGGTGGGACTAGATGATTCTCGTGGCCCCTTTCAACTCTACAATTCTGTGATTCTGTGTGTTCCCCCTTGGCATCAGGACTCCATTTTACACATACACTCTCTCTCTCTCTCTCTCTCTCTCTCTCTCTCTCTCACACACACACACACACACACACACTTGCATATAGCTTCCATGAGCCCCCAGTTGTCACATATCCTGACTATACCGGCTTTTCTCTTCTTCTTCCCCGCCAGTGTGATGTAGTGGTTAAGAGCAATACAGTGGTACCTCAGGTTACATACGCTTCAGGTTACATACGCTTCAGGTTACAGACTCCGCTAACCCAGAAATAGTGCTTCAGGTTAAGAACTTTGCTTCAGGATAAGAACAGAAATCGTGCTCCGGCTGCACAGCAGCAGCAGGAGGCCCCATTAGCTAAAGTGGTGTTTCAGGTTAAGAAAAGTTTCAGGTTAAGAACGGACCTCCAGAACGAATTAAGTACTTAACCCGAGGTACCACTGTAGATTTGTAATCTGGGGAACCGGATTCGCATCCCCGCTCCTCCACATGCAGCTGCTGGGTGACCTTGGCTTAGTCACACTTCTCTGAAGTCTCTCAGCCCCACTCACCTCACAGAGTGTTTGTTGTGGGGGAGGAAGGGAAAGGAGAATGTTAGCCGCTTTGAGACTCCTTCGGGTAGTGATAAAGTGGGATATCAAATCCAAACTCTTCTTCTTCTTCTTCTTCTTCTTCTTCTTCTTCTTCTTCTTCTTTTAGGCCGGGTGTTTGTCCACTGCCGCGAAGGCTACAGCCGCTCGCCGACGCTGGTCATCGCTTACCTCATGCTGCGGCAGAACATGGATGTCAAGAGCGCCGTCAGCATCGTCCGGCAGAAGCGGGAGATCGGCCCCAACGATGGCTTCCTCCGGCAGCTGTGCCAGCTCAACGACCGATTGGTGAAGGAAGGCAAGCTGAAGAAGCCGTAATGGCCGCCGCCGCTTGCCCTCTCTTGCCGGAACTCCCGTTCGTTGCTTTCGGTTGCCAGCTCCAACTGCCAAGCCGCGTGAGGGAGGCAGGGGTCCCCTTCTGGTTTCTCCTGCTGCCCTGGGTGGCGCCAGAGGGCGCTGCTGCAGTATTGAAATGCCCAGCGCCCAGGCGCCAGCTTGTCTCTTGTGTCTTTTCTTTTTTTAGTTTGGAATCCGCCCAATATAACGCGTGTGATTTTGTGTGTGTGGTTTTGTTCGGAGTCCCTTTTTGCACCACAGCTGTGAAGGCCTTTGATAAAGTCGAGTGTTCACGTTGCCAGATCACTGCCGGCGCAGATGGTCCTCGCTTGCCGCCCTCTCTTTTGCTGTGCCATCTTGCAGACCAGTGCCCGCCCTCCTCCTCCTCCTCTGGGGGTTAAATCTGGAGGGCCTTTTTTCATTTACATGTTAAGGGGCCAAGGGCTATCCCACCCCCTGGCCCAAACCTACCACTTTCATCCCTTGCTAACAGCATGTGCCAAAGGGTGGTAACTTAACAGAGTCAGGTTCCTAGTCCATATGGTCTCTGTGCAGGGTCCACCTGGGCTGCCGACCTTGGGCAAGCAAGCTGGTTAGGTGTTGGGCTCCTGGCTCGAACGCTTGGACCTTGCGAGGTTTTTCGGAGCCCGGAGTCCTACTTGGTTGAGGCCAGCTTGCCACCTGACCCCCACTCGGCTTCTACCCATGTTCCGCTGCTTAGCTGTGATTCTATGCACCATCACTCTTGGGTGGTGTTTTTCTCCGTCATCCAAATGAGGCTGCAGCAAGCAGAGAAATAGGCTCCTAATGGGAGCAAACCCAGAGCAGATGGGAAGCAGGCAGGAGCTCAGAGCCGGTTGCCTCCACACACACACACACACACACACACACACACACACACTTACTTTCCTCACCTTGTTCTTTTAGAGAAGCACCGGCTGCCCCATATCTCCCCCGCTCACGCTTGGTCTGACCTCTCGGAGCATTACGAGATGGGGAGGTCGCATTACTGTAAATAGATAGAAACACTCTGCTAACCATGTAATCTTTTTGTATATTCGCTGTGTTTCATATGAGTATCTGGATATATAGAATATATATATATATATATACATAATACACTAATATAATATATATAAAATATGCACACAAGCAATGAAGAAAAGCCATTTGAGAACACGCTATCGAGGCAAGTAGCCTTTTGTATATAGATCGTTGATAATAGCTGTACTCACGTTTTTTGTGTGTCTAAAGCAGATTTACTATGCTTGTTATTTGAAGGCCAATGCGGTAGCGGTTTGGGATGCTATGCCCAGGAATGTGTCGGGTGGCGCACCAGCCGCATGTGGCCACTGACGTCTCGGGGAGTCGTAGGACAAAGTCACCAGGTTGTTGCCTCTGCCTAAATGTGTTTGGCGTGAAGGGGTGTGTGTGTCAGTGCTTAGCTATATTCAAAAGATGGCGTCTGCTGGTCCGATAAGGCAGTGATGGGGAATCATGTGATCCAGCAGGGCCAGTGAGAAGGGATGATGGGAATTGTAGTCCCAATAACATCCAGAGGGTCACCCCTGTAATCGGGGATATTGGCAATCGGCTTTTTTTTTTGCCTGGCCGCCTCCAGTGATGGCAATTTTGAAATCCTCCATTGTAGAAGTGAAACGAATGAGCTCAAATAAGCTGATCTGTAAAGATGTACTCTGTCCTTTGGCCTCAAGCACGCACAACCTTGTTTTGAGTGTAGGAATTCTCCTTGTTTCTGTTTGATTTTGGCTATGCACCGTATTTTCCCGTGTAGAAGACGATGTTTTCTTTCCTTAACTTTTTTGAGTGAAAAAGGGGGGCGGGGCCTTCTTTTACATGGGGGGCTGTCTTATGCACAGTTTTCAGCATGGCGAACAACAACTTGGAGGGCGATTGCCCCCCAAAAACCTCAAGAGCTTTGGCAAGCCAAAAATATTGATTTCTTAATGTTGGGTTCGGAAAAACAGGAGTCTTCTTCTACACGGGAAATACATGGTGTTTGCTCCATGTGGCAGAGCTGAGCTGATATTTCGCTGGATGGGTTTTTCTGAGCTCTTTTTCTTCTTCTCTGCCTTAGAAACAGAGGGTGCTTCCTTTTGCAGGTATCCTACAACTGCAATACCCCAGATCACCAGTAGGTCGGAGACATTGTGTAGGATGCAGAAAGGCAGACCGCAACTGTGTTGGGAATGGGGTTGGAGCCCTTTCAATAGCAGAGCACGTGACCTGTGTCTAAAAAGGCTCCAGGATCAGTCCCCGGCGTCCCCAGGTAGAGCTGAAAAGGACCTCCCCTTTAGAAAGAGCTGCTACCAGCCCATGTAGCCAGTACTGATCTGGGTGGGCCAGAGCTTTGACGATGTTTAAGACGGCTTCCAGTGTTCCTAACCAGCTCTATTGGGGTCTCTTTCCCCAGTTCATTTCTCTTCCGTTCGGGTCTCGGAACAGGGTAGAGGGAGGTCAAAGGGTTGGGCTTTGACCTCCCACTGTAGCGAGGGTGCATGAATTCGTGCACTTTAGTTTCTCATTTTCCCAATCCTCAGTTCATCACACCAAAAGCCCTTGCCAAAATTCACCAGTATTTTGGTGTGCATTTTCCCACCCCACCCCACCACTAATATAATATACCTTTGTTTGGGTGTTATTTTAACCTGCAGTGCATATATTCCTGTACGCATTTTTCAGCCGGAGAACGGCACTGCAGAAATCCACAGAGGTGCGGATTTCTTTTGAAGGATAGCTGCTGCATATTTGGGTTTTTTGGGGGGAAATGAGACTCAGATAGCTTTGCAATGAAATAGCCGGACTCCCCTGTTGTCATCTGAAGACCACCTTAAAGAGCAGGAAGCAGGGCGAGGGGCGGCAGAGGCTAAGAAAAAGAGATCTTGCTTTAGGGCCCAGCATTGTAGGAGGTCCAGACCTAGGTCTTTCCAGGGGCCGGTAGGTTAGCTCAGCAAACAGGACAGCAAGTGTATTTGGGAATGGGAAACATGACTTCAAATCCTTGATCTCGCCACTCTTTGCCTTGTGTGGGTTACCAGGCTGCTATCAGCTCCACGACCGGGGCTGGGAGTCCTATTATTGTACTATAATTCCCATCATCCCTGACCACTGACCATGCTGGCTGGGGGTGATTTGAACTGCAGGGATTGCTTCATTTTTAAGGCATCCCTTAGCTTCTGTTGAACCAATGTGGCCTCATGTTTACACCCTGAAGTTCAGAGCCCTGGAAATTTGGACCAGGGAGACCCAGGCGCAAACCGCCGTTCACCAGCCCCACTGAAGCAAAGTCGCTGTTGCTCAGTCTGGCCTACCTTGCAGGGATATTGTGACGGTTAAAAAAAGATGGGAGTGCCTGCTTTGCTATTCCTTATTTCCTCCAAGAAGCTCAGTCTAACGAAACACCCTTTTCTCCTGTGTGGCTTCCCCCGAGCCTCCTTTGCACTTGTGAATATTTGTAGCACCTGTTCTTCCCCTTAGGGCAGCCTTTCTCGAGCTTGGGCCCCCGGATGTTGTTGGACTACAACTCCCATCATCCCTGACCACTTGTACTGTTAGCTAGGGATGATGGGAGTTGTAGTCCAACAACATCTGGGGACCCAAGCTCAAGAAAGGCTGCCTTAGGGCCCAGTGCAGCTTTAGGCTGAAGTAGGAAATAAACCTGGTTGTCTGGGTCTCGGGAGGAATGTTCTAAAAACAGCCAATTCCAAAACAGTACCTTTCGGCGTGTGTTTATGGCCAGCAAGTCAAGTCCTAGCTGTTATGAGTGCTAGGGGTAAGTTTTCAAGTTGCACGAGTCTAAAGGGAGGCCCAAAACCAGCTTCAAGCTGGCACAGGAAGTCAATGGAAAAGGGACTCACTGGTTCCTTTTTGAGCTGGTTTTGGGCTTTCACTCGGTATGTGTGTTTCTCTAGATTTTCTCTCTGGGCTCAGACTTAGTGGCGAAGGGACATCTTACCCTCCTTGGTTATCACTCTGGATAGATACCTGAATAACCCAGGGTGTTTTTTTGTTTTGCCCTTGTAGCTGCAACTGGGCTGTAGCGCCGCACCCGCTCAAAAGCAATAGTTTGTGGGCAAAGAGAGAAGTTCACACTCTCTTTTGAACTCAGGTTTGATTCCGTGCAACTTTTATGAGAATGTGTGGCCTTGCTTTATTTATTTATTTATTTATTTCCGCTGCAAGTGCATCTATAGACAGTGCACTGCCCCCCCCTCCAGAAAATCCTGTTGCGACACCCTTGCCTTCAAGATTTCACCCGGAGGCCTGGAATGTGGGAAGGCCCTCGGAAGCACGTGCAGAGTGCATTTCTGAACACCTGACCTCGGGGCCCATGGGTTTTGTTAGAAGTCGCTGGAGCCGCTGGGTTCGAAAGCGCATCTTCCCCGTAGTCTGTGGAGCCCTTCACACTTAAACGACGACAAAAAACGCCCCACTGCCAACTCTCACTGCCTTGTTTCTTGCCAGCCTTTTTAGCGAGGAGTCAAGTCTTTCCCCTTCAGCCTGGGAGGAGGAAGAGGAGCCTTGGGTTGGTGACAGAGTGCATGCTTTGCATGCCGAAAGTCTCAGGTTCGACACGCCCCCCCCCCCAAGCATCTCCACTTAAAAGTTACTGTCTGCGGAGAGAGCTGTTGCCAGTCAGAACAGACAGCACTGGGCAAGGTGGATCTTCAGTTTGGTGTAAGGTAGTTTCAAGCGCTTGTCAGGGTGGAGTGCTGTCTCTGGATCGCTTGCAAACTTGCCTACGACGAGTTAGGATGGAGGGCTGCCATTCTACAGTATATATGCGTTTTTATTCAGGAGTCAGCCCGGTTGCCTGAACCAAGTGAAATCTGAGCAAACGTGCATCAGGATAGGGTTGTGCAGCTGAGGCCCGTTTATGCGCAAGCAAGTCCAGTTTTGAAATCCACGGGACATGCTCTGGAGCAAGCCCGGTTCTATCAGCAGGCTGCACCTTGGGGCTTGGCGATGGCTTCCCTGCAGACTGTGTTGACTCCTGTCTGCCGAAGCTCCAAGTGCCTGGATGTTGGAGGATGTAGCATTCGCTGGGAATGAGCGGTTCAGAGTTAATGTATTTGGGGAAGGGGCTACCTCAGTGAGAAAAAGTGGAAGGGGCTGAGCGGCCATTGGGTAGTGCCCACCTCAGGTGACGGAAGGGGGGAAATAAGTTGCCAGAAGGATGTGTGTTGCCATCTTTTATAAGTTTGATGTGATTGTTGTCTCTTGTGGGAGGAGAGATGACCCACCAGTGTCCAATAAAGCATTTGTGTGGCATTACACTCCTCTGATGTGTGTCTTTTGTGGGTGTGTAGGGGAAATGTGGGGTTTGCCCGGGACCCCCTCTCCCCCCAAAAAGCGGGATGAAAAGAGGGACACCCTATTGCATCCCCTCCAACATTTCTCAGCCGTAATTTATATATATATATTATTTTTTACCAACAACCAAAACCCAACAGTGAACCCCCCCAGGCGGCTGATACATTGAGTATACATAATCAATAATAACATATTCAAATCAACCATATGTACAATTCCATATACATTAACACTCCTCGCTCCGCAAGGTTTATTTAACTTGTAACATTTTAATTGCCCCAAATTGTTCAGATCTACCCAAATAATTCAATATCTTCTCAAACCAATCCTCCTCTTTCTCATTGACCTTAAACCCTTTCATTCTGTGTATCTTCACAGTTAGATATTCTAAAATTATAATAATATTCAATTTTTTCCTCCATTGGTTCAGCCCTAGCTCTTCGGCATTTTTCCAATTACTCACTATAACCTGTCTGGCTGCAGTTACCATCAATTTTACCCATCTACATTCCTCTTTTGTTTTTAACTCAGTGCTACTCAGGCTAATAAGAACCATTGATTTAGATATTTCCACCTTCCAACTCAAAATTTCTGATATTTCTATACCAATCTGTTTCCAAAATTCATTAACTAACGGACAATCCCACCACACATTTCTCAGCCGTAAATAAGGACATCCTTCAGAAAGGGCAAGTGGGACAAATCTGGGATCAAATCGGGAAACCGGGACACCTGTAATTCTGGGACTGTCCCTGGTAAATCAGGACACTGGGACGATTTCTCTTCATCTGCCGACTCCAGGAAGGATGCTATAATAACTTTAGCCTCTGAGGCCGGTTCCAAACACTCCTTATTTCTCAAATGTCCAGGGATTTTCAGTCCATGAGGCCACAGCCAATGCTATGGGCGCCGTCCAGGCCCGGCAGATGACGATTAGCGTTGTTTACAGATTGTAACCCACTCTTCATCCAGAGATGGAGAGATGAAAATGGCAGGATCGCTCTCTGCCCGAATATGCTAGCAAATGTATGGCAATGCTGATTGACCCTGCTTCATAGAATCATAGAATTGTAGGGTTGGAAGAAATGCCAAGGGTCTTGCAATGCAGGTGTGATGGCCTGGGACTCGGGCTCGGACTCAGAACCAGAGGAGTTGTCCGCATCGGATCCTTTGCCTCAGGCGGCATCTGAACCAAGTCTGGGACCTGATTCTGAAGAGTCCCAGTCTGCACAGGTTCCCCTGCAACAAGCACCAGCTGGGCCAAGTCAGGGGCCTGAGCCTGCCCTGGCTCCAGATGTGGGGATTACCTCGTTGCCTTCAGCTGGGCCATCACTTACAGCTGCTCCACTACCGGTTTGGTCAGGGGAGGCTGGGTCTAGTAACCCACCGATGTCTCCCGAGCTGCAGAGACAAAGGTCTGAGAGAAGGAGAGACCTGAGTACTTGCAGGAGGAGTGCTCACCTTTGGGGGAGACAGGGAGGTGAGTCGCCAGGGGATCAGGACCGGCCATTACCCTGTCGGAGATAATGCTCGTTGGATGGAATGTGTGCTCTCTTTCGCACTTACCATTTGTTGACGCCAGGTGGTGCCCTGACGCCTTCGTTCTGGGCAGGAGGCGCTGCAACTTCCACCTTCAGCAGTGCCCCTCGATGGCATTCCTATGCTCCCTTCCCATCTTACAGGGATGGAGCATGCTGCTCTCAGCATCAAAGGTGTGTTGGGCCCACAAAAGCCAATCAGCCATAGCGGTTTCATTCCCTGTTGGGTGTGTGCATGGCACATGCGTTCAGCATCTTTGCTACAATCCTTTTCTTTCTCCGGCTGACTGATGCTGGTCAGTACATGCGGCTAGAAAAAACAGCTGTGTGCAGTTTTCCGTTTGTTCCCTGATTTCTAGGCATGGCTAAAGCAATTTCCCATGGGCCTGCTGATTCCCCTGGGGAAATCTTTACAGTTGCATCAGAGCAAATGTCAATTTGCAGAAAGACTGGTTGGTGTTTGCTCTGATTCGGTGGAAAAAACAGGTTTCCCCTGGGGAAAGGTGGCAGGACAAGCAAAGGTGTGTGGATCGGCCTCTAGTTGTGCCAACAACACCCCGCCCATCTGACTGGGTTGCCCCAGGAATTCTATTTAAATTGGCATCCATTTAAAATGCTTTCGCACTGCAGTAGAGTTAATCGAACACTGCTCAAGGGTGCTGCACTGCATTTCCCCATATATTTTTTTTAAAAAATGCTTCACGGGTGGATTTAGGAATGTAGCTAACTTTCTTCTCGCAAATGCCCTGGAGAAAGGAAAACAGACTCTACGCTAAATTACAAAGAGATGCAAAGCTGCCAAGGCATGCCTCAGGGTGAAGCAACAGGTTGTATCTTTAAATGTGAGGTTTGGCCCCTGCTTTTAATACTCAGCCTTGGAAGATGTGGAATAATACTAAGGAAAGAACCAAGCACCTCTGATTCCGTCTCTGGGTGTGTGTGTGTGTGTGTGTGTGTGTGTGTGTGTGTGTGTGTGTGTTATAAGTACCTCCTGCTCAGGAGGCACAGTTAATAAAGGACTCATAGGGAACGTTAAACTTCCTTAAGGGTTTGCATGTTGTGTGCGCGAAATAGGACACCTGCTTGGTGACTCAGACCCCCACACTAAAGGTAAAGGTAAAGGGACCCCTGACTGTTAAGTCCAGTTGCGGACGACTCTGGAGTTGCAGCGCTCATCTCGCTTTCAGGCCGAGGGAGCCGGCGTTTGTCCACAGACAACTTCCGGGTCATGTGGCCAGCATGACTAAGCCGCTTCTAGCCAACCAGAGCAGCGCACGGAAACACCGTTTACCTTCCTGCTGGAGTGGTACCTATTTATCTACTTGCACTTTGATGTGCTTTCGAACTGCTAGGTTGGCAGGAGCAGGGACCGAGCAATGGGAGCTCACCCTGTCGCGGGGATTTGAACTGCCGACCTTCTGATCGGCAAGCCCTAGGGTCTGTGGTTTAGACCACAGCACCACCCACGTCCCTTAAAGGTAAAGGGACCCCTGACACTCTAGGTTTCTGCAATTATGTTCTTATCGTCAGAGCTTCGCAGACCAGAGTCCTATAGGGGGAAAGAAACAATGGGGATGGAATGCTTGCTTAAATGTCCAGGCAAAGCTGGCCACCACAATGCGTCCTATCAGGGGACAGTTTCCGGAGAAGTGTTGCACAAACAGGGAGCCCCATTCATTAAGAAAACAGGAAACGGGGGTGGGGGTGTGTGCGTTGGGAGCGGGGAGGGTAGAGAGAACAATCCCAGATAAATAAACGGTAAGGGAAGCTGTCTGGGGCAAGGTGGACAGAGGAGACAGCGAGGGGGAAACGGAACAAATTAAACATCTGCTTTTAGGATCTCAGCTGGGAATATAGTGCAGCTATAATGCAAAACATCAGGACAGGTTCCAGCAAAGATGGAGGAGGGAGAGAGAGCCTATATTTTGAAAGGAGGAGGTCCGAAGCAGCTGCTACTATGCTATGCTAGGACTATATGTTGCACACAAATGTGTTTACAGTGGTACCTTGGGTTAAGAACCTAATTTGTTTTGGAGGTCCGTTCTTAACCTGAAACTGTTCTTAACCTGAGGTTCCACTTTAGCTAATGGGGCCTCCTGCTGCCGCTGTGCGATTTCTGTTCTCATCCTGAAGCAAAGTTCTTAACCCAAGGCATAGCTGTCAACTTACAGATTTGAAAATAATAAGGGACCAGCAGCCTTGAAAATAAGGGACCAGCAGCCAAAATAAGGGACCTGCAGCCTCACCTGTTCCAGGCACTCCAGTCTTCCTGTCCTCCTGCAGTCTGGTCAAACTCATGCTGGTAGCTTCAAGAACACTGTCCAACCAACTTTGTAACCAGAGGTTCAACTGAATAGAATCTGAATCACATGCACCACAAGGCCTATGCAGCCTCAACTTAAGAATGCTCCCCGGCCTGGCTTTGCACTGCAAAGTTTGCAGCAGCACGTGCAACAAAATGGCGTCCAGCATTCAAAAACCCCCTCAGCTTGCATTAACTAGCCACACACAAGACATGCAAGCTCCACCCCCCAGTTGTTTTTAGACTTCTTATTGGGTGAGCAACACAGCCAAGCAACACAGTTGGAGCCTCCCTTCTCCCTGGCCGGCAGGGAGGGAGGGAGAGGAGCTGCTTCCTTTGAAATTTAAGGGACATCATTTAAGGGACATTTAAGGGACATCCATCAATAAGGGACAGCAGCAGGACATGGCGCTGGAATAAGGGACTGTCCCTTCAAACAAGGGACACTTGACAGCTATGACCCAAGGTACTATTTCTGGGTTAGCAGAGTCTGTAACCTGAAGTGTCTGTAACCTGAAGCGTCTGTAACACGAGGTACCACTGTACAGAAACGAGGTTGGGTGTCTTCTAGATGTCACTGAATTATTATGATTCCTGTTATCCTGCCCATCGGCCATGCTAGGAGTTGGGAGTCCGACAACCTCTGTAGGTGTCTGGTTCCCCAACGCTGCTTTAGATGGTAATGCAGGCTGTTTTATTTGCCACCACAATGTGGTAAGCTGGCCGGTGGACCTTTGAGGACCACCTTGGCCCTTCCCCTGAATGGTGACCTGGACTTCTGCCCTGCAATTCCTGGCCTGATAGCACCACTTGAGAGAAGGACAAGAGATGGTAAACAAGCCTTTTGAGTTCTCCAGATGTGGTTTTAGGTCTAATGCAGGGAATTCCGAGTACCCTTCAAAGTGTTGCTGCTGACCTTTCCCCCCCCTTTTTTTTATAAGATATTTATTGAGATTTTCAAAATATTACAAAATAAAAATAAAAAAAGAAGAAAATACAAAATAAAAATGGTTAAAAACAACTCAATCTTTCCATTACTTATTTTTCATTAACTTGTTTCCCGGACCTCCTCACGCCTCCCTTTTTTGTATTCCAGTTCGATTTGTTGGTTCAGCAAATCCTTACCCTCTTTGTTTATTCCTAGTCTTTAATCTTAAAATATTGTAACGTTAAATTTTTACCTATTAATAATCCATTTTTCATATTCCCTTATAGTATTACAGCTGAAAACCACTTAATTTCTATCCAACATCATTCTAACATTCATTAATTTTGCAATATTTCTGTAGATAGTCTTTGAATTTCTTCCAATCTTCTTCCACCGACTCTTCTCCCTGGTCTCGGATTCTGCCAGTCATTTCCGCCAGTTCCATATAGTCCATCACCTTCATCTGCCATTCTTCCAGAGTGGGTAGATCTTGTGTCTTCCAATACTTTGCAATGAGTATCCTTGCTGCTGTTGTGGCATACATAAAAAAAGTTCTATCCTTCTTTGGCACCAATTGGCCGACTATGCCTAGGAGAAAGGCCTCTGGTTTCTTCAAGAAGGTATATTTAAATACCTTTTTCAATTCGTTATAAATCATCTCCCAGAAAGCCTTAATCCTTGGGCACGTCCACCAAAGGTGAAAGAATGTACCTTCAGTTTCTTTACATTTCCAGCATTTATTATCGGGCAAATGATAGATTTTTGCGAGCTTGACTGGGGTCATGTACCACCTGTATATCATTTCATAATATTCTCTCTTAAGGCATTGCATGCCGTAAACTTCATACCTGTGGTCTATAACTGTTCCCAGTCAGCCATCATTATGTTATGTCCAACATCTTGTGCCCATTTAATCATAGCAGATTTCACCGTTTCATCCTGAGTATTCCATTTCAACAGCAAGTTATACATCTTTGACAAAATCTTAGTTTTCGGTTCTAACAGTTCTGTTTCTAATTTTGATTTTTCCACCTGGAAAGTGTTGCTGCTGACCTTTAAAGCCCTAAACAGCTTGGCCCAGTATACCTGAAGGAGAGTCTCCACCACCATTGTCCAGCCCGGACACTGAGGTCCAGCTCTGAGGGCCTTCTGGCGGTTCCCTCCCTGCGAGAAGCGAAGTTACAGGGAACCAGGCAGAGGGCCTTCTTGGGAGTGGCGCTCGCCCTGTGGAGCGCCCTCCCATCAGATGTCAAGGAAATAAACAACTATCTGATTTTTAGACGACTTCTGAAGGCAGCCCTGTTTAGGGAAGTTTTTAAAGTTTAATGTTTTATCTTGTTTTTAATATTCTGTTGGGAGCTGCCCAGAGTGGTTGGGGAAACCCAGCCAGATGGGTGGGGAATAAATATATTATTATTATTATTATTATTATTATTATTATTATTATTATCATCATCATCATCATCATCATCATCATCCTATGTATTCCTGCATTGCAATGGGTTGGACTAGATGACACTTGGGGTCCCTTCGAACTCTACAATTCCATAATTCGATGGGCCTTCCAGTGTTTTAGGACTAGCTTCCATCCCTGACCATTAACCAGCTTAGCTGTGGTTGATGAGGGTTCAGGAGTCTAACACCACCTGGAGGGCCGCTGGTTCCCTAGACTTAAAACCATGTCCTGAGTGGGAAACTCTTCTTTCAGCCCCTGGTGAAAGGTAGAATTGGATGGGACCCCACGGGACATCTGCAGTTGAAACGATATCGTGCTCTTGTTTGCGGAGGTGTTGTTTCCGCTACCTAAAGATCAGCCATCGGAAAATGAGTACATGTTCTCTGTACATGTTCAGAGGTGCTCATCACCTTCGAGTCACACTGAATCATAGAACTGTAGAGTTGGAAGGGACCATGAGGGCAATCGAGTCTAACCCCCCCCCCCCGGGGCTTGAACCCACAAGCCTGAAGTTGAGTCTCATGCTCTACCAACATAGCATTTTCATGGAGCAAGACCACCAGCGATGAGCTGCTGTGCTCACTAAGTCTATAGTGCAGATCGTATTCCTGCTAATAAAGGGTCAACTCCAATTTGCATGGTGTGATTTACTGCTGGCTTGCTCCTGACAGGTATGGTGTAGATGTGATCCTGAACAGCTGTGTAACATAGTTTGTTTCTCAATGACTTTTCAGGCTCTGATCAGGGAAAAAATAAAATATGCACCAGTCCTTTGCTGAGCACAGTAAATCTTCACTCCACCTGACCGGTGAATTATTGAGTCTATAGTAATATTGCTTTGAGTGTTATATCTTCCATTCCTGTCTCCCTGCCATCCAGACAGTCACATGCAATGCCAATGCAAACGCACATGTCATTCGCATGCTGTGCTCATGCGCATCTCTGAATAACCCTTTCCTACCATCTCTCTGGGACACGGGTTGTGCTGTGGGTTAAACCTCAGTGCCTAGGACTTGCCAATCAGAAGGTCGGCAGTTCGAATCCCCGCGACGGGGTGAGCTCCCGTTGCTCAGTCCCTGCTCCTGCCAACCTAGAAGTTCAAAAGCATGTCAAAGTGCAAGTAGATAAATAGGTACCGCTCCGGCGGGAAGGTAAACGGCGTTTCTGTGCGCTGCTCTGGTTCACCAGAAGCGGCTTAGTCATGCTGGCCACATGACCCAGAAGTTGTACGCCGGCTCCCTCGGCCAATAAAGCGAGATGAGCGCGCAACCCCAGAGTTGGCCATGACTTGACCTAATGGTCAGGGGTCCCTTTACCTTTACCTATACCATCTATCCACAATCCTATTCGCCTGCAGGGGCTTTTGTGCTGGCCTTTTAATCGGCAGCTAAGCCAATACCTAGGGAGAGCTCAGGTCCACATGCTGAAGCCAGCGCTCTGACAATTCGTAGCTGTGAGAGTTTCGAAGATGACAGCCTGTGCTTTAAAGCCTGTGCTTTAAAGAAAATAAATGTTGGAAATGTAACGAGACTGAAGGCACATTCTTTCACCTTTGGTGGACATGCCCAAGGATTAAGACATTCTGGGAGATGATTTATAATGAAATGAAAAAGGTATTTAAATATACCTTTTTGAAGAAACCAGAGGCTTTTCTCCTGGGCATGGTCGGCCAATTGGTGTCAAAGAAGGACAGAACTTTCTTTATGTATGCAACAACAGCAGCAAGGATACTCATAGCAAAATATTGGAAGACACAAGATTTACCCACCCGGGAAGAATGGCAGATGAAGTTGATGGACTATATGGAACTGGCGGAAATGACTAGCAGAATCCGAGACCAGGGAGAAGAGTCGGTGGAAGAAGATTGGAAAAAATTTAAAGGCTATTTACAGAAATACTGTAAAATTAATGAATGTTAGAAAAATGTTGGAATGAAGTTATATGGCTTTAGTAGAAATGTTATAAGGAATTAAGTACAGATAGGTTAATAGAGCATTAAAGGAAAAAATAAGGTTAGAATGAGTTAAGATAATTATAGGATAGAAAACAGAGGAAGATGGAAAGGAATTGCTGAAATAATTAACAGAAGTGGAATACAAAAAGGGAGGTGTGAGGAGGTCGTGGAAATAAGTGAATGAAAGATGGGATAAGGAAATTGTTTCATTTATTTTATTGTTTTTGTTTTGTTTTGTTAATTTAATGTATTGTATTGTATTGTCTTCTTAGTGTTTAAATTTTTGGAAAAATAATAAATATTATTTTTTTAAAAAAAGTTTTTATTTATACTTTTCAAGTTTATACATTTCATTAGTTTTACAATCAATTTAACATTTCAAAGTTTGACTTCCTTCCCCCTCTTTCTGTGGTCCTTTAAATGTATTTTTTAAATATCTTCTGCATATCCAAATTCATTTAATTTGCTCATTGAATTATCCACTTTAAATATATACTCTTATGAAACTGCAGGTTGTTACCATAATCCTGCCAATGTTTTGATCTGTAAATATTCAACAAACCATTTCCATTCTTTTATGTAAAAAGTTTGTTATCCTTTTACAACATCTTGATTTCTGATTCTTCCGGGAAGTTTCGCCATTTCTGCATATTCCGTAAGTTTTTGTATCCATTCTTCCTTTGCTGGGACTTCTTTCCACTTTTGGGCAAGTAACATTCTTGTCGCTGTAGTAGCATACATAAATAAATAAATTTCTATACAATTTAGGTAACTCTGTCCCTATAATTCCCCAAAGAAAAGCTTCTGGTTTTTTTTAAAAACAAAAGTTATTTTTAACTCTTTCTCTGCACGTTTAAGAGTTTTGTGCTATAACTAGACACACTGTGAATCTTCCCCAGTAAGTGCACTAGATTATCCAAAGCTGGTTTCAACTTTGAAAATGGACAATGAATTCAAGTCTGTTGTTGAAACCCTAGATGAGCTGCATTGGTGGAGCATGAGCCTCTTAGAAGCATAGAATTGTAGAGCGGGAAGGGACCCTGAGGATCATCTAGTCCAACCCCCTGTAGTGCAGGAATCAAACCTGCAACTTTGGCATTATCAGCACCACACTCTAGCCAACTGAGCTATCCAGGCTCTTAATCTCACGGTCAAGGGTTCAAGCCCCATGTTGGGTTAAAGATTCTTGCATTGAAGCGGGTATGACCTGTGGTCCCTTCCAACCAGTGCCAGATTTATGTATAAGCTAAACAAGCTATAGCTTAGGGCTCCACTCTCTTGGGGCCCCCCCAAAAAAATTAAAGGGAAAACTGGATGTACATTTCCAAAACATAGGATAAAAAACAACTAAAATAAAACCTACATACAGCAACAGTGTTTTGTGTTGTGTAGGCTCCTATTTGTTATGTGCAAATGACTTTAGATACCTAATTAGGTCCATAAATTACCATATAGCATATATTCAACACAAGAAACAGCGACAATTTGTTGTTGACAAAGGACAGCTGGACATATAATGGGCCCCATTACCTTCAGTAGCTTAGGGCCTCGTCAAACCTAAATCCGGCCCTGCTTCTAACATTACAATTCTATGATTCTTTGAGGATGAAAAACTTATGCTCCTTTTCCTCCTGTTAGCAGTAAAAACAATAATTATAATAATGTAGTATGTTCCTGAGCGTCCACAGCTCTTTATCTCAGTAAGCCTTACAACAAACCTATAAGGTAGGCTAATGTTGCCCCCATATTACAGATGGGATGGTTTTAGAGATTTAGTCGTTTAGAGATTAGTGGCTTGCCTGAGGCTACCCAACGCTGGAGGTGAAATCTGGGTGGGTAGGAGGAGGTAGCTGGAACATAACTGCCTTTCCATATCTGGGATTGCTGTTTCCTTTCACTAACAGCATAGCCTTTCTGTGGGGTCTTCCGATGAAGCGTTCTGTGTGACTGGAAAAGCTTTCACATTCCTTTGCTCGGTCCTGATGATTCGCACGCAGCGCAGACGGAAAAAAGCTTCCCCTAAACTGGGGGGAAAGAGAATATAGATATTCCCGTGTGGTCACAGAGAAAATCTGACTCCTGAACGGTCGCGTAGCTCTCAAAGTATGAAAGAAGCACCAGGATGCGACAGAGCCAATTCACATGAAAAGCATGGATAGTTTGGGGCCCCCCGGCCAATTATCTTCCAAAACATTATTTCAGAAAGTCTCTCTACCCCTCCTCCTCCGAGCCCCACGCCAGAGTCCAGATCTGGATTAGCCTTCCACCCACAGCCTTTGAAAGAAAAAAGGGCAAGCCACAAAATTAACATAACATTGAGTTTGGCCCATTGTTCACCACTTGGGGGGTCCTCCTCCCCAAAAAGGCTCGGCCTCCATTAAAGAGGCAGAAGGCTGCTCTGAAATTCTGGACTGAGATCTCTCCCCCCTCCCCCCATTATCCTGATCAAATCCTTCTCCGCTCTCGCATTTGTGGCAGACATTCACCAGTTGTCTAATTTCTTCCAGTGACAATATCATTTTAAGATCTCCCTCGTGTGTCAATCTACTCATGGATGCCATTTTGCAAGCTGCATGTCTACTGAGAAACAGCGGCGGCAAAATACATTTTGTTGTTGTTTAGTCGTTTAGTCGTGTCCGACTCTTCGTGACCCCATGGACCAGAGCGCGCCAGGCACTCCTGTCTTCCACTGCCTCCCGCAGTTTGGTCAAACTCATGCTGGTAGCTTCGAGAACACTATCCAACCATCTCGTCCTCTGTTGTCCCCTTCTTCTTGTGCCCTCCATCTTTCCCAACATCAGGGTCTTTTCCAGGGAGTCTTCTCATGAGGTGGCCAAAGTATTGGCGCCTCAGCTTCACGATTTGTCCTTCCAGTGAGCACTCAGGGCTGATTTCCTTAAGAATGGAAGCAAAATACACAAAACCCCTCAAAGCTCGTAACCTTTTCTAAGAAACCAGAGGCTTTTCTTTTCAGGATATTGGGATTAGAGATATCTGAAAAATATAAAAACTTATTTACGTGTGCGACCACAGCAGCTTGTATGGTATTTGCCCCCCAAAATGGAAAGAAGACAATGTCTCGATCAAAAAAGAATGGCAGCAAATCTACTGGAATATGCAGAAATGGTGAAACTTGCTGGAAGACTAAGAAATCAAGACGATTCAAGACTCTTTTAATTTAGAGTGGAAATCGTTTGTTGGGTATTTTAGAAATTATTGTAAACAGATACAATCATTAGCAGGGTTAACGCAAAGACATGCAGTAGGAAAATAGTAATCTTGAATGTATGGGATAATAATTAGGCTTAAATTAGGAGTTGCAGCTAAGACATTAGGAACATAAGCAACTGCAGAAAGGGGGGGAGGGAGGTCAAAATGGGGTACTGGAATTTGAAGTGAAATTATATCTTTTTTGATGTAAAATGATACACACACACACACTCCGCAAAGCTCAGCGCTTTAAGAACAAGAAGAACGTATGCACTGGAAATGAATGAAATCAGTACCCAGACGGAGATCTGGATTCATCTTTGCATACACTGGTTTACAGAAAAGGCGGCCAATATGGAAATGATAGAACAGGGGCACCAGCTCCTGGGGGCTGAGATGCTTTGGGGTTACCACCTTCAGAGGCAATATGGGGGCGGGAGAGAATATACATGGTTTGCAGGATTCCCAGAAGCATGTCCGCTTGGTCATTGTGAGAAATAGGAGGCTAAAGGAGCTGAACCGTGTGTCTGGCCCAGTAGAACTTTGGAGAAGTTGCTCAGCGGCAGAACATCTGCTTCCCTGGTGGTTCTAAGTAGGATCGGGGGGAAGTCCTTTTCTGAAACCCTGGAGAACTGCTGCAAATCAGGGCAGACAGATAGACTCAATATGGGTAGGACTCAAACCCATCACTTCAAATTACAAGAAAGTCAATTCTGACTGAACACAGAAAGAACTTTCTGACAGTATGACCTGAGTAGAACAGAGAAGTGGTTGTCTCTCCTTCCTTGGAGGGTATTTTAAGCGGAGGTTGGGTGGCCATCTGTTATGGATGCTTTAGCTGAGATTCTTCCATTGCATGGGGTTGGTCTAGATGACCCTTGGGTCCCTTCCAACTCTGCAGTTCTATGATTCTATGAATATAAGGCCGCTTCCAGTATTCTTAAAGGTAAAGGGGCCCCTAACCATTAGGTCCAGTCGCGGACGACTCTGGGGTTGCAGTGCTCATCTCGCTTTATTGGCCGAGGGAGCCGGCGTACAGCTTCCAGGTCATGTGGCCAGCATGACTAAGCTGCTTCTGGCGAACCAGAGCAGCGCACGGAAACGCTGTTTACCTTCCCGCCGGAGTGGTACCTATTGATCTACTTGCACTTTGACGTGCTTTTACCTGCTAGGTTGGCAGGAGCAGGGACCAGGGACCGAGCAACAGGAGCTCACCCCGTCGCGGGGATTCGAACCGCCGACCTTCTGATCGGCAAGCCCTAGGCTCTGTGGTTTAACCCACAGTGCCATCCGCGTCCCTTCCAGTATTCTTACCATTGTTTTATATTCTTAATCCCGTGGGAATGTCTCTCCTCTGACACCAAGTGGAATTTCTGCTAAAAATGATCTTCCATCAGGATCCTCGGGTCAGAAGGAGACTTTTGTTAAATAGGAGAACTGCCTGTCAGATTGGCCCAAGAGGATTAAGTCTGGGCTGCATTTTGTCTCCAGAGAGCTACGTCGAGCACACAGTAGCTGTTTGAAAATCGTAGGTGTATCAATTTCCCAGTCTGGGTTTGTCTGCAGTTTTCCAAACACAGTTTCCCCATCCCTTCATACTTCTCAGTTCTAGGATTATGATTGGGAGACTCTGCAATCTAAGCTCTGAACCGTTCAGAAAACTCGCTGGAGTCCAGGCAGCCAAAAAAAGAATAAAAAAGTTTTATTTCACTTTTTTTTTTGTCCAAGTGGCGGGAGAAATGTCTGGCAGATCTATACAGACCATGACAACCCACTCATAGTCCGAGCCTTGCCAGTTTTTCTTTCCTTGAAAGAAGCAAGCAAGAGACGCTTGGGTGAGGGTAAACAGAGTTTGTAGATGCTCTGACCGCAGCTCCCCCCTCCCTCAAATTCCTCTCTCTCTCTCTCTCTGCACAGACAAATTGGCATGAATGAATCTTCAAACACCCCACTCAACACCCCTACACACCCCTGGCCCCTCCCACTCCCCTGCCATTGGCCGGCCGGTTTCTAAGAAGGAATTTAAAAAGGAGGCCTTGGTTTTGCATCGCTTAGGCTCCAAGAGGACAAGAAGACCGAAAGGTATCTCTCCCACAGCCTTCCCCACTGCTGCCTGGCCTGAACATGCAGACGTCTCAGGCTCTCTGCTCTTTCTGCATCTTCTTCCAAGTCTTCCTCCCTTCGGGGCGAGGCTGGCAAGTGCTTAAAAACGATGCCACGGAGATCGTGCCCGACTTCCCGGAGAATACCGAGCCGCCGGCTGAGCAACCGTACGTCCAGAGTGACAACGACACCATGAACAACCGGGCGCAGCAAGGAGAGAGGCACCTGCAAGTTGCCCTGGGCAGGACAGGTAAGGAAAACAATATATATAAACAGAGAGAGAGAGAGAGAGAGAGATAAAGCAACCTCTTCTAGTTCTCAGGTGTGTGAGCATCTCTAGCTGGCTGTTGTAGCAGAGCAAGCAGGTACCGTTTGCTGCAGGTTAGTTCACACATCTGATGTTGTTCCACGGATAAGGGAAAACCTGTGGTCACACAGATGTGGACGGACTCCAACTCCCATCATTCCCAGTGGTCCAGGATGATAGCAGTTGGAGTCCATCAAGATCTGGAACCCGACAGGTGCCACCACCCCTGGTTTTCATTTTTATAGAACCATTGAGTTGGAAGGGACCCCGAGGTAATCTAAGTCCCCCCCCACCATGCAATGCAGGAAACTTTTGCCCAATGCGGGGTTGGAACCCACAACCCTGAGATCAAGAGTCTCATGCTCTTACCAGTGCTCTTACCAGCTGAGCTATTGGTGAGCTTTGCCTCGCCGGAGCTCTCCAGCGTCTCTAGGTGAAGGCAGAGGTATTTCCCATTAGCTGGGATAGGAGGAGGAACAACAGAAGGTGCCCTCTTTGGAGTCAGACCATTGGCTCAGCATTGTTCACATGGACCAGTAGCAGCTGTCCAGGGATGCTGGGAATCGCACTCAGGAGGAAAGCAATTACTCTGCTTCTAAGCAATGGATCTTTCCCTTGCAACCTGAGATCCTTTCCCTGGAGGAGATTGGGAATTGAACCTGGAGTGCTTGGCATGCAGAGTCTGTGCTTTCTCCCCTGAGCTATGGTCCCACTCCACCACAGGTGCTAAAGATCTAGTGATCGGGCTCCTGAAATGACTTTTTAGGAATCACATTGATTTACCCTACGAAAGACAGCATTGTACAGTCTTTGCAGGTGGTCTCCCGCCCAGGCACTGGTCAGGCACAGATCCGTACAGAATCATAGAAGAGTTGGAAGGTACATCTAGTCCAACCCTCTGTAATGCAAGAATCTTTCGCCTAACGTGGGTTTCGAACCCAGGACCCTGAGATTAAGAGTCTCATGCTCTACCAACTGAGCTATCTGCTTGCCTTCATGAAGGCTGCAGCACAACCTGCCTTCAGACCATTCCTTGGGACTAGGACAGCCCCACGTGGTCTCCCAGGACTAGATCCTGACCCGCTTTGTTTCAGGAAAGTCCCTGCAACACAACGTGCCTTCAAGACCACACCTTCTGCCTCTTGTAATCTGCCTTGCTTGTTGCACACAGCCAAGAACTGTCCCCTGGCAAAGGAGCTCTGTGTAACATGAAAGCTTCCACACTTCATGGGCCAATAATTATTTTACAGCCATTTGGCCCCCCAGTAGCTGTTTTCATCCATGAGACTTAAAAGTGGCTTTTGTTTCAATCAGATTTTGTTAAACATAAAACCTATTCGGCCAGAATGTTTGTTGGCATTGCAAGCATGTCTCTTCTGCTTCCTGTCCTGCAAGATCAATGATTAGATCGTAACAGGAACGCTCGCCAAAGGACATGTGTGAAAATGCTCTTAAGAAGGTAGCAATTTGTCCTGAAATATGACCCACGAACACTGCGGAGTATTGCGGGATGATATCTTTAATTAGTGCTCTATTTACAGGTTTTGCGATGAGACAGTATGATGTTCTGACCTCTAGGGCTGGAGGAGAAATTGGATTCAATTTGCATTTAAAGGCAAACCTACTTAATTCACATTCTCTAAAACAAGATGCGAAATATAGGAAGTTTAAAAAAAAATTGCACCGCCCCTAATTTTGCGGGGCTGCTCTTCAGCAAAGTAATGTGTGCAAAAGGGCACATACCAGGGTAAATGTCCATTTTTGTAAGTGGAAAAAAATGACAATTTTTAAAAGATAAATGTGCATAGAAAGGCATATGTTGGTGAAAATAAGATACAAAAATGCTTTGTATTAGGAAAAACTGATTTTGCAAAAACAACAAAAAAGCATTAGAAGATATTTGCATTGAAATACTGGTGAATTTTCATGAGAAAAAAATTGCTAACTGATGTGGTGATCTGGAGATTGGAAAAACCCAAGCCAGCCTGTTTCCCAGTCCTTACGAACTACATTGTGGTGCTCTTTGCAATGTCCCATGCCAAACTAGAAGGTTGCTCCCTACAAACTTGCTAGAAAGGCAGGCTGGGTGGGAAGGACTGACTGACTGAGCTACTTTGCCTGAAAAACAGATCTGTGCATGGATAAGCACCCAGCACGTGCCTTGCCATGACAGGGTGAGAGAAGGGGGTCTTACTACTCATAAAGTAATTCTGACTCAAACAGTTTGCACATGGGGAAAACAAATCTACTGTTTGTTTCCCCTTTATTTTGGTTCCATTATAAAATATGAGAGGGAGAACTAATGCAAACAAAGCCTTTGGGGCGCACCCTAGATGTAACTCATTCCATTTTGAGGTTGCTGATGTATGAAAGTTCCTGTTTTCTCCACGACCTGGACTGAAGCACATGGAAATGTACCTGGAAATGGGGATTTGATCTGGAAAACCTCAGCCCATAGACCATGAGACTCTTAATCTCAGGGCGGTGGGATCGAGCCCCTTCTAAAAACATTGGGGTGTGTGTGTGGGGGGGGGGAAATCCTAACTTTGATATCCTTGCAAAAATCCTACTGCACAGGGTTGTATCCAACTAAGAGCAAACCCGTTGCAATTAATGAACCGAAGTGAGCCGTATCCTTTAATGGGCTTACTCTGAGTAGGACCAGTATTGGCGGCAACCCGCAGGATCCTGTCCTCCCCTCAATCACAAGAGGACAAGGGTTAGAATCACAGAATTGCAAGGAGCCCTGGGCATCAAGGTCTGAGCTATCTTGTACCATAGAACAGAACCATATACTTGGTTAGGCTTTGCATGACAAGCTTGTAGCTACTTGGAGGTGAAGAACCTTGTTCTGTTTTTCACTTGTGTGTGCAGAGGAGGGGGGTCCCTGTCAGGACTGCAGCTTGGGAGGGAAGGCTCAAACCTCCTCTTCCCCACGCCCTGTGGTCCTGATGAAAACCCTGCCCTCCCCACAATGCCAATTGCTAAATTAAAAAAGAAAATAAAAATACAAGCAGGTGCCGTTGCTATTCGTGCAATGAAAGTGACTTCTCGCTTGGCGGCTGTCTTGAGGTGTAAGTGACAGCCCTCTGACAATGTGTGTCTGTGGGATCTTGTCACCAACAACCGCATGAGAAGTTGGCACACTCGCAAGCTCCTTCGCATGATCTGTCTCGGATTATCAGCCCACTTCCTGCTTCTGTCCGCATGGGGGAAGCTCATACTTTGCTTAGGAAACAGTCACCTTCCTGAAATTGGGCTGAGCAAGCAATTCTAGAATGTTCTTCCTCTGGGTCACAACCATACCTGTTCCTCTCCGTTATCAGTACAGCTCCCCTTTTAGAAACAAATCCTTTGTGTAGCCTATCTGCATATCACTCCTTGCTGATTTTTGTTGTTGTTAAAGGGGTTGTGGGCTGCTTTGGATCTTTCGCAGCCCCAACATCTTCACATTCCCATTGAATGATCTCCTTCCTCTTTTTTTGGCAAGCTACATCAAAGTTTTTGGCTGAGTCCAATTTCTGGATGGGCATTGTGCTGTCCTATTACTCAGAGGCCTGCAAAAATGCAAGCCAGAGACTGCCTCCTGAGACCCCACATTTTCCAAATTAGCTGGAGGGCCAGTCTAAGGGAGAACAATCTATGGGGCTCTCTTGACGAAGAGAATCTAAGAACATAAGAAGAGCCCCACTGGATCAGGCCAAAGAAGGTTTCCACCCCCATTGTTAAGTCCAGACACTGAGATCCAGTGCCAAGGGCCTTCTGGCGGTTCCCTCATTGCGAGAAGTGAGGTTACAGGGAACCCGACAGAGGGCCTTCTCGGTAGTGGCGCCCGCCCTGTGGAATGCCCTCCCTTCAGATGTGAAGGAAATAAGTAGCTATCTTCTCTTTAAAAGACATCTGAAGGCAGCCCTGTTTAGGGAAGTTTTTAATATTTAATGCTGTATTGTTTTTAAACACTCTATTGGAAGCCGCCCAGAGTGGCTGGGGAGACTCAGCCAGATGGGCAGGGTATAAATAATAAATTATTATTATTATTATTAAAGGATGATGGTACTGCTGATGATAATACCCCGCCTATCTGGCTGGGTTTCCCCAACCACTCTAGGCGGCTTCTAGCAAAATATTAAAATACAATAATTCATCAAATATTAAAAGCTTCCCTAAACAGGGCTGCCTTCAGATGTCTTCTAAAAGTCAGATAGTTGTTTATTTCTTTGACATCTGGTGGGAGGGCGTTCCACAGGATGGGTGCCACTACCAAGAAGGCCCTCTGCCTGGTTCCCTGGGCAGCTTCCTGTTCTCACAGGGGCCAGCCAAATAACTACAGGAAACCCACAAGCAGGTCCTGAGTGTGACAATACTCTCCCCAGTAACTAGTATTCAGAAGCACACCACTTACAATGTTGGAAAATCATCGCTAGTAGCCATTCATAGCCTTATCCTCCAGGGATTTGTCTAAACTGCTTTTACAGCCATCCAAGTTTCACTCCGATGTTTTGTTCTGCCCTGGAGAACACAGGTTCATATTCTACAAGCAAGGAATATGAATCCACAACCCTCACTCATCGTCACCAAGCTCTCTGTGATTCCCCTGCGATCTCCTGATCAATAAGGCAAATCTTGGAGATGTCTAACCATGCCAAAGTGGCCAGCTTCCAGGAAGGGCCCTGTCCTTTTAAATTCCTGCCGGCTAAGAAGCGGGAGCCGACAGACACCCAGCAAAACTATTCCCCTACTAAAGTTCCCTGTTGACATTTGGTCATAGTTGGAGCAACACCTGCTTCCCCCTGAGGAGCTCTCCAAGGTCCTGTAGAATCTGCCTAAGGCCTAGTTCTGACATAGCAGGTGAGAAGGTGGCAAACTTGTTTCTGGGTTGTACCACTTCAGCCTGCCGGTGGGTTTAATAAAATGTATATATTGCTAATTGCAAGAGGCGGGGAAAAAACTCCAAGTGGTTTACAGTTAGTCTGTAGCGTGTTCCAGGTAATCTCTCACTACTCCCCCCATTCCACATATTTTTTATGTATTAAGGCTTTTTTTAATGAAAGAGTGTTCAGCCATGTGAGCGCCCTCCATTGGTCTGCAGTGGAACATCCCAGTGGTACAGCTGTTGTTTTTCTGAATTTGGAACAGGCTAACTGATGCCCTGTCAGGTGAGCTCACCGATTGGCCAGAACTTTAGTGGTGCGTAGAAAACTCTACTTGACTCCTGCCAAATAGAAAATCAGATAGAATCCATTGAAGACTTTGACGGCTGGTTTTGTGCTCATTCAGAGCATCTAGTGCTGTCTGGACGGGTGGGAATATTTTCAGGATTGAAGCCTGCATTTCTTCCGGGGGAAGCGGCAGATTTTGCATACTGGTGGTAGGTGGGACAAAATACAAAAATGTGCAGGCCCAAAGATCCTAGTAGTTGGTGGGGCTACTGAGGGGAAACAATAGGTTTGATTACCCTCCTCCCAAGGTGAGGGGAAGCGACCTAGCTGAGCCTGACAGGGCAGCTAACTCTATGGTATTAACCCCTTCATACAGTAATTCGACTTCAGCATGCTGGCTATTCCACAAAAAACAACCCATCCTTCTTTCTCTCTTAGAACCCCTGGAGTTCAGCTGCCGGGAAACATACTCGACCCGCTACATCACCGACGGTCTGTGCCGCAGCATCAAGCCACTAAGGGAGCTGGTCTGTTCTGGCCAGTGCCTTCCCTCCCACCTCCTCCCCAACTCCATTGGCAAGGGGAAATGGTGGCGGCAGAACGCTTTGGATTACCGCTGCATCCCGGCGCACAGCCGCTCCCAGCGCATCCAGCTGGCCTGCCCCGACGAGGAGCTGCGGACTATCAAGATCAGAGCCGTCACCGCTTGCAAGTGCAAGCGCTACACCCGCTACCACAACCGCTCCCAGCTCAAGGATTTCAGCAAAGAGGCCGCCCGGCCCCAGAAGAACAAAAAGCCACGTCTCTCCAGGGCCAGGGGCAGTAAGGCCAACCAGCCGGAGCTGGAGAACTCCTACTAAGCGGAGGGGCCGTTGGCGAGGCCCAGCCCAGATTTTTGTTTTCTGCATGGCCCACCCTCTCTTTTCATTGTTGTTGATGGCGACTGGATAAACATGGAATGGAGTGAGCGGGGGATGGTGTCGAGGGGTCTCCACGGCCGCCGCCCCGGTTGGAGGTTCAGCGCTCATGCAGCCCAAAAGCTATCCGACTCTCCTCAAGGTGGTCGGACGAGAGAGGTGAAGGGTGGGGTGGGGGGAATGGACAGAGCGAAACTGAGCTGGAGGAGGCCTGAGAGATGAGTCGCTCAGAGGGTCTGCAAGGGGTGGTGTGACTCAAAAGGCCAAAGCGAGTGAGCAGGGCCAACTTGTTCTGCTGCCTCCCTTTCCTTGCCCTGACTTTGTTTGACAAAGGACTGGCGCCTCTCTGCGAAAGCAAACATCAATTTAGAACCAGGTGACATCTCTCCAGGTGTGTGCTCACCTGCACGCCTTCTCTGCTATCCTTGCTTCTTCACACGTCGCACATTAATGCGCCGCTCCTTGTTGTGCCACAGCATTGCCTGAACTATGCGCTAAGCTCTTGGTCTGCAGGACGTATTTGCTTCCTGTCCTGTGATCTGTTGGGTTGCCCTTCCATTCGCCAGGAGAAATGGGACACTTAAAAAATTAAAAATGAAATCACACCTTATTGTACAGTGCCAAATGCAAACACGTCTTTGCAGACAGCTCACTTTGCAGGGGCAAGTTGGACGAGGAAACCCAAAAGAATGGGGCGGGGGGAGATTTTAAAACCATGCCATATTTTACAGAGCCTGACTTGTATATAAACATAGGGTGCTCGAAGGATGAATGTGGCTTGCTATTTTAGGGTCAGAAAGTATATACCGTGCAGCAGCCTTTTACTAGTATTCTGGGAGTCCCAATTTTTTTTAAAAAAAGGGAAAGGCAAAATAAGTTTCTAGTCCTCAAAGTGGAAGAAGAAATATTTCTTTTGGGGCTGGGGGCAGTTTTTAGGAACACAAGGGCAATTCAGAGGGGATCCAGATTCATTTTCTCCAGTCAAGTGGATTCAGTCTTTGTGGAAATAGGTTTCTAAATGTGGACCAGATATGGTAGCTGTGCAGAAGTTAGAAGTCTGCACCATGGAGTTACTCCTTTCATTTGTGATGTGTTCATCAACAGGTGCGTCAGCCTCGGCACATGTGGAGCCACCCTGGTATTCCCTTGTTTGTCTTGACCATTTGTTGATTCTTAGGATGCCGTTGATCTGGTGCAGCTCAGTATAATGTGGCCTGTCGGTTTAGGCATTTGCCACTCCCCACCTTCCTAGCCTTTGATCTGGATTAGAACGAGAATGTTGTTTCTACAATGCCAACACACAGCTGATGCTTAAAAGCTGTTCTCTGCAACAATGAGGGCCAGAAACCTTCTTTTAAAACACAGAGGAAGACCTTTTCTCTGCTGCAGCAGCAACAATAATAACCAAGGATAAAGAATTTCTATTGCACTCAATAAAAACCTTTTGTGCAAGAAGTCATAGATATTTCCATTTTGCTCCAGCGAGGCTTGCAGTCCGAGCCCATAGGTGCAAGTCTCACTGTAGTCAAAAGCGGCTTCCTCCATATGTGTTAGTTTTGCCTTCTCAGAAGTAATTCCCACTGATTTCAGCAGGGCTTAGGGATGATTCACACTTAACTTTCCTCTGCTCTTTCCAGGCACGTTCCATGCTTTAGTGCTCCGTGTCTGAGCATCTTTTTTTTTTTTTGCTCCAAAGATTTTCCACGAAAACCAGCTCTTTAAAGCTGAATCGGAGCAAATGGCAATCTGCAGAAAACCCAAATTGACATTTGCTCCGACTGAGCGCCCAAAAGCAGGTTTTTGCAAGGAAAGCTCCAGGGCAAAACACACACACACACACACACACACACGTTCAGATCAGAGTTTAAACCACAGATCTGTGCCTGGAAAGAGAAGGGGGAAAAGTTAAAAGATGACCCCTGAGTCCTAAGTGGGTATATTTAGAGACTGTGACTTGCCAGAAGGCACCCAATAGACTTATGGCCAAGCTAGGATTTGAAGCCCAACAAAGACCAATATTCTGTCCACTGGAGACCTAGTTCTAGATGCCTCATGGCTGATCCAGAGAACTTTGAACGTGCTGCCAATTCTGTCGTCACTGAAACAGGAATTAAAGTAATTTTCCATTTCTGAAACGAGCAGCACCCAGGCCTCAAGCCTCCTTGGAGTTCATTCCCTCGACTTGGACACCTTCCCCCCTAAATCCAGATGTGCGAGTCTTGGTTATTCGGCAGCGGGATATATGTGCTGCGCATGAGCTCAGCTGCGCTTGGTTTAGTGGTCCCTTCCCATTCGTTTAGCATCCTCCAGGCATCAACATCTGGACAGCCCGTGCGGAATCAGCAGCCCTTCCAGATGTTGCTGGACTCCAAACTTGCTTTAAACAAGACAAAATTCAGCACCTGCGTATGTCCCTTCCCCCAGTTGTTCCTGCTTCGTCAACTTGTAAGATATATGTGTGTGTGTGGCCTTTAGAATTTGTTTCCACTGGTGGACTTGGCAACGGAAAAACTGCATCTCCCAAGATTAAAATGGCATATTTATTATTTCCCTGTAAAAAGTATTTATGCGACGACTTTCTTTCTTCTCTGCTCTTCATCATGTAGCAACCGGGCAATCCTGCTCCTGAGATATTTAGCTTGACTTTTCAGAGTTATACAGATATATTCCTAAAAAGTATTAAATGAATAAAGTCATGTCCATGGAAAACGATGACTGGTGTTTTTTGTTTTTTTAAATGTGCAATGCAGGGGTTGTTAACCTGAGGGCCATGTGGCTCCTCTAGACAGCCATCTGGGGGCTACATAGCTGCGGTGGGCGGGGTCAGAGGCAAAAGTGGGTGGAGCCACAGACATGAATTTTACACCCTCTCTATCCTCCGCCCAGACAACGAAGAGGCATTATCGGAGCTCAAGGACTGTCAAGGGGCTGACAGGACAAGCAGGTCACTCACAGGCCAAAGAGGCTAACATGCAGTTGCCGTAGCTTCTTTATTAAAGCTCATAAATAATAATAATAATACAGTGGTACCTCAGGTTACATATGCTTCAGGTTACAGACTCTGCTAACCCAGAAATAGTGCTTCAGGTTAACAACTTTGCTTCAGGATGAGAACAGAAATCGTGCTCCGGCAGTGCGGCGGCAGCAGGAGACCCCATTAGCTAAAGTGGTGCTTCAGGTTAAGAACAGTTTCAGGTTAAGTACGGACCTCTGGAACGAATTAAGTACTTACCCTGAGGTACCACTGTAATAATAATAGTAATAATAAATTTCATTTATACCCTGCCCTCCGCAGCCAAGACCGTGCTCAGGGCTGCTAACACCAGATATAAAAACAATTGATTGAAATACAACTTAAAAACAAGATTAAAATACAACATTAAAATGCAGCCTCATTTCAGTAGGAACTCAAATCAAAAACTTTTTGGGGGATGACTTCGCCCCTGTAATCTTCCGCTATGGCAGAAACCTCCTTTCTGTGCCTGTCTGGCCTGTTCCTCAGCAACATCCTTCGCATTCTGGGAGTCAGGGGGCTGGAGAGGCTGTGCTCTTAGTGGCGCAGGAGAGCTCTGTGGCAATTATACTTTAATTATGTGGAAGTTTCCCCAAGTCGTTTGGCCCTTTTAAAACAGTTCTCTTTTCCCCCTCCTAGAAAAGACTGTGCAAAACTCATGGTTTAAAAGTTTAAAATAACACATTGCTTTACTTGGTATACTGGAACATGTTTACATGAATTTATATACGAGGCTGACTAATATTTGCAGAACTCATTCTGAGGCACAAAGCAGTATAAAACAACATCTGCTGCTCTCACAGTTAAAAATCTCTCTCAAAAGCTGCAGGGTCTGGCTCCCCTCTGTCGGAGTCAGCATGCAATCTGGAAACCTCATCTCTCTGTCCTGTGCTGGACCCACCTGCCTCTCCGTGATCCCTCACACTTCCTGCTACTCGTACCTCCCAGCGGGTCCCCTGCTCTGAAGTGTGGCTGGTATTCCACCACCAGGATCCGGGATCTAAGTTGTCATCATCTGTGCCCTCCCTGGGGGCTCTTGGGCAGACGACTCCTACCACCCTTCCTAATCCTGCCAGTTCCTGACAAGGACACCATCCAGAGAGGCAAAAAACAACAACGAAAAAACCCAAAACGGAAAAAAAAAGCCCCACATACAAGGAGCCTATGAAGTAAGACTTGTGAAGGGTGTAGTGCGACTCATGCAACACGTTGGCGATCAATATACACAGAATAAAAAATTACGGTAAACATTCTTTATCAACTTTATGAGAAAAATACAAAACATTAAACAAAGCCACAGAGACTTGAGAACTACCCAACCGAAGATGAACTTATAATGTCTGATTTCAGTAGGCTTTTCAAATGCTTAACTCAGTCTTTTAGATAAGTTCATGAAGATACCATCAAAAGGTAAGTTCGGAGTTATTCACAATACCGAGAGATGCTAGTGGAGTTGTAGATAGATGTTAATGAAGTTGTAGACGACAGAGTGCTGGCGTTTTGCACCTGTTTCACCCTGGCAGTCCAAGTAAGCAGGAAGTGACCTCTCCACACAATGGAACAACTCTTCTTTTCTTTTCTTATCTCTGCAGCTGCAATTTCCTGGGTGATGTAGACATTGTTAGGCAATTGAATGTGCATGGGTACCTCTCCAGTTGCTGCCTAAGCAGGCATATTTTCATTTTGTTTCACTTTTAATTTGTATGTTGCCTTTCTGTTTACTATACACAAGGTGATTTACAAGTTGAAGAAGAAATAAAATAGACGGGGAAGATTGCACATGTAATAACAATCTGATAAAATACAAAAAAGGTCACAATAACTTTAAAACAGTCAGCTTATCTCAAATAAAGCAGTGTTCAATAATCCAGTATTCAATAGAATAGTAAACGGTAAAATTAAATATCAGCAAAATTTCAGCACCTGCCCTGCACGCAGAAGGCCACAAATTCATTCCTCAACATCTCCAGGTAGGGTTGGGAGAGACCCCAGTCTGAAATCCAAGAGAGCTGTCAGTACAGACACTAAGGTAAAAGGTAAAAAGGTAAAGGACCCCTGGACGGTTAAGTCTAGTCAAAGGCGATTATGGGGTTGCGGCGCTCATCTCGCTTTCAGGCCGAGGGAGCCAGTGTTTGTCCACAGACAGCTTTCCGGGGCGTGTGGCCAGCATGACTAAACCGCTTCAGGCGCAAAGGAACACCGTGACGGAAGCCAGAGCGCACGGAAATGCCATTTACCTTCCTGCCACAGCTGTACCTATTTACTTGCGCTGGTGTGCTTCGAACTGCTAGGTTGGCAGGAGCTGGGACAGAGCAACGGGAGCTCACTCCGTCAAGGGGATTCAAACCGCCGACCTTCTGATCGGCAAGCCCAAGAGGTTCAGTGGTTTAGACCACAGCGCCACCCACGTCCTGTAGAGCTGTCAGTACGGAAAGTCAAACCAAAGGTCTGACTCAGTATAAGGCAGCATCCTATAGCTGTAATTTTACTTCCAAGGAAGAGGAAACAGAGCAAAACCTCACTTCCTGACTGGAGGTTTGAGAAGGGGCATTCCCTGGGGGCCACCAGGTGGCGCATTGGAAGATGGCCGACAATAACATCTTTCCGACCCACACGAGGTAATTAAGAGGCTGCTATGGGAAGTATGCAGCCTTCCCGACCCCCCAAGAAGATGGGGGGGGACTGCCTTGCCAGCGGTGTCCATAATGCACCCCCGGAATCGAAAGAAGGGGGTGCCCAGTCACTTGGCACACGCCCTCAGTGAAGTCGGCTCTTCCTGACGCTTTCTCCAATCGCGCCCTTGTTCGCTTCAGCTCGAAAATATAATTGGAAATATATAATTGGAAAGAAGCTGAAGCACATACATCAAGCAAAGTTCGGGAGATAAGACTGCTGATTAATGCATCTCTGTGACCGGAGCGGCGGGAGGGACAAATAAATCAAGTGATGAACCACCATTAAGAGACTGGTATGTTTGGAGCGAAAAGGAAGGGGGGTGGAGGAAAAAACTTTTCTTTTCTTTGCCTTATGTGAATATTAATAACCCTCCACCCCAGAAAGACGAATCGTTGTCTTTTATTAATCACAAGCAGGAACTCAAGAGCTGTGTGGAGTGAATTATTGATCGAAGAGAGGACTGGTAAATATCGGACAATGGAGGAAAATTTTATGACGCAGTTTTAAATGGCGTCTTGCTAAGACAGGCTTGTCTAAGAAAGACGGGGGGAGGAGGACCAGGATTATCGGAATGTGAATGATGAATGGAATGTGATCTAAACCTGGCAGAGCCCTTATGTGATATACTTGGCAAGCCTGGGAAAATTAAAGGACAGACCGAGGATAAATTCTTTACGGAAGTGTGGAATGGCGTCTGTCCCTATGTGATATGACTTTTGGGAGAGTCTAAAACCCACACAGAGGATGTTTGTTTCCAATCCGCTTGTGAAGATTATCAGAGATTGCAAAGAAAGGAATATATGATAACAACAAGAAGATGAAGAAAGTAATAAAGAGACTATCTGGACAGAACTGGATAGGACTGTCTAATTAAAGCAGCAATATAAGTGATGTTTGGACCCCCGTCTGGAGCTTGGAGTATGGGCACCCCCAACAAAAATTAAAAATCTGGCTGTATAATTTGGAACTAATGTGATTTGGAAAATGTGATTTGATTGGCCTGTTAATAAAAATTATATTTAAAAAAAAAAGAGAAGGGGCATTTCCTGGGGCTACAACCACACCCTAATTATTTTTATTTTATTTATTAGATTCATATGCAACCCTTCACCATAAGATCTCAGGGCAGTTCACAGAATAAAATACAGGATAAAAGAACAAGTAAATAAGTGAAACAAAACAGCAAAACAATAACTCACCCCCGTTCCCACAGACATGTTTAAAAGGCCGTAGGATATTAATCTGCCAAAGGCCTGGTTGAAAGGAAACGTTTTCGCCTGGTACCTACAAATATGCAATGAAGGCACCAGGCGAGCCTCCCTAGGGAGAGCATTCTACAAATGGGGAGCCACCACAGAAAAGGCCCGTTCTTGTGTTGCCACCCTCTGGACCTCACGTGGAGGAAGGCACATGTAGAAGGGCCTTAGAGGATGATCAGAGGCTGGGATGGTTTATATGGGGAGAGGCAGTCCTTGAGGTTTCCTGAGCCGTTTAAGGCTTTATAGGTCAAAACCAGCATTTTGAATTGGCAGATAGTGCGGTTGGACCAGGATTGGTGTAATATGCTCAAACCGTCTTGTCCCAACCTGGCCACTGAATTCAGAGGCAGCCCTACATATACTGTGTTGCAGTAATGTACGCTAGAGGTTACTAGAGCATAGACAACAGTAGTCAGGCTATCCCTGTCCAGATAGGGGAGTAGCGGGGCCACCAGCCGAAGCTGATGGAAGGCACTCCGAGCCACTGAGGCCACCTGAACCTCAACAGACAGCAGCAGATCCAGGAACACCCCCAAGCTACGTACCTGCTCCTCCAGAGGGAGTGTAAAGCCCTTACCTCAAAGGATCCTGGGAAGTATAGTTTCTAAAGGGTGCTGTGAGTTGCTAGGAGACCTCTATTCCTCTCATAGAGCTACAATTTCAGAATGGTTTAACAATTGATCTCACTTCCTAGCAGAATTCTTGAGGGGGGGAGCAGTGCTTTTTTCTGGGGGGAAGCAGAGGTACGCATACCCCTAAACATTTTGTGAATCTAAGTTTGCCCTCATTGAGGGGCAGTATTTCAATATGAGTAGGAAAATGAGAGTACAGTGGTACCTCGGGTTAAGTACTTAATTCGTTCCAGAGGTCTGTACTTAACCTGAAACTGTTCTTAACTTGAAGCACCACTTTAGCTAATGGGGCCTCCTGCTGCCGCCGCGCCACCGGAGCACGATTTCTGTTCTCATCCTGAAGCAAAGTAACCTGAGGTACTATTTCTGGGCTAGCAGAGTCTGTAACCTGAAGTGTATGTAACCTGAAGCGTATGTAACCCGAGGTACCACTGTACCCCTAAACATTTTATTTTTTTAAGAAAGAAAGCACTGGGGGCTTCATCAAAGTGTATTACAGTGCTTTAAATGTAGGGTGTGAATTTGGCCAGAGAAACTCGGGGTTCTTGTCAGTGCATGACATCCTTGTGCATATGAAGGGAAGACTGAAAAGGCTCAACCCCCCCCTGCAATGCAGGGATATGCAGCTGTCCCATACGGGGATTGAACCTGCAACCTTGGCGTTATCAGCACCATGCTCTAACCAACTGAGCTGTGGCGACCTCAGCACATGGCAGGAAGTGATAGTCCACAGACTCATGCTTAGCCCTGCTGACACGCAGTACACTGAGTCAGCTGCTACCTCACTGCAAAGGTGCGCAGGAAACCCTCCCTGGCGGTCAAAGGTTTTAACGGTTAGGAGAGGATTTATTAATTGCAATTTATCCCTCCAAGTGCCCATGTGTATGGGTTGAAGAGAGTTTCACAGACCCCATCCTTGGCAGCAGCAAAATCAAAAGCATAGGAATTAGGTTGCGAAGCCTCCTTTTGCGCAATGGAATGAGCTGGCTTTCCCCCTCATACCCAACTTAACAAAGAACCAGGCAGCAACTTGCAAAGTAAGTTTAAAGATAAGTTTACTTACTTTATAACCATGCATTGGTTGTCAGCAACAGTAGCAGTAAAAGCTCTGTAGGCAAAATACTTATATTCAGCACTATTTTTCTAGAAAAATAGGTGGCGGAGCTCACCACAAACATCTCCCTTGTTCTCTTAGAATGGCAATGGCACCCACATGAGAGGTGCCGGAGCTGAGCTCCAGTGAGCTCCGGCTGAAGAAAAAAAAGCCCTGCTTATATTTACAGTATGACCAGCTTAGCAAGTGGAGGCATGTCTGCAGCCCATGCTGGTCAAAGGAAGAGAGGGAGAAACAGGAAGTACTCTATGCTCCTTTCTCTCCAGGAGAGGAGGGGAAATGACACGGCACAGAGCCCTCTCTACCAATCGCATTTCTATGGTCTGAGTATCTGCCTGTCAGCAGTACAGCTCTGTGGTGTTAGCCCCTTCTCATGCCAACTAGCAAGTGTGATAGGAATTTTGAGGTTTTAGATATATATTAAATGTCCATAAGTGTACCAGTCAAGCACGTACATAGATCAGCACAGGAAGACCGACCTGAAACCATTTTGATTCCCAAACTGAGCAAATGTTTTCTCTGCAAGGTCAAAGGAAAATGGAAAAGCTTCCCCATTGTCTTTTCCTTCACAAATCCTGTCTTAAGGGTATGTCTGTGTTTGAATAGGGTGAGCCTGTGACATGACTCAGGAACTAAGTATTTATTTGTTGTTGTTTAGTCGTTTAGTCATGTCCGACTCTTCGTGACCCCATGGACCAGAGCACGCCAGGCACTCCTGTCTTCAAGTATTTATACTTAGTAATTATAAGTATTTATAATTACTAAGTATTTATCATTACAAAAGGCTGGCCAGGCTCCCCAGCGTATCCAATCAAATAAGCAGGCAATCCAATCAAGTGACCATTAAACAGGTAACCTGTCAGAAGAGATAAACAAGTCACCAGATTTCTGTTTTAGACCACCTTTTCTGTGATGTAGGTATGATGTCTCGGGGGGGGGGTCTTAGGTTACACCCCTTCTGTGATGTATGTATGATGTATAGAGGGGTGGTCTTGAGCTCCAGAGCAGGGAATTTAAACTGTCTATATAAGGGCCTTGCGTGCCATTGTTCTGGGTTCCTCCTCCTTTCCTGTGGGTGAGGGGTGCACCCTGTTGCAACAGATCAATAAAGATCAGGCTTACTAGCTGCTTTGCTTCTCAATATTCTCTGGTTGGCCTCTGTTATTTTCTCCTACAAATAGGGAACCTACGTAAGGACTCTATATGGGCTCTTGGATACCCCATAAGGGAAAAGGGGCAGGTTTTGTTTACAACAGAAGAATATGCATATGTTAGGTTTGGCCGCTAATCTCCCACGAAAGCAAGGCCACAAGGCTCTCTTTCTTATTGGACCTTTTATTGGTTGCATTGCATTGTTTTGATGCCCCAAGGACCTGAGGTGGCATACGTGGTTCCTTTCCTTCCTTGGTTAATCCCCACAACAACAGGTGGGTTAGGCTGAGAGGCAGTGACTGGCCCAAGGCCACCCAGCGATTTTCATGGCCAAGGGGAGATTTGAACCTTGGGCTCCCAGGTCCTAGTCTCACGCTCTAACCACTACTCCACACTGGCCTGGTATTGCTGGGTTAGGCCAAACAAGGCTTGTTGTTTTGTGTTATTGTGGGGAGAAAACACAGGCAGGGCACCCCTCTCCCCTCTGCGCTGTCCTTTACAAGTTTTGGCCTAACCAGCCTTCTCTCTCTCTCTCTTTCTCTCGAGGTATTTTTCAGCTAAATCAGTCCTTCTGTCCATCCTCTCTGTCCTTTCCGACCTCCTCCCGCCAAGCAGGGGCCGGCCAGTTTTGTTTACATGGCGGGTTATCGGGCCCCCAGGCAAAACAGTGCGCGCCTTTATCGCTTTGCCAATTTCTGTAGTGCTTGTGGCGTGAGGTTATTTCCATGACTTAAGAAAACAGCTCACGCCTGGCCAGACAAACACACACAATGAGCTCATCCTTCATTCGGATTCTTTCTGTGCAGAACACCCCCTGCGGGAACGGCCTTGGGACAGCCTGGCTCCTGAGAGACTATTTGTATCTGATCTTTTTTTCTTCCTCCTTTCCCTTCCTTCCTTCTCTCTGCTTCCTTCCTCCCCTCTGCTATAAAACACAGCCCATTTCACGCTCGTGTGTAATAAATCCAGCTTTCAGGGAGGAAAAAAAAAGAGCCCAGGCTTTCGTGGTTTATTTCCCCCCCCCCCAACCTCCTTAAGCCTGAAATAAGTCTCCAATTTGACATAATTACACCCTCATTTTGAGGGGTGAGAGCTATTTGTAGGGACTTAAGGTCTGTTTCCTCTTTACTTCTGCTCTGGCAAGTGGTGGGAGGCGGGGGGGGGATGAACGCGAGGAATTGGGGGCCAGGAAAGTGAGCAGAAGAACGCAAGAAGAACACTTACATTGCAGAAGGAGAAGTAGAGTCCTGCTGGAATAGACCAAAGGCCATCTAGTCTAGCTTATTCTCACGGTGGTCAAATAGATGCTTACGGAAAGCTAGCCAGCATGACCTGAGAGCACTAGAATTCCTCCCACTAGGGATGGGGAAGGAACAATGATGATGAAGATGAAGATGATGATAACATGAGATGAACCTGCTGGATTAAGCCAGTCTTGTCTAGGATCCTGTTCCAACAGCGATCAACCACATTCTTATGGGAAGTTAGCAAGCAGTAATGGGAGGCACCAGCTAGGGAACCCCCCCAAGGGAAGAAGGTTTAGAGCCTGGGGATAGGTGGTAAGATGACCATGTGTGGTCAGAGGAAGAAGGAGGAGAAGACTCGGAAGAGGAGGTGTTGGAAGCCGAAGAGGTAACAGGGCTTCGTGAACAGGGAGAGTCTGTAGCAGACAGAAGTCCAGAATCAGTGGCAGAAGCAGAGGCAACTCTACAGGATTTTGGGAAGGGGTTGTTCCCAATTCTACCTGGAGATGCCAGGGATTGAACCCATGGCATTTCTGGTATTCTGTCACTGACCTATGCCCCTTCTGGCAGTTTTTGAGATGCTGGATGACACTGAGGTCCAGCGCCGAGGGCCTCTTGGCAGTTCCTCACTGAAAGAAGCCAAGTTACAGGGAACCAGGCAGAGGGCCTTCTCGGTAGTGGCGCCCACCCTGTGGAACGCACCTCCCACCAGATGTCAAAGAGAACAACAACTACCAGACTTTTAGAAGACATCTGAAGGCAGCCCTGTTTAGGGAAGCTTTTAATGTTTAACAGACTATTGTATTCTAATATTTTGTTGGAAGCTGCCCAGAGTAGCTGGGGAAACCCAGCCAGATGGGTGGGGTTTAAATAAATTATTATTATTATTATTATTATTAACAGTTGCTAGTAATGATGCTCCGCATCAGGGATAATGAAACGGACAAGCTTCGATGAGGCCAGACAGTTGCTTAGCAGAGGTTAGCGAGTTTGCTATGAATGCTTGCTCACAGGGGAACTCTCCATTCCTCGAAGGCCATTTGTACATTTCATTCCTTCTCTGGAACAAGATGTGGCCTCCTGGCTTCCTCCTTGATAGAGACCAAATAGAAGCGTGCACTGCTTTGTTTTTGGTTTCTCCCCTTGCTTAGCTTTTCAGCCATTATCCTCTGCTGCCGGGACCCATTTTCTCAATCAACCTTGGCAACTGCGCAGTCTCTGCTCTCCTGTAAACAGCTGTGAAATAAACCAGCCATATGTCTGTGGGGTTGATTGGAGGCAGAAACACAGGGACCTGCTTTTGGGGAGGGGGGTGAGTTGGGACACGTGCCTGGAAAAGTGCAGTGCGGACAGTTCCAGATCATTTTGGCTCCACCCAAGATTCTACAAAGCAGAGCTTCCTAACTGTGTGTCGCGATACGTCAGTGTGTTGGCTGCAGTGTGTAGCTGTGTTGTGCAAACACTCCC